TTGATTGATTTGATTAAAAGATTTAATCTAAACACATTATATTCACTAAGATCCAGGGACTACCTCAAATACCTCACAACTTCAGTTTAGATGCTTCTAGTCTTGGGACTTTTTCGTTGTGATCCAGATCATGAAGTCCAGGAAAAAACTGATCCTTTCAGATCCCAAATGGCCCAGACAGGTTAACCTTTTCTTATCCTAACGCTGTCAGTCATATCTGAGATTGCCTGCTAACTGTATTACTGTATCATTTACCACTACTCTGAGTGATGTGACTGTGTTTCCTCCAGGGTGATAAAAGTTTTAGATTTTTCATTAAAGTTTAGTTTTGCTTAGTTTTGACTTTTTTCCCCCTTAATTTGGTTAGTTTTAATTTGTTTTTAAAGTGGATTTTTTAGTTTTTGTGAGTTATTATTTTTTCTAAATGATTAGTTTTAGAATAAGTTTTAGTTTTTCATACTTTGCAATGAGTTTATTCACTTGTGCAGCACTGGGAGATTCAAATTTTGGCTCGAGTGAAAAGCTAAACTTTTCGAAGGCAATTTATACATATAGTCTTGTAGACATACTGGTCTCAATAAATCAATTTCATATCAATCCCAAATTGACGAAAACAAATCGATTTTTATCCATAATTTCAAGACAGTTTTAGTAAGTTATTTTTTTTTTCTTTGGATTATAGTTTTTATTGATTTCAATGAACTAAAATGTTTTTGAAATTCTAGTTTTTGTCATTTCGTTCATTTTCATTAACGATAATAACCTTGGTTTCTGCTGGTTGCTGAGTTGACCTCTGACCTCCACATGACAGATTGAATGTAGTGTTCACATACTGTCCAAGGACATTAACCACACAAGGAAACAGCCCCTACGTATGCCGTACCCTTGGTACCAAACCGTGCTCTTCTGTGCCTCTTATACACTCTTGACGACACCTAAAGTTCTGTACAGCAGGACTCATGAGACCCATAAAGTTAAATCTATCGTACCAAAACAGTCATGATTGTTTTAAATCTCTCCTCCGGGATCTCTTTTAAAAACACATAAAACTAAATATCTTATTTCCTGTTTAAAAATATGTATAAAATAAGGATCTTTGATTTGATGGGTGGCCTTCAAAGCTGCTGTGGACTTCATGCTGGGACTTTTTTAATCTATTTTCAAAGTGAAGATTAAATTTGAAATCTATCTAAGATAAAAGTTGCAGTTTGAAAATCTGCAACTTTACTTAATTTGCTGATAAGGATCACAGGATATAAAACGATGGATAGGAGTGACTTAATGGACTTAAATTGAGTAAAAAGTCGTTATTTCTGCCAGTGAAAGTCAGAAACCACATGACATTTATTCTGACATTCGCACCTGAATTTTCTTTTGAAGACGTTATAAAATACTCTCTTCACAGGTCGAAGAGAGGTCAGATCATAACCTTTATTTTATCCATATTCTGCTTTCATGTCACATTTATGTTGCAGAGGTCCTCCCTTCAAAGTAAGAGCCTCTGTTTTCTCTCACTGTAGATAAACCTGCTCTGGTGATTTGCAGTTGGGACACAATGTATTGGTAGCAACAGAGAAACAGATTTAAAATGGAGTATATCTCTATCCATGTGAGTTGCCTTACAGGATAAAGAAAGAGTTTCAGTGTACATGTGAGTGCCCTTCTATCAGGTGGCGCCATCTCATCTTCCAAACCGCAGTAAACACTTTCACCGGGTCAGTCTCACTCACGCTCGGAGGCGGATTTTCTCCGCATGGACACAGATCGGCTTCACCGCAGATCATTACACATCAGACAGCGGTAAACACAAACCAGAGTGCCATTCATGTCCCGTACAGGAGCAGATCTGAGACAAACATGAGAGCTCTTTGTGCTGGAGGTCATCTCCGTTTACAGATTCAACATAAAAACTCAAGAGACTTTCAGCGTTGGAAACACGGCTGTGTTGTTTTTAAGGACTTGTGACTCAAACACTGATGGATCCAGCCTGAACTCGACTAGAATATGGACTGCATTAGGATTTGTTAGATGGGGACTGTCCATAGATGTGTCCCTGGTAATGTCCTGGAAATGGACTACAAGTGTTAAAGCGATATTCCGGCATAAAATTAATTTAGGGTCAAACACACCTCCAGGAGACCTCTGGAGTTTCGCAGCTCAAGGAAGAACATTTATGATCGATTCTTGATCATTTCCTTGAAGTAGTAATCACTATATTAATCATTTTGCAGTGCAGACGTGGTAATTCTTCTGCTTTAGCGTCTCGGTCTGATTGCATTTCCATAAAGAAATGATCACAAATGTTCTTCCTTGAGCTGCGAAACTCCGCTGCAGTCGGTGGACTCAACCTCCGGTCTCCGTACAAACAAGCGGCTGCTTAGATTTAAAAAGAAAAGATGCTGTGATCTTAAACTGAGTGTGAACTGTGTCAAAGGCTACAATATTTAGTCTGTGTGTTCCCGATGGCTTGTGAACAGATGCTTGTTGGCGGTTTTAAAAAAAATCACTTCTTCAAAGACAACCCTCTTTGCTGATTCCCAATGTTATGTTTTTATTCTGTCCCTAAATTCTGCCTTTGTCTCACACAGACCATTTAAAATTCTCTTTTAAAATCCTCACTCCCTGAAGGTCTGCTCTGGTTAGACCGGCTACTGAAAAGCAACAGAGAAAAAGAGACAGAGAGAGAGGAAGAGCACCCGGCAGCATTTTTAACTCCCCTGAGCAAAGCTTAAAATTTTTATAATAATCATGAGCAGAGTGGCTGGAAAACTTTGAAGGCAGGGCGATCACAATGATTTGTCCCTGGAAATGAATGAAAAAGAGGTTCATCTCATTGAGTGGTTTAAGAAAATAAATCATTGTAAAAGCGGGAAAAGCAAACTCACATCGAAGCTTTAGAGATTCTTCACAGACACGGCTAACAATGATAAAGAGATGAGGCCAAGTTTGAGTGTGTCAGACCTCCACTTGCAGGTCAAGTGGGGTCACAGTCAACAGTTTTGATACGCAGCTCTTCAAAAAGGTAACTACAGCAGAAGCCACGAACTTTAGCTCCTACATGATTCACTCAAATTCAGTCGTCACGGTTCCCTGTGCAAAAACAAAGACGTAGAAAAAAAAGAAACTGACAATTTCAGTAACACATAAATCCCAATGACCACTGAGATTCAGGTTCATATGCCAGGTCGGTCATTTTTATTTATTTATTTGAATCAAATCTTAATCAGACTCCACATTTCTCAACCCAAAAAAAAAGAGGGGCTCTGAGAAATATATTTGGATATTTTTCCATCAGTGGCCTTGGTCTTTCTGACCTCAACCCACACACCGTCCCCGGTTATTAAATCCAACAGATTGGTGCATCATTGTTATGGTTGCATCATCCGTAACCTGTGGCAGCAGCATCCTTATCTCCTCAGGTTGCCCTTCTCCTCCATCAATAATTCACCAGGGAGACTCAAATCTTTAATAAGCTGAGTAAGCGTAGGTGGGAAAGGTTTGGGCTGATGGAAAACCTCTGACAGACACACTCCTGTTCATTGTTGTAATTCCTGTAGAATAATACTGTCGGCATTTTATGGGTGCCTCAAGTTAACCTGTCATTTTCTTGCAGAAACTCCTTTAAGACGGCGTAGTAAGCGTAAGAACTCTTCACTGACAGGAAAAAAGCGAAAGTGCAAATGCGTATCAGTAGAGAGTAATAATAAAGGGGTTTAATAGGTGGCCGGGGAATGTCAGGCGATTTGCAAAATAATAATAATAATAATAATGCATCAGATTTTTATAGCACCTCCAAGCGCTTTACACTGGATACATCATTCATTCGCTCACACAGTCACACCCTGGTGGTGGTAAACTACCTTAGTAGTCACAGTTGCCCCGGGGCAGACTGACAGACACATGGCTGCCAGTTTGCGCCTACAGCCTCTCTGACCACCACCACACAACACTCAGGGGGGAATCGAACTGCCAACCTTCCAGTTATTGGCCGACTGCTCTACCTCCTGAGCTACTACCCCAACAGAAATAAACACGAATGCAAACAGCTACAATACGAACGCAACTTACGACACTGGAAGTAATCTTGCAGCGAAATCAGAAATGGGTAAACTATCTTTAGCATTTCAGATGGACTATTATTACTGATGGACACGTTGTGGATGGAGAGTCTGCAAAAGTAAGTAATCTAAAGTTTGCTCACAAATTTCCTCTTTGATTTATATTGTTTTACAACTTTAGTTTATTTACTTTTCCCAACTCTCCAAACTCTCCATCCACAACGCGTCCGTCAGTAACAATAGTTCTATTAGGAGAATATTTGTTAACCAATACCATCAGCCTTTAGGGCGGTGGAGCCATGTAACTCAGATACCATGGATACGTTGGTGTTAGATTCCTGATACCGGGGGCTTCCGACAACCATCCTCAACGAAAAACCTTGTACACATTTTTGACATCGCTCAGGTTCCCAAAATATGTTGTGCTATGGTATTCCTATATATGGGCTCTCCATATGTTCACCTAAGGCTCCTTAAAATATGTTGTCCTTTGTTCTTACCCTACATGGACTCTTCTTCAGGTCAACTAAATGCCAGGAGAATGCTCGGAAACGTGGACGACTATATATACATGAACAATGTCAGACCAGTCTTTGTTACACTTGTGGCATGATGAAGCTGTAACCCAGATCTGCAACCAGTAAAGCTTGTCAAACTGACCATTCATGTGGACCCTCCATTCTTTCAAGTGTGAACCTAGGTTAGGCATCCTTACAAGTTCGTCAGAAAAGCTGGCGGTAGTTTGCCCATTTCTGATTCCGCTGCAAGATTACTTCGATTGTCTTTATTTGCATTTGTGTTTTTTGTTTTGCAAAGCATTTTGAATATGCCAATTATCTGACATTTCCCAGCCACCGTAGTGTATCCCTCATCCTTGGCACCTGTGAACCAACTACTTAGCAGATGAAATGACATATTGCCATCAAATGAATGAACAAATGCTCACCTATGGATTGGACTCTGGGTCCCAGTTTAGATCCTGAACCGCAGAACCTCCAGCGCTTTTCCCCCTTTGTGCACAACGGTGACAGGGTGAGAAATGGGTGCACACAACTGCTTCTTCTATTTTTAATCAAAGGTCCGCGGACTCACACGTCTACAAAATTGTGTTCTTTCAGGGTACAGCGGCAAAGAAACAAACACGAGGTGTTAACCGCTCTTGGATGCACTTGCTGGCTCTAAAGAAGGGAGGCAGCGCTCTCATTAAATTTCCATGCACCAGGCTGTTGAAGTTTACAGGTTGCTTTTCTTAAACCAACATTTATAAACGGGCTGGATAAAGAGAGCTCTCCTACCCCCTTACAAGGCCAGTCATGAGATCTGGGCGGAGGTGAGAATGATGTTAGGAGTTGGTCTTGACAGCTGTGAGACAGCCTCAACCCTTTCAGAGTCAAACACTCATGTCTTAAACGGCGAAATCCTGGAACAATAAAAAATTTAACAGGACAGCATAAGGCAGGTGTTGCATAACCACACAGTTTGAATATTTAATCTTTAGGCCTGTGTGCTGAAGGACTCGCTGCCAGGAATGAAAAAAACAAGAAGAAACCTACTGAACGGGACTCGGTTTAAAACAGAAGATGATCTCACTCCAGTTAGACTGATGTGGACCGAAGACCAGACTTGGGTTTGTGTCAAAGAACTCCAAGCTTGGATTTGGCTGGAATTGCTTGGAATCAGACTGGTGTTGACTGACCAGATATTATCATAACTGTGTATGTTTTACTTTACTTCCCATTCCCACTCATTGCACATCACAGTGCAACAAGGCTTACACCAACAAACATCAGGAATACACGTTTACTAGGTGACATAAAACATTGGTTTTGATCTGAATGGCTCATTTCTCTTTTGGAGGAGTTATTTTTTTAATTACTTATCAATTATTAAGGCCTCCCACTGAGCATTTTTTGGTCTAAAAGAGGTCTAATAGACGTCTAAATGTAGCCTAGACGACTGGTCTAAAATCAGGCTACCACAGATCTAAAAATGAAAGTTTTTTAGAGGTCTAAATTTAGACCAAGTTTAGTCCAAGTCTAATTCTGGGCTATATCTATACTACACTGTATATTGCTCAACGGCTATCATAATTATTTTGGTTAAGTACTTGGGGATCAGTTATGCAACTCACAGTTGCTTTTTGAAATAAACAGTTATCCAATAATGGGTTAAAGTGCAACGTTTAAATTTCATCTAAAAATATACAGAATCTAGACGGTTGAAATTAGGTCTAAAAAAAAATTGATGCCTTATCGCCTTCTATTGCTCAGTGGTAGACTTGTGTTGACTGATCAGATATTGTCACAACTGTTTATGTGTTACTTCACTTCACATTCGGCTCATTGCAACAAAGCTAATGTAGAAGTGCAACAAACAGCGGGAATACACGTTAAAAAGGCAACATAAAATATTAGTTTGGACCAGAATGGCTCATTTGTCTTTTGGAGGAGTTTTGAGTTATTTTTTAAATTACATATCGTTTGATGAAAATCATGTTTTTCTTGTTTTTTATATAATCATATGGCATTTTTCTGATGCTACAGGACAACTTATTAAAAAATTAAATGCGAAATTGCTTTTCTGAGTATTTCTTCATTCATCTCTCTGTGAATCTCTGGTAGACCCAAATGGCAGGTTCAAAAACACTGAGATTTCATACGTAACCAATCCAAGCTTCACTACCAGCGCCCCGCTATGCAGGCCACACTCTGAGAAATAGAGAGGACGATCGCAGAAAAAGCGTGTGCATTAATGGATTGAAATGCTTGTAAGAAAGCTAATTATGTGATTAACTTTTATCGAGTCCCTAAAGACATTAGTGTCTGATAGCTGAATAGCTCCTATGTTACCTGCTACTTCTGCTACACTGGCAATGTTAGGCTACAAGCTAGCATGATGAGGAGTGTGTAGAGCAGCGCTGTCTCCGCCCACGACTCAGAAGCCAATTGCTAATGAGCTGCTGGAGCTCTGCAGAAGAAAAGAGCTTGAAAATGACACAGGTAACATGATTTATGCTAAACTGAGACCACTGAGAACACTTTAAGTAGTAAAAAGATCGGAGTGGGACTTTAAGGCCTGGTCCACATGTCAGCAGTCAGTTTTCCAAAAATAAATCTACATGACGATGCAGAAACGGTTAAAAATGCTCACATATGCAATCAACCAGAGAATACCCTGAACATTCGACTGTAGTTTTACACTATTATGCATTAAACGTATGCACTTGACTTATGGATTTGAACCCTGTGCATTCGCTCCATGTTTGGCTGTAAGCCATGCATACATTAATGCCGGATTCATTGTTCATGTTTCTTCACTCTCGGGGAAACACGAGCTCCAAACCACAGCGCAGCAGGCTGATAATCAGACATTTTATTCAACTTTTCATCATGATCACAGATTTCAAAATGCAACCATGTGAAGTCACTCCAACAGAAAATTAGACATTTAAAAGCAAAACGTTACCCTCCGTTTATTCGACGGGCTTTTGGCACAATAGTACAAAGTAGGATCATGTTGGGCAAGTGTGGGTGTTTTTATAAAGAGTGTTTTTGCTGACAGGAAGGGTACAGGTCAATGAATCTATAAAAGAAGAGAGAGCGTTCAAAAATATCAATGAAGAAACAGGTCACACAGCACACTCTACCACACTTGAAGATTGAAATCAATAAAAAAAACCTCAGGTCTAGGATAAACAAAGTGTGCTTTAGGCGATGGCAAGAGAAGAGAAGAGCGTTGGCTAAATTTGCTTTGATTTCTCTCTGTTGTTAGACACCACGGGATTTTTTCTTCTTCTCTTTCACTCCGTATCTCTTTTTACACAAGCGTTTCCATTGAGTTTAACAAAAGTGGAAAATTCAAGAACAATAGAGACCATCTTTAAAAATATTATTTGGGTTGTGCCTGTGTACATCAGCCTTCAGAGTCTGTTTGTTGTCTGCCGTCTTGTTAGTATAATTTCTCCAGTGATGGTGGACAGAAGTGACAAATACATCATCGAAACCCCTGCAATGTGCCATGCCGTTCTTCACCTGTACCTCCACATCCACCACCTTTTCATCTGCGGCATCATTATCTCCTACACTGTTCCTGCTGGTGCTGTGCGCATTGTGCTATGGGATCTCACATCTCTGTTTCCTCTCCAGATGAGAATTCGAGATGTGTGTGTGTGTGCCGGGACGTTGAGGACATGAGGTAAGGGTGTGTGATATGAACGAAGGGGAGAGAATTTAACACAAACACGAGGACTGTAAGAGACGAGACGGAAAAGCAATAATGACAGGAGGAGATTTTTTTTTTTTTTTTTATTACGCACTCCAAGAATGAAGTCGAAATTTTCAATCAGTCTGCAGCTGGTAAGTGGTAACATCACGCCTCTAAAAAGATGTCACACACTGATATGAGCGACGTTTGAGGTCAATAACGATAATAATTTTCACCTCGGAGTTTCTGAAAATTTCTGCAAATGAACAGGAACAAGTTAGATTGTCAAACCTGACTTCACCTGCAAGATTACCTGCTCGTATCGTTTCATTTCAGAATGCTGCTGTAGTGGGTTTTAGAGTCGTAAACGGAGATAGGTTTGGTTCAAAAAGAGGGAGTCTGTTTCAGTACACCGAGATTTAAGGAGAGGGTGTATTTCAGTGCATTAATGTGGGAGATGCTTTTTCATATGACACTACTTTGACCCTAGAGGGGCGGCACAAAACCGGATAAAAATAATATTAACGGTCATGAGACAGGCTCGTACTCACTCCTCCTCTCATTTCACTTATCCGTCGATACTGCGGTTATGTTCGGTTACTCGCCACTTTGATAAAAAGTTAAAAAACTGTTGTTGAAGTGTACGTATCCAACTCTGTTTGCCAATTTTTTTAAAGAAATAAAAGTTATTTTAATCACCGACAATAACACTGTGGTGGATTTACAACAAATTCTGTAGAGGTTAAGAGAGAATTTACAGCCAGGTGAAAGTCCCTGAAGTTTTTAGATACGTATGTCTGAAATGGGGGCGGCACAGTGGTGTAGTGGTTAGCACTGTTGCCTCACAGCAAGAAGGTCCTGGGTTCGATGTGGCTCAGGGCGTTTCTGTGTGGAGTTTGCATGCTCTCCCTGTGTCAGCACGTCAAATTGCCCGCAGGTGTGAATGTGAGCGTGGATGCTTGTTTGTCTCTATATGTCAGCCCTGCGATGAAATGGCGACTTGTCCAGGGTGTCCCCTGCCTTCGCCAGAAGATGCTGTGATAGACTCCAGTGACCAAGGGAACGGGAATAAGCAGTAGAAAATGGATGGATGGATGTCTGAAATGGGCTTAAGATAAAACATCGCCACTTCACGACATTGTATTTTGACTTCATTCTCGACAATTTGACTTTTAAAAAAAAACCTCCCTTCTCTCATTTTTTCTCTTCTCATCGCCCGCCCTCATACTACTCCGTATTTTCCTCTAAAGACAATATTACAATACACAAGACCCACAAGAGTATAAACTTAAATATTATATATAACAATATCATATAAATCTGTTAGAATCAGCAATCTTTGCATTTGAGAAATTAACTTCGAGGACTCTTTAATAGACGCTCTGACGCTGGATTCGTCTTGTAGTTTGTCTGATATACCTGGGTTTCCAAACAGAAGTTGAAGTCACTGTGCTGTTGTTTCTGAGTCAAGGTGTAAAATAAGTCTCTGGGACAGTCAAGCGTTGAGTTTCATTCCTGTGTTGACCATCTGCAACTTTTTCAGGCAGCAGATAGTTTTGTTGGTTTTTGTAAATCATTGTGCAGCACATTTTTACTTGTAGTCTCAGTCTCTTCCAGCAGTCTTCATATTGATCCACTTTAGACATGGCAGTTTCATGAGTCCGTGAATCCTCGTCAGACTGTTGGGAAAACGACGAACAGGAGCTGAATAGTCATTGTCGGATGTCATTCGCTTATTAAGCTCCTCCTCCTTCAAGGTGAGTCTGCAGTCTGTTCATTTTTACATCCCTACCGACTACATCGACTACACGATCCCCTCGCTGCGTTTGCTCCTCCACACCACCAGAGCCGTCATGAGCAGCGTGACCAGGATGGGCACGACGATGAAGGGACCCAGGATTCTGTTAGGCGGGTCCTTGAGAAGCCGCCCGGACATGGAGCAGTCGTGGAAGTACTGCTTGTGGACTCGGATGAAGAACTCATCCACGAGCCTGTTGGGCCAGTAGCATGCCATCTTCTCCGCCACCAGGAATGTGCAGTTTGTCAGCTCGCCGTAGAGTCTGTGTGTGGAGACACAAAGTGAAGAAAAGAGTAAACTCTTTGCCATCTATCATCCTCCTTATTATCTGTTCCTCAGATCCTGCCTACACCACCTTTAAGTGACTCGAATAGTGTCGCATGGCTTCTTACCACAATGTGCGAGATTGGATAAGTGCTGGGTCTGCTGTTCAGGTCTGATGTATTTGTCTATGGGTGCATGTGTGTGCAGCCTCTCTATGATGAGTCATGTCACCAGGGCTCACACGGCCATAATGGAGGTAATGACCCGTGATTATGACCGAGCTCACAGCAGACACTGCAACTGCAAATTAAGGTCAGATGCACCGTAACACTTTTAGTGTTTAAGGTCGGGGCAGCAATTAACAATTAATTGTATTTTTGTATTATGAAGGTCAAAGTTTTTAGAGATTTCATATTTAATTTGAGTTGACGTGAGACGGATGGGTGTTGACAGGTATGAAAAAATATATGCAAATGCTCTTAATGGCAGATGATTTGACAAAAATCTGCCTAGGAGCTTAGCGGTTAGCTTTAAAAAATGATTAAACTGCAGATTGTGCCATCACAATTTGAAGTGTTCACCTCACAACTATCATGCCCAATATATTTCACAATATTGATGTTATTGCAACATTGTGAAATTAAATCCCAAACATTTAACAGTGTTAAATTTAACTTGTGTAATCGTTTAACCTAAATTTTGTTGCTGTGTTTATTTTTTTGTGTCACTTAGCCGTTCACTGTATTATCTACTGTAGTTGTATTATTGCATTTATAATATTCAGTATATTTTATCCTATGCTCAAGCCTGACCAGGGACAATGTTGTATGTATTGTCCCTGTTAAATCAACATTAAAATAAATTGAAAAATTTTTGGAACAGTCAGTGAAGCAACATGATATGTATTCGTTAAAGAATATGAAGCCATAATATTTGCAAAGAAACAGCCATCATCCATTTATAATTATGTTCAAATTTATGATTTATCCCTTGAGTGAAACGTCTTTGAAGAAGAAAACAATTTTTTCGGGAAGCTTTTATTTTGTAGTTTCTCCTATATTGGAAAACTGTGCTTTTATTTTGAAGAGTCAACTACTTCCTGTAAGTGAGTTATGGAACTGGATGGAAGAAAGGGTAATGGTTTGAGAAGTATAGAAAAAATCACGACATATCAGTTTTTTAAACGTGTCGAGTCGCCTCTTAGGTGACTAAAAACTATGCTTTTATTTTGAAGAGTCAGCTACTTCCTGTAAGTGAGTTATGGAACTGGATGTAAAGAAGAGTAATGGTTTGAAAAGTGTCGAAAAAGTCACCTCTTACAGAGCCAGTTCGTCTCTCCCATTAGCAAAAATTTTTTTGTAGGAAGGTCCCGCCCTCCTTTGCCTCTGATTGGCTAGAAGACAGTTGACGTCAATACAAGTTTGTTGTGATGGCAGCACTGAAGATTAATAGAGCTATTTGCAGCTTTTAAAATCTTAATCTGACTTTTTGCTGTTTCTATAAATTAAATTAATATGACTCAGCCCAGAAAAATCCATTTCAACTAAGCAGGTTTAAGACCAGACACTACGTCATGTCTGATGTTCGCTTTCCTTCAAACTGTGTTTTAATCTCGAGGAAACGCTAAGGATAACGTCGTCAGCAGCTGTGTTTACCAGCTTTTTGCTTACTTTGATTGCCTGCTGCTCAAAGCTAGGCAGGTGGCGGCACAACGGGTTTATCAGAGCTTGCCTGCTGTTGCTAGAAATGAGGTTAATGAGAGCAGCGAGAGTGAGTAAAAACATTCAAACTGCAAAACCATTAAACCCCAAAATACACTCTGATGCTCTGCTGACCTAAGGGGGGCTGTCACGCTCTTTGGGTGTCTCTCTTCAAATGACTGATTTCTTATTTCACATAATCAAACGACCCCCTGTTTTCTAGAAAAAGCATAAATTAGCGCTTCTGCTTTAATGTCCAAACGTACTCTCTGGTGAAATTTCTGCTCTGTCTGTCACCTCTCATCTGCACAGCGTAGTGCGGTTAAAATTTAAACAGCTTTTGATGCAGCGCCACGACAGCGGCTCTGTCTTTGTGGAAGTTTTGCAGAAGTAAACAGCTCAGGGCCGCTTGGCGTGGGACCAGCACTGCGGAGCGTTGTGGTTTTCCGGGTGGCAAGTTCACTTTGTCTGAGTGCGTGTACTTCCTTCCACCTCCTTTAAGTTCTACAAATTAGTCATGGGGGGGGAAATAAAAAGGATTCTGGTCCCGTTGCTGGTCTAACGAGCCACCGGGATCACACTGGGGATGCTGATGAGTCATGCAGGCGAGGCAGGAGACTTGATCACAAAGGGGCAGAGTTAGGTGCTAGCTGATCTCATGTGGTTAGAGTTAACGCCACGGGGAACTTGAAGCCCCTAAAAGATAGTGAAGAGTTGTGTGTTGCTAAATAAAGAGCAGAGTTTTATTTTTAGAAAGTGCAGTGAGCGAAGATAACTGTTATAAAACAATACAATACACTGAGGCGACGAAGATGAAGAAATGAGGCAAACTAGATTTTAGATCTGGGGGTACCAGTTTGCAGCACCCTGGATCAGGATTAAAGGGATAATCCAGCGTCAAATGAATTTAGGGTCAAACGCACTGTAACGCCGAGTTAGACACCCCCTTGAGAGATGAATGTTGCTGACCGCTTGCTTCTCTAGTTATACCAACTTTAGTAACGACCGCACGATAGCAATACACAGCGGTCTGAGGAGCCATAAACAAACCTCAACCAAAACGCCACTCTATAGCCACAAATAATGCTCAGAACAGCACCTAACTTCAACAACAGCACATATAGGGTCCTAGCCATAGTACTAGCCACCAAACATCTTTTTAACTTTGCCTGATTTCTTTGGCAAAGAGACTAAACACAACTCACCTACTCTCTTCCAGCAGCCGCATAATATCATATGAACCATTAAACTTGTAATCCAGCTGACTTAAAGGTCCAAACAAAGCTCATCCTATCTATCTCTATGTTAATTTTGTGTTATTTTGTGTGTATTTTCCCTCCTGTTTCTGTTCCCCTGTAGTCCAGTCTTGTTAGTTTTCAGTTTGTGTTTGACCCTGTTTCCCTCCTGTTCTCTGTATTTTATTCTTTAGATCAGTTTTCAGTGTTTCTGATTTTATTTTGTTGTAGTTGATTCCTTGTGTTTCTAGTCTGCTTTTACTTCCCTAGCGTTCCCTCCCTCGTTAATCAGCCATGAGTTTCACCTGTGTCTCGTTTGCTGCACCTGTTGCTCGTTAACTAGTGTGTGTATAGTCCGTGTCTTCCCCTCTGTCTTTGTTGGTTAATTGTGTGAGTATGTATGTCAGTTGTCTCCTTGTGATTTTGTTTCTTGTGTTTTTTGGTCTTTTGGATTTGTTTAGACATTTTGAGACTACGTTTTAGTTGGACTTTTACATTTTGTTTTAAAAAATCCTTAGTTCTGCATTTTTGGGCCCTTTTCCTTTGTTTTGTGTACCATACATAACAACTAAATAAGAGATAGGACTCCCTCTATCTCTGCAGTAGCAGCAGATGACTGTCTAACATGAGTCTGGTTCTGCTCAGGGTTTCTGCCTGTTAAAGGAAGTTTTCCTCTCCACTGTAACTTCTTAAATGCTGCAAAGTGAGTCTATTAAAAAGTATCAGAAGTGTTTTGAAAGATAATGAGTTTTTCATTGATTTTTTTTAAATCTCAGTTATAAAATACAAATTTACTTAAGAGTCAGCCATCAATTTACATTGAATTGCGCTGAATCAACTGAGCCAAAGGGTTATTTTATTCAATAAATCATCATTTAATCAAATCATAGCCTTTAAAGATCAATTTGAATTTGTTAGAGGTGATTCAAACCTTTATTTTTGCTCTACCCTGAGTCAGTTGATGTTTACAGTCACCAAAATATCATTTGAGAGTGTATGAGGCTGTTGAAAATTGCTTCATATCAGGTGCGACTCAAATGGGGGACACAATCTTTTGTGACATCTCTTGTATCTGCATGAGGCAACCAGATGCATCAGTGTGTCCGACACACACACACGCCGAAATATATTCAACCATCATTTCAACACTTAACTTTTTCATTCATAGACAGAATCTCAGCTGAACTTCTCACATACATGTTGCAACACTTGCTTTGCAGATTGGAAATAGAAAACGTCACTATGCAAAGTCCAAAAATGGTTTCCACTGACTAAATACTGTGTGGTTGTGCGATAAAGAAAGCAGGATGTCTCAGCTCTGTCTCCACTTCTCTTCCCTGATGTCATTTAGATATTCAGCGCACTCTTGTTGGCTCATCTGTTCACCTGCTATCACCAAATACTGTCTCTGTGTGCGACCACGGGGCAAGCGTGTGTGTTTGTCAGACAGCGGGAGTTTGCATGTATTATGCATGAAGTACCAATAATGAAGCGAAAAATATAGACTTGGAGAGCAGCGGTGAAACCTAAATGAGGCAGACAGAAGGAGTGTGTAAAATTTAATTTCCATTTCTGTCGATCACGCTGAGTTTCGGAGCCGGATTTCCTTCCGCCATGAGCAGAAGTATCACCACACATAGTCCGCTTTAATTGCTTATTAAAAGAAAGCAACTGGAGGATTAGAAGTGTCAGAGATGTTGGTGAGAGCAGGTTTCAGTGAGCTCCACGATGAAGACTCTCATGCAGTGCATTTGCTTTCTTATCCGCTCTGCAGGAATCAATATACTGTTATAATGGAGTTAGTGCGGGCTGCTGAGGGTGCAGTGATATTCAAGATGAGCAAAGTTGATCTGAATCTTAAACAGCTCAGAGACGAGTAAAAGTCACCGATTCATCACCGGGTTTAACAAAGTGTACTCGAAAAGCCATGCACCTTAATCCATTCATACACTCCAAGGTTATTTCTGCACTAATGAACCATACGGTACATCAGTCTCTATTTAGTTTGCTCTTAATTCCAGGCTGGAGTTTCCATCTTAGTTCGAACCTCCAAATGAGACTTAGAGGACGAGGTTTACATAGATGACTCATTTTCTTTCAACAAAGATATGGCACACCCTCATGCATGGTCTGCTTGTCTAAACAGTCATGTAGTTTCCTTTTTGGTCCACTTTTAATCCAGTAACCCCGGCGGGCGTTCCTGTTCAAAGGCTAAAGTGTTATCTCATGCCAAAAACATGGAGGTGGATCAGAAAGGAAATGCAGAATTTTTGAAGCTGACAGCAAAAGCTGAAGAGAGCGGTCATATTCTCTTTGTGTGTGAAAAGGAATCTATCCCTACTCTTGCTCCGGGTCTATACTGGGGGTTGAAAACCAGCAGCTCTTTTTGCCCCACTTTGGTGACTCTCTGTGGCTTTGCCAAAAAAGAAGAAAGAGATTTTTTTCTTTATCATTTCTGTTCAGTGTTTTGTTTTTTTTTACAGCCTTTTGTGCAGGATGTGCATCAACATATTAGCTTTAAAATTCAAAGATATAACACAATTCCTACACAGAACCACAAATGCAACACTATAAGACTTCTTGAACTTGACAAGCCGTCTGTTTATCTGCTAAATTCTGCAGGTTTTTCTTGCACAATCTAAGTGATTCCCACCTGATAGTTCTTCGATTCATACTCAAGCTTTAAGTTTAATAGATTTATTTAGCTGAGTACTAACAGATTACTTCACGCTTTATTTGTTATAATTCATTAAGAATGTGGTTAACTCATGTATTTGACTTCTTTTAACACATTACTAAGCCTTAATGTCATGTCTGTTTAGTTTCCTTTTACCTCTGTTGATTCTTTGGTTAAGTTTCCTTTATTTTTTGCACATTCATGTTTCATGTCATGTCCTTCCTGTTTTATTTTGTTGATCACTAACCCTTGTTCCTGTCTTCTAGATTTGTTTCTGTCCTGTCACACCTGCTGCCTGATTGTGTCCCTCCACCTGTTTCCCATCACCCTCGTTACCTCTTGTGTTTTATCCTGTGTATCTCACTGTCTCATCGCCAGTTCATTGAACTTCATAGCATTATTCATCATAGTTATTGATACCCGTGTATTACCTTTGCTTGCCTTTTTTAGATCTTGTTTTTGGATAACTCTGCCTGATCTGACTGCCTTTTGTGTACCGACCTCTACCTGAACTTTAATAAACTCTGTCTGTTGGACAAACTGATGTTTTGCCATTGTGTCCTCTTTTCTGCGCCCCATTTCAAGACACTCAATATTTAAAAAATATATATATCCTGGTAGTGAACTACATCTTTAAACATCTTTAATCAAAATAAAGTTGTCGGCTGATAATTACATTTCCCATCAGAAAACAAACATGTATTTTGTCTACTATATTATATTCTATCTTGCACGCTGTATACACATGTACATAGTATTCAAGTATTCTATTTAAGAGTCATAGTATTCAGGTATTGTATTGGAGGCATATGTATATATTGTTTATATCTTGTTTTTCAGTCTCTTGTCTTTTCAGTATTTGATGATTTTATTGTATTTTGACGGACTGCTATGACAATTTAATTTGCCTTCGGGGATTAATTAAGTCATCTATCTATCTATCTATCTATCTATCTATCTATCTATCTATCTATCTATCTATCTATCTATCTATCTATCTATCTATCTATCTATCTATCTATCTATCTATCTATCAACTGCATTCTGGATTAGGGTTAAATGAAAAACATTTTTTATCTCTCATGTCTACGGTTGAAGGGTGCAAATGTGTTTAACGCCTCCAAACCATTTCAGAGGAGAAAAAATGTAAAACAGTCCTGACCCCTGTCACGGCATTGAAAGAGTGTTATTCCACAGACATTCCTGTGACTCAAACATGGATCTGACATAGATGTGTTTAGATTAAGGATGTCTAGATAGTGCTCAAAAGCACTTTTCAAGCACATTCTCAAGAGGATAAATCTTTTGGATGGAAATGAGCTCATACAGTAAGTCAGGAAACTTCCACTGCACATATCAAGTTATATAATCATTTGAACACCACCCCCTTAAAGGCTGCCATATGTGGATCTCTCTATAGGTGATAGTCTTCCCTGAGAGTTATGCAACTTTAATCCTGCAGGTTTGCACAGCCCTTTGCACATTCACGCTCCGGCTGTATGTTTCAGATGTGATTCCTGCACTTTCTATCACTTTGCTATCTGAGCTGACAGATTTGAACACAACAACACAACGTGTGTGGTTGAGTGTGTGCGTGACTGTGTGCCCACTCTCCCGTCAAGTGTTTTTGGATTTTGTTTTGATAAAGTGTGTGGGAGATGAAGTACGCAACACGGGTCCTAAAAGTGGATGTTAAAGAGTTTGAGCTTGTGTAATGATGTTTGGAATTGATTTCCCAGCCTGCACACGCACATATATCACTTTTTAGCACAGGAAAACTTTATCCATCTCCCTGTAGGACTCTCAGATTGGAGGCAAATATTCTATATTTTGTGTTTTTATGTGTGAAATTAGTAAATACACTCGTACTCCCCTCATTATTTGGTAGCAGATGGAGAAAACAGAGAGTATGACACAGAGGGAGACTCAAAGAGAGGCACGGCAGATGGAGAGTGTGAGACCTGCAGTATAATTGGCTGTTTTTATGTATTATAAAACTGCCCTATATATAAAATATGGCTGGCAGGATCAGGAAGGGCTTTGCTGTTTTAAATAGTTAAATCTGTTAACTTTAGGGCCCAGTTTGGATAAATAAATAAATACTGATAATGAATAAACAAACAGACACCGAATACGGCTGCCCACGGAGGCAGGGCCAGGTGTGAAATACCAACAGGTGTGAAGTCTGACGGATGAGGTTATCTCCTGATTCAGTGTTATGCAACTTTTATTAAATATTCAGGAGACAGGAAAGAATATACAGATGGTAGATTTCTGAATCAGACAAGTTTTTAGAGAGGGATTTATCCGTTGACACCTTCATCCTCTGCTTCCTTTCAATAAGTCATATTTCTCTGCGGGTTTGTAACAGCCTGATGTCATTCGGGAGCCCCCACAGAGCCCAGCGTTTATGTTCTGTTTCCGATCGACCTCTCCGCAACCTCTGAGTCATGTTATATTCAAGAGCAGTTTATATTTAGCGGCGTTAAAGCTCTCTTTGAGATTAGCATCTGAGTGGTGAACATCTCTAGGGTCATGCTGTGCCGGTTAGGCTGCGTACAGACTGTAACCCAGCGTGAAGAGAGCAGCTCAAATCAAGCTGGTCTGTATTTGTGCCTCAAAAAGTCTCATTAATGCAGCAGCTTGTAGTTTAAATGACTTATAACACTTGTAATAACCAACCCAAGTTCAGTATGTGTTAACAGAGTATATAACTGGAAATTAGGGCTGAGCGATAAACAGAAAATTTACAGATACCTAAATTTACAATAATAATCAATGTCGTTTTGCCCATATTGGTATATTCGGTGTAAAAAATAAATGAATAAATAAAAAGTGGTATTGGATGTGTGTAGGTAGGCTATGGTCTCATGTCCCTTTAAGACACTGTCACACATCCAAAACTACCTTTAATTTATTTATTTTTTGACAATAATTATACCAATATGGGCAAAACGACATTATTATTGTAAATTTAGGTATCAGTAAATTTTCTGTTTATCGCTCAGCCCTAACCTCTGACTACATACTCTGTAAACACATACTGAACTTGGGCGGGTAATTACAAGTGTTATAAGTCAGTAAAACTACAAACTGCTGCATTAATGAGACTTGACTAGACTTGGAGACGTGACTTCACCCCATCCAGTCCGTAACAAAGAGGGAAAGACAGGTGAGGAGATGGAGGACGGTTCAGATATTGGAGTGATGGCTGAAGTAGATGAAGCTGTTTATCTCTTTCATTCATCTTTTGAATCTGCACTTATATCCGTACTCACTTGTACTGTATTTGTATTTGTGCATATTTCTGTACTTATCTTTTGTCCTGTTTATGTTTATCTAATTGCACTTCTTTTATGTACAGAGCTTTGTGATTTTTATATGTGAAAAGTGCTCTATAAATAAACTTTACTTACTACTAAATATATCTCAATATATCGTGATATTGATTTGAGGCCATGTCGCCCAGCCCTACTGGAGGTTTTAACGTTAAGAAGTAGTGTCACTAGTAGTGTTCAATCATCTCAAATATTTTTGATCATCAAATCCACCCCATCATTATCAGTGATCATGCCCCAGTGTCATTCAAATGGAACCCACCAAGACCACAAAAACCAGTCACCAGATGGCGCTTCAACACATCCCTCCTGAAAGATCCTGAATTTAACAACCTCATCAAAAGAGAGTGGGTATCCTTCCTGGAAATAAATGATTCCCCAAAGCCATCCCCCACACTTCTATGGGAAACAGGTAAAGCAGTCATCAGAGGAATTATCATTTCATATTCAGCCCATAAGAAAAAGAAAGAAAACAAGCAAGAATCTGAATTACAAGAAAAAATCAAACAGCTAGAAACTGTCAATGCAACTAACCCAACAGAAGAAAACGAGAAGAAATTAAGAAAATATAAACTAGAAATAAATGAAATTCTGAACAAGAAAACTAACTTCATGATCAGCAGGCTCCGACAGGAAAACTTCCATCACAATAACAAATCCGGCAAATATCTTGCAAACCAAATCAAAAGAAATAAAGAAAAATCCACAATCTCCACCATCATGAACTCAGCAGGGAAGTCAACAAACTCACCCGATGAAATAAATCAAATATTCAGAGAATTTTATGTCAACCTATACTCCTCAGATAACACCCCTAAGGAAGAAGACATCAGTCTATTTCTCACCAACCTCAATTTACCCCAACTCTCCCCTGAACAAAAAAACACATTAGACACACCCCTAACAACTGAAGAAATCCAATCTGCCCTCAACAGAATGCCTAACAATAAAGCACCCGGTCCTGATGGCTTCCCTGCTGAGTTCTACAAACACTTCTGGTCCATCATAGCTCCACTTTTTCACAGAATGATAACAGAAACACAACAAACCTCCAGACTTCCACCCAACATGAATACAGCATCTATCTCACTGCTTCTTAAACCAAACAAAGACCCCACCCTGCCTTCAAGTTACCGCCCCATTTCACTTCTCAACGTTGACATTAAAATTATCACCAAGGCACTTTCCCACCGATTAGAAAAAATTATTCCATCCATTATTCACCCGGATCAAACAGGATTTATTAAAGGAAGAAACTCATCCAATAACACACGCAGACTATTCAATATAATGCACCACTCAACCACACATAACCATAACTCAATCATAGCCACCTTAGATGCAGAAAAAGCCTTTGACAGAGTTAACTGGTCATTCCTCATCCACACCCTACACAGTTTCGGCTTTGGGGAATCATTTATTAACTGGATTAAAACACTTTACACCTCACCTACAGCCACAGTTATTACTAACGGACAAACCTCACAAAGCTTCACTCTACATAGGGGGACCAGGCAAGGTTGCCCACTCTCTCCCTCTTTGTTCACCATTTTCATTGAACCCCTAGCAGCAGCCATCCGTCAGAACCCCCTCATTACAGGAATCCAAACCCCCAACATGCACCATAAAATCAGTCTCTATGCAGATGACATTTTACTTTTTATGGATAACCCAAAATCATCACTACAAGAGGTAATCAGTGTCATCAAATCCTTCTCCCTTCTCTCTGACTACTCAATAAACTGGAACAAATCCTCCATACTCCCATTAAACACCAACAGTCTGGCTGTGGCAGCCCTTACAACACCCATCCCCTTCTGCACAAGTCACATCACCTACTTAGGCATCCACATTTCCCCCAGGCTGTCAGAGTTGATCAACCTGAATTTCACTCCACTCCTAAAAAAAATCAATGATGATCTCCAACGATGGATGAACCTCCCATTATCTATATTAGGCAGAATAGCAACAGTTAAAATGACAATCCTCCCCAAAATCAGTTACCTTTGTTCAATGATTCCCACTCATCCACCTCTCACCTGGTTTCATTCCCTCGATTCATCCATCAACAAATTTTACTGGAAAAATAAACCCCCACGAGTCAAACTGGCCACTCTTCAGAAATCAAAAAGTTTAGGCGGACTCAATGCTCCAAATTTTCATCATTACTCACTAGCAAATCAACTTCAATACATCTACAAATGGACCCACCCCACCCAGTCAGATAGCACGTGGTTAGACATAGAACAAACAGTTAGCAAAGACATCCATCTCTCAGACCTACCTTTCCTCAGTCAAACTATCAAAAAACACCCCTGTTTCCAAAACCCCACAATATCATCGGCCCTGACAGCCTGGTGGAAATTCTACAGCATTACTAACTCCACTCTGGCACCATCGCTTTTCACCCCGATCTGGCACAACCTGGACTTCATCAGCAATAAACAATCACTATACTTCAGCACCTGGGTAGAGAAAGGGATTACTCACCTCAAACATATCTTCAATAATAACACCCTGGTCCCATTCTCTCTCCTGGTCCAGAAGTTTGGCATCAGGAGCCATCAATTCCTACAATATCTACAGGTTTCATCATCCATCCAATCATCAATGAAAAACAAGAATATAAACTTAGACCTCCCCCCGTTACCCTCTAAACTCATTAACATCCCTTCCTCAAAGAAACTCCTATCTAAATTATACAAATTATTATCACAGGCCGACTCAACACCCTCCATACCTTCAGAAAAATGGGAAACTGATCTCTCCATTGCTCCTGATGCTGACTTCTGGCCCCAAATCTGCAAGAACATTTTCTCCATGACGAAAAATGCTAATTTACAACTCATACAATACAAAATCCTTCACAGAACTCATCTGACTGGACACAAAATGCAAAAAATGGGCTTCTCATCATCTGGAAACTGTTCACACTGCTCACTAAACTGCACTGATACCTATATTCATGCAACCTGGCACTGCACACCTGTTCACCACTTCTGGAGAAACATTACAGAAACATTATCCCAGATTATGGGCTGCCACATCCCACTTTCCCCTTCCGTCTGTTTATTAGGAGACCTATCTCCATTAAAACTTGACAAAACACACACACGTTCACTTCTAGTGGCACTAACCGTCGCCAGGAAAACTATCCTCATGAACTGGAAGTCTCGGAACTCCATACACATAATACACTGGAAAAACCTGCTCATAGACTACATCTCCTTAGAAAATACAAACTCCTCTGACAATAATCATAACTCTACCTGGTTTTCATTCATCACTTTTCTAAGCTCATAATCTGCCACAAACCAGTCACAACATCATCCATCTCTGTTCTCTGACACTTTCATTCCCAACTTTTTATTTTTATTTTATTTACTTATCTATTTATTATTATTATTATTATTATTACTATTATTATTATTATTATTATTATCATTATTATTATTATTATTATTATTATTATTATTATTATTATTATTATCTTTATTATTATCTTTATCATTATCATTATTATTTTTTATTATTATTGTTTATTGATTTTTATTTTCTATTTCTTACTACATATTACTACAAATATTATGATGAATATTATTGTCATTGTCATTTTCTATTATTATTATTTATTTATTTATATACTTACATTTACAATTGTTATTTTCTGCTCGGGTCCCTGCTGGGTCGCGCCTGTTAGACAATGACCTGTGATCTCCTTGCCCTCCCGGCCTCCCCCCTCCCCCAGTTCTCCGCCCTGGACTGTCTTCAGATGGCACATCACCTCTTTTATTGCACATCACACTAGATTAGGAAGAGGAACGGGGTCTCAATCTCATCAAATTATAGTTCAGGACAACCCCTCTCCTCGGTTTTAATGCACAACATTAGAAAGCACATATATGAAAGAAATTAAGAAAAAATAAATAAATAAAATAAATAAAATAATAACAATAATAATAATAATAATAATAATAATTTAAAATAAAATTAAATAAAAATAAATAAATAATTATAAAGTATATTAAGTAAATAACAAAGACTAAATACATATATAGACATAGGGTAAGGTGTTGTGCCGCATTCAGTCCGGGGCATGCGGGGGTTGGGGTGGGAGTCTGGGGGCCTGGAGGGATGCAGGTGGGTCTCGTGCGAGTGGGAAGGGACCCGAGGTGGTCCACAAATTCCTTCTTCTTCTTCTTCTTCTTATTATTACTATTATTGTTGTTATTATTATTATTATTATTATTGATATTGTTGATGTAGTATAATTTTCTTTTTTTTGCTTGTCTGACAATTGTAATATTTATTTATTATTTTTCTTTTATTTTCTTTTTCATTATTATTTACACACACCAAACACACACACACACACACACACAAACACACACACACACACACACACACAAAACCACAAATGCCATTGTTTGTTTTGTATGTCTTGTATTGTCACACTGCACAAAAAAAAAAAAAAAAAAAAAAAAAAAAAAAAAAAAAAAAAAAAAAAAGAAGTAGTGTCACTATCGTTGCCCTGAGTGCATCTCCTCTGCCCTGTGGGATTTTTGTAAGACACAGGATAATACTTAATAGTAAACATATTGCATTTCGAGCTGAGAATATCATGACTTGACACTCTTTGGTCATGGCTTGGTGTTACTATTGATCAGCAGCACTCTTAGTTATAAAATTTAAGCCTCATTATCTGCCTATGTTTCCGAGACAGTTTCCCATGCTGCTAACAAAGATCACATCAGGACTAAGACGGTGAATTTCCTCTTTCTTAAAGTAAAGAAACTTCCTCAAAATTATAAAAAGATAGATTAAAACAGGCCAACTGTGGTAGCAGAGCACATCACACAAAATGTTCTATTTCTCTGTGATTGTGCTCACCTCATGAGAAACTACTAAACATCTGAGTCTTTCTGTTTGTGTAAACGTGTGAACAGCTTCGCTCTTTTGCTGCATGACAGGAAAGTCTGAGAGATGTTTTTTTTCTTTCAAATGGAGCAGTGTTTTATGGTTGTTTTTATCTCTGAAATTCACACAAACCTTATTTTCCTTTTCTGCTCATATTTAATTTCTGATTTATTCTCTCTGTTTGTGTTTCAAACCTGTGAACGACGTAGTTTGATGTGTCTGTTTCTGTCAAGCTTGCGTGTCTAAATTATCGCATATGTTCTGTGTACGTGTTTGACCAGTTTGTGTACATCAGGGTACAAGTTTGCCGCTTTAACTCCGTGTATACCGTCATATACAGTGTGTAAATGTTTGTTCTGGATGTAGTGAAATCTCTCTGCTACAACTGGACACATAAACTCTGTTGCTGCAGCCCGGTTGTTTCACACCATTGAGCAAAGCATTTACAAACGCTGACCTTTTCCCCGCAGCATTGTAAGTGAAGACACGAGGGTGGTCTTTAGATTACTGTGCGGCTCTGCGACCTGTAGGATGAGCCAACAACAGCTCGGCTTAAAGGGACAGAGTGAAGAAACGGGAATGTTGAGCTGTCAGGTTTTAGATTTAGATGCTCCCCTTTGACAGATGAAGAGTTAGAGGACAAACCCTAGAAAGAGGAACTCATCATGGAGGATTTTTAAATGCTTTTCATTGGTTCGAATTAAAGAAAGCTCGCTGACAGATGTAAATGATGAAATTATATACATCAGGGCTGTAAAGTCTTGGGCCCGACCGATATGGATTTTTTTTGGGGCCGATGCCGATTGTTGGGGGAAAAAAATCTGATTACCAATTAATCGTCCGATTTTTAAAAATTTTTATGAAGTTATAAAAAATGAATGAATACTGTAGATATCTACAGTATACTATATACTGTAGATAGACTCAGACTAGAAAAGAGTTTTCTTATTCTCCGCATTTTATTTCTGAAAATATCGGCGAAAAATCAGTGTCATCAGAGTTTTGGCCAATTACCAATTAGTCTCAAATGGGCTCAAATTGGCAGATTTAATCGGCTCGTCAATAAATCGGTTGGGCCCTATAAAAGTCCCAGACTGGTCAACTTATTGGTCGATATGTGCTAAGTCGACCAAAATTCTGATTGGTCGACTCAATTTTTTTGCGCGTCAATTTACAGTCTATGGTTAATTTCATCAGGAGGAACATACCAAGTGCTAATGGGGGTGTTTTGAGAGCACCCCCGTTTCACAGGTAACAGTCTGTCTCAGAACACCCCTCTTGTTTTCATCATTTTTGTTTTTGTATTATTTGGATTCGCCCGACCCACTGGAGACCGTCTGGAGACCAGAAGATTGAGGAGCATTTTTCATTAATCAACATCCAGTGGTTTGCTAAATATTTAATTCAATTTTGAACATTTCAATTTTCATGTGATTCCTGATATCAGTATATTTTCACCCCACCAAGCCATCCTTCGCCAGGCCACGTTGTCCCCCGCCGCAGAAGGGTTTGCCATCAGAGTCGGAACCACTTCCAATAGTCGATTTTGGGGCGAAAATTTCAGGGTTTTAGTCAAACAAGAATTTCTTTGATCGATTACAGCCCTAATATACACTAAAATGATGAAATCTAAAAAGAAATACATATGCATCATATCTAAAATACAGCTTGAAAATCTGGATTCATCAGACATATCTCTCACCTGACTCTTTTAAAACAAGGATGACAAAGGAAACATAGATAATTCATGTCTCATTCAGTTGGAGGGAGAGCGTATTGTTGCAAAATCAATACATATCGTAAAAATCTATGCAACCATAAACAGGGTGATACTTGAGAAATGAGGGTTAATGCTGCACGATGAGAGAATAAAATCAGTCTGAGGGGAAAACATGCAAACCAATCTCCTGCCGGTGGTGAAACCCGTTGGGGTCAGTGACTCTTCAAAGTGAATGTTTGCGGAGGCTCTGAACAAGCAGACGGATCAATTAGATCAGGGAAACACCTCTCATTTCGTATTCCTCTAAAGGCTGCAGAGCATTTACTCGGTTTTAAATCAAACTGCAGTGTTCCAGTTCAGTACGAGCCAATACTACAAGATGAGGGAGATTACAGAGGACTGGGGGAAGCTGTCTCTGCAGGAATCTGAGAAGAAGAGGATAAAGGGACTGTTTGTTGGACAAGAAAAATGCAGACTTCTCCTCTTTCTCGCAGAAGATAAGAAGCATAGATGTGGAAAGAAAAGTTTGACGGGCGGTGCGATGATCTGAAAGACCCAGTTTCTATTATAGTCCTCTCCTTTCCAGCCATCACTTCTCAATGAAAGACAAAAACATCTATATTTCAATCCTTCTCCTGGACTCTTAGCTTTAGCAGGTTTGTGTCCGAGCTTCACCAGAGGAACAAACGCTTCCAGTGATCAAATAAACATGATTGAAGGCGACGCTGATGTTTAAAATGCACGCCCACAGCTGTATATCAAACCGCTGCTCCTTTCAGAAAGCTTTCAAGAGGTTTTGGCTACACTTTCAGAGAGTCAGTCATGTCACGTCGAAGACACCTACTGTGCAGCAGCAGTTAGGAGTGAATGAGTAAACAACAGAGACAGGTTAGAAGAAACAAAAGTCAGATACCTGGAACAGACGATGATGAGCTGGTCCCTTAGAGCAGCTCGTCATTGGTTATTTAGAGGTATGTCAGGTTTATAGGAAGTGAAACCTGCAACTGGAATACAACTAACTTTTTCAACCGCTTGACACACAAACACAAAATGCAGTATGATACGCGCAAGAAGAATAACAGTACTGCAATCTGGGACTCAGACTCCAGGATTCTTTTTTCCAGTTTAGAGCTCAAGCCTCTCGCGTGGTTCACCTGCATGCTAGTGCACAAGCCATCGAGTTTAGCTACAGAGATGCTATAAACTGTGGATTGTGCTCTCAAAGATCTTTATATATGAAAGACAGGACCATAAACTGTATATAGAATGGACGCCATCTGCCTCCTCACGAGGTGAAACCACCGTGAGAACAGCACCCTCTAGTGACGGGCTGCAGTATAGGCCATAAATCCCGCCTCCTCCAGCAATCCCTATGAAGCTGTGGACAAACTTTAGAAATTAACTACACAGAATATAAATTTTTCTCCCTCCTGCTTACAATGTTGACACGTAGTTACTATAAGACTGGTTTGTGCTCAAGTCCTCTTTTTTCTGTGCAACTCAATTTTTAAAAGTTTTAAGGGGGTTCGCATTTTCTATGATTGACACTTGATACAGCCTTTGGGTGTACGAAGATTGCGTAGCTCAGCCGGGAGATACACAGCTTGAACTGAGCGTCATCACAGCGACTCTCGACGACACTTCAAATGCGTACAACGCTACTGTGCAATATTGGTTTCAGGAAATGGAAAAAAAAACGCGGAATTATCGAGAGCTTCTCGGCTTCAAATCCGTATACTGGTAGAAGGTGGAACCAAGTTGTCCATGGTATATGCAGTCTATGGGCAGGACTAAGTCCACAAGAGTAGTACTAGAAGCAAATGAGGTGAATGCGAAAGATTGCACTGGCTAGTTAAACATATTTTGTCAGGGGAAGATACCAATGATGATCTGCAGATTCACATTAGAAGCATGAAGGCAAAACTAGAATTACTTTGGTCCAAAATGGACAACTTAAAGAAGAGAAGAAACACCATAGGAGGAACAGGCATGGTCGTCGTTTCTGTGTGGATCGACGCGTATTGGAAGCGTAGAGCAGCAAAAATAGACTTGTTGCGTATATTCATTCAGCTGCGACAGAGCTGATGCGTACGCGATGCTGCATTGATCAGAATGGCAACCTATTTGCTGCGTGATACACGACGCTGACTATACGCACTCAATATGGATCCTGTATGTTTTAGCCTTTAGTAAAAGCATGCACCGTTTTGCTTCCTCCTGTTGTTTAAAGATGCCGACAGCTCATCTCTAAAACTAGACACAAAACAGGAGCCATGATTCATGTGTGCTGTAACATATCAAACTCATTTAAAAATTACCTCAATAAGGTAAAATCTTCCCTCTATTAGATTTGCATTACATAACAGCTGCGGCCGCTCACACATCCAGGCAATCCTGGATGTTCTCCAGTCATTAGCTTTGTAAAAACAAACAGCAATCCATTTCAGATCGCCAACTAATCAACCATTTAATCACCAAAGGCCACAGAAAGTGAACTTCAATTAGCTTTCCACACTGTTGGACTCAGTGGATTATTCTGGCCCTGGGTTTGCATGTAACCCCATGTGAGGTCACTAACAAAGGGGGTTTTTAAATGATCGCAGACGACTTAGAGGCACGCATGAGTGACCAAAATACCCTCCAACAATCACAGCGGGGATAAGAGCTCTTATAAAACCAAGAAACGGAGCTATTTCTAACCAACAAGCCAAGCAGTAAGAAAAACAGAGACAAGGGCAAAGAGGGAATTAGACCTTCATTAGGATTAATTAGAAACACAATATGGCTCTTTGGATTTATTGGGTACGGTGTTGTGATGTAAGCCTAGCGAGCTGCTGGATGAGCTCACAGCCTGCAGGGTTGTGTGTTGTTGTTGACACTGGCAGACAGATTGACTTGAGCAAACGCACGGTTAATATGCCCATAAATATTCATAAAACAGGATTATCCCGAGTTGTTGATTTTAAACTTGAAGGAAGAGATTGAGGGCAGCGAAACTTGTCATAATAAAGCATAGTCGGATGGAGAGGACCGGTTTTAAACATCTGCATGACCCAAATATCACAGAAGAAAAACACTCATTTTTGCAGCCCTATTTAAACAATCTAAATTGCACAATCTGAAGCGTATGGGTAAGAGTAAATATGGAGAACGTCTGACCGCAATCTCAATTCAAGCGGCGCACAATCTGGATGCAAAGTGAGGCCCAGGGTGCAAAGATAGAGGTTACAGCCCCTTTATTATTCATAGATGTTTTTTTTAAGCATAACAGGAACCAAACCAATCAGTGCATCTGCTCTCGCTTCCCTGTAGGAGTCAGGTACACATGCAGAAAGAGGGGTTGCCATTTACATAACACATTTCAGCCTTCGGACTTAAAGAGAGCGGACTCAAACCGGCGTGACTAACTTCCATCTTTCGAGTGCGCCCCTACAAATGCAGAAATCACACACATGTCACTGTGTGAGTTATGTAGATGCACGGATTGATGTAAAACGTACTGAAAAATCTCTCAACCGGGGACTTTCCAAATTAACATTTAAGTACAGAGACACAGCAGAAACGCTTCACGAATTACCTTAAAGTCAAGATACGCAATAGAAGTGTACACTGACAGTGGACGTCTTTTAGCTGCAGGATCACATGGATTTACTATGAAAACTTTTGCATGCATAATGGAGGTAACCACTCAGGATCTAGTGATATCTAGGAGCATTGTGGTCAGTGGCATTGTTTAGGGATCTATAAAAGGGATATTTCGGTGTCATTTCTTCATGGAAATGCAATCAGCGGCAAACCAAGAAGAACTTCTGCGTCTGCAGTGCAAAATGATTAATATGGAGATTATTACTTCAAGGAAATGATAAAGAAATTATCATAAATGTTCTTCCTTGAGCTGCGACACCCCACTGTGTGGCTGCTGGAAGAGGGTTTGTAAGTTGTGTTTAGTCTCTTTGCTAAAGAAAACAGGCAAAGCTAAAATGATATTTGGTGGCTAGTGCTATGGCTGTGACCCTATTTGTACTGTTGATGAAGTTAGGTGCTGTTCTGAGCATTATTTGTGACTATAGAGTGGCATTTTGGTTGAGGAAGCAAGCGGTCGCCAACATTCATCTCTCAAAGGGGTGTCTAACTCAGTGTTACGGTGTGTTTGACCCTAAATTTATTTTACGCCGGAATATCCCTTTAAATATGCAATGAAGCTTGGTGACGCCTCAGGCTGCAGCTTTAGGGCTGAGGAGATAAGGAGTTAGCAGTGAGCGGTGTCATGATGCATGAAGACGTGGGGAAAAAATTGCATAACAAAATGCATCATCAAAAACACAGGCCTGTATTCAGCTATGAGAAGGCACAAGTTGTGACCCTGTGCACTCTAACACCCTAAAGGTCTTTTCACACAGGGAGCGTTTTTATCGTGCGATTATTTCGGACGTCAATATTTTTTTTCGAAACCCGTATCCTGTCAATACAAGCGTTCACATCAGCAACATTTTCCCGTCCCGCGATACTCAACACTAGTGTCTAATCAGACCTGAAAAACACTCAGTCTGCTGTTGTGTCAGTCTTCTTGCTTCCACCCGGGACGCGTCTTTTTCCCCCTGGAAAGTCACAAAATCGCATCGCACTCGATGTCTATAGTCAGGCGCGCCAAAATTCGCCTCCGAATATCGTATATTTGCGTCGGTCCTGGTGCGTAAGGACCTTAATCCCGGGCAGGACAAATACACATTGTTTTGTATTTTAGCACAATTAAAGCACTAAATAACACCGGGTGGAACATTCATTTCATTCACTCCACCATGAGAGACTAAAACGACTCTTTTGCTTGTCAGGTGGCGTTTATTTTTTCACCCTGATGTTTTAAATTGCAGGGTTTTTGCAACAGCGCATGAAAATAAACACTTTGTCATAAAAACGACCCTTTTGGAGGCTTTAAAACTCTGTCCCATTCACTGTCACGGGTTTTGGATTGCTCTTAATGTCCGACACTGTCTTTGTGAGTTTGCAAACAAAGTGGAAGTGGGGACAAAAGGGGGTCTTTTGTGTTCATGCTCACAGCTTGACGTCTTGAGTGTTAACGTGTCTAATATAATGGACTAAAACGCACCAGTTTTCAATACAACCTTTTATTTTCCACTTGTCAAAACTGATGAAAATGAATGTTTATTTTTGCATTCTTCTCAAACAGCTTCACACGACCCGACTGCAGTAATTATACCCAGAGTGAAAAACTTCTACATGAGAACAAGCCTGTTTTTATATATAAAGGAATTCCCAACAACACTGGAAGAGACACAGACTTTGAACTATCACCCATGTCAGCTTTAATCTCTGTGTCTCATCTCAAAGCACAGGTCCTCATGGTGTTGTGCACCTCCACTGCTTGCTAAACAAGCTGGTGAACAAGCAAACAGGCTCCGGTGGAGTTTGTTATTATGTCTCCTCTTGTGCGACAACAAAACAGAGGAGATGGAGGCACATTTTAATGAAATTCTTTCAACTCTAGGTCCTCTTAGTAACCAATTAAATATACTTTTGCAGGATTTAAGTGTTTTTACTTGAATGCGAATCAAACTTTGATATCATGTGGTGAAAAATAAGAAATTAGTTGTATTTTAACATCAAAAAGTTCTTAATCTGGTTGTTTACCATAAAGAACTTTTTTTTGCTCTAATGGCCGCAGCAAAGACAATGAGGCTTGACGTGTAAATGGACATTAGTGGTGATGAAAGGGATGAAAATGCAGACACAGAATGGTGCTTTTTTTTTTTTTTTTCGAGCCCCATGGGTGGGATTTCTTCAAATTGAACCAAGATGGTGACATGTTATCATTCCTGTCTCCTGCTCAGCGTCTGTCTTTCCATCTGCCTTCCATCTGCATCGGCAGACTCGTCAGATTTTCCATCTGCCGTACGTCTCGTATCTTACCTGAGATGAGCGAAAAGATCGGATGTGACAGCTAATTATTGAGCGACTGAGTGCAAGACAAGTGTATTTAAAAAGCCCTATTCATGCATTAAGTAATTCTAAGTGCTTTACAGGGTTAAAAACAATATAATGATTCAAATAATAGCGCTATCACTCATAGAAGACATTAACTGGCTTTCAGATTCTTCCTGCACTTAAAAGCTTCTTACAAAATCAATTCAGCATATATAAGCACCTGCTATGAGGTCCACAAGTAACTGACCTTGTAATTTCTACTTAATATATCTATGTGAGTGTAAATGGACTTTTCAGAGGTTATGTTGCAGCATCACCTCCAAGGTTAGAAGTCTCATTTTATGCTCTACATACATCAAACCGTAAACATTTTAAGCATAGTTTAGTATTCATTTATTTATCTGCTTTGGTGATATTATAGCAGATCAGTTTGAGTCACGTATTGCATGTGAACTGACCTCGGCTAATGAGAGATGGAAATACAACGCTGTTACGTGACTTCACAGTCAGATTATGTACCATGGTCCGAAATTAAATTATATATACATGTAAATGTGCTTGTCTGCAGCATAGTTAGTTTTCTAGTTAGTTAGGAGTTTTCTATTTTATAATCAAGTAAGTGATTAGAGCAGACCAAAAACACAGACTCAAAGTTATTGATAATTCTAAGTTAACAGGGAACTTCTAGACACATTGTGTGGCTACTTGTATTTCCTCAAATCAAGGACAAATATGCACACATATTTGGAGAATAATCATGTGTATTAGTAATAATTCTTCCCTGAATGACCGCAGGAAGTTAATGAGCCGCAGTCATTGTCCTTCAACAAATTTAAACAACGCTCTCTACTCCACAGATAGGACACAGTTATTTGCATCCCTTCACTTTTCTAAATCAATTATTTTGTCAGCATTAGCATTTTACTCACCAAAATCATTTGCATCTACAGAGCACTATCCCGCTGCTTGTATCACAAGGTGTACGCCCTGTATCGTATCTCATTAATCAGACTGAAGAAACATGCTGAGAGGGGCCTGTTGACACCTGACACTTGTTACTTTACTTTGCTCGTTAATAATCCTCCTCTATAGCTCGGTGTTTCCTTCGTGTATGCTCATTTAAAAGAATGAAGCACTCATTGTTCTTGTATTAGAGCTTAGATGTAGTAACAATTTGTCTGCTCTCTAAATAAGCACAAAAACTTCTCATTGGGGCTTAAAATAGAGAACTAGATTTTTGACTGCTTTTTAAGTTTCACCCCTTTACACAGCTTTTTTGCTTTCTTCTACTGATTTTGTTTAATATTTTATTGCAAGTAAAGGAATATTTTAGTACTTTTTAATGAGGACGTATGGGGCACATGTTTTAGTGTATCATCCAGACCAGGATGCAAGCTAGGCGACAGTTTCCTGCAGACGGGGCTACATAATTTCGCCAAGTTTAGGAGACTCTGACCAAGCAGTCATCTTTATCTGAGTGTGCACACTACTGAGAATTTTATTGGTGCTTTACTTTACTATCAGAAAACCCTTCACTTACAACACTGTATCACTCAGCGCCCCCTACAGGCCTGGAGTACTAGAAATTCTTATTTTATCTTGATTTTATTTCATTTTCCTTTATTTCAGCCTGTTTGCTGTTCATGCAGTTGTTTTGGCGTTTTTTCGTCACATTTTTTTCATCTGCAGTATATTTCAACTGTTAGACTTTTGCAAGTGTTCCTGAAGTTTTGCTGTCTCTGCATATGCATATCGTTTGGCAAAGCTGTAACCTCAACATATATGATTATGTCATCTGCATACAGAATGTTTTAGGTAGAAATTGAATGCACTGAACAGATGATACCCAAACATGGATCTTTGTGGTGTTTAAATGTTTTGGTTCCGACTCGTTCTTCAATCCAGACAGAAAGAGTGCATCTGCCGGGTGTGATTTTATCCACTCAAAAACTCACACTGACGCGTTTTAGCGCAAAGTTCGGACTTATCAAAAGATTTAAGTTCTGAAAACTAAATTAACCTCTCATCTTGTTGAGTCCAAACCAACTCTGACACAGTTGGCTAAAACCTCAAATTCTCTGGTACGGTTACAAAGGCCTCAGCCGACTGCTCTCATTGAAGTAGTGCCGCTCGTGAGACCAGAAGCTTAATTGGGTTTCCTCTCCATGGCAGCATCAGATTGAATCCAGGTATTTCATGATTGGGATTGTATTACTTTAAATACAAAGCAGTTTGATGGGTAATTGTAGATGGATTGTTAAACAGAGGCTCTCTGGTGTTTATGTGATTGTTTAATTACACTCAAACTGGCACCCAAACCTGTGGCATCTCTCACGGTAAATGCAAGGGTGACATTTGGACGTGCACAAAGGATATCTGCTGATGCCAGGAACGTTCAGTTTTTGTCCCCCATCTCTGCGTAGCCCTCTCTGTTCCTCCTCCTACTCTCTCTCTCTCCTCTCTGTCGTCTCTCACCCGGTATCTAATCAGCTGTTGGAGGTTGCCCAAAATGTTGGAAGGGTAGTGAGAATCTCCAGCCAGAAACCACACATCCACTCTTTTCACAACAAATATACCCTCTGTTTTAGTCTTGACTTATGCTGCGTCCCAGTTGTACTCGGAACTCAGAATCTCTGAGCTCCAAGTTGGAAATTCATCTGAAATTCACCCCGAAGTCGGATTTTCGACTCTGAATGTGGGATGATCCTCACCAACCCCGATTTGACGACAACGTCATACTCCAAGATGGCAGCACAGTCATCAACAGTAAAGAGTAACGATGATAGCTCTCGTAATGTATTATTTATTAGCACTTCTGTTTTGTTTTTGTGCAATTCAATAATTGGTAGATGTTGTACTGCCCAACGTCTAACTGTGAACACGTTGCTATGGTTATTGTAAGAGTAAAACAACTGGTATAGCTAACAACAACAAACAACCGCCGACAATGGCTAACGACAGCTGACAATAGTAAACAACAGCTGACAAAGACTAACCCCCAATTTCCACCGAATTCGGAATGGCTACTAAAAGGCTGATCGCAGCTGATGTAACCATTCAAGTTAATGTGTCAATTTCCACCGGCTTCTTTTCGTTCCGCTGCAGATCAGAAGAGTTGTTTTTTTTTTTCTGGACGCCAGAGCATGCCAGATAAATTCAGCACAGATTAACCCGTGCTGGAAAGGAAGTCGGGCACAGACACAAAATAAAATATTTGACTTCTTTTCAAAATAAAACGCTACTTGTTTCAGGGGGATCATATTTTACACCATGCAAACGAGCGGAGACGAACAAGTAAAAGGTTTATAGACAGCATTTCATCCCAATGACACCATGGATGAGGAGATGCTGATTTTATAAGTCTAGAAGTAGATTTCCTCCTCTGGAAGGACACAATCTACTGCTTATATGGTTAGCCTATGTGGCTAAAGACAACTTGTTATCGCGCGATTGCACGTGAATCCGTGAGTTCTTGTGAGTTCTCGTGATCCCTGCTGTCCGTAATCTGCCACGAAACCCGCCTCACAAACGGATCTGGTAGGAATTGGCGTACAGTGAATTTGCCGATGTTCCGGATCAGAGCCATTCCGGATTCAGTGGAAATCCCGGGTAACTGTAGGCATCCGTCTTTGTTTTCCGACTTGTTAACTGGAACACCGTCAACTCGGATGTAACCAGCTCTGACACCCGACTTCCGAACGCAGCATTATTCACATGATACATAAAACATTGTATGCATAAAGTCGTATGTTCACGCTCCAGTTATATTTCCTGCTGTTAATGCATGTGTGTGCTACTCACTCCACTGTGTCCTCCCAGCTGCACCAGTGTCTCTGGTCCAGCTCCTGCATGTCCAGTTTGAACTTGGCGAGGCAGAACTCCTCGATGGCGTACTCATAGTGGGGTCCACAGCTTAGTACCGACACGCACTGAGACACAGCTGAAAGACAGGAAAAAATGTAGGTTTATGTACATTTTTGTTTTCTATTCTGAGTTGTGCAGGCATGCGTTCATGTAAGAGAGCGATGGCACGCTGCCCTACATTTCCAGGTCAAAGTGGATGGCGGGGTGACAGCACAGGAAAGCACTTAGATTTAAAAGCAGCTATGACCTCAGATGCCGTCATCTCTGTTTTAGTTCACTGCAAATAAAGATGTTCCCCCATCTGTGGGGTATAACACTGAAACACCATCTGTTAGCATAGTGTCAGTGATATCATGGCCTTACAAGATCCAAATATTGAAAGCACATGGATGAAATCAGTCCGTTTCTCTTCCTCTCTTTTTGACTTTGTTTGTTTACACTCTCTTGTTTCATCTCTGCTAGTGCTAACAATGTTCATCTTGCGTTGTTTCTACCTGCTCTGCTTTTTAGTCAATATTAGAATCAATGTCAGCAAACGTGTATGGTTTAGCACGTGCATGAAGCTGAATTCAGGGAGTCATTTCTAAGATAGGATCAAGTGTGTGAATGAAGGTAAAAAATATGAAATAATCGCTTTTTTTAAGGTCCTTGAGAGAATCTGAGTCATGCCCTGAGCAGATGAAAAGGATGAAAAGGTTCATCTGCAGAGCTCTGATCAAACTCTGCCGTCAAAGATCAAGATCAAGACTGTGTCTTCTTAAAGGAGCAGGAGACAGAGGGAAAATCATGTTTCCCATGATGTTGTCCGACCTAAATGTCATAATAAATTACTGTGATTGGCTTCCAAAACCAGATATAAGTGTTGTTTGATCTGCTGAGTCCTCCATCATGATGACAAAAAGTGTCACATGACAGATTTCTGATCTCCCGCTTTAGTTCAGTGGAACAGTAAAACTGTTGTTGGGGCTTCAACAACTTCTCACAAAGTCCTAAAGTTTGTCAGTGCTGTCATGCTACTTCTGTGTTCTAAACTCGAGACCGTTATAAATTTTCTGTAGAGGACAAATTGTCTTCTGAAAATCCTCGTCTTTAACTGGAAAACATGTTCCAGAAATAGATCCCATGTTTATCATAAATTTCTTTGAAAACAATCTGAGTCATAAATTTCCTCTATTGCTCGCACTTATTCAGAGGGCAGACTATTCCCTCAAGAAAAAACATCAGCTGATTTAGAAAACTGCTTCTAAAACATACAAGTTTACTTTTCAATGAATTGTGGGATTTTAAGGCTGGAGCAGAGAGCAAACTTGAGTTAGTGAGGAAGTCTAAGTGGATAGTTGGGTCAATGAAACATATCCAAATTTACCATGGGACACTAAGGTGGGTGGTTTAATTCAGAAAGAAGACCAAAGACTCACTCTTTTTGATAAAGCTCATAGATAGATCTGGTTCAGGCCTGGGCCAGCTCTTAGTTACTCGCACATTAAGCACCTTTCCTTCCTTTTCTACCTTCTTTCTGTCTGCGTCATTAACTTTAAATCATCATGTCCGAATAGAGTCACTCATACACAGACTGAACTCCATCATGTTGTAGGTTCCTCTGGATCTCTGCTGTAGATGTTTTACTGCTGTGGACCTACCAATCTCACCTCTGTCTATCTCTTCCTTTCTGCATCTCTCTCTCCCTCCTCTCTAAACTCAGTGCAAACTCAGCAGATGACTGTCTATCATGAGTCTGGTTCTGCTTGAGGTTTCTGCCTGTTGAAGGAAGTTCTTCCACTGTAACTTACCAAAAGCTGCAAAGTGCTGCACTCATGTGGGTCTGAACTTACAAGATAGAGTTCAATCTTCTCTAGGGCTGGGAGATATGGCCTCAAATCAATATCACAATATATTGAGCAGTTCACCTCGATAACGATAAATGGACGATAACTGCTCCACATCTCGTCTACTTCAGCCACCGCTCCAGCCACTAACACTTTTGAACCGTCCTCCATCTCCTCACCTGTCTTTCCCTCTTTGTTACCGACTGGATGGGGTGGAGTCATGTCTCTGATGTAGGACAGCGTCTTAAAGGGACATGAGACCATAGTCTACCTACACACATCCAAAACCTACTTTTATTTGTTTGTTTTTGACAACGAATATACCGATATGGGCAAAATGACGGCAGTTATTGTTGTGAATTTCGGTATCAGTAAATTTTCTGTTTATCGCCCAGCCCTAATCTTATCCCACCTTACATTGGGTCTTTGTAAATCCAAAAAAGCAGGTCTAGAGTCGGGTCTAGACCTGCTTTTTTTTTAAAGTACTTGAAAAAACTCTTGCTGTAAATTGGCGCTACATAAATTGTTTGATTAATGGCTATGTAACAGCTAAAATCACTCAAACATTTACACATAAAACATTAGGTAACATCATTATTTTTTTAGAAACTATAAATAAAGCTGTAATATAACTGCTATTAAACAGATGCGGAACAGTCATTAATAACTACAGGGTCCTCATGACAGCTCAGCATATATACTCAGGGCTAACTGACCCTTACAGTGATGGTTCTGTTGCTTGCATGTTTGGACATGAGGGATTATATAACAACAGCCTCTGATTCATAATAAAGGTATGGCTGTGAAGCAGAAATAGAGAGTGGAAGGGATGCTCGTTTCTATTATTATTAAACACAGCCCCTTCTAATCTGACATCTAAACTGTTCTATTTTTCTTCACTAATAGTTTTATCTCACTGTTTTAAATAAATGAGTGCAGCCAGATCAGGATATGGGAGGACAGCACACAGCAGAGCCAAAAGCTTTCCATGAGGTTGTCTTCAAACCCAAACAAAACTGCACAGTGAGTTTACAAAAGAGGAGATTTGTGGCCCCTGATAGTGTGAAAGTGGCACACTTATCTTGAAGTAGTCAAATGGAAAAATACATTTGTATTTCAAAGAAAACACATGTCCACCTAATCAGTCCTGCATCTCTACAAAAGGTTACGAGGAACTTTTCCAAACCGTCTACAGCAGAGCGGCTTCCTTCAACGTGACTCAGCTTGAACATGTCTCTCCTCAACTCAACTCAACTCAACGTTGGATACCAGACTTAAGAAAAGGTCACAATTGTCTCATTTCCTCCTGAAATTATTTATTAATCTGGAACTAATAATACTGCTATGAACACATTTTAATCTAACTTAAACTCGAGGTGTATGTGCTGGATTGGTCTTAAAAACCTCCTCTCTTAACCCCGCTATGACTTCAAATCTAAAGTTTATATTTTAGTGTCACTTTTTGATCATATTTATTGTCAGTAAATAATAATATTAATAAAAATTCACTTATTGAATTTGAATGAGGTCTAGATCTCCTCTTCATTTAAAGCTCCTTTAAGGAACTTTTTGCTTTTGTTGACTTTGGCGCCCCCTGTGGACAAGCATATTACTCTAGCAGTTACAGATATTACACAGTTATTATGTAATGTCAGATTACATTGGGTTTTGTCGTTTCAAGGAGCAGTTATATTAACTATCTGTCTATTGTAATGCTGTTTTGTTTTCAGTTTTTCTTTCTAGTCTCTCCATACTTTTATTCTAGTTAATTTAAGTGTTAAAATTTTCACAACAGGATAAGGGCCACAAAAAGAGAAAAAATTAATTACAAGAGGAAGATTTTTCCGAGATTAAAGTTTAAAATTTGGAGATTAAAGTCAAATTTTTTCATGTCGGCTTTAATCTCAAAACTTTAATTTTAGTAATCTGGAAATTTCGACATTATTCACATCATTTTGACACTTTGTAATCTCGAAATTTCGCCTTTTATCTGGAAATTTCGACTTTATTGACACAATTCACGACATTTTGTTATCTCGAAATTTCTACATTAATCTAGAAATTTTGTCATTAATCTAGAAATTTTGACTTTATTTATTTTTTTTTTCTTTCTTTATGTGGCCCTAATCCTTTTTCATAAAAATATCATGTAATCTGATGAATAACCTTTTTTTCTTTCAGCTGTCTCTCTCTGATCTTGATTACTTTGTTATTCTCCCAGTTTTGGTGTAACCCCCCAGGAGACCCTCGGTTGACAGTATGTCACACTGGGTTAAAGAGACTCGATTTGACTCGGCCCTTCTGTGAGTACAAACAGGCTCTCAGTCAACTTGTCTGGTTACATATTACACAAGGACCAAGAAGAAAATCTAAATGTCAAAGGCAGTAAGCAGACATGGGGTGACCTTTGACCCGGCAGATGCATCTTCCTCCCTGCTCTCTATGGGGCTCCCCCCAGAATGCATCACTCTCTCCATCAGGAAGATAGCTTAAGGGAGTTCTGTGTACGTGCTTTTCAGTGTGTGTGTGTAAGATACAGTCAGAGATGTAATTGGACGTCCTGTTTTTATCCTATGTTCTGCTCTCTCATCAGTTTAATCATAAAAAATGATAAACTCAGGGAGAAACTCATATATCAGCTCTAAAGTGAAGCAGAGAGCCGCATGTAAGCGTCTCATTACTGCCAGAATATCTCCTTTTCGACTATTTTCATTTGTTTATGCTGACAGGAGAAAAACAATATGTCAGAGGGAAGAAGCACCTTTCATGTGTTTGCTTTAACTGTCTATATGCAGTGAGATTTGTGTGTTTGTGTGCACACGCTGATCGAGAGCTACACAGCTGTGACTGCAGACCATCCCTGCCAACACACGAGTCCTTCACCAAACTTTAATGCTGAATCCTCACTCGCCAACTTCTATCAAAGTGGAGAAAATGATCCTTTTCAGTGTGACTAATAACAGAGAGATGAATTAGTCAGTGTGTTTACTTGCACAGTGGAGTCAAGTCAAGGTTAGAGTTTGGAAACTGGGTGTATGTCCTCTTCTGATGGGGTGGTTGGCAGCTCTCTACTATTGGGCCAACTTTGAGGTAAAGCCTGATGTGCTAACCATGTAGCATATGCAGATTGTTTATGCAAGTCTAAGTCCGATTGAGGTGTATACATGCAACTACAATGAAATTCTATTAAGTGCCATTCCAGTGGAAAAAACACATTTACATGTCTTTTTAAAGGTCCAGTTTTACGCAGACTTATGCAGTTGGTGCATCCTCTGAGTATTGTTTAAGTTTGTTGTTTCTAATAGTCTATTTAGCATCTTATGAAATTCAATAAGGCTTTTAAATTTACAAAAATGCAAAAGGACTTAGGGTCAAAAAGCTGACAGCTGTGGTGAGACGGATTTTGCATATTTTATTTTGGTTTGGGATCGTGTTTCCTGTGTGGGTTGTGTGTTTCTCACTTCACCTTTTCCACCTGAGGCACTAAGGCTAAGTAGACTCACCAGTATCCATTCTGCAACCAAGACAGCTTTGAGACTGCTACAGTCACAAGCCTCAGCGCCGGAGTATTATCACCTTCACACTGTGGCACAACGGCCCTCTCAAGAACTCTAGTGATTCTAGTGAGACTTTTGGTGTTTTTGGATTCTTGTGTTTAACCCTCGCTCCTCTCTCCTCTTTTTCTACTGCCTCTCTCCGTGCCTAAGCCTCTCACCAGCTCACAACCCAGCACACTCTCATGGACTCTGGACCCTCTCCTCACCCACTTTACCTCTAAAATAAACCTGTTCAGTCTTTCCTCAGTCTGGTTTTGCATTTTGGGTACTAATGCTCCACATCATCCATCATAACAGCAAGGTACGACCAAGTCAAGACAGTAGCATCACGGGAGAAAGAAATCTGAAGCAGTAAACACACTGGGTGTTTAGGAAGGAGGTTTCAATGTGGTTGTTCTTGCTTTGTTGCATAAGCGCATTGTCTAGGAAAAGAAAGAAAGAAAAAAAAAAGAAAGAAAGAAAGAGGAAAAAGAAAAAAGAAAAGCAAAAAGACAAATAGAAAGAAAAGAAAAGTTAAAAGAAAGACAAATAAAAAAGTAAAAAGAAAGACAAATATAAAAGTAAAAAGAAAGACAAATAGAAATAAAAATAAAAATAGAAGAAAATAAGAATAGAAAAAAAATAATAAAAAAAAGAAAGAAAAATAGAAAATAACAATAGAAAGCGTGAAAAATAAAATGAAAAAAACAAAAAAAAAGGAAAGGAAAAAAGAAAGAAAAAGAAAAAACAATTAAAAGAAAGGAAAAAAGAAAGAAAAAGATAAAAAAGACACAAAAAATAGAAAGAAAGAAAAATAAAAATAGAAAGAAAAATGAAAAATAGAAAGAAAGAAAAGAGAAAAAGAAAGTAAAGAAAAATAAAGGGAAGAAAGAAACTCTAGATTGTGGTTTTTGAATGAGGAAAACTAAAGTCCCACATGAAGCACAGTGCTGGATTGGTGCAGCTGTGATTAATAACTCTCGGTGTAAAGCGGCATCTTGGGTCTTTCCGCCTGTAAACTTCTCTCTGTTTTCTCTGAGGGTTTCTGTTTCAGGTTGTTCATGTTCACCAGACAACTCAGTCATATGTTACCTGGAAACTTTGCAAATAAACTAACTCTTAGTACCAAAGATTACCGGAGGAGTTCAGCGGGTCCTGCTGTACATCTACCAAAATAATCCTGCAAAAAATAAAAGAAATCAGGAACTCCACTCAAAAGCAGAACTGCTTATCTGTTGCAGTTCCATCATACTCCATCTGACTCGAATCTTGTTGACACCTCAGGAAAAGGTCCATGATGTCAGACACTCGAGTTGATGTATTTAAAGTGACTACAGAGAGAGGAATCCAGGGGGCATGAACCAGATCACACGATCCAAGTGAAGGTCTAAATAAATATGTGTCAGAAGAAACAGATGACACTCCACAGCGCGTTTCTGACTCAGTGAAGTCAACCTTTGGGTGCTCTCGAGCGCTGATTTTTAATCAGGGATTACAATCAGCTTCAATGAAAGCTGTGTCATGAATGTCAATAACATTTTTATGCACATTTTATCTTTAAAACAGCAAATAAGCCTTTTAATGCAACTCAGTGTGTTCAAGGACTGCATGCCGACATTTTCTGTAATCCGTGCAGGTGCAAAAGCGAGGAAAAAAGTGTATCTGTCTGGTGCATTTAAGTCAGAAGTTGTTCCTCTCATCAGTCTCTCCTCCGCAGCATCGCTTAGTAACACACACACACACCAGCAGCAGCAGCGGCAGCAGCAGCAGTGGGGGTTGGCAGGGTAAACAAGCTCTCGAGAAAAAAATGCTAATTTCATTTTTGCTTGATGAAGCAGATTGTGGGAGTTTGAAAAGTTTCATTCACAGCCTCTGCAGGAAACACTTAATGCCTTCCTGATGGGAAATGAGTATATTAAGAGTAAAAGGTTGAGAGGGAGGGTCCTGAATTGTGTCATTTCTATGTCGCAAATTTCATCTTCAACAGCTCTGTTGCTTCGGATCATTTTCCAACGTGGAGTAATTATTTCCTCTGCTGAATCGATTACACAGCTTCTCCACAAATGAATAATATTGAGTCATACATGCAGGTTTAAAAAATATACACTACCTATACATACATTTATATACCTTTATAATATCATGACGCTCACTCTCTCTCTCTCTCAAACTCCAAAGGTGTAAATTTGCAGTTCCATCCTCCCTTGTCTCCAATCTGACCAAAGGTACGGCTCACAATCAGGATAAAAAGGTCAGAGAGATTCATTTGAAGCTTCTGAAGGTAAAAAGGAGACTCTTCGATTGAAAGGTACAGCCTTCAAGGCGAGGGTCAGCGGATTATTTTAAAAGTGCAACTTAAAAGACTCCGTTTCAAAATTTAATAGAATACCATTTCTGATTAGTCACGTAAATGCATTCAAGCGAGATAGTCATTATATTCGACTTGAAACTACGGATTTTAAAAACTTCTACCTAGGTTGTCAGTGCGCCCACAAAATATTTCCACCAGTTACAGAGAATCCGGGAGAGAAATACCTCACAAAGATCAGCCGTTTGTGTAACACCGGATTCTGATTGGTTGATCTCTCTAACAATGGTTGAGGGAGAAAAGACAGTAAAGGCATCAAATATAGGGCTGGGCGATAAACCCAAAATTTACCTACAATAACCAACGTCATTTTGCCTATGTCAGTATATTTGGTGTCAAAATAAATAAATAAATAATAGTTGGTTTTGGATGTGTGTAGGTAGGCTATGGTCTCATGTCCCTTTAAGACGCTGTTCTACATCAGAGACGTGACTCCACCCCATCCAGTCCGTAACAACGAGGGAAAGACAGGTGAGGAGATGGAGGACGGTTCAGAAGTAGGAGCGGCTGAAGTTGACGAAGTTAATGTGGGAGGGGGTGAGCAGCTTGTGGAGTGGTTATCGTCCATTTATCGTCATCTAGGTGAACTGCTCAATATATCGTGATATCAATTTGAGGCCATACCGCCCAGCCCTAATCAAACAAGTCACATCGAATCCATCTTTGAAACAGACCAGCACAATAATACACATTAAAACTTCATCTCTTCCTGTTAACACTGTGGAAAAGTATTAATTTCTTGTATTATGTTTAATTTATGAAACAATATTTTTCATGCAAATTGTGTCTCTTTGCTGCTCAGATGACACCTACCCCCCTTGCACCAGAGTCAGGCATTAATAATAACACTACAAACATGTTCTATCTTATGCTGATGGTGTTGTTTCCTTTTGTGCGTCATAAAGAGGCATCAGTATGAATTTTAGTCTACTTCCTTAAAAAAAAAAAAACGTAAAAAACGCCCACAGGAGCTTTAAGTTAATTGGTAATTTGACTTATAAGTAAGATGATAACATCACAGCTGCCATTAAAGCGCAACGAAAGACTGAGGGACTATTTTAGCTACATAATTCACATTTACATAAATGAAATAAGCTTCAAATCAACTTGTTTGTGCTGGACAAAAAACTAGATAATGTACTGTTAGCCAGTTTTTCATGGGAAATAAAATCCTTCCAGGGGTTTGTCCCGCAAAAAAAATGGGACTATTTGGTTAATCGTTGGTTTTTTTTTCTTCAGTTCGTTCGTCTAACTTTGTCTCCTCTCTTCAATGACAAAGATGATACTCATGTTACAAAAACGTCTGTACAGTGCTGCCCTAACAGATGGGAATCATGGCTCCGGCTGTAAAAATAAGACCCGTTTCATAAATCTGAAATGAAATCAAACTACAGCGGTAAAATGCTCTTCAGGCTGACTAAACGGACTCATTAATTATAAACTCCTCGGGTTGGTAGCAGCTGCTCTGGTATCAGATTCGCTGAGGACAGGCTTCTGGGTCCGTCTCAGAGCGGTGGCAGTCTGTTGAGTCATCCACGATCCAACCCCCTGAAACCGTTCACACTCTGCTGCCAATGACTTCTTCCACGTTTGAGTGAGCCAAACAGGCGAGAGGAAGGCAGATGTTTTCTGTCAAAGGCGACGACTAATTAAGCAGTCCGATCTGACGCTCCAAATGAACCCCCATCCCACCCCACTGCTGCTCTCTGTCTGTCGCTGGCGTCATTTGCTCACCGATGATTCACAGAGAAGGATATCTCCATCTTTGGCCTCTGATCTGACTCTCTCTTGGACCGTCACCATCTGTCACACAATCTAACATCAAAACACCCACTTCCTTTAACTTTCAAACTCCTTTTTTAGTAATGAATCATCTGGATTCAGGGATTTGTAGCAGTAAGAAAGCTGTATTTTTCTCTACCCACCTCTCTGACAGCTCTATTCAGCTTCTGTCAAGTTACACAGGTCTTACGCATATTTTAAACCCCACACATTTCGGCTCCTCCAGTACAAACTTGGTGTATTTGATTTTTAAAGATCAGAAAAGTTGGAGAGACTCTTTCCGGCTCTTTGGGTAAAGCAGAGCATGTTCCCATTACATGCATCGGAGAAGTCACCATTAAATCGTAGTCTTTGTGATCAGCCGCCATCATTTCATACACACAAAAGTTTAGAGCAACTTGTTCCTTCCTCTTCTCCATTTTGAACCCAGTGCGTGGAGCAGCTTCTTCCCAGCGAATGAGACACTGAGAGAATTAGACTCCATGAAAAAATAATCATTTGTCGTTTTGTCTCTCTGCTGTCGCTGCTCCACGCCGAGTATCCTTTAAGGTCTTTAAAAATGACATTTTGGTGTCTGGTATAGCGCACTAAATCACAAAGCTGCTGCTCATGTAGCAGAATAATTTACATTGGCAGTTTTCCCGGTGAGGCGCTGCTCTCCAAATGATAAAGCTCATGTTGTTATTCTCTCATTTCACAGTCTCACTGTTACATCTAGAATAAAGAGGCTTGATCCATTCCTGAGGCCGTCTATTAATTAGTTGATTCAGTAAGTTTTGATACTCTGGTTGTTTGTGACATTATTAAGTTGTCCAAATTAACTTCTAACTAAATCTAAAAGTTGTTTAATTACTGAAAATCTATTTCTACCTCGCCAGTGAAAGCCAAATGCGTCATCATGTCACGAACAGACTCGTTAAAAACTACGCTTTTTGCTTCTCACTTCAACCCTGACCTCGTTTGACTTATTTAATTGTCTTTCCGGTCTCTGTTAGGAACATCTTTTCTGCCTTTTTTGTTCTTTCTCATTGTCCCTTTCTTCTCACAGTTCAGTGGGGTCACATACGTCTGCTGAATGTCTATGGAAAATGTCCATTCTTTACTCGTGGTGCGACTGTGGACTCAAAACACTCTTCTGTTTTTTTCCTATTTCGCAGGCTGTAGTTCAATCTTACGGGATAGAAGCTTCAGTTTCAGGCGTACACATCCGCAGGTCTTAACACGCTCTTGAAGAAAGTGTCGCGGTTTTTGAGTTTAGCAATCAAAGTTGGGTGTAAGACCGGCACATCTTGTCAAGCTGTTGCTGCTTTGATCCGAAGTAAAAAAGGCACAAAAAGTGACTCTTACTGTAAAAAGTTCATGCATCTACAAGTCTGTTTTATATACACCACTTATCCCCTTCAGGGCTGTGGGGGGACTGGAGCACACACAAGCTGTCACAGGGCGAGAAGTGGACTGATCCCTGGACAGACCACCTGCCTATCAGGGTGACATATAGACTTTGTTTGGTGTGACACTCACAGCTCAATGAAGCTCATTTCACCAGTAAAGCAGGAACTTTGTGTTACCGTGGTTACATGTCTTGCAAATCATTAGCAGTTTTTATTAATAGGTATTTTGGATACTCACCTCTTCAGCAACGTTTTATATCTGTTTTATTATATTTGCAATAAATAATTTATAAAACTGTGTAAACTTTTTATATGTTAACTCAACTAAATTGGATCATTTGTATCAGTTTTGGCACTTCCTGTAGACAAAGCAGTCTTTGCTTAAAGGGATATTCCGGCGTAAAATTAGTTTAGGGTCAAACACACCATAACACCGAGTTAGACACCCCTGTCGAGAGATGAATGTTGCCGACCGCTTCCTTCTCTAGTTATACCAACTTTAGTCATGACCGCACGATAGCAATACACAGCGATCTGAGGAGCCATAAACAAACCTCAACCAAAATGCCACTCTATAGCCACAAATAATGCTCAGAACAGCACCTAACTTCATCAACAGTACGTATAGGGTCCCAGCCACAGCACTAGCTACCAAACATCTTTTTAACTTTGCCTAATTTCTTTAGCTAAGAGACTAAACACAACTTACCTACTCTCTTCCAGCAGCCGCTTGTTTGTAGCAACTCCATTACAGACTGCAGCGGGGAGACGCAGCTCAAGGAAGAACATTTATGATCATTTCTTTATCATTTCCTTGAAGTAATAATCTCCATATTCATCATTTTTCACTGCAGACACGGTAGTTCGTCTGCCTTAGCGTCTCGGTCTGATTGCATTTCCATGAAGAAATGACCGTAAATATTCTTCCTTGAGCTGCGTCACCCCCCTAAATTAATTTTAAGCCGGAATATCCCTTTGAGTAGTAAATTTAACCCCCCAAAAAAATCAAACTCCTGACTGTTGACAGCCAAATGTAACATTTGTGTAAATATTTCATGTGAAAAATAAAATGTGAAAACTGGACTGTTTCTTCAGCTGCTTAGCTGACACTAACCCCTTTATAAAAGTTTCAGGCAGCAATCTTAACGCTGAGGTCAGGTTTGCTTTTGGATATCATGATCATGAATTATAAGGTGACAACACTCCTCATAGGAGCTTTTGAAAAAATGGATGCTCTCTTACAAAATGCACTAAACAAGTTTCCTTTGGATGAATATGTCACATCAGCAATATTTATCTTTAAAAGGTGCAAAAATATCAATCAAGCTCTTACAGTTCAACACTGACCATTTGGGTGATGTTATGCTTATTTTCTAGCTGTCCTTTTTGACCTTAAGTAAGAGCGCTACGACAGCAAAACAGTTATTAGTTCCTCTCTTGAAGCATTTCACAGCAGCTATTTCACCAACAAATTCATCGAAATTACCTCTAAAGGCTGCACAGGTGACGAGTAAATTACTTAAATGTAAATATAAATTGGCTGTTCACTACGGTTGGTTATAAACGAAGTGTGAAGTGACTCATTCTCACTCTTTCTCAATGAAGCGAGCTGTTTAATTCTGATGACTTAGCGGAGAGGAACGCCAGCAGGAGCGCCGCAGCTTCTGTCATTGAATCGCATTACAGTTTTACCTCTGGCATTGTCACTCAGACTCACACACACAAACACGCATTAATTATTTCCTTCAACCCTGTGCTGTCTGTAGTCCTAAACAGACAGATGGAGACCCAGGAGGGTGAATTTCACTTGGAACTAACAATGTCCGTGAAAATATTCACATAATTAAACGGAGAGACTGATGGAGGAAAGATTTCCCTTAAAGGAACCTGAAATGAGCATGTTATCCCCTTGATGGCTCATTTTAAGTTTAATGCAACCCACCTAAACACACACTTCCACACACACTTCCACACATGAATCTCTCACAACAGCAACTTGAGGTGTCTACGAAGCCTAACAAGCCGCTCTTCCTCCCAGGTGCTCTTACTATTGTTATTAAAGCCTCAGGCATACTTCACTGTAATGTGTCACTGCCTCTTGAAGGCAACAGCACAAATAAGATGCTGGATCTCAACACAGCCTGGAGAAACCCGTTTGGGCTGGAGAAGAGAGGAGACAAATAAACACAAACACGCACAGTCAGTGAAGCTCTTAAAGTGGCTGGAATCTGTTTTTTTTATGGCAGTGTTTGGGCCGTGGATGATACTGGACTGATGCAGTTTGTCATAGATTATATAAAGTTCTGAAACTGGGTTTGTCTTTACTATGGTGCCAGTGTGAGTGTTTATAAGATAGAAGTTTTAGCAGCGAGTGTGAGCTGGGGTATCTGTGCCTGCAGGTGTGGAGTATAAACAGAAAAGGGATCATTTTTGTAAGTTTAACAAAGTCACCTTCAAGATGATTCAGTAATCGCATAAAAGGATTCATGACTGATGTGCATGAAAGTATAATTTAGTCTCTCCTTTAAAAAAAAACTCTGCTCTCGGTAAGTGTTTTTGTCTTGTAGCTGGTAAAAAGTCTAGAAATGAAGCTTATTCCAAGACTACACAGCAAAAATGAAACGCAATTATTTGTAATGGAGTATGATGTCTCTTTAAATAAGAGTTACATTTCTTGACATAAGAAAACATCTCCTTTAAGAACTTGACAAACATACTTTTCCTTATTTCTCAACTTGGGTCTCACTTTTTAATGTGTAATATCCTGAAATAAGTCATTTTCAGGACTTTTCCGGTGGATTGGGCTGAAATTAAGCCTAATCAATTTTTTCTTTGCTAAAAATAAGAAAAAACTTGTTTAGATTTAAGTGCATTTGCATTTTTACCCTTAAAGGGACATTCCTTGTAAAATTATTTTAAGGTCCAACACACCGTAACACCGAGTTAGACACCCCCTCAAGAGATGTTGCCGACCGCTTCTTTCTCTAGTTATACCAACTTTAGTAACGACCACAGGATAGCTAGTCCATTACGGACTACAGCGGGGTGACGCAGCTCAAGGAAGAACATTTATGATCATTACTTCATGGAAATGCAATCAGACCGAGTTGCTGAGGCAGAAGAACTACCGCGTCTGCAGTGCAAAATGATTAATATGGTGATTATTACTTCAAGGAAATGATAAAGAAATTATCATCCCCAAAAAAAGTTGTTACAACTAGAGAAGCAAGCAGTTGGCAACATTCATCTCTCGAGGAGCGTCTGAGTCAGAGTTACGGTGTGTTTGACCCTAAATTAATTTTACACCAGAATATCCCTTTAAGTGTCCAGCAAAATTGACTACACTCGAATACACTTTGAGATATACTGTATAACAAATATCTTCCAGATGTTACCTCTTCTGACTTTATTCCTTTTGCAGTTTATCATATCTTGTCCGAGCAGCTGAGGGCTTGTACTGGCACACTCTCTGCACCTTGTAATGCGCTACCCTGTCATGTAACTCTCCTGTCAATCTGCCCACAGCCATCCAGGTTTGGATTACATTCGAGATCTATGACAGTGGACCTCTACAGTGACATTACACACTGTGTGACAAAACTTGATCTCTAAAACTGAAAGATGTCTGCGGAGGCTGAAATTGATCGGGGGTCAACATAAGTTTGCTGTTACGACAGATATATGACAAGAACATAAAACCAACATGAAATTTGAACTTCATAGAGTCTGATTTAGTTTTTTTCACAGGTTGAAAATCAGGACCTAAACAGGTGAACAGTAATGTGAACCGCTCTAGCTGATAAATAACGAGTTGTAAAGATGCCGGCACATGGATTTAGTTGCTCTGTGATAAAGCCAGGCAGGATCTCTACCCTGATTTCAGTCTTACAGACATAAAAGTGGAATCAGTCTTTTCATGTAAACCCTTTTCAAGACAGCTGCAGGTGTTTCTCCCTTTTTTTCTTCGACGGAGCGAGTCTGGAGTAGGTTGTTTTTTTAAACACAGGCTTTAGAGAAATGTTGGTAATGAGGATCATTTCTTTTATATGTAGGTACATAATGGATCATATTACAGTTTCATGTCTTCAAAGCTCTTCCTGGCCATTAGGACACATTACAGTCAGGATAATAATGGCTGAAATTCTACATCAGAGGCATACAGCTCTCTGTGGAGACGGTTTGTGCACGAATGCCTCTGCCTATATGAGGGCGGTATGTTGTATTTTATATCATACAAACAAGACAGAGAAAGAGGCTATAAGGGACTGCCAAACCTAAATGGCTAGAGGAGATGGCAGAGATGAAATAGTGGGCTAAAAATGCAGACAAAATGACATTTATTTATATAATTCATTATGCCTATCTTGCCCGGTCTTCACTTCTCAGTCAGCCCTCCCAGACTGATAATAATAATCGCATAAATGAGATTTTTATCACAGGGATTAGGCTCTGGGGATTGTCATGTAAAACCACTTTGATTGCATTTATAATCGCCTTTTTGTCATGACATGTTCTGTTTATTTAGTTTCCTCCTGGTTTTGTTATTTAAGTGTATTTTGTGCTCTCAGTATTCCTGTTTTATTTTGTTATAGTTGAGTCCTTGTGTTTCTTCCCTCCCTTGTTAATCAGCCATGAGTTTCACCTGTGTCTCGTTTGCTGCACCTGTTGCTCGTTAGTCGATGCATGACTCCTTCGTCTCCTGGTGTTTTTTTTTCCCCAGTGTCTTTAGTCAGATTTTTTTCTCCTTGTGTTTCTGAAGTAAGTTTTTGTTGCTTTTTATTTCATTCCTTTTGTTATGCTTAACTTTATTTATTAATTTTTTCAAGTGTAAAACATGTTGATAAATAATGAAGGTCCTGACATACACCCCCCTCCCCACACCCATCCTCACACCCTTAGGAGGCAAATGAGAAGGTAAACAACAAAGGCTGTATAAGAGTACAGTTCACCAATATGTATAAATCTATAGAGTGATTGAAGAAATTAATATATAATTTAAGAGCCAGAGAATTAGGTAAACAGATAAAGGTGGAGAACTATGAATAATAAGGAACTGTAAAATACTAAGATTAAAAATAAGGGGAAAAAAACTAGAATAAATTAGACAAATAATTAAAAATTAAATACAAATTAAGTAATGCTAAGATTTCGGTTATCTGCTCAGTATTACCAGTATTATCACTTGAAATTGAAATTGAAATTGAAATTGAATGAGGTGACGAGCCAAAAGAGTTTTTACCTTTTTTTTTTTACAGGAAATAGGGAGCTTTTCTTTCTTTTTAATAAATCATTTTTTGTTCTGCATTTGGATACTTTTTTTCATTGTTCAACTTGTATTTAATAAAGACTTTAGAGGGTGACATCAGGGGGATGGGGGGATGCTGCGGAGTATTTGGTTTGACAGACATCTCAGCGGAGAGGGGCACCCCTCTGTGTAAAAATCTGATGTGATACAGAGACAGATTTAGTCATCACAGTTGCCTTTATAGTTATAAAAGATTAGCTGAGCGTCCTGAAACTTTTCCGCCCTGGGTGTCGCCTGTAAGGCTGCTTCTTCAGGTTTGGACCAGCAGACAAAACTCCCTAAACTTTGCTCTTCTTCTTAAAGTATGTGGATACACTTCAGATATGACTCATTATCGGAGTTAAGAGTGTTTCTATTGGCTGTATGACAAATGTGATGAAATTATCTGACCTTTACAGATAACAATCCAGCAGACCAAGTAAAGTCAGTAAATTCTGGCAACTTCTTGGCAACTGTCAGAAAAAAGCAAGAAGAATTATTGATACATATTTTGAGGATGATTGCAGCAGTTTTTCAGTTTCCTTCTATCCTAACAGGGCAAAGACCTGAAGAGGCCATTTTCATAGACTGCTCGCTGATGTATGCTTACACTTGAAGGAGGAAAGCTTACATAAGCCTTCCTCTTAATAGACAGATGCACTTACACCTTTTCAACATCTGACTTGATCTACATTCATGTTTGTCCATAATACGTCTATTTCACTCTCCTCTGACATCTGATAGCTTTCTAATCCACTCAAAGATGTCGGATATGGTTTCTCACATTAATCCTTCATCTGCAAACTCTGTGAAGTCCTCAACCGAGAGTCTCTGCTTTCCTTGAATCACCATGTGGCCAGTCCCCTCTGCTGTCTTGTCCCCACACACTCTGAAAATAGTCCTTTTTAAGCTGAGCTGGGCGCCTGGCAGACACAGCTGTAACCAAGTCTGTCAGAAATAACCAATAAGCCATGCCTCCACATTGCACTTGAGATCAGTGGACACTGTGCTTAAATACTAAAAGCGACTCAAGGCCTGACTACTGAAATGTTAATTTGCTCTTTTTTGTGTTGTATCATTGTATGGCACCTGTAAGCAGTAGCCTTGCATTGAACACTGTAATAGCAGAAGTATTTCATGTTTCATTCTGTGCTTTTTTAGCCGCTCAGTACCTTTACATGCACAGTTAGGTCAAGCTACAGTCAAAGCTCAATCTCTGTCCCAGTTTACATGCATGGACAAGAACTGAATCACTCGGTACATTTACATGACACTCGAGAAAACCGAATTATTGCCTTTCTCTGATTAAAACTAGACAACTGAAGTGCATGTAAACACCTTAGTCTGATTATAATCGGACTTTGAGAACTCCGATTGGAGTCGTCGAACTCTGATTAAGACAACCAGATAATGCAATCGGAATTCGATTTTTCACTTCCATGTAACAAGTGCAGTCGGAGTATGATCGGACAATGCATGTGCGAGTGCGCCGCGCCCCCATAACCCCACAACAAAAACACCAGAGAAGAGGAGTAGCATGAACCTCATCTGCAGAAAAAGTAGCCTGGACATCATGTACGACAAAAACTCGAAAATTCCCAGCAGCAGTTGTAGCGCTGCCGAAAAGACCCATATCGCCCCCTAGTTTTGGGGAGGAGGACACGTTCACATCCATAATTTGATTTTCTCAGCTGAATGTATACGTGGACGAGGAGAGAAGTCCGATTCGGCAAAAAAAAAAAAAAATTATGAGCTTAGTCTAATTAAGCTGTGCATGTAAACACACTGACTAACAGAGGCGCGTCCAACTTTCTGAATCCCTCTTGATTGTTGATGTGTTATGTATAAAAACAGCCAGAATAAACACTGTTGAGGTTTTGTTTACTACCTGTTTCCTAGCAACACATCTATACGGTTCAACCACTGACTGTAAAAGGAAACCAGATCGCATTAAAGTGTGAAAGTGTTGATATTTCACCCGCTAAACGAACCCCCTCGACTATTATGCGTATAAACGACCGTAATAAGCAGTGTACATACCAACCCCTCGATAGAAACTTAATAAGGCACACGCACGGACACCTTTGTTACTCATGTTAATTAAGAGTGAGTGAAAACAGCGTGTGTGTGTGTGTGTGTGTGTGTGTGTGTGTGTGTGCTCTTCTACACACTGTCCATATTTATCACACAATGTAAACAGACACACCTCTGCAAACCCTCCAACCAAACACACACAAACACATACACATACAGCACATCTCTTTCCGCCCCCACACACAAACACACTGTACATTGCGACAATTACGTGAAAGGTGCGTGTGTTTGTGTGCGTATGTGTGTGCCTTAAACATCTATCGTTGTCAAGTTGGGTCCCATCCATCAGCAGCTAATCATTACAGCAAGCACGGCTTTCAGTACAGATAGAGGTCTGCCCAGACTGGGTCTCTACGGTAACAGCATACAATTAACGTATGAAAAGGCTCACAACAATGGCCTGAGCTGTAGCAACACAGTGGTGTGTTATCTACAAAGACCAGAGAGCAGGTAGTAGGAAGCCAAACATGCTGCGATACACAAGTTTGTCAAGACTAATAAAGAGGAAAACAAGCTTTTTCTTCAGCGAGAGCTGTCGTGTTCACCTTCAATCTTTAGACTTTTCTCTACGTGTTATCTTAGCTGTTAACTGGCCTAATTAACAAGGTTAACCCCTCTGCTTAGACCTGTGACAGCATCCGCCACTAAGTGAAGTCTACTGATAAGAAAATTAAAAACAGCCACATATAGACCCAGTCGGAGTGGATGTTATAAACCGTCACACACACGCAGTTTCTTACAGGTCCGCAGACAGAACGTGTGTCAGAGCAGGTTTGCTCAGAGGGAACAGAGAGCTGGTGAGGCCACTGAGGTGAAGGGAAAGGCTACAGAGCTGTCAGGATAATTTAGAGGGGGAGAGAGAAAAAAGACACGAGTTTCCAGGCTACCTGTCAGCGCACGCTGCAAGCTATATATGTCCATGTATGTGTACTGTCACACTGTTGACACTGAGTTTTAGTTTCTTCTCCGGATGATGGAAACCGAGGAGTGTATTTTTTATTTAAGTTAGCCAGGTAGGGATTCATTTCTGAAATCTTATTGGCTTTTCAACTGTTGGGTTTTCTTGGTAAGAGTTGCTGTCATGGATTAGACTAAAAAATTCATCTTTTTTGGAATAAAGTCTGCGATTGAGGTGAACAGAATAGCTAGTTATCGCACGAAGGTAGGGTATTTCGGGCATAACGACTATTCAAAACTAGTGGGTGACACCACAGAGACTTCATCTATGTATGGTTAAATCTATAAATTAAAATTACATTGCATCCATCGAGTTTTAGCTCTCTGCAGTTTGCTCCTGTTTTGCATCTTTTGAGCTGTCGGCATCTCCAATCTGCAGTGCTGTGCACTCTCAACTACGTAGGGATCAAACTCGGTCCTTTAATTTTGAGGTACATTGATGAAGGCTGTATTTCACATTCCTTATCAGGCACTTTTTTGTCTCATTTGATGTACAAGTTACGTAAATCATTTATAAATCATTGTCTAATAACTAAAAACACTTGGTGACGGGGTGCAAGGGTAAAAACGATGGCAGGAAAAGAGTCTACTCAGTCAAACAATCGCCTAACTTGTATGAAGTGTTAATCCCATTTGGTTTGGTTTCTATTTTTCCACCCTAACAACTACCCTAAGGTTATACATGTTCCTATCCACCTACATGCACATCCCTACTCATCCATAAAATATCTAGCCTGAAGTTAAAACAGTCAATCAGAAATAACAGGCAAACTTTTCTGTCTTCAGGTTAACGCGGCATGCTGCTGGCTGTGCCTAAAGCACAGAACTAAACAGTGTGATGGATAGCAGCCGTGTTCACTTTATGGACCGATTCGAAATGTTTTGGGTGAGAGTGACTTTTGGAGAGCCGATGTTTGTCTCGACTCATGTCACAGCACCGCCTGCAGCTGCCAGAACCAAACCACTCATCTACTTTAATGCTGCAGTGGAGGACTTGTTAAGTGGCCCACGGTATGAGGGAGATCACAGAGCTGCTGCTGCTGTACGCACTTTATATTCCTACTTTTGTCTGACTACTGTTTTCAGAGTTTAACTCTTTAAATCACTGCACACTGCCACATTTTGGACTTTTATTCTTCAGTTTGTTTTTGTTTTGTTGCTGTTAGAATAAAAGATTTTAAAAACCAAGTTTGGAAATGTAGACAAACACACAGAAATGTTTGGATATATAATAACTCTTTAGGAACCTAAAGGACAAAATCTATGATTTATTGTTGTATAACCTCCATGCTGTGAGCTTTATGTGCCTACAGAGGCAGTAAAATGTTCATGTTGACGTGGGAGAGACACAAAAACCTCTCAGCTGAATCCTCTGCTCTCCTCTTTCTGCCCTAAAACCAAATGGAGGCATAAATCCTCTGACTTTTGTTGTTTTGTGCACTGAACAGGTTACACAGAGATGACCTAGAGGAGAGTAAAGAGGTGGTCTGGGGTCAAATTCCAACATCAGGGGGGGCTCATACGAGTTTCTCAGCTTTAATGAAGAAATTCCTCACATTTAGTTGAGAGTTCACAGGATAGATGCTTTTCTAAACATTTAAAATGCTCGTCCCGGTCAAATCTTCCACTGCCAAATTGCTCATTTTCTTCCTTTTTTGTAATCCCATCAGACAAGAGAGTCAAAGCCAGTCCTGCGACCATGCCAGCAGCATCGGCGAGCCAGCAAAGGTCACAGACGTTGCCATAAACAGCCGGGATCTGTCTTTTTCTGTGCACAGATTTTGTTTAGCCAAGAAAAGACAAAAGAGTGAGAGACACAAAGAAGTGACTCAAGCGCCTGTATGGTATTAACAATAAGTCACTGCAGTCAGTAATAGCACTGGGGTTCTTGCAAAAAGCAGCATTACTTTGGAGAAATGGAAAAGAGAAAGGGGTGAAGACAAAGGGGAAAATATCAGGTTGTTCGAGTTTGTAATCTTACTGAGCACTGTGAGATTAACTGAGTCAGAGGTAGACTATAAATTTACATGTTTACCCTTCATGCAACAAGGCGGGACTCATTTGCATAATGCATTACGACTCAAGAAGGTGGCTGTCATACAACATGCAATATGTCCACCCTCCTCTCTTACCGTGTTTGTCTCTTAATGCGACCAAATTTAAAATTCAACAAGCATGTAATTTACAGTTTTAGTATTCACAGTGAATCTGTCTCTACCCAGCACTTTGGACATCATTAACCTAATCATTTTCCTCTCCCACCTGCCTACAAAGGTCAAGATAAAAAATTCATCAGATGTTTATATTAAACCTGCAATTTGTTCACTCAAAGCTCCCAGTTACAGGCCGGGCGAATAATTGATTTAATTATTCGGAGCTGCTAACTGGCAGGAGGCTAATTTAACGCATTGAGACAAATTGGATTATTGATGGTCGATCTTGCTCAGTAACTCTAGAGTGGTTTTTCTCATTAACTGGATTTCTCTATTTGTGAAATCATGAAGATTTTTCTTGACCTATACTTGTCCAAGCATTGCTTACAAACTCAAATCACAGTGGTTAAACGCCAGAATTAGACGAACGATTTTTTTTACTCTCACTTCGCTGATGACTGGGTAATTTCTTATCTAAAGGTACAGGTTTTAATGAGTTTAAAGGGATATTTTGGTATTTTAAAATAGGATTGTGTGACTAACATGCATGGACGAAGTTTTGATTTCAAAGGTGGGGGGTACACATGTGATTCGAGAACTGTTGAGATATATAGCCTAGCAAACAGAATATCTCACACACACAGTAACAGGAGAGGCAATACGGCCAGCAGGTGAATGGAAGTACAAACCTGATACAGGGATGTACAGAGAGGGAAAGTGAACGCCGCCCTCCTGTAAACTTACATCGGCGAATAGCGATTTTCACTGACTGACTCTTATGAGTAACTTGCAGAACACTCGTCCAGCAGGCATGGGATACTGACAGCAGGGATAGCCAATCACACACAAAAAGTGGCCCTGCGGCAGAGCCAATCAAGGACCTTGTGGGCGGTCCAAACTGAGGGAAACTAGTTTTCGGCTTAAGCAGCCGTTTGGTCCTAGTGCCTGACGTGTATCGGTTTGCTATAGCGTAAAGTAACATTGTTTTCAGGTGGTTAAAACTGCAGGGGACCAAAACAGGCTTTTGAAAAATTACGTCTGTGCTTACATGTCATAATGTGTGTGCAAGCCATGGCGAATAATTGGTCATATGAAGAACAGCCAGGAGGACCTGCACACAAGCTAGGCTACAGTTTTCCGCATATAAACAGAGTTAAACAGTGTGCTTTGTGGCTCACACACCTAACCCACTCATGACATGTACCTAATGTACATCAAAAACATTGAACTGTCCCTTTAAATGCACCACTTTTATTTAAGACAACCCGACAGTGACTCATACTTTTTGAGGTGCGATTATCAAATCAGGAGGACGTTAAAAAAATGCTTTTGTAACCAAGGTCGATCGAGTCTGACTACGAGACAAACATAGTTTTCTGCAGTTTAAAAGCGTCCTTTCGACTGAGCATGGCATTGGAAAACAAGTTGCTTGCACAGAAACTGCATATACTGAAAGATAAAAGGCCTTGAATCCCACTTTCTGTTTGCAGACATTTCTCAAAGAAAATCCCCACAAACTTTGGTGCATCCAGTTAAAAGCAAAATAAGCTTATTATTTCAGCAGGTCCACCGTCTGAACCCTTGCCTTTCGCTTTGGAGCTTTCATGAAGTCTTTTAAAGTAGGTTATATGTTTTTAAAGTCTGGCTGTATTTATCCTAAATATTTATTCCTTTTTTCTTTTATCATGTTCGCTGACCACAGAAGTTTCCTTTTGAAAGTTTTTTTCATTTTAAAAAGGAACAAAACCGGTAAATTTGTGAGTCGCTGCTGTGAGGCTTCAAAAAGTCTGAGAGAAATTCTCTTTCTTGTGTTACAATCACCCCACTGTGTTTCAATCTCATAGAGGGAATTTTATACTAAAGAGACTTTGAATTTGCAAAATTTCAAGCTGATTCAATTGTCTCTGACTGCTCTTGCCTCACATACGAACAGAGGGAATGATTTGACAACTGTGACCAGTCTTTTTCTTCAAGACAGATTCAGATAGTTTATTAGCCTTTGCTCGCACTGATAGTAATGTAAAAATGCACCTGTGGAGTTATCTGCAAGGGTTTAACTGCTGCACTGTTTGTGTAGTCTGAGTTTATTTGCCTCAAACAGCAGACGACCACCTGGACAGGCGTTAGCTGCAAGCTCGGAAGCAACATATGCACTGAGTGTGTGTGAGTGTGAATGTGTGGGAGGTTGGCACCTCAGACTCTGACTGATCTTACAGCCTAGTGACAGTCCTTTTCTTTACATCATTTTCCTGCAGTCGTTCTGTTTTCAGTCCATAAAGCTTCAGAGGTAGAGCCCTAAAACGTTGGTATAAGTATACTTCTTCATGAGTCCTCACGACGGTGGACTCAGACCTGACTTTAAAGTAAACCTGTAGAGGATTTCTGCATGATTTGTAGCTCAAAAAACTCTGTATAAAGGGCTTCACAAAAACCCTCATTTCAACCTCTACCTGAATCGCTTCTTTTTTACTGCTTTTTGAGTGATGTGACGTTAGAAACAGCTTGTGGGTGTTACTTTTCATGTTTTGAGAGTTCGCTCTTTGATAAACTTGTCAAGCCAGACATCAGATCAGAAAGACAACATCAGAAGATGGTGTACTCTCCCGTGTGCCAAGCTCTCAGACAAATAAAAATGCAGTGAAAGTATGAATTAGCCATATTTGGAAGCAAAACTCTTGCCAGGGCTAGTTGAGAGGTCACCCAACTCCAATTCTCCTGTAGTCTCAAGCCACCAATTACAAAAAGAGCTCCAGACAACCCTTTCCACTAAAAAGGAAACCATACAGCGATATTACTCTGTTGTTGCTGCTGCCAAGCCCCAGCTGCACAGACCAAATCAGTGTATTAAGATTCACTCATAACAGGGACAGACAATGAGAACACAGCATCTATTAATAACAAGAGTCTACCAAGTTAACACACAGGTCTCTGATCAAATTGCCTGTTTTCAGACCAGATGGAAGAAGACAGTCTTTGTTCGTGCTTACATGTGACTTTATTTTTACCACATTTGCCACACAGAGTAGTAATGTATGAGTGCATCATGCTGTCGGCACTTGAATGTTAACAGCTCTTTTTTAAAAGTGAGCTGCATTGTGTTTACATTTTATGACCGGTTTAAATTTTCATTACACAAGTTTCCTTTGGGTTTTTATGTTTGTGGGTTAATGGGAGGAGCAAGGCAGAAACATTACCAAGACTGGGAGCCTGAGTCCAATCCAATGGGATTCCATGATTTTAATAATGTATGAAGTTAAATGGTAGTATAATGCACCTGAGTAAAAGCTTTCACCATTTAGCGTATGGTTCCATGATTTCAGTCAACATCCTGCTCACTGAGCTGAGAGAAGCATAAAGGAGGATATGAACTTCTTAAGTATTTCAAGGTTCTGGACATTGGTCATTTAATTCGACAACAAGATTTATTTTTGGAGGTCAAACCATACGACACGACAACAAGTTCTCACTCTGACTCATCATTTCTACCATCCAGAATACTGACATCAGAAATAAACCTGTACGGCATTTAAATAAGGTCTAAGACATACCAGAAAAATAACTGAATATTTGGAGTCAATGAAAGTGATCACTCAGATACTTTTTTTTTTTACATTCCACATTGTTTGGTGGGACTGTTACCATTACAGGTTTCGTAATAAATTGATACTATTTAAAAAAGTCCCCACAAAAAAGTTCCCAGCTCCTGAGAAATTTCTAACTATAAAGTTTGGCGCCCCCTCTGGACAAAGTGATACCTATCTACCTCTTCCCTAATCATGTTCTACGCATGTGTAAGTGGCGTTTTCTGACAAAAATCTCAACCTCTCCAGTCATTAAAAACAAATACTAAAAATACTTAGGGGTGTCCCGATACAACTTTTTTACTCCTAATACCGAAACCGTCGTATTGGTATTGTATCAGAGTACCAATATTGTATCAGAGTACCAATATTGGAGATTTTAGATGCAGATATAATCCAATATTGTTTTTGTTTTTTTGCTGATATCGGACCAATATCTAATATCAATATCATATCGGGGCATGCCTAAAAAAAATACTCAAACTTCTCCCTGATGGTCTTGTTTGGTCACAAAGAGGCGTTAGTATTAATTTAAATCAGTAGCCTGTTACAGAACACAGTTAAAACTTTGACTGTATGTACCACAACTACTTTGAGAAGAAGACGGTGACTATCAGAGTTGACTATTTTTGTTTGTTTGTTTGTTTGTTTGTATGTTTTATCCCAAAACACTCAAAGGAACTGCATTTCGCCTCCTCCTTATCTTTAGCTCTAGTAACCAATTCTCTTGACCCTTAACCCCTGTTGTCTGGCAATTCAGTATCAGATTATTCAAACTTGATATACTCACCTGTACGTGTTCAAACTTGGACACAGATATCTGTACTAGGGGGTTCAGGACCACTGACTTTTGCTAGCTGACAAGAAGTTGGTGGGTCAACTCATCGGAAAGAAACAGAACAAATAATACCAGTACATATCGCTGAGATTTCATATTATTAAAATCACATTTCATCGCTATAAAAAGGAAGAATAACAGAAACAAAACAAGCCTTCTACTTTACATCTTTGTCTTAACGTTTGTCTTAACATAAAGTTGAAGTTAAACACTTGAAATTTAAGCCAAATCCAGCTGAATGTATACAGTTACACAACCACATCTCAGCATAATGATATTTGACATCAGCTGAGCGTTGGGTGTCTCGCTCAGGGGAGCAGCTTTGACGTGAGAGAGCACGCCTGATCTACACAACACATCTCATGGCTGGGTTCACACGCATATATAGGTTGCGTGTGAGTGTGTGTGCTATACTGTCTTTGTGTTTCACATTTGACACCGTCTCCCTTTGTCTGAGAGTGGGTGCCAAGTGTGACAGCGTATGAAAATGCCTGTGTGGGGGTGTGTTTAAGCTGCGTGTTATGGTGCTCACTGCTCCCAACACTGAGGTGCTGAAATAGGTGTTGGCTCCATGACGTCTGGATAATTGCTAATGGCTATTTCCCCTTATACAGGACACACACACACTCACACTCATAAACACAATAATACACACGAACTTCCACACATGCTTCGCTAACTAGCAGTGCCTCCACGCTGCTCATTAGCTGCTGAGGCGTGACAGTGAAAACTGGGTTACAGCTTTTGCAAGTGCGCTCACATTTAACACACAAGCATAAACAGAAACACACACACACACACGAATCTGCAGGCACACACCAGTCGTGACCAGCTATAAACAGGTTAATACAGATAGAAAAGCAAGAGAGTGGAGCGCTTTGAAAACAATGAAGGAGAGCTGGGGGCGCATTCACCTCTTTTTTTATTGCTAATTAGAAATATGAGAAAAGGTGTGACAAAGAGAGCGAGATGAAAGCAGGACAGAAAAGGGGAACTGTCCCCCTTCATAACATAAAGTGATTTAAATTTAGCCACAGCTCATATTTCCACAAGATCAATTTGACAGAGAGAGGTGGAAGGAGAGGATAAGGGCTTTTATTCATCTTGTAATTTCCATATGAGTTTAATATTTTCCAGAACGGTAAAAGCTCTGTGATGGGGAAACTGCGCCGCTGTTACCTGAGGTCAAAGTGATATATGAAGCAGAGCCGTCACGGACATACGAGCTGTTAAATCCAGTGATCGGTGTGGAACGAAGAGCTATTTGTCCAGATTTACCAACGGCTACAGTGTGGAGATTAAGCTCCTCTCATGAAGTGAGGAGTGACGCGGTGAGTTATGAAAAAAGGGGCGCAGATCTGTCATGGTTTGAACCCGGACAGTGGAAATGTGCTAAATTTAACATGATTTACCTCTTCAAAATGCATCGACTAACCAGATAGAGCAATAAAAACACCATTAAAGTATTAAAGCAACATTTTTTTTAACACTGGGTGGGATTTCAAGGCCTAACCTAGGGCTCACAGTCGCATGCAACTACATGTTCAGATTTGAAAGTCAACACTTTCATTTGCTTCAATTTGGGATTTTCTGCACTGCCTGGCTCACAGTAAATTGGTAAGTTATGCATCACGAGCGACGTGAAGAGGGAAAATTCAATAAAACGCTGACGAAGCTCAGCTCAGCTTTGACTCAAGCTGTTACACATCTTTTTTTTGGGAGACATAAATAGAAAGCCTGCGTTATGTTATTATATTTGACTCATGAGGAAAGATTACCGCTAATAAAACATTTACTTTAGCGCCGCAGGGTATAATGATTTCACAGCAAACTCCTACTTTAATAAAACAACATTATTCTTACTTAAAACAGATCAAACTGAAGCGAGAACAAACGGGTCTGAAGTGCTATTTCTACTGCATACACCAACTGCTTATTATTATCATAGATATGCTTAGCTTTTGATCTTTTAATTAATTTTTAAACATATTCAACTTTGCATTTCAATTCTTATAACTTGTCTTAACCTATTTATGCCACACATAAAGCTGCAGTGTCTCACTCTTAAAGTTTTTCTTGCATTTGCAGCCAAATTTCCACAGAAAATACACTGCCAAACAGGTAATATAAGGATATGCATATAGAGATAAAATAAAGTATATGAAAATAAACCTACATCCATACATATATGCACGCACACACTCATTTATGCATGCCTACATCCACAAAACCAATATATATCATCACGGTACAGCAGCATCCTTGTGTGTTTGAGAACTATAATATAAAGCCTTTAGGCCTCTTCTTCTTCTTCTGTAATTATAACTTTGCATTAAAATCCAAGCAATTGGATAGATATTAGATTAGCGCAGCAATAAAGTAACTACCTCACAAACAATATCAAACAATAACTGACAGCCTTTATTATCCTCCAGGCAAAACAACGTCTCAAAACAGGTGGAACCATAATTACTGTGTATATTGACATAATAGGAGAAAAGTGTTTTTTGCTCTGTCAGCAGCACTGCCACCAGACATCGACTCGAAAGTTGAAGTAAAAGTGATCTCAACTTTAAACTGTTTACTGACAAAATATGACGCAGTTATTGGCCAGAATAAGACATGATATCATGGTGATATTGACATCCAAATCGACATAAATATCACCATTTATTTATTAAATTATGTCATGTCATATTGTGTAAGTTTAGCTTAAGGATCAGATGCATCACCCCAGTAATTCTTATCTATTACATTATAAGCCTGAATTTCCTGGTCATATGTTGAGTCAAAGCTGTAGTGAAGCCCTCCCTCCATTAGTTAGGACTGTAGTTCTGGTTAAAGGTAACTACAATGCAGTGGCGATTGCTCTAAGACTGCAAGGGAAGCTCAGCTTCCCTTAAAATGTCACCCCCAAAAAAAAGAAAAAGTGGTGAAATACGTACTGCTGTGTGTACATTTCATTAACTAAATACGCACTAGAAAGCCTTCATCTTTTGTTCAGAATCAGCTTCTTATCACAGTGTGATAAGAAGCTGATTCTGCACAACTTCGTTCTCATTCATCCTTGCAGCGCCTCAGCGCTTTAAACAGCCGGACGCTCGGCTTCTGCTGACTTCAATGTGGAAGCTCAAAGTGGGTTGTTCCAGCAGCGAAACTAGACGCTCATTGGATAAATGCTGGGCTTTGTCCCGCCCATCGGACGCTGAGCTTCACTGGAGTTCTATGGCGAGAGGGCGGTCCCAACTTTCTCCCGGACTCCGAGCTTCTGCATCCATGATTGGATGAGCTGTCTGAGGCGAAATCCTCTTTTGATTGACAGCTAAACAAGCGAATCAGCGATCTTGAAGAATAAAACATCTACCAGAGCATTTTCCAAGTTACTCATTCCGTTGTTCTTAACTGCTCCAGAGACTTTACCGATCCTCAGCGACTTCTGTCTTTATTAAAAACGACTGCCGTTGTGTTTGGCGACTCTGTTCTGTTACATACAAATAAACAAATACAATTATGATGTAGGCCAGAAAAATGAGCTTCCCCTCCTTGAAAGACCATCAGCTGCCACTGCTACAATGAGACTTTAACGCTCTACTACCTGGATGCAAACAAGCACAGATGACTGATCTTGAGCATCTTGTTGTGTGGTGTCGTTTTGTATTTTGGTCTAAAAGTGGAAACTACCACTTAACCAGAGCAATGTGAAACCAGCACAGGTGTGTGGACATTTACCTGTGAGGAGGACTGGAGGCTGGGGGTGCTAGCTCTGCTACTGGCAGCCACCAATTTGTTATCCCATATGTGGGCATAAAGGGAATAATAAGCTGTTTTTTGTTTGTTTTTGAGCATCTGTAGAGCCATTAAAAAGGTGCCACTCACTTTTCTTGTAGCTAATTACAGTTTTATGACTAATGACTGCTTTCAGGAAACGTAATATATATCTCTACCAACAGAGACCTGAGGTGTTTCCTTTACTTTTCAGAAAATTTCCATTTCAGACATCTTTCTCGAATTCTCTCTCAGCTACTTTCCTGCAGAAAAGATCAAATTTTCCTGCGTCTGTGTTCCCAGCAGGCAGCGACCTCAAACTGCTGATTCTGCAGCTGATCCAGAATCAGCTTCACTGCACTGTAGCCCAGAAGCCAAAAAACGACTCCAGCTCCAGCAGCCGAGTGGTCAGCAGCAGCAGCATAAGACTGTAGTTAAAAGAGACAGCTCTCGTCTACAGGATGTACGTGTCTCCATGCCTCAGCCGTTCCTCCCCCGGGTCATTTCTATAAATATCAATGTGTTACTATTTGATCAGTCTGGTTGGATGAATGTTTGTAGAAATCCCTTTCAGGCTTCCACAGTGTGACTCTGTGTCACGAGCTCGTGGCGTTGCGGGCTTTGAAGCCTGCACACGACCCCTCTGACGTGACGTCGTGGGTTATTTTGAAGCAGGGATGACACAAAAAAGAAAATCTTTATATCTTTAAAAAAAAGAAAAAAAAATCCAGACTGATGCGCTGGTTAAGTGACCCATCCTGACACGCTCACTATGCTGCTGTTATGTAAGGTTAAATGTAATGTATGAGAACACGGGCCAGGATAAATGAGCTGTAAAATCTGCTCTCTTTCTTCTTCATGAGAGATGATTAACCAGTTTCTGATGGAAAAGAGAAGATGTGCTCAGTGTTTCTGTTGTAAAATGGAAAATATACAAATTTTGTCATTATAAGGCACACTTAAAATCCTTTTGACTTGTCGGAGCACTGCAGCTCACGGAGTTATTGAATGAGTTAAATAAAGTTTGACTTATCTGACTGTTTTGTTTAAGTTAATATGGTTTATAATCCGGTGTGCCTTATGTATGAAAATAGACGCGAATAGACGCGTTCATTGATGGTGGGCCTTATAGTGTGAAAAATACGGTAATATCAAGGACAAAGTACTTAAAGTACACATTTGGCATTGCTATAGGCTATTCACATTCACTGAACAGAAATATAAACACAACACTTTTGTTTTTGCTCCAATTTTTCATGAGCTGAACTCAAAGATCGAAGACCTTTTCTACGCACACCAAAGACTTATTTCTCTCAAATATTGTTGTCTAAATCTGCGTTAGAGAGCTCTTCTCCTCTGCTGAGATAATCCATCAACCTCACAGCCTCACAGGTGTGGCATATCAAGACGCTGATTAGACAGCCTGATTATTGCACAGGTGTGCCTTAGACTGACCACAATAAAGAGCCACTCTAAGGCTGCGTTCACACTGCAGGTCAATTCCAATTTTTTAACCATATGTGACACATATCTGATTTTTTCATGTAAGTGTGAACAGTGCAAATCTGATTTTTCAAATCCAACCCAGGCCTCTTTTGCATGCGGATATAAATCGGATTTGTATCCAATGTGACTGCAGTGTGGACACTCAAGTCGCGTTCATCCAACCTATACGTCATCAATATGTGACAAACGTCACCATTGTTCAACAATACAAACAGGTGCAAAGAGCAATTTGGACGGACTCATTCTGTTCACATTAGATGCCACATTCGTTGTTGTAATGTGAACGACCGAACAAAAAGATTTTAGATTCAGATTTAACAAAAAATGAGAATTGTGCATCATAACCTGCAGTGTGAACGCAGCCTAAGATGTGCAGTTTATTGTATTGGGGAGTCCAGGTTTAGAGAGAGAAATAGGTCTTTTGTTTACATATAAAAAGTTTTCGATCTTTGAGTTTAGCTCTAGTTGTCTTTGCAGTGATCTAGTTGAAGGTGATATTCTGCCTGAGAGCGTTCTGATGAAGGAGGTTGCAGAGATGGAAAACCATGGAAACAAACATGGCGAGTGCTCCAGGAGAACCAACACCACAATAAACATATGATCTAGAATCTGACCCTAAATGGCAGAGGGCAGCAGTAAGTGTTATCTCTACGAGACGTTGTGCGTAGGGTGACCATACTCAGACTCGGACTTGCGTAGTCGTGTCCTCTTTTTAGGAAGTCAGAAGATGGTCACCTTAATTGTTTGTGGTTTGGCTATGATGTTGAAGCAGTCCAGGGAGAAGTGATGGAAAATTTCAGATTTTATCCGGCTTAAATCGCACTAAATCAAACTTCTCATCTTCAAATAATTGCATTTCCAAGCTTGCTCTCGGACCCACTTATCCTCCAAACAGGTTATCAAATAGAATATTTGGAGCGAACCTTGAATCTACTCTTGAATTAGTGAGCACATCACGATCTTGTTTGGCGCCGTTCTTCTCGAAACCAAAAGCAGACACAAAAGGCTGAATACTAACACCCTTCAGTCAGAGCGTGAGCAGAACCTCGGGTCATTATTTGGATTTTTCTGTTTCTTCGGCTCGGCTCACAGAGAACATCTCACAAAAGCATGCCACGGTGTTGTTATTTGTCACCTTTGTAATATTTTTTTATCAACTCCTTCAGTCGAGAAATGAAAAAACGAGAATCTCTTGGGAGGGGAAGTGTGCACAGGGACTTATATTACATTACACATGAAAAACGGCTCCATCAAAGGGGGGCATGGCTACTTTTGTTAGCTTCCTTTTCCTCCTGTCATCCCTCATTCCCCATTTATCTAATTAGCTGAAGTCCAGTGGGCGGGGCTGTCACTCAGTCAGTCGGTCACGCATACGCATAAATGCACGAGACACAATGCGGAGACACACACCTTCGCAAACAAACATATATCAACTCTATTAAAACTTTGACTTTCCGGCCCCACCTCCTCCATTTATCTCCCTCTGTCTTGTTAGACCGCTTCTTACTTTCCCTGTCGTCCTCTCTTTCTCTCTCTCTCTCTCTCTCTGCTGATTTATGGGCGTTCTTAAAAACGCTCCCCAGAGTCCTTCACACCAGAAACGCATGAAATACGGCGAGAGCTCAGTGCTTGTGTTAAATCCATGCATGTGCTCCCTAGATGGAATAAAAAGAGCTCATCAAAGACTAAAGAGCTGAGAAAAATTAATACTACTGTCCCCGGGGAGAACATCACAGATCTCTGCAGTGTCTCTGTGAGCGGTAGGGGGTCAAAACAAGATCCATGCCTGCTGGGTTACGGGACGTCAGCCAACGGAATACAACGAACGGGCGAAGTAGTCAAGAAACATGAAGTGTTTTGTCATTAAGAGGTCTGTATCTTGTTTTCTGTTCTCGACTTTCTCCAATTTTGGGAACACAATGACCCTGGTTTAAAAAAATAAATAAATAAAAATGTTGTTTTCTTGGCAGGATGAAAAAAAAAAAGAAAAAAAGGTCATAGGCTGAAATCTGTTTTTTACGCTTGAAGGCTAAACACCTTCATTCTTCAGACACAACCACTGCGAGAAATGGTGCTCATACAGACTGACTCTGAGTCAACAAATGATCAGATTACTCAGAGAAATATTAAAGCTATTTCTCAGAAACTTTTATTAGCTTCAGTGAAAGATCTCTTCTCGTAAAGTCTGCTAACCAAGTTAAAAAAGAAACAGTAGCTTTGAAAGTCCAGATGTTTACCCTGAGATAAGAACCAATAAGTAGAAAAAAAAGAGGGTTGGGTTTGGTTTTAGAGCCGACAGATGGACACAAACAGATGACTTGTGGATATTAATTCAACACCGTCAGTATGTTTACTATCACAGTTAAGTGGGGCTACAGCTATTTGGTATACAAGAGCTTTATCTTCTCTTCTTCTGATGAATTTGAACACTCTTGAACATCTAAAAAATCTTTTTTTATGGAGAAATCTGTTTATGAAGATCAATTCAAGTTAAATTGTTGTCGCATGACCGCTGATGATATCCGAGGTTGTATTTCAGACCCTTTCCTCTCCACGCAAATATGTTTTCTCCTTCTCCCGTCACCCCCAAAGCTTGCTGAAACACTTGCGTAAGAAACCACTTTGAATACAGACTGAAACCGTTATGGTGAATATCTCCATTTTTAAGAAGCACTTGACGTGGAGATCGAATCCTCCTGGGTTTGATTCCCAACATTTTTAATATTTTGTGAGTACAAACACTGGAGAAGAGTTTTTTTAACTTAAAACAGCCTGTTGCACTGTCGATGTAAAAAGGCACAAGGCGAACTGAAACAAAGAAATCTTCTTATCTAGCTAACTCACACTGCTGATGATTAGATCTCGCCATGGATCACTTCTTGGTGAGTATGAACAGTGAACGAATTATGCAGATTTGAAACTGTTCAGAAATGTCCTCTGTATGAGCTTGACTATCTTTAACTACATTATTTCTAAGTGGAGCCATTCAACCAAATTTAATTAACTTGAAAACTTAGTTTTAGATTCAGAGGACAAACTGATTTAAAACTTGTTGGAGAGAAAAAGTTATTAAACCAAAATAATGAGCCGCAAATTTTATCGTAGATTATCTAAAGAGCAAACTCAAGTCGGCGTCCACAGCGATTATTAACTTACAAGGTCCTCACTCATTGAAGTCACTCATGTGTTTACCCCTGAGAAGTTTCTCTTGTTTTTACTTTTGTCATTTTACTGTAGTTGAGTGAATTCAAACGTAATCTTTAGCTGTCAGATGAAAGACGATCATGTCCGGGAAAGACGATTAAAGCGACTCTTCCTGCCAATTTCCTCCGCCGAGTGAGGACACTTCATCCGTCATCCATCCTCCACTTTTGGGTCAACGTATAACCGGAGGAAATTAAAAATTGTTTCTGTCATGCCGCAAATGATCCGACTGATGCCACGTGGCAGAGGTTATTAATCAGATCTAGGCTCTATCGGTCAAGGTGTGCTACTAGGAGTTAAAAATGAGCATAAGAGCGACGGAATAAAGTGATAAATGAGTCGCTGGAGAGGGGATAATTTATTTTAGAGGTCTTGGGAAATAGAGGCGTGATTTCACAGAGCAAGTCTTAAAAACCTGCTGTCTGTGAACGTAATGAAAAAGTCAAGAGGCGACCTGGTGCTGCTGTGGTGAGTAATAACTTTCTCTTTGTGTAAATACAGAACACCTACACGGAGGCTTTGAAAATGGAAACAAAGGGCAAAGAGCAGAGGAAGCTCGCCTGAACACCTTTGTCTAAGAGCGTCACAGTATCTCTGCGTGGACAGAGGACTTTTTTTTTTCACTCCTGCTCTGCTCGGTCGAACGCTCAGTTCGGGGTAAGGGGATGAGATTCACATTACAGTTCAGTGGAGGGTAAAGTATTTGGTGGTCAGAATCGGTGTTAAGAGGTTAGGAAACGAACCCGAGTAAACTGGATGTCTTTATAAGTCTAAGATTACAAGAAGAGAGCGAGTATCTAAAGGAGAGGAAGGAGTGAAAGGGAGGCAGATACGAGTGGAGCTGTATCCTGACTTCATGCATCATGGGATTGTACGTCTGAATGAATTTATTATTTTTTCAAACCGTTTTTTCTTTGCACTTATAGACAGGTTTTCTGTGTACAAACAATGAAGATGTCGTATTGTTTGCAAGTTCTCCCTGAAAAAATTGCAATAAAATGGCATTTCATTAAAAAATCGCTTGCTGAAATATCCATGAATTTCACTCAATTTACCAGGTGTTGACATTGTTTTAGATGTTTCTAATATCAGGAGCAGGGTCGTAATGTTTGCCGATTGTTTGTTTTGCTGATTCGTGTAGTTTACAGCACAACAGCTCCTTGTCATTTTCTTTCTCCATTGACTACACAAGTAAACAAATTAGAAATGTCCCGCTTTAGTTGATAGTCGGAGTAGTTAAAAACGCTTTTCTGGTCCCAGTTTAATTGGTTGGTCTTCCCGTCGGCATGAAGAACAGTAGCCTATTTATAACTTGACAAAAAATTTTAAAAATCGGCCAATCAATCAGTAATCGGAAAACCCGAGAAATCGGCATCGGCCCCAAAAAATCCATATCGGTCAAGCCCTAATAGAAATGCCTGGAAACCCTTGATAGATCACCAAAAGGGTAAGCTTTTGAACACTTTTCATCCCATAGAGATGGAGAACTTTCTGGAGAAACTGTAAACAATATCAATGGTGTCACATGGGATCGCTGGCGATTCAGTGGAGTTCTAAGTGTTAACAAGGCTAATATCGAGCCTGATGCCTTCACTCACGGGACAAGGTTTACAGGTCATTCATTCAACAGTAGTATTGGATCGGTATCGGGTATTGGCTGATACTCTCAGCCCAGGTATCGGTATCGGATTGGATCGGAAAAAAATGGATCTGTGCACCTCTAGTTTTAAGCTCCTGTTGACATCGAGTATATTGACAGTTGCAGCAGTGTGTTATAGAGCAAAAGAAAAGGTCTACCACAGAACAAAAGAGGAATATAAAACAGCTGCTTCAAAATTCTGAACAACAGAATCACTATAAGAGAAACAGACGCACACATGACTTACACAGTTCACCATTAACTTCTAAATCGAGGCTACGTGACAGTAACAGCACAATCACCATTACAGCTGAAGCCTGAGGTAGTCCCTCAGATCATATCGGGAAAATTAGATTTTCTCCGAAACAGCCATTTTGCTCCGGTTGAGATACGTTATCGAGGAAGATTTCTGTTATTTCTACACAACAGCCCAACAAATACACTCCCCCTTCAGAGCTCCTTTAGAGAAGCTCATAATCCATGCATGCACTTTGCCAGGAGAGTAGCAGTAACAACTGGGTAGTATGGCAGAATCTGGAGCGTCTGCTGCCCGAGGGTGAATTATCCACAGTAAGGAGAAGCATAGCATGGCACAGCATAGCAAAGGGAAGCAACATAGCACAACTAATGTTACCATCCTGTCAGGCAGAAACACACAACCTCTGCTCCACTCTGTGGGCCTTTCAACCTCTTGATATTTCAGGGACTCCTCCCTTATCCTGATCATGATCCCTGTTTTATTAGCTCCGCTCTTCTCCTCCTCCCGATCCTGATAAAGCGATCTCACCGTGCCGAACATTCAAACATGTTAACGTACAGTAACACGTCTGCAGCTGCACAAGCTCTGATATCTCTCTATCAGATCCTGCATTAACTTTTCATCAATTTGAGCTTTGGCTCCTCTGTTGGATCAAACCTCTGCTACCCAAACACATCTCCGAGCCTTGGCCCCACTATGACCCTGTCTCTGGTGGACTGGTTTTCCTTGCTCGGACCACTTCAGAGAGGCAGTGACCATTAAAAGCAGGGTGCTAATCCAGTTTGTAGCGCTCGAACCCAAACAATTTAGCACCTTGTCAAAGTCGCTCAAAATCTCATGAATTTAAAAACACTCACTTTTTGCTTAAAGGGATATTTTGGCGTAAAATCAATTTAGAGTCATACACACCATAACACTGAGTTAGACACCCCCTCGAGAGATGAATGTTGCCGACCGCTTGCTTCTCTAGTTATACCAACTTTAGTAACGACCGCATGACAGCAATACACAGGGTCATTACATTTTCATTTCCTTGAAGTAATAATCATCATATTAATCATTTTTCACTGCAGACGCGGTAGTTCTTCTGCCTTAGCGTCTCGGTCTGATTGCATTTCCATGAATAAATGATCAGAAATGTTCTTCCTTGAGCTGCGTCACCCCGCTGTAGTCCCTAATGGACTGGCCCGAGGTCTTGCTACGAACAAGCAGCTGCTGGAAGAGAGTAGGTGAGTTGTGTTTAGTCTCTTTGCTATAGAAATTAGACAAAGTTAAAAAGATGTTTGATGGCTAGGATAGGATACGTATACTTTATTGATCCCAAACTGGGAAATTCACAAAGTGCTGTGTCTGGGACCCTATATGTACTGTGAATGAAGTTAGGTGCTGAGCATTGAGCATCTGAGCATTATTTGTGGCTATAGAGTGGCGTTTTGGTTGAGGTTTGTTTATGGCTCCTCAGACCGCTGTGTATTGCTATCGTGCGGTTGTTACTAAAGTTGGTTTAACTAGAGAAGCAAGCGGTCGGCAACATTCATCTCTTGAGGGGGTGTCTAACTTAGTGTTACGGTGTGTTTGACCTTAAATTAATTTTACGCCGGAATATCCCTTTAACACAGCCAACCCACTGACAAGTTCTGTTTTAAAGAAATTATAAGCATCAGTCACTTCACCTATCATTGGTCACGATTGGTGTAAGTTCCTTATGGCTCATATGGACCCATAATTATCCTCATTTGAATAATATAGTACAAGAAAGTGGCAGAATTACAAATCCTAAAATTTAGAGTAATAATATTAATGCGTCAGATTTTTTATAGCACTTTATCAGAGACCCTCAAAGCGCTTTTACATTGGATCCATCATTCATTTGCTCACACAGTCACACCCTTCCTACTGAGCAACAGACGGCTATTAGACGTCTAGTTTTTTTTTTTAGACCTAATTTCAACCATCTATATTCTGTATTTTTTTAGACGGAATTTAGATGTTGCACTTTAACCCATTATTCGCAAATGTGAGTTGCATGACTGATCTCCAAGGGCTTAACCGAAATAATTATGATAGCCATTGAGCAATATACAGAGTAGTATAGATATAGCCCAGATTTAGACTTGGTCTAAACTGTCATTGTTAGACCTGTGGTAGCCTGATTTTAGACCAGTCATCTAGGTTACATTTAGACATCTATTAGACCTCTTTTAGACTAAAAAATGCTCAGTGGGTTAGTAGTCACAGCTGCCCTGGAGCAGACTGATGGAAACGTGGCTGCCAGTTTGCGCCTACAGCCTCTCCGAACACCACCACACAACACTCACAATCATACACCAGTGGAGGACACACACTGGGAGCAAGGTGGGTTAAACGTCTTGCCCAAAGACACAACGGACAGATTAGGGATGGGGGGAATTGAACCGCCAACCTTCCAGTTATTGGACGACCGCTCCACCTCCTGAGCCAGTGCCGCCCCAAGAGTAAAAATGTACTCTTTTTTTTCTTTATGCTTAATTTTAATATTGATGCACTCATTACAATGTCACATAGGGATCATAAATATCCTATAAAGTCATGCACAATCGCACATCAGTTAATCACCCCAGGGAGGCGTCACTGTGCAGACTGGTGGATGAATATTCTCGGTCACAAGCACAAAATTATCTTTCTAAGATTTTTTTTTTTTGTCTATTAATTTATAAATTAGATACACACCATATAAGAATGTGGGAAAAGGCAGACAGAGGACTGCCCACAGTTTCTAAATGTTCTTTGTTTACTTTCAACCAGATCGGAAAATTTTTTTTTCAATGTTTTCCCACATTTTTTTGTTTATTTTTGCTCTTGTGGGAGTGAAAAAAAAGCTGCTTTTGGTTAACACATCATGAAACAACTGGAGTGCAAACAGATGGCCGTACCCACTCACAACAAAGTCATCTCATAGTCGAGGATGCTGTGTGTGCTATGCAGTGTATTCGACCACTTAGCAGGTGCTGCTGTTTTCCTGTCATATTTATGAATATCATCTCTCTCCCTGCTCAGGATTAAGCAACTTTTTTGTTGTTATTTTCGTGCCTTTCTCAGTTTACCCACAGAAGAATGAATTGCGCAAGGCAGCAGATGTGGGTAACCTCCAGTGAACTCAATTATATTTAATCAACATGGAAAAAATGAGTGGATACCAACTGAACAGCTGATTTTGTGCACATTATGTGGATCTGAAAAACCTGTTCTCACTTTAAGGAAGAGTTTTCTTTTGAGGTTGGTGAAGCAGGGAGCAGGGGAAGTGTTACACTCTATCCAGGTATGATTGTTTGTTTTCATGTTTCAGAGCGAGTAAAGCAACTTAACCAGAAGAAAAGAAGACTTTGACAGGCAATACTCCAACAAAAACCCTAAAAACTTCAACTTATGTCAACAATGTCTCTATCCGTAACAACAAAAGCATTAAAGACACACAATAAGAGTGCGAACAGGTCTCACTTAAGAGCACTTTTGTGTATAAATGTGAACAAATCACCCTAAGATTTGATTTAAGTCATGAAGATCAAAGTTTGGACATCAAGATTTAATCAGAAATGTGTTTGTGAGTGAAAGAGTGAGCCTACCAATTTGGGTAATCCAATATTTTCACATCCGCTTATTAAAACTTGATAAAAACAACCCTAACAGGCTTATTCTAATCGGATTTGTCACTAAATCTACTCAGTCACGTCTGCTTAGAGAATAAGTGATATTGTCCATGCAGAGTTCACAGTTTAGATCATTCACTTTAGTTAAAACATCCTCATTAGAAGCACAAATGTCAAACACTCACCTACGATGAACCACAGGAGCGTCTGTTTCTGCAGAGCTGCTCCGGTCTGTGATCCCATCCTGCCGCTCTCGCAAAGATCCACTGACTGAAGTTTGAGGGGGAAGCGAAGAGGAGAGAGATAGAGAGAGACTATCACCAGCTCAAAGAGTCCAGAGTGACACTCATTATCAGTCACAGCTGGTGAGGAAATCCATGCAAAGTGGCTCTTCTTGCTGGATCACCTCGCGTAAACCGCTCGGGGGAGGAGAGGGGGGCCCAAGACCCGTCCTTGTTCCTGCTCTACCTGAACTCCCCCGAGTCCTCCTGTCACCGAGTCTCTGCCATCCACGCATGAATCATATCCACTCGTGAAGTTGTAGCTCTCTCTCTTTCTCTTACTGGCTGTCCTGACGTACCCCGTGCCAGCGCGCCGAGTGTGCAGCGCTGGAGTCTGGATTGAGTTTGTGCGTAACGGGACGCACCAGTACAGCCCAGGACTGGAGGATCAGAGAGACAGTGTCAGGGTTCACTGCGTCTCTCGGAGAGGACAATGCTGTTGGGGGAGCGGAGGGGACAGGGTAAACCCAAACATAGCGATTACAGAGCAAGGGAGGGGAAGTGATGGTGTATGGACAGGGAGGAGGAACTTGGATAAGAATGGTACTTTTCTATTGGTTCATTAGAGACAACATACCAGCGGGCAAACGGCGCATGGCGAACAAGTTTTAATCATATAGCCAAGTAACAATAAGAGTAATCCAACTCCGTTTAGACTAATGTAATTATGACCGTGATGGAGAGGACTTGTCTAATTAACGTCTTCTGTGTGAATGAATGCAGATCTGTCTCCTTTTTGTGGAGAGAAATCAGAACAATGTCAGACTGAAAACTGTGAAAATTGTGTTTGACTCTTTGGTGTTAATTAAAGACAATAAAAGACAAAAAAACCTCACTTTGTAGTGCAGTCTTCATATATAACAAGTTTAATAGAAGACTCTTTTAATGCATCTCTAAAGAGTCTACAGGAAACATAATCTGAGGCAGAATATTTGAGACAGGAAAGAGAAGTTTTTACCTGTTGGGTAGATGCAGTTTGGATCCAGGTGCCGGTTCAGCCTTGTAGTGTTGTTCGATACCCCCACCAAGTGGTCACAAGGTGCATTACACTTGGTTCTTATATTGATGGACCGTCGCGCTTCTCCTCCACAGCCTATGAGCCTCCAACTCCTGCAGGTGTAAAAATCAACCTTAATATCACCTGAGCTGAAAACAAGGTTGTCTATTGTTTTTATTTTATATATTTTATTCATTTATTTATTTTTAATTTATTTATTTTATTTCATATATTTTATTTATTTATTTTTAATTAATTTTTTATTTGTTTATATATTTTATATATATATATATATATATTACCCAGTGCATAAGAATATACTATAAGAATAAAACTATAAAAGTATAAATATAAGAATAAACAACAAAGCTACAGAAAAGACAACCTTAAATACTCTTAATTTACAAAATAAAGACAACAATATAAACAGCATAACAGTATAACAATGTAACATTATAAATATAAGGAAGAAGATGAGAGATGCTGAGTCATTTGTTATCAATATTTTTGTTTTAGTCTAATTTTTTTTTATGTATTTCTCACTTTCTTGTATTCAGAAATGTGATCTGTGACATCTTAAGTACTTGAACTGTGTTTATGGCACCAGTTCACTTCATATTAACAAATATATGAACCCACTTTCTCAGCAGTATTTCGGCACAGCAGAGAAGAAGCAGCACACAAACAGTCTATGTATGTAAAGGCCTGCTTAATATAGTTGTTGAATCTAGTTGTTGTATTTTTGTGCACTTACAATAAGGGTAATAAAATGTTATTTAGACTGTGATTAAAATTTTCAGACATTGAGAGAAACGTGCCATGGACCACTCCGAGCAGCACGGATGGAAAAAGAAACAACATTTTTGTTCGACGGTTAAATGGTGCAGATTTATATAATTTGGATGCAGTTCTGGGTCCTGGACTTCAAAGCTGGTTACAGCTTTCATAACAAAGACGCTCAGAAGTAATCATCTGACATGTTTATTACAGAAACTTTGGGATCTAAACAATGATTTCAGATAAAGTTAAGTCAATAACGAGTTACTCCTATTTTCATAAAGTTAAAATGGCGGATTAAGCATCTGTATTTGGAGACGTTCGGGTTTATATGAGTGTATTCTGTCACCTTATATCACAGAAACCTGAGTGGTTGTGAGAATAAATACTTGTGCTGTTTGAAGTTTATAAAAGTGTCTCTGTCGTGCTGCACTTCACTTTGAACCCAGTGTGAAAGATGAGTCATCTTCGTGGGATGTTAGAGACGGTTTCTGTTGTTTTCTGTTGTTCTCCACCAAATGACTCTGTGTGGCTTGATGATTTTATATCAGAGACAAAGATAAAGCACGTATAAAATAACAAAAAAACGACTAAATTTAGTCTGTCAGAGGATCTCGTACGGACAGAGGCGACACTACGGTCAGTCAGGATGAAAAACTGAATTCAAGATGGTTTAGGAAACGTGACAGAAGGTTTCAAACTAACAAAAAAAGTTCAACCGTGATGTATCTGGTGGTGAAATTCTCACACTGAGGCTGTAAACATGAATCCCTGATTCTTCTCAGACTTTCTAAACTCCAAAGCAGAACCAGAGACCTCTCAAAAGAACAAGCACACGACAGGCGATACACCACTGAGGGGTTTTACTAATGAGAAGAATAACTGACCTCAACAAGAGGTCAAGTCAAGACAAATAAAAAACGTTATGGTGGAAACGCTGCAGAGCAGAGAGGATCATTTTTGAAAACCTAAAGGAGAAAGTAAAAGGAAACTTTGTGAAAAAAGATTGAATTCTCTGTGGAAATAAAGGGTTGAGAGGAAAGAAGAAATCTCCTCCATAGCCTAAACTCAAAGGTGTTTGAAACAGCAAAAGAGGAGATCAGACAGAAAGAGAAGATGACCTCCTCTTTTAAATTTAATGGTTAGTCAGGCTTTTAAAAAAACAGGAAATATAGCAAAACGATTATCCTTATAAAGTCAGTCTGTTAGCTCATCTGACACACAAAGGAAGATGAGTAAGATGCTGTTTTATTGTTTTTTTTATTTGGAAATGTATAATTATTGTCAAAATGACTGAACTGATGTTATTTTAAAATCTCTGCATTGGTTTCCTGTGTCTTTTAGAGTGGATTTTAAGGATCTTTTATTCGATTTTAAAGCTCTTAATGGTCTTGGTCCTTCTTATTTTTTGATTTGCTTCTACCGTATGAACCTAGTAGAGCCCTCAGGTCTTCAGGTAGTGGTCTTTTAATTGTTCCCAAAGTAAAAACTAAAACATACGGTGAATCGTCATTACAACATAACGGTCCCCATCTGTGGAACAGCCTACCTGCAGACCTGAGAGCGACACCTACTGTTCATATTTTTAAAAGTAAGCTAAAGACCTACCTTTTTAATCTGGCTTTTAGTTAAATTTTGTTTTAATCTTTTAATCTGCATTATGTGATTTTATGCTGTTTTAGTCCTAGAGTAATTATTTTGTGTTTTATTACCTCTTTCTTTTAAATTTACTTTCTTTTATTGTTTGATTAAAAGACTTTTATCTAATCAACTTTTAACGCTTTATCATGTTTATTTTATTTTATCATGGTTTTATCGTTTTAGTCCTAGATCCAGTGATTCCTCAGTCATCTGTGGCAAGTTGAAGAGTCCTCAACTGGTCTTTTTAGTGTGTGCAAGTGTGTGAGTGCTGTATGTGTTTTTATTGTTTTTTAATCTCCTGCACGAGTGGACAGCACTTTGTGCAACATTCAATGTACGAAAAGTGCTTTAAAAATAGAGTTTGATTGATTGATTGATGTATGAATTTCCTTCACTGTTATATGCATGATGAAGAGGAAAAACTTCACTTTCCAGATCACAAGTTCAGCACTTACAGCTTTACACCCACAGAGGTCAGTACAGCAGTGATCAGGCTGTCAAACGTTTCTCAAAGGAACAGATAACCTTTAACCATCTAAAAGAGAGTGAAATGGGAAATGGACGTTATAAAGGCTTATATAGGCTCCTCACCATTCTTACACTATATGACACACTCACACCACTTTCACACGGTGGAGGCTGCCCATCAATATAAGCTTCTATATGACGTTATTTATCATTTATAACTTAGATTATTTCCTTTAGGCTATTTAATATGATTTATAAATCACAGCCAAATCATAAAAAGATTTCTCTTTTGCTTTCCTTTTAAAGAGCAGGTCTTTAACTGAAGCTACTACTTTTGGAGACTTACCTCAATGGTTGTTACAACAAACCAAAGTCTTTGTAATTCAATCAACTTTGCTAAATTTGGCATTTTAAAAGAAAAGTAGTTATCACAACATTAATATTCCAGCTCCTCCTTTGTTTTAACATGTCAGGCAACAGCCCCCGGCATTTAGGTTAAACGCACTGCCACCCTGCCTGTCTGTCTGTCCGACCGTCTCCAGGGCAACCAAGAGTAAACCAACAGCAGGAGGGAGGTGTGTGCAGAAAAAGAAGAAAGAAAGGAGAGGAAACATTAGAGTGGAGAGTCTGTTAGAAAGGATCAAAGACGTGAATGTCAGGTGTCCACAGAGGGTCAGTTGAAAAATACAGATGAGTCGATCCGTTAAGGAAAAGAAATACTTGGAGCTGAACTAATGACATGACTTCACCACAGTAAGTGAATAATAACTCGATTCAAAAGTGTATCACAAGTTCTGATCTGTAGTGGTGCCAAAAGTTTCTTAACTTCTATTCAAGGACATTTTTATCGTCATCTAAAGGGCAGGATGCTAAAAACGTTCGTCTGAATGGCACGTCAGCTCTTTTTGTTGTTGCTCTGTTTGTATTGTCAAGCATTAACCCTTGAGACTTCACACAAACACACACACACACACAAACACGCACATACTGCTGGACATTCATTGATGTAATAAACGGCCACACATCAGCAGAGAAAGTTATTCCTCTGTGGGGTCTCCGCAGGGACCAATGGCTCATTGGAGACCTGCATAACACGGCTAACATCCCAGTAATGATCATACAGACATACAGACGCGCTGTGCAGGATACATCAGTGCAGTGTAAATGATCTGACACTCAGGCTTTTATTCTCTATCAGGCTGATCTGAGAAACTGGAAACAATGGAGAAAACGAGACATTTGGATGAGGAGGAATTCAACAATGAGGGATTTGGACATGAGGTGGAGCTGGAGGATTCTGACCCTGAGGATGAGGAGGTGCATGGATCCACTCCACTCATCACTGCCTGTCGTAAAAGCCGGACTGAGGTTAGTTACAACTGTGTTCACACAAGAATGAGTTTGAAGCGTTATCCAACTACCGAGCTATTGTACGGTTGAGCAGATGTGACGTCAGCCCATTGTTTAGTGGAATATTCCATCAGGTGAGCATGTTTGTTAGAGGTTTGGGGCATGGAGAGGGGAGGCAACAGCTCTCTAGGTTGTATTTTTCCTATCAATAACAAAAACACGACTGTGTATGTGCATGTGGGATTTACATGACCCAAATCTCCTTCAATGTGTTACTCTTCCCCTGAGAGCTGTGTTCAAAACAAGCATGTGACTTACAGCCAACACATAGTGAGACACTCCCACTGTGTGTGATCTCCTGTGACATGAGCTCATGCCTCTCATGTAAACACAGAAATACCTGTGGAGAAGAAAAGTGGGGCACTGACAGTTGTTTATTGAATTTTGCATATAAACTGTCTTTATATAATAAGAGCTTACATTACCTTTCATGTGATTTAACTTTTTACCTGATGGGGTTGTTACAGGTCATACAGAAGCTGATGAAATCTGAGGTCGATGTGACCCTGTGTGACCCCAGACAGCAGACAGCGTTACACGTCGGCCCTCCAGAGCTCCAGGGGAAAGTGTTGGGGTGGATGTCGAGGCCTCATCTGCCTCCCCAGGCTCAGCTGCTCCAGGCTGCCTGGCAGGGAGACCTCCACTCACTACAGAGCCTGCTGGTGAGACTGCAACACGAAATTAGAGGCTGACTGATCAAGAGTTGAATTCTGTTTTCAAGACGCAACATAAGGGAAGTCAGAAGTGTGGTTTCTCTCGGGCGTCTCATATCTCATATGGACCCTTGACTCTTTTCAGACTGAATCAAAATGTTTTAAACAAGTAAAAGTTTACTTGTACTTACTTTACTGTATTGTACTGACTTTACTTTTACTTACTTTACTTTATTTACTTTACTGTACCAAAAGTACAGAGAGGTTTTGAGCTGATTTTAAGTCGTATTCAGGTCAAAGCGACGAACAAACCGGTCAGTCTCATGATGTAATTATGTAAAGTGAGATGTGATACGAATCACCAGGTGCTTTAGAAGAACAATGGCTGATTGTTATATAAGACATTCAGTTGGCGAGTCTAAAAGATTTTAATGCAACCCAATGTAGAAATGAAATCAGGACTTTTACCTTTATTTTGAAAGGACAGAAATATAGAGAGAAGGGGTATCATCATGCAACAAATTATGCAAGAACTAGGAATCACCTGTAGCAACCACCAGGAATGCTCACATGCTGAACTCACCTGAAAAGTCAAAGAAACCACAACACAGGTAATCATGTTTCTAAGGTATAAAAGGAGGTATAAACAAGGTTAAATCAACCCACAGAAAACTAAACAAACACATGCTCACATGGCTGGTTGGGAGAGGAGGGAGATGGGATTTCTACGATGGCCGAGAACTGCCACTGCTGCGAATAAAAAAAGAATGCAAAAAATAAAAGAAACCACAACAGAGGTGACCGATGAAGAAAAAAGGAACAGTGCAGATTTTTTCAAATAAGGCTACAACAGAAGTTAACGACACAAAAGAAAGTGGCAATGCGAAAAAAAAAAAAAGTTACTCACTGCGAAAATAAAAGGATGCAAATAAAAAAAGCCACAACAGAAGTGAGCTGACGAGGACCAATAATGAAAAATAGCAAGGGGTCTGCATACTTATTTCTATGAGTAAAGCAACTAAACCGTACAGCTACCGCAGACGGTAGCACCTCAGGCGCAACATGGTCTAGCCAAATGACACATTGAAAAGTTTACGAAGCGAAATTAAACAACAACCTTTCTACTTACTTCTTTGCTCGTCTTCTCGCCGTCGTCTTCTGTGCCTAGATCGTAAAACCGGTGCTAATCGTCACTATTGGTCACTGGCAGCTCACTTCCATTGTGGCTTTTTTAAAATTTGCATCCTTTTATTTTCACAGTTAGTAACTTTTTTTTTGCAACGTCATTTTTTTTGCATTCTTAACTTCTGTTGTGGCTTCTTTGTTTTTGGTATTCTTTTATTTGCAGCCGCGGCGGTTCTCAGCCACCTTAGATTTCCCTCTGCACTGCATCAACCTAATCTGCTGCTGTAGAGGATAGACCCCTCCTGACACAGCCTGCAGAGCCAAAGCTAGTTCTTAAATCACCTACTAAGTCTGGCATGTCCCTGTTTATGTGGGAGCAGAGGGGTAAAATACGCACAGGCACACTTCAGCATGGAAAAAGGTTTAACATATGAACTTTTATGTTTCAGTCGACCATAAATTCAAACTTTTATGATCATGGAGCCGTAGTAGAAATAAGCTGACTCTGTGGATTTTAAGGTTATATCCTCTCTTTTGTCACTGCAGCATTTATGTGTGATCTTGTGTCCGTGTGTGTGCGGGTCTCAGGTTCAGACAGACAAAGTGGATGTGAACGTTCCCAATAGAGATGGTGCGACAGCTGTGATGCTCGCTGTTCGGGACATTGACCTCTTTGAGGGCATGGCCCTGACGTTGCCATGGGAACACAAACCTGTTCAAGTGGTCGAGAAACTGCTGGGACTCTCAGCGTAAGAGGGGACACATCCATACTAACATAAAAACAATATAATGATGTACAAAAAAGCAAATGAACACAACATTGAGCTCATGCAGATGCTGCTGACTTTTATTTTGAAAAGCTAAAAAAAACAATTTATAAATGGTAAATAGATAGTTTGTTGTAAGTTAATAGTTTCTTTACCATTAACAAGCATTGAAATTATGATTAGTAATTTTCATTAGTTATTAATGGACTATTTATTAAAGGTTTATATAGGGTTTGAATATTGGTTGTTAAACATCGAGATTTAAATGTGTGTCAGTAGCACTTTGTAAATAGTTAATATTTGGTTTTTAAACTACCTATAAACATTACTTAGATGGTTATTGTAAAGTTAGGGTTACGTTTTTAAAACTGTAAGATTTACAATTTAATAATGGTCTATATGCTATTTATAAATGATGATTAAAAATTAATAAACTATGTGCTTACCATTTATAAATGGTCTATTTACCCTTTATAAGTAATAGTTATTGTAAAGTGTTACAAATAGTTTTAATCTTGAGCTGTTTTTTCAAAAGGAGTAAACTTTATTCTTTAATCCGTCTATTCTCTTCTATTCAGTGATCTGCGGGTTCGAGATCACGGTGGCTGCTCTGCTCTGAACTACGCCACCAGCATCAACAGCCCCCTGAAGGATGAGATCATCCACATGATGGCTGAGGCACTAAGTCGCTCAGGTACACAGAGAAACTCACACAAAAGAGTAACAACAGCACTTGTTTATCAGCACGCTCCTCATATCCAACTTTGAGTGGTGGAAAAAGACAAGAAACTCAGTCAGGATTATCAAATGCTGGTGCTTTAAGAGCCCCACAGCCTCCCCATGTCACGCCTTACTCTGGTTACCCATTCACTGATGAGTGACTCATTAAACTCATGGATTCAACCCGACATGTAGCAAGCATGCTCACATGGGAAACACCCCCTATTCATGGCCATGCACATGCAGACACCCGCTCCCCTCTCTCTTACACAGACTTACACACAAGCAGCATACCAAGTTCATTCATAATCCTGTTTTTCTGAATAAACCTCTGCAACTGCACTCAAAGCGGCACTTATGTAGGAGGCGATAAGAGAGGCTTGTTTGTGTTTTTTTGCGACCATGCTGCTCAGAGCCTTCATCAGGAGTGTGTGAGTCAGAGTGAGCTGATGAAGAAAAAAAAAAAACGTGGCGAGGCATGGATGGGGTAAAGAGGTTGAAAACAAACAGGAAAAGGGTAAAAGGTGTTGTTTTAAGCCTGTTACGAAACTTCTGCTTCCTCACCTTGTGCAAACACAGAGGGTACGCACAGGGGTCCACACCCCTGGAGCTCATGAGGTTGCTGCTAGAAGAAAAAAAAGCAGTTTTCCTCATTTTGTGTCAGTGTAGATCATTATAATCTGATTTTCTGCAGATGCCGCCACTGACAACTACCCATGCCGGGATTTGGACTCAGAGTTTGAGGATTCAGACATCGACTTGGACCTTGAAAGCATTTATTCACAGCGGTCAGCAGCTGCCACCCCAACGCAGACACCAACCAATCAGGACGGTTCTACGCTGCACATCCACACAGAGGTGAGTGGAAACCCTCTCTAGAGGAAATATCACTTCTATGTCAAGATGCCAAAGATTCTGTCAAGTATTGAAAGCCAGATTTTGTTGTGATAAAGCTTAGTGGACTGTCCTGGTGTTACCAACAATTAACAGACACACAAGCAGACAGTGAGTAGTCAGCCAGAGGACAAATATCTGGATGCAGTAATTGGCTCTTTGGATAGGTATGTGAGTCTGCAGGGTTGTGTGTGTGTGTGTGTCAGTGTGTGTGTGTGGAGGAGGGGCGCTCTGGGTAACTGACACTTAGCTGCCAAACTGCTGTATTATGGGTGTCCTTAAAGATGGAGCTGACAGGCAGGCAGCTGGTTAGCCGGAGGAGAAGAGCAGGTGGTTTACGGGGAAATGCTATCTAAGTGGCAAATAACACCACTATCTCCACAAATAAGCACAATGTATTAAGTTTAAGTGTAAACTTGGTTGCTTTAACATTAATGACATAAATAATGATGACATAATGAAATATAATAAGGTATCTTTAGGTTACACCAGTCTTGCAGGACTTTTACAGGCCTGAATTATTCTAAGACTGAGACATATAATTAATGAATTGCTCACTTTTGTTCTTTCCAGGAAGTGCCGGACTCTCCAGGGTGCCCTCCTCCATCCGACCATCATAAAAGTCTCAGTCAAGGTAAGGCTCTTTGAGGAACTCCTGGAGTTTTAGTACGGTGTGATGTTAAGAGTCAAACTTTTATTCTTTTCTAGTTTTTTTTGACAAGGACAAAACTGTATCCCCAACGTAAGAGGACAAAAAGTGAGAAAATACAGCAAGGGAAAAAAGGTGTTTCAGGTATCGACTAACATCTTCAAACAGGTCACTTTTTGTGCTGTTTTTTGACCTTTTACACTGACAAGAAAAGACACCGGGCAGCTTCCAAATAGGCCATCAGATCGAGTCACCTCTGAAGGGGAGGGGAGTGCAGGGGGTGTGTTTGGGTGGGAGGGATCTCACACATTCAATACGACCTCTCAGCTGAGGAACCTGCCCTGCCCATTTAGTACCTCTGCACACCAGCGTGGTCGAGTCACAGGTCTTTTGAAGGGGGAATTAGAGGGAGCAAAAGTGACATACATGTCCCGGGATATGAAGGAATAAACAGGGAGACAATTTATCAGATTGAAACCCAAAACAGGGACTTGTTATGGGGAAAGAGTGGACCGACATCAGGCACACAAACAGGTGGTGTGTACAACATTTTATCTTCTTGTTATATTGTTGTAGACTTTTCTTTTGCAATTGATAAAACGTTGCTCTAACTTCTTTTTCCAAACTCTAATATTGTGCATCTGTTTTATTTTTTATAATGTCTAATACGGAGTACAATGAGTTTAAGATCAGGAGGTGTAACTCAATGTCTGTCTGTGTGTGTGTGTCTGGAGCAGATAAGGGAATCCCCCTCTGTTTCGAAAACGCCATGGAAACGCTGAGTGACATCAGGCAAGCCTACCAGGATGCAGGGAGGGGAAGCAGGTGGGCTGGCCTGCACACACACACACACACACACACACACACACACACACACACACACACACACACACACACACACACACACACACACACACACACACACACACACACACACACACACTTTGTTTCTCACTGTAGAGAACAAACAATTGACGAGTTGATGCCAGAAAGTTGTTGGTACTCACAGTGCAGATGCGTAGGCACATCAGCATCTGTTCATACGTATCCACAAACACAAACATTTAGTGTGCGTACAGTTAACACTCCATCCCCCGAGCACACAGCCGCTTGTATAAACAGCACACCCTCCCCAGGCTTCGTCAACAACTGCCCTTTACTTTTACATCAACAGAGGAACAGTTTCCTATCTGGTTACACTCCTGTCCTGTATGCATGCACCTGTCACCGTGTCCAGAGGACAACCTGTTCTGGCCAAACAGGTTGGAAACACAGAGACAGGAGGGAGAGAGGGCTTCGGTGAATCAGCTCATTGTCTGTTACGTGGAGCTCTCACCACTGACTCAAGTCCGAGCTCTCCAAGGAGAATAAAGGTCTTTGAGCAGGTCTCTGATTTCATTGCATCAGCTCCCGGAATCAGAAACAGGAGGAAAGGGGGATTTTGGCAGCTCAGAACACGACAGTAGAACCTGTTCATCTTTATTCTGTTTCTATTTTAAAGAGTAAAACTCACTTTTCTCTGTCTCCCTTAGAGGCGGAGTGTCTCTGCCAAGCCTTGGCCTCAATAGCAGACGCTGGACACTAGATCCTGATCACTCATCTGGATTGCAGAGCACCAGGACCTCCTGTCTGCCGGTGCCCCCTAGACACAGGTAAATACTGTAGCTGGACTTATCATAAAGCCTTTGGACACGACCTGAACCTGCAAGGAGCAAACCAAACCAAGAGCAACTGCTGCAACCATGAGCTTCAAATGTAAACCAGACCATCAGGTGTAGATGTTCTTTTTTCTGAAGAGGTTTTCTGTTATTGCTCATCTTTCTGGGTGACTGGAAAACAACATTCAGTGGACCTGAGAAAAAAAACAGGGCTTTAGTTAAACTTTAACTCCTCCTGCACATCTTGCTCTCCGCTGTAGCTCCATGCCCCCATTTCAATTAAGATCCCTAAAAGTAGAAACCCATCTTTTAAAAAATATATAGCTCAACTGTTCACATGTTGTCAGTGCTATTTGTAATTACCGACCCTGAGCATCTCAATGACTATTCTCAGTTTAGACATTCAGGGTTCTTAGATTCTTCTGTTAATTTGTCTTCCTCAGGCAGAGAACCAGAAGTGTAGCTGCTGCATCCTCGTCTTCCCCGGGTCGAACGTTTGTGGCCGAACCCAGCGAGCTCAGTCAATCAGCACCCAGCATAATGGAGCCCCTTCTGTCCTCAAACACGATGATGCAGGCTAGAGCGCACATCCAGTCACGTAAGTGAATAACGTATAGATTAAAGTACTGTGACATGGATTTTGTTTCCAAGTCTTCATTTGTCAGTGATTACTTGTTTTTAAGTTTTATTCAGATGGAAATCTCTTCCTGTCTGCAGGGCTGGGTGCTCAAGATACTGCAACTGAACAAAAGGTAGATTTCAAATCCACCCTTGTGTCTTGTAAAGAACTAGGAGAAGTAAAAGCTATCAGCCCTTCTTGTTCAAATCCTTGCACACTGTTTATAGTCTGTTCCCACAGATTCATAACTCAGGCCTCCTGTTTGCCAATGTCCTTCTCTTCAGCAGTTTCCACAGAGACCCTTACCAACTCCTCATCCAAGAACACCCAGACTGTTGGCACCACTAGACAGCAGACTCAGGGATATCATACCTCTACCAGGACTTAAGCACCCTATTCCCTTAAAACCTATCAGCCGGAGTCCACTTTGCTCCAGAGCCAGGCTGAAGAGGGGCGGACTTTCCCGAGGCAGCTCACGCTTAGGTCCTTTGACAACCAAAGGTGGCAGTGAGGACAGCGGCTCCAGCAGCAGCCAGAGCTCCATGGATCTAGAGGATGAAGATGAGGGAGTATCAGGGGGAGTCCATCTGAAGTTTGTTGGAGACCTATTGCTGCAGACTTCAAACAACGTGAGCTCCAGTGTGACCGATTCAGTCAGCAACACAACGGGGTGTTCAAAAGTACCACCGAGAACAAGGCATTTTTCACAGATTCACAGATCGGCTCATGATCTGAATGAAGAGCCTTTTAACCACTCAGATGATCCTTTTAGAACTGTAACATACACAACCTATCACTGTGAAGACAAAGTCAACCAAATAAGCGACACAAAAGACCATGTTGACAGCAATACCTTCACAAAACAACAAGGAAACACTCTGAATCTGACTCAAGTGACTATAAGTAACGAAATGCCTATCACATCCAAGCCACAAGAGGAAAGGACCAGTGCAGGCTACACACCAGACCCTCAAACTGAGGTTAGCAACAGGACATCAGTAAACAAAGACCAGAGTGGTGTGGAAAAGAGTTCACGAAATGACCAAACAAAATGGACAGAAAAAACATTCAAGGATTGTTTTTATGAAAAAACCTTAAGAGACGACCCGGATCAGAAATTGGATCTAATGACAGCTGATAATAGAAATGTGGATACCAGTGGAGACACAAAGTTGTCAAAGGTCTTAAAGTCTGTCCAGAATAAGGAGAGAAAAGCTACAAAGAACTGTGAAGCAGAAGCAGAAATTCAAACCAACCCTGAGTCCTTCAGTAGACCGCCAAACAAAGACCGGATCAGCTCCAATCGGATCAAGATCAAAGAAAACCTCAAAACACTTTCCACTCAAGTTGAGGTCAAAACGAGGAAAAGTCATGAGTTAAAAATAAACGGAGAGTCAGTCACGAAGGTAAAGTCAAAGCTCAAGTGTGTTAAAGGTACTGCCACTTCATCACCGCGAAAGAAGGTTACAGATCCTGCACACAGCAGAAGAGCAACTCCTGACAGGTCAAATATCAACAAAGATCAACAGCACCTTCCCAAAACAGAGCCAAAGAGCGCCCGACAGTTGAAGAGACCGAGTCTAGAGGGTTCATCAAGATCCAGATCTGTTCTGGACTTCATCACCTACAAAGACATGTTTCAGCAGATACAGAGTGGGGACAAAGGACCAGCCATTTATGAGATGTTTGCTGGTCCCATCTATGAGAACCTTCGAGTTTCCAGCTCCTGTGAGAAGGTTAAGGACAGACAAGTGCGGTCTGCGCCGCCTCGTAAGACACACAAAGTCAAACAAAGACCGATGAAGCAACCACAGAGCAAGCAGAGGAGGAGTCTGGCAGATAGTACAGAAGACTCACCTAAAAGCAAAGCGAAACTCTCAACCCCCCGAGCAAAACCTCAAGTAACATCTGCACCAAGGAGGGGCACAGAGAAAATAAAACAAATACTGGATGGACACTCAGACACTGAGCTTCATGCCTTGACGGAAGCTGGTAGTTGTCCTAATAGTTCTGAAGAGACAGCTGGAGATCAGATGCTTCCCACCATAGAGGAAGATCTCTCAAGGTATGAGTCTGAAATATTAAAATCTGACAACAAAACACTGACCGGACCAGCGACCTTATCTCACTCTGGATATAGTTACCCTCAAGAGAAAGACGGGAATTCTTCAACAGGATGTCAAAATCTACTGATGTCTGAGTCATCTCAAAGCCCACAACATCCCAAGATCAACACCTGGACTTCCTCCAGCAGCAACAACCACACCATCATGTCCCCAGTTTACCAGAGGTTTCTGGATGGGGTTGGGGACGGACCGCTAACTGATGATCTGCTGCAATGTCTGGCTGAGGAGCTGATCTCATTGGATGAGAGGGATGTATCCACAGGTCCTGACCCAAGTGAAAAGGAGTATGATGGGGAAAGCAATCTCCTGATGGTAAGACAAACTTTTCCTGAGGTTTATCACTAATTACTAATTCAATAAAGCTTGATTAACATGTGCAAAAACTTGTCTTACGTTCTACCTTGAAGAAACTAAATGAATGATTTTCTAAACTGTTTCTTGTTATTGCAGGTGAATAAAACAGAAAATGTAGATCTGCTTGGCTCTGGGTTGATTGTAGATGACAATATTTCATGGACAAAGGGTGAAGTGCTCGGCAGAGGAGCCTATGGGACTGTGAGTATTCATATCAAATAAAGAAATATAGTAAACAAATAAACTCTCAAGCATTCACATCAATCGTCAACTTACCTTGGCTTTTTTACTTACCAGGTCTACTGTGGCCTGACCAGCCGGGGCGAACTCATAGCTGTAAAGCAGGTAAGCCTGGACGCCTCTGACCCTGATGCTGCAAAGAGAGAGTACAACCGTCTCCAAGGGGAGGTGGATCTGCTTAAAACTCTTCGGCACAACAACATTGTGGGTTTCCTCGGGACCTCGTTGCATCAGCATGTAGTTTCCATCTTCATGGAGTACATCCCAGGAGGATCTATTGCCAGCATCCTTCACAGGTTAACTTGATTTAAAACAGCTTGACCCTCATGTAGAACAATCTTTATTTTTTTCTTCGACATTTATCTTGAAAAATGGGTTTCATCCCCCTTTAACACCAATTGTCTGTTCGACTGCCTCAGGTTTGGCCCCCTGCCGGAGCGTGTCCTGGCTCTCTACACCCATCAGATCTTGGAAGGGGTGACGTTCCTTCATCTGAACAGGGTGATTCATCGTGACTTGAAGGGAAACAATGTCATGCTGATGCCAACTGGTGTCATCAAGCTCATAGACTTCGGCTGCGCACGCCGTCTGAGCTGCCTCAACCACACTGCAAGCAACAGCGGAGATTTGCTAAAGTCGGTCCATGGCACGCCTTACTGGATGGCACCAGAGGTAAAGTTTTAGGACATGATTTTTATTTCTTTCACTGGAAACCTAAACTTGTAGAGTTTGACGAGTTTGTTTCCCACTCCTCAGGTGATCAATGAGACAGGATACGGCAGGAAATCAGACGTATGGAGTGTTGGTTGTACCGTGTTTGAGATGGCTACAGGGAAACCACCGCTAGCACACATGGACAAGATGGCTGCTTTGTTCTACATCGGGGCTCAAAGAGGAAAGATGCCCTCCTTACCAGATGGGTTTTCACAAAGTGCAAAGGACTTTGTCAAGATTTGCCTAACAAGGTGAGTTTTTGACAATTCACAAATAACACAGACTTGTTTAGGAATACTTTACTTATTCTTATGTTTGTTTTTAACTCTAGTAACCAGAGACAACGACCGTCTGCAGAGAAACTACTAACGCATCCGTTCATTCCCCAAAATGAGACTGGAGCGAACTCGTGGGAAACACAGAGGAGGAACCGCTGTGGTCACCTGGAGGGACTGTGTGGATAACAATCAGCGTATTTTCAGTGAGATATGTAGTTATTTCTTCCAGAGTGGTTTCGCAAAACATGAATAATTTTGGGCTCTATACCCTACAGATGTATGAGAGGTTTTTAGAAGAACCCGGCTTATAACACTACCTGTATATTGTAATAATGGAGCTTCAGGAGCCATACTCTGTTAAAGTTTAAAAGAAACATGAAGCACTTTTGTATAATTAACAGGACAGGGTATAAACCAATTTCTCTTAGTTATAAATGTGCCAATCTTATAGACACCTTAATTTAAATCTTTGCATTTCAACTTTTGGGTTTAATGTTAGGTATCATGTTCAGGCTGCCTGATAATAAACATAAAACATACAAGCCAGTGCTGATAGCTAATAAAGTGAACCTCTAAGCGTTCAGTGATGAGGCATTGTAGGATTTTTGTGTAAAATGGTGCAGAAATTTGCCATTTAATGTAAAGGCATAATCTATAATGTGCAAATAAACATACCAGCAAGTTTCTTCACTCCCGAGACTCTAGCAGGATCTGTTATTTGAAAAATAAAATGACAGAAACATACAGGGTTTCTACTGTTTCAGGGTAGTGGCAACTTTGAAGTTTATTTGTAATAATGAAATGAAAAGGAAAAACGGATAGAAAAAAAGGGGCTTCTCTCACTTTTTCACATCTGCTTTTGCTCAGTGAACCTCTGAAGAGAACAAACAACTCCAACTCTAGGATTGTTTAACTTTTACTCACACTTTAAAAGTTGAGAATGGAGGGGGGCTGTGAAGTAACAAAGAAAACTGATGTTAAGATTTATTTGGGCAATAATATTTAAATTATACCGATGCAATAAGACACGGGTCAGAAAACTGTTAAGTGATACCCAAAATGCAGAGAGTAATTATTTATGCTATGCTGCATATCACTAATAGTCACTGCTTTGTCAAACGGTGCTACAATGGAGGATTTTTAACATGTTTATTGTAAATTTTTTGACAAAATTATCGTCTAATAGGTCTGAATGGGCTACAGGTTCAACTAATGTATTTGTGTCTGATGCACTTCAAAGTAAAAGGGGGTTATGTAAACTTTAATAGCACACTACAACTGTCTTTGTTGTTTTATTCTTTTTGAGGCACAGCCTTTGGCATCCAGCTTAAAGGTCTACTTAAAGGTCCAAAAAGTTTGTTTTTGTTTTTTTTTTGGTACAACTTGCATGGCTGTGATGTGGTTAAGAAGGTGTTGGATGTGCTAGTATTACTTAGGGTATCCTCTGATATTTCCTGTGGTGAAAAAGCACATAACAACACCCTCTGCAGGAAGGCTGTGAGAAGCACAATCACTGGAATGCTGCAATCATTCAACTAATGATGCCCAGTCCTTTTGATCAACAAAATAAAGGTTTTATAGGTATTATAGTTATCTTGTTATACTTACAAGCAGCTCGAAACCTGAGTAGTCATGGTATAGCATTTTTTTTCTCTTTAAACATACAAAAACGTATGCACATTTATCTCAACTTTCTGTAAACAGCAATCTCCTTTCGAATCCCTTTAACGATTGAAACATGCAAATCAAACGCACATTACTTATGTATAAAAAGAAATCAACACAAAAAGGTAATTGAGGAGATGAAACTTTACACCTAAAAAAAATGCATCCATCAACAGAACTAAATGGAATGCCAGCAAACATCACTTGAACTCATCTCCGTCTGGCCTCTGGTGTCCTCCATACAACCGTAAGAATGTGATTAAATTAAATTACTCGTTTAAAAAAAATAAGAAGGATGAAGAAAAGTGCACCTTTCATGCCTTTTGTAGTACTCAATACTTTTTCCCATATGGAGACTGAATGCAGGGAGGGACAAACCCACTGGTGAACATTCCTAAACTCACTTATAGGAGGAAGGAAAACCAGGCAGCAGATCAAAAACACTAAACAAAAAAAGACAGGACTGAGCATCACAACCCAGAGATCTGACAGTCAGGAAGCATAATTTTTCATCTTTCTCATCTCTCAGAAATGGAGAAGTCCAACGACACGTTTCTCTTTTGTCGCAGATTAATCGTCTGCCTTTCAGTAAAGGGTTAATCATTACGTAAAGAGTTTATTTTTTCTAGGGCACTTAACAGGGCGGTGAGCATAGTCTTCAGAGTATACTCTGGGTATCTTTGTAGCCATTTCCATGTGCTGTCCATGGCTGACGAGTGGTGGGCTCAGTGTCTCTGCTCTCCCACTCCATGTGGCGACTCACTAGAAGGCGGGTACTGCTGAGAGGTCCGCAGCCCACCTGAGTGTGACAGGATGGGGGAGGAGGAGAAGGAGGAGGAGGTGGAGAGACAAGAATAAGGAGGAGGAAGAGGAGGAGGGGGGGGTTAGCCATAGAGCTGCAAGCCAGACGAGACACACTGCAGTACAGGAGAGGAGCAAGGAGGAAGAAAAGGGAGAGAAAAAGTTGTAGTACCTGCAGCACCAGTGCCACCCTTGGAGATTTTGCTCACTTTGGAGCAGGAACCGGAGAATGAGGAGGAAGGGTGGTGGTTGTGGCTGGCATCTGGGTATGCCCTTCTTCGTGATGAGGATGAAGGTAAAGAGGTGGATCCCGGAGGAGCGAGCGCGGCCCCGTCCATGCTGACCAGTCCTGGAGGACCCCGCAGCAGGCCTCCCCCGCCGGCTGGACCCTCGGGGCCTCCCCGCCCATTTCCGCTGTGAGAGTGTGGATGACTGTGCTTATGGTGACGCTGGAGGTTGTGATCGGCTCCTCGCTGCTGTTTCTCTTTATTCACCAGAGGGCTGGAATGTTTGCTCTTGTTGTTTGCCCCCATGCCTTCGTCTGAGGAGCTGTGGCGCTCTGATGATGACACTTTGATCTTCATCTTAAGCTCATTCTTGCTTGCTTGACCACTTTTATCCAGCTGTGTGCTGCCACCAGGAACAGGCAGGCGGAGCTTAAGCGGGCCTTTGTCCCGTTTCTCATTATGATGACGTCTGTCCTGACTGGAAGAGGAGGAAGAAGGGATTTTCATTTTTATCGGGGAGGCAGTGGAAGTGCCGCCACCGCCATGGGATGTTTGGTGGGGCTGTGAGTGTTTTCTGTGGTCTACTTGGCTCGTAGTGGGTGGTGCATAGGTAGAAGAGGAGGAAGACAACATATCCCCCTTCACATCACAGTCCATGACTCCACCATGCTGTTCCTGACCGCGTTTCTGTCCAGAAACAGCCAACTCTGCGGCGTGTTTCTCCCTGTATTTATCAAGAGAAAGCTTCTGAGCTGGAGAGCGTTGTGGTGGAGGAGCTGGTGGAGGGTATGCAGACTGCTGTGGCTGATGCTTCCCCACACTGCCTCCACCAGCTCCTTTTTGTTCCAGCTTGACTGGGATGAAGTCCGTTTTCTCAGTCTTGAATAGCGATGGATGCTGAAGCAAAGAGGAGGTGGAGGTCTGCACGGGCAGTGTGGGCTCTTGGATAGGGATGCTGAGGGGTTCCTGTTTTAAACAGGTGGAAGGGTACCCTGTTTGACCCTGGGGCCACTCGCTGTGGCTCGATGGATTGTATGGGCCCAGAGACAGGGATGGATCTCCAGACTGGCCAGGCATGGATACGCCGAAGACGGCGCCCGCTTTGGAAAAACATGGGTTTGCTGAGGCGTCACCTTGATCATTGAGCATTGACGGCCCGGCAAAAGAGTTATCGGACAACTGGGAGCTGTCAGTCTTGGGCTTCTTGGCAGCTTGGGTCGCCTAGGTAGAAAGATATTTGTGTATTAGTCTACACATGGACTACTTAGTTGTGTCAATATTTGTGATTTCAACACTGCCACCTGTACATACCTCCTTAAAAAAGGAACATTAAAAAGGGATATAAAATTAAGTAGGGTCAAACACACTGTAACACCAAGTTAGACTGCTTTCTCCTCTAGTTATACCAACTTTAGTAACGACCACAAGACAGCAATATACAGCAGTCCCAGGAGCAACGCGCTCAACCAAAACGCCACTCTATCGCCACAAATAATGCTCAGAACAGCACCTAACTTCATCAACAGTACATAAAAAATCCCAGCCATAGTACTAGCCATCAAACATCTTTATAGCTTTGCCTATTTTCTTTAGCAAAGAGACTAAACACAACTCATCCACTCTCTTTCGGCAGCCATTTGTTTGTACAGAGACCTCCAGGCGCGTCCATAGAATACAGCGGGGTGATGCAGCTCAAGGAAGAACATTTATGATCATTTCTTTATCGTTTCCTTGAAGTAAAAATCACCATATTAATCATTTTTTTAGCGTCTCGGTCTGATTGTATTTCCATAAAGAAATGATCATAAATGTTCTTCCTTGAGCTGCGAAACTCCGCTGTGGTGATGTACTCACCAAAGGTCTCCATACAAACAAGCGGCTGCTGGAAGAGAGTAGGTGAGTTGTGTTTAGTCTCTTTGCTAAAGAAATCAGGCAAAGCTAAAAAGATGTTTGGTGGCTAGTGCTATGGCTGGGACCCTATATGTACTGTTGATGAAGTTAGGTGCTGTTCTGAGCATTATTTGTGGCTACAGAGTGGCGTTTTGGTTGAGCATGCTGTGTATTGCTATCATGCGGTTGTTACTAAAGTTGGTATAACTAGAGAAGCAAGAAGTCGGCAACATTCACCTCTGGACAGGGTGTCTAACTCTGTGTTACGGTGTGTTTGACCTTAACTTAATTTTATGCCGGATTATCCCTTTAACACAGATATTCTTTATGCATTTCAGCACTAGGACTCTACTTAGGTTTAGATGTGGCTAAATCTTTACACAAAGCAAATACGTTTCATACCCTCCAGTTGCGTATCCTCTTTAACCTGCTCGGCGTCTTCTCCAATATCTGCAGGAACTCATGGGTCAACTCTGCAGAAAAGACACGAATGACGCCATTTAATGTGATTCTGCTAAAACTGATCAACATATTGCTTGGATTAAATTGGATGTGATACATTACAAGAATAAAACAAAACTCACCATCCAGCAGCTCAAGTGTAACAGAGTTGTCCACATACTCCCACCAATGTTTCCCATCAGTGGAAACTGGAATCTCCCAGTTGGACCACTTACAGGCTAAGTGGATGCACACGCAGGCGATCACGGTGGGCTTGTACTGGAGGCAGAAGGTAGTGAGGTGTAGACTGTGGAGTGTGTGGGGGGTATTTAGGAGTGAATTGTGAGAGTGAGAGGGAATTTTATTGATGTGCGTGTGCAGCAATGTGGGCGAGTCGATTTCCAGCCAGGCGAAGTCACGAGTGGTCAAACATTTGAGGGGGAAAAGAGAGAAAAAAAAACACAAGGAACAGACGCTTTTAATTTACGGCATGTGTTGGATGTAAAGGACATGATATTATGACTATGATGATGCATTTAAGTCACTCAAAACGACACATTATATGACAAATTTTATAACGCTGAATTAAAGAGGAAGGGCTTGATAACAGCTCGCATGAACTCGATCATAAAATCTCTTTGGTTTAAAAACAGTGAGGTGGGTTGTGAGGGGGCTCAGGTATCGACATGAGCAGTTGTTAAATACTGTGGCCTCCCATGTGGCAGCTGCATGATTTCACTTTAACTAACACGGTCTGTATTAACAGCAATAAATACAGCTAACGCTCCAGATTGATCATACGACTTGACACCAGTTATGTCATTATTAGGGGTTAACTGGGTGTTGATAGCCTGTCCTGACTGATCATCACAGCTTATCTAACCTACAGTCCAAGAGTACAAGAAATCTGTATCTTAACTGTCATAAAATAAGCATTTGATTTCAGGACAGGCGCAATTCATTCAATAGCAACAGTGAAGAGCTGTTGCCATCTAATAAGACACGGTTTTAACAGGCGAACAGGGACACAAACTGTTTAACCACTGAGAATCGTGGCTTTTCTTTTAGGACAAGAGATGCAATTATACCTGATTAAACTTACAATAAACCTGTTACTACAACAGAAGTAACAAGGTGGGTGAAAAAAATCTATAGTTTTACTTAAGAAATTAAGTTCTTTTGGAAAAAAAGCACCATAATTTAGCTAACTGAAATTTCATTTGAAACACCTGCTTCATCATGATGAAAAGATAATTTCTGTAAAAGTTCATCACTCCTTTGAAAAACACACTTTAGCCAGAACTAGTGGAAAACACAATGTCTGGAGTCTGACGTGTTCGATTACTTAAAAGTCATCAGTCACTGTTTGTATAGAAGGGCGTTAAAATGACAACATTTCAGCTCCCCAACACAGATGGGCTTTATCACTGACAGTGAAATATAAAAACCCACTGATGTTTCACAATGACTCATCTCGAGGCAAATTTAGAGAAGCTATGATTGACGGCAGTCAGTCAGTCATTCTCAGAGCTGCCTGCCACAGTCAGTCAACCAGACATTGTCAACTGATTCAAGAAACTGAATACAAAATGGTAAATTTCCACTGAGCAGTTTGGTTTGGTTCAGTGCAGTTTGGTACGGTAAGCCTTCATCTTTCATGTGTTTCCACAGCTAACTGTGCCCTGGTGCTTCAACCAGGGAGATGGTTGGCCCTGGGAAAGCTCCGGAGAAGCTTGAGTTTCATTTTGGCACGTTAACCGATTGGACTGTTCAGACAACACATCCCACCCGCTAAAAATTCTGATAATAGAAGAGTTGTTTTTTTTTCTCTTCTACAAGCCAAGTGCAGATTTACGCCAAAACACACAGAGGAATGATAAGGCGAGGACTTTATGGTTCTGTTACAGCTCCATCTCTGTCACAAGCATGAAACAAATGATACAGTAGTACTTCTGAAACAGCTTAAACCAAAAGCTGAGTTTTATCTGTAGACGGACTCCCTTTGTTTTCACTCAACGCTTCTATTCTGACTCTATGTCCAAAAGAGTTATTTGGTAAAAGAAGTAACTTGCAGATGAGCTATATTTATTATGAATAACATCAGGTTGAAGGGAAAACTTCCTTGTGTGTCATCTCCCTTTGCTTTTGCATCTCTCTCTGTTCCCACTCCCACTACTCAGCTGGTGTCTGTGTGTAAACTAAGCACCTGTTCTTCACCAACACAGTTTCATTTTAAAACCAACCCCAACACTTGTGACATTAATTTTCGACAGTGCAAACACAATCAATTGCGTACTGTGCCGAACCGAACTGAACCAGACTGCTTTGTGAAACCACAGCTAAAGTTGAGATAAAACTCGATTCCTCTGCGACATTGTCCTCCATTTATGAACCCTTTAAGGACCCAGTTTCATAGTTGTTTAACAGACACACGCCTATGAGAAAGCTTTGCCCTTTTAGTTTGGAAAATCACGCTCTCCAAATGTAATTGGATCAGTATAAACAATAGTTTAACGATATATCTGCAGATCCTTAATGGGTAAGGCTTTTTTTTCTGTCACAAAAGATATAAAACTATGTTGTCGAAGTGCTAGAAAAAAAATGTGCATTTAAAGGCAAGTGATTTTTGCAAGAGGTGGAAAAATATTTGAACAAATATTTAAACAAATGGATATGAAAAAGAAATTCAAAAAATGAATTTGGGGTACTTACCGGAAAGACCTCTATGAGAAATGTTTACATCTGTGAAATCTTTAGCTGCTATTCAGGCTACCAAAGTGTCTTTCTTTTAGAATTATGCACTTTTTCGCAACCGAACAAACATGTGGGTTTTCAAGCGCACCACTACACTTCACATCTTGCATTCAACCCATCTGTGCCAACACGTGGACCCTTGTACAATACACCGCACTGCGACTGGGGCCGGTAACGCTACAAGCCACCCTGTCCCGCTCCCTGTGAAGAAGGGAGGGGAGCTGAGGGGAGAAGGCAAGCATCCCAACAACCACCAGCGCAAGTAGGGCCCGTTGGACACTGAAAGGGCACCCTGCATTACAGGAAGCTATGGTGTGCAGTCAAAGTGCAACAAAGGAGGGGCAGGATAACAACCTGTTGGTAGCCATGAAATAGGAAGTCTGTGCCAGATCCTTGCTTGCTGTGGGAGACAGGGAAAAGAGAAAAACAAGATAAGAGAAAATAGGTTAGTGTTTCTGCAAGATACATGCATTTTTGTTTTTAAATTATATGTCAAAAACTGAACTTTGTTTTTGTTACATGTGCACAGATTAAGCCAAGGTCAAGACTGAAAGCAACCGTCAATTTAAGTGTTTTCTCATTTCAAATCTTTCAGCATGTTAGAGTTTTATAAACAGAGACAGCCGTAAAAAACCCTAATACCAACAAAACACAGTAAGTTTATGTTTAGCAGATCAGCTGTTACTGACGGTCCCCAATACAAGGCTAAAGCTCAGAGGTGACAGAGCGTTTGCTGCAGCTGCTCCCAAGCTCTGGAATGAGTTGCCCTTGACAATTAGACAGGCCTCCTCGTTTCCCGTTTTTAAATCCCTTTTAAAAACGCACTTTTACTCCTTGGCTTTTAAAACATTGTAGTGTTATTTTGTTTGTTATCATCATAGCACTTGCCGTGAGCTTGTTTATTTATATGTTTATTTATTTTTTTGCATTTATGTTTTCTTGTTCGCTTTATCTTGTTTTTGCTTGTTTCATTCGTTTTTGTGTCTCAATGTACAGCACTTTGGCTACCCCCCTGGTTCTTTTAAATGTGCTATGGAAAAAAGTTGATTGATTGATATGTAATTCTACCAGAATTCACATTTTTTCATTCAAAATTGAGTCAAACAAATTGGTTTTGAAAAGCTTTTCAGTCACTTATTGATCTGATTACTTTTAATGTCGTTTTCCACTCATTTCTTCAATACTGATACAGCTTTACAATACATGCAGCTATAACTGGGAATGGGTATTGAGAACCAGTTACAAGTTGAAACCAGATCTAAATATTTGCGATCCACTAATTCATTTGAGGTATGTGCATTATACAGGGTAAAAGCCACCACACCTACAAAAAAAAAAAAAAAAGTTTTTATCTCACATAGTTCTACCTCGGACTCATATGTATCAGCAGTGTTTCCCCTACAGTCATTCAGCTGCTGCTAAATTACGTGCACTGCTACTGAAATTTCACATGATCATTAATATCAATGGGGCACTAATGATTCTACTCCCACTGTGTGAGCACAACAACACACAACGTTATTTTCGACTTGTTTTGAGTCATCAACAAGCGCATCATATCCTGTCGGACCATCTTCCACTAATGTGAAGGGTAACGTTTAAGCTCAAACATGGTCTGTATAGCAAGTAGCGCGGGTAACATAATGTGAACGTAACACAGACTCTTAACAGGTTCTTAACAGTACGATAACTCTTAAGTCCAGAGAAACTGTGCTTCTTCACAAGAACCTGTGGTGACAAATGGGACACGGTCTATCACCAAACTTGGCTGACCACAGCAAGTGACCTTCAATTTGGCTAAGCGCCACTAAAAAGGATAGTCACAGGAGAGATACTACATGCAGGGCAGGAAGCACATCTAGAAGAATGAAGCCTTTACCCCAACATGGTGTAAACTTGAGGGAATTTAATTTGCTGCTCTCTCTTGTTTACAAAAAGCAAAACTAGACTGGTGTCAGCTGTAGCAATGTCTCCCCACGCTCAGAAACAGAACACAATAGAGCTCATACATGTGTTCAAATCCTGGGAAACAAATTGTGTCCACAAATATTTCAGTTGAACACGGATATAATATCATTTCAGTCTTGGCTTTCGCTTAATAAGTACCAGTGAGTCTCGTTAATGTGCTACTTGTCACATGAAACTCAAAAGGTCATCAAAGAGCAGTGTGTGTGTGTGTGTGATCATTAAACAAACAAATCAGCAAGGGTTTTTTTTTCACCCCCCTCCCCACCCATATCTGAGGTGGGACAAACAAGAGCAGAGGGCACAAAGAGCAAAGAAGGAAGCCTCTACCTCGCACTAGCTGGGAACATTTCACCACATCAGTGTGTGGGTGATCAATAGTAATTTCAAAGCCTGGAACAAAATACATGACAGGTGAGTTCAACACAAACACAACTGATAGGTGACATGTCATTTAGCGTGATCGAATTTAGAGATACATTTGGGGCTCTGATTTAGAAATCTAGTGGATGTCTCATGGATTTTAAATGCATACTTTGATGGTCAAATCATCCATGTTTTATAAGAATTTAATGAGCGCTGACTACCTTTGTATATGAGAAATAGGCACACAATGTTGAGTTTGATTGGTAGTAAAATGGAGATACAATTTGTCAAAAATGCATCAAAGAGAGTCTTTCAGTTTTGTAAATACCATGCTGTATGCCTAATGGGAGAGAAAAATCAATGACATGTCACCTGTACATGATTTATTGGAAAAAATGTAGATAACAAGATGCCCATACAGCAGCTGATACAAATGTCACTCAACAGGCTGTGATGAGTAAATTTAACAGATAACAGTTCTACTCTCTTACTGATCATTACAAGCCAAAGAGAACGGTTATGATAAGCAAAAGGCTAATCTCTCTCAAGTCATCCACTCCAGTCACCACTACTTACCCAGGGTCTGCAGCACTATGGATTCAAGTATCACCAGCTCTTGAGCTTGCTGGAGGTATGCCTGAAGTTTGATAGACAGTCATTACAACACAATTGTAATGAGTCTATTTACTCTTTACCCCCTCAAAACTGATTTCAAATGGCCAAAAAAACTCCTCAAAAGAAACCCATTTTTACCAACAGTAAAGGCCTCTTTGGGTGTGGTGTTTTGGTACACAACAGCAGGGCAAGACAGTTACAACAAGGCCCTTTGATGAGTGCAAAGGAAATTGGCCCAGTGACCACTGAGAGAACTGGAAAGTCAGATATCAAAAGGGAAAAAAATGTTCAACAATATGGCACAAAGAGCCTCCAGAAACTCACATTGCTTTTTGTGTCGAGAGGCGGCTCTTGGGGATTCAGGCAAGCATGTGCGACTTTGATCACATGTTCGAGTTTCCGGGGTTGCTCTTCCACTTTCGCAGCCAAGAACAAGGTGGTTGGAGAAATTATCTGTTAAAAAGCACAACATTTACACACATATCCATACTAAATTAACTTTGAAACTTCTGCAACAATATATCCCAATTGCAAAACCAGGTTGCAGGTCAATAGCAGCATTACGTTCTGAAATACTTACATTCCTGTGGAATTTGGTGAAAGAGTGTTGCATATAAAATCTATGCATGTAAACAATGGCGGTATTTATTGTTAGTTGTGAGCTGAACGGTAGGTCAAGGAAATGTAATATTCCATGAAGTGAGAATAAATGTGCCAAAATAGAGAGTCAATGTGAACACAATTAAACAATATAACCAAAAAAGGGCATCTATGGGCTACACTGAAGCATGATTTGATGTATTTAATGTTATAGTAGAGCTGCACAGTTGGTCAAAAAGTGATCACAGCTGCAATTGGCCTTCCTGCATTTAAAATAAGTGACTGATGGTCATATTGACATTTAAACTGCATGCTACACTGAGAATACGCTTACTAAAAGTCATTCCCCCAAGGGCAGAAAGAGAGGTTTGGCTTCTCTGTTGGGACATCTGGCATGAATGCATAACATGAAGAGGCAGTTTTACGTGGTGAGGATTAAAACAGACCACTTCAAAGAAACAAAAGTAAATGTCTGGACCAGAAGAGGAAAAATTTGTCCTACAAAGCAGTTTCTGTGGGTTCAGGGCGTATGAGAAGAAAAAAAAGGAGGGAAAATCATTTGCAAAAAATGCATAAAACTTCTGCATAGCTCCACAACAGCTCAACTAACTTTAACAGTAAAATCATTAAGAGCAACGTGATGAACGAAGGCCACAAGGAATGGTTACACACACCTCCTCCCATCCTTGTCTAGCATAAAGTCAGGCATCCACTACACAACACCGCCCATCCATCATAGGACTATCTGCAACCAAAGATACAATCATATTCCTTTAGGCGAGGTTATTTATACTAAAAGCGCTTTATTCATCTACAAGTGCGTAAATTTTAGGTATGCATACCTTCACATTAGTTTAAATTTATGCACTGTGTGTTGCTCTTGTTAATATGATGATCATGATCTCAGTGTTGGTAAAGTATACCACTTGATCACCACGTTTAACGCAAACGTGCGGCCCCACGTTGAAGGGAAAACGGGTTGAAAGGTCAGGCCACGAACCTGTGGATCAATCACCTACTTGATGCTTCTTCAAATGCTCTTTTGAGAACACGCGTGGGGTAACACAAAGCGTAAACTCAAACAAACACTAACAGTAGTGAAGCTACACTGCACAAGAACAGCTGCAGACTCACCTGGCGGCCCTTCACACGTCCACCCTCAGCTAGCTCATTAGCATGCTACATTAGCCTACAGCTACACATGGAGTTAAGACCATCACTCCACTGTTTACGACTTTTTTAATAAGAAATTTTCAATACAATTACATCATTTAACGTGTGCTGATTCTAAAGTCTTGATTTCTGCTCACTAATCTCAGTAAATACCGTTAACTGGCCCGCTCTAGCACTGAGCGCCATGTCGCCTTCGTCTGTTTCAGAGAGAAGTTTGTTTACAAAGGATACACGTTGAGTCGTTGGCCCATGTCTTGGATCAAATTCGCCGCTTGTTGACGGTAGGACAGCTCCCTGTCCGGTTCCACTCCGCATCGGCGGGACGGCGTGCTCTCGAGTTGCTCCCGGGTGAAAAACCATTTCGACGAGGATCCCCGGCACGCCGCCATTGCTCATCAACGTTCACTTGGGCATCGAGAAAGCGGATGTGACGTCGTGTCGCACAGGAAAACACGAAGTAAATGGTAATGCGGGTTTTTTTTTAAACGGAACATTATGTTTTTAATTTTTGAACTTCTTTCACAATTTTTGTTTGCTTTTAAATTCCAACAAATATTTTGTTTTGAGTTTAATTATGTTTCTCAAAAATGTTTATCTTTTCTCTTTCTATCAATTTATAATAATAATAATAACTTTATTTTAATAGCACCTTTACAATCAGAAGTCTACAAAGTGCTTTGACAAACAGTTGCAAAACACAGACCATCAGCACATGGAAATAAAAACAAATAAAAAACAAAAGCTCAGTTAAAATCAAGGCCTCCGAAATTGAAGGCCAATTTACTTTGTCATAAGAAGCCCAGACAATACAAGAACCCTACAGCATGAAATGAGAATTTGGTTGTATTCATTGACATTTGTTGTTGTTGCGTTTTTCTTCCAATTAAATCCAAACATTTTTTTTTTTAGTAAAAAGAGACAGTTTTTATCCAGAAGACCACACATTTTCAAGTTTCTGTTTGTATTCAGCTTATACGCTCAACAGTTAAAGGTTGAGTGTTACCTTAGTAATGCTGTCTCTCTGCTGAGATGGTTGTTTTATAGATATATTTTTAACTTGTTTTATAGCAATAAGAGTCATATAACCGAGTGTTAACGTTTACATGAAATATGTATAAGAATAAAGTGAGGATGTCCTCTTGAAATCAAACCCACAAGCCTCAGGAGGCTCAAGAAGCAGCCCAAGAAACAGGTCCACTAACTAACATTCACAGTGTACAGAATATTTTAGACCATCGATGAACACTCAGATTCTGATTGAGATTAAAAGAGCATCCTCATGTCAAGATATAAAATGAGACTGTAGAAGACCAGCATATTTGAGGGTAGTTTCATGTCCACTTTCTGTACCAACAATGACTTCAAAAATACAACTTGAATAAAATTGAGGGTAAAATTTTAATGAATTAATGGCTCTACTATATAAGCACATACAGTATTTTGAAAACATGGTAATGAATCACTCCTATTATAAGCAGTTGTGCTGTAGCTTCTCATGTTACTTGAAATGCTCTCGTTTCAGACCCAAAAACTCCAGTGCGTTTCCAGCCAGCAACTTGTCCTACAAAAACAGTAAAAAGAAAGAAACTGAGTACTACACTAGAATAAAATGCTGTCCTCTTACTGACTCTGCAACATATTTATACATTTATGGGCACAATAAAAGTTTCAAGATGGTATAATCAAAGAAAATTCATTGGTATGACTTTCTGCACTATGATGAATGTACTGTGTCTTTTGCTTGTCCTGCTAATAAACCTATCCCATACACTTTTCATTTTTATGTGTTAAATAGTCAATCATAACAGCAATACTGAAGGCAGAAGGGGGAAACATTTATACCTTTAATTTGTCATCAAACTCATCCACTGACTCAATTAGTGATCCAGGCTGCAGCTCACCCAGAGGGAAAGGGTAATCAGTTCCCAGCATCACCTTATCCTGAAAAAAGCATCCATGCACATGAAAAAACGTGTTAAACATTAAATAAAAAGAAGACAGGTCAAGTTTTAAAGCAGTGCCACCCATCCAAAACGCTTTCAACTGCTTATTTCTTCAACCATGAATCATTAAATACAAGCTCACTTTGCCGATGACATCCGTGAGGAGCTTCAGGGCGATGGGATCATGAACTAAAGAGTCTGTGTAGAAAGAGCCGAGGTATTTCCTGGGAGAAATCTTGTTGTCTACCGCACAAAGGTCAGGGCGGACCTTGTGGCCGTGTTCAATTCTGCCAATGGTAAATGGAAAAGAGCCACCTGTAACCACAGACGCGGTAAAGGTCAAGAGACAACACAGTAGCTCATTGCATCTCTAACTGAGCATGAAGCAATTACACTATAAGAGTGCAGATTACCCTGAAGGTGGTAATGTTATTCAGCTGTGACTTGAGCTAGAAATTTAGTTAGCACTGTACCTCCATGTGCAAAACAGACTTTCAATTTGGGAAATCTCTCAAAGACTCCTCCGAATATCATCGAGCAAATAGCCATGGTCGTCTCTGATGGCATGCCTGTGGTGAAAGGAACAACGAAACATAATTTTAAAACCGATCCAACATTAAGATGAGTGAAGTGCATCCTTTTTTTCTGAGGTGTTCAATATCTCCTGTTCCTGCTGAATCTCCCTTACCCACCAGCCAGGGCAGCCAATACTTAGCCATCCTCCCATCTGTTTCCATATCCCAGGGGTGCACAAATATGGAGCAGCCCAGCTCCTCAGCAGTCTGCATGGAACGCACAAACGCTAGGTCAGCGCTTTCAAATGAGATAAATCAGTGGCATCTGAATACAAAGGCATGCTGGGTAAGTCAGAAGGTAATAAGTCACACCGAACATGACCAAGTTACATGTGCAGCTTTATTTAACAGTCTTAGATTTTAACTATGTCATCTTACAGCAAAGAAAGGATGTAGTTCAGTCGCGTTGAGGTCCCAGTTGTTGATATGTGACCCGATCTGCACCCCTGGGAAGCCCAGCTCCTTCACGCAGCGGGTCATCTCCAGCACAGCTAGGTCAGGGGCTTGCATGGGCAGAGTGCCCAGGCCCACAAACCTCTTGGGGTGGCTACGCACTGTCTGGGCCAAATCGTCATTTAAAAGGACACAAAGATCCAGGGTGTCATGGGGTTTGGCCTGAAATAAAAACAACACTGAAAAAGTTATGCATACTGTTTGTGACAGGTCAAATGTAGTTTTGAATCACAGTGAACTGGAGAATATAAATGTTGATGCCAATTATATAAACCACTGGGTCATTACATAGAAAGCCTGGAATATCTTCTGTTCCTGTTTCTAATAGGAATGAGTGGATGTAGCTCACAGCAATTTGGGGCACAGTAAACAACTCTGTTCAGGTTGTGAGCACACAACAATAAACTCTTCTTTCCAAGTGTCTCAGACTTAGTGTTGTCTTACCCAGTAGCTGAACATTACAGGGACTGTCGAGAGGGCTTGAACTGTGACACCTACAAAGTTATTAGTAGAAATATCATCAGTGAAATATAAAACTGTCATTCTGCTCATGCTGTCACTTCTGCATACTGTAAGTACCATGTTGATTCATGTCTCTTATGCGTGCAGATGCATCCCAGCAATTTTCCTGAATCACTCGAAACAGCTTCCCATCCTTCATCATTTGGGCTTCTCCCTGAAACACAACATAAGCAACATTATAGTCTAATAAAACATCTATAAATAGGTGGAAACAGACTTATTTAGGGGGTGTGTCAGTGTCTGTGTCAATGTAGGCTTCCAGTTATGTGTCTTTTAGTAAGCAGCTGTGAAACACCACAAAAAATAACCACATGATGGCAGCAGACAGCTGATTCCTTCAGTTCAGAAGAAAACTAAACCTGATTGTTATTTTCTGATATACAAACAACATCTGCATCCTCACCTGCATCGCAGTGTGACCTTTAGTCTCCTATATCTTGTCTTAGACTGGCACCAGGACTTGAACAGGTGGTCATCACCAGATATGGCTTGTATTTAAAGGCATCAGTGCGACGCATTTAACGACTTTTATGTGCGGTCTGCTGATGGCGAAAGCTCAACCGACATCTGTCACTAAAGGTTTCCCTGCAAGCAGAGCTGTGTGTCTGTCTGCTCTGTGTTCTGCTGTGCTGCGGTGGTATATGAAGTGAGGTTTTTTAGCTGATGCAGTGGCACCGTGCTGAGTTCTGCAGCTGCTGAGGACCGAGCTGACAGGTCCATAGGGTGGGGTGCAGGAAGGAGGAACCTGCTGTGTTCCCTGCATTGTTTCCACTCCTGCACATGCATGCATACATACCAAAAAGATGTGTCTCACCTTGCAGTGGTGGTGAAGCTGGACAAACCCTCCATATCCGTACCTCTAAAACAGAAAGGACAACGTTTTACTCTTGGGAGACACACACCAAAATCTTATTATGGTTCAAATAACAAACCTGGCATTTCTCAAGTAGATGTAAAATCTAAGTTTTGACACGGGCTTTGTTTCACAGGAGACCCGACTGCAGTGGAGCTTTTATTGTTTACATTTTCCCCATCTGTGAGGGTTCAATCTTTATCCTAGAGGACGATCCACTCTTACTCACTGAATAAAACAAAGTGAAAGCCATCCAAGGCTGCGGACTCCTTTGCATACAAATGAAGCCAAAAATGATCTACGTTAGCATTATACAACAGCACAGCCCCTTTGTCATACCGGGACAGATCTGCAGCTCTGTGTAGTTTGTTGAATCCACAGGGAAGCCTCAGCCGTCCTCAGTTCTAAACTGGATTTACAACCTTTCTTACTAAAAGTGTTAATATATGTACTTCTTTAAATAACCCTCTCAATTAAAGACTGATTTCTATTAGCTTTCTGCTATTTGACTCAATACTGAACATCACAAAGGTACGGGATGAATCTATTTAATCTGAGCTGGTATCGACAATAACATCTGCCATTGATGAACATCAGCTACTGATATTGATGTATGGCAACAAGTCTGTCTGATCCTGATGTCAGGGTTAGACCTCTACAAAAATAACCTATCAATCACACTTAAATGGAACCTAAACATTAAGGGATAAAAGCAAAAAAATATGTGTTTTCTGACAATATCACAGACATCGAATTTTTACAGACGTGTGAAGCTGTTGCTACAGTTTTCAAATGTTCTTTCAAGTTGTAAAATAAGGAATTGTAAGCTGTAACACACACACAAAATGAATAATCAGCTTGTGTGAGTTTAAAGGCAGATATCCCATGCGGCAGAGAAGCTATTAACACAATAATATGCACAAAACACGCCTTTGAAGTCGTATTATTGTGCAATTTTTTCACAGTTATGAAGACAATACATGATGAACAGAAAGCATAAAGCAAACTGAGGTCACAGGGGGCGTCAAACTTGTGACTCAAGCTCTCATGTGTGGAGCGCCAACAAAGATTCATGAGTGTACCTTATGTGTATGACCCACAGGGCTCCAGTCTGCACACCATCTTTCCTGTCTGCACTAAACATGGGAAATGATTAGCTAAAGGCAGGTCTCCACAGTGACACAGACATAAGCGCCGGAGCAGATAGGACAGGGAAGAGCAAGGCCAGAGCAACTTATTGATTAAAGTTTAACCATCCACGGAGAACACAGATTTATGGAGTGAGCTGTTACAACTCCTCGCTGACACTCCAATGGGAGAAGTCGGCACATTCTGTTTTACTGCTTTTTAATAGCATTGAATTAAGGTGAACCTCTGCCTACAACAGAGCCGTACAAACAAAGATGTGTTTCTTTTACACCCACTCAACCACACCACAGAGATCTAGCGTATAGATTGTGAGGATTTACTCAAAGCGAATACAGAACAGCTCTCAGATCCTCAGTGAGTTTGAGTCTTTGGGTGCTTACCTGTTTCAAATCAGGCCACTCCTTTGGTAAAATATGATTATGAATATCAACCTTCATCCTTGTGATTACCCTCAGGGGATCTGGAAGTCTGCAGCCAGAGCTCTCTCACTGTATGTGAGTGCAAAACCAGTGAGTAAGCTCCCCGCCTTCAGCCAGAAACCAATGACCGGCAGGTGAATGACTGCTGCTGGGACGCCTTCATCATTCATTACCCAGTTATTACAGCAGGAAGGGAATTACTGGCATGTGCAGCCAATGACATAATGCCATTTATAGTTGTATTCCAAACCATCTGGAGACTTTAAACCATAACATTTTTTATTTACAACACACCCCACCTCATACAACAACACAGATGGTTGTTGAATTATGCTGACTCACAGTTTAGGCTCAGCATAATATTGGACAGATGCATGTTTAGATGTTTTTAGATTGTGTGTTACATCATGATTACATCCAACAATTTTGCAAGGCAGTGATATATCAAAGTCTACGGTGGCTAAGAACACGACGGCGAGAAGACCAGCAAAGAAGTAAGTGGAAAGGTTATTGTTTAATTTCCCTTTATGTGCTTTTCAATGTGTCGTTTGGTTAGGCCATGTTGTACCTGAGTCGATATGAAGCTAAACTGAAGCTAACACTACACCAGCATCCTCCAGTTCAACTTCTTATCGACTCAGGCGCTACATGGCCTAGCCAAATGACACATTAAAAAGCACACGAAGCAAAATTAAACAATAACCTTTCCACTTACTTCTTTGCTCGTCTTCTCACCATCATCTTTTGGGCCTAGATCGTAAAACACAGGTGCATCATCATTATTGGTCCCCGGCAGCTCACTTTTGTTGTGGCTTTTTTTTATTTGCATCCTTTTATTTTCACAGTAAGTAACTTTTTTTTTTGCAACACTTTTTTTTTGCACCATTAACTTCCGTTGTGATTTTTTTTATTTAATTTTTTTGATCTGCACTGTTTCTTTTTTTATTTGCAGCCGGCTTTCTTTCTTTCTTTTTTTTCTTTTTTTTTTTTGCACCAGTAACTACTGTTGTGATGTTGTTGTTTTTTTTCATTCTTTTTTTATTTGCAGCAGTGGCGGTTTTCGGCCACCGTACAAGTCTGCAGCTGAATATCCCTGAACAACTTTAAGTGCAAATAAACGTACAACTGTCTAATAATTACTGGATTTCTCCCCCTACTCTTTTCACGTTTGTGTATATGTCCCTGTGTTTTGGCGCCACCCAGCGGTGTATCATTGTTGCATAGGAACTCACGCCACCAGCAGCCAAGTGTACTTCCTTAAATGGCACTTCCGGAAAACTTTAAACAGAAAATGGCGGAAATCTCCTCAAGATATGGAACAGTTACTTTCACTGAGTGAACGTAAAACTGGTGCAAAAAACTGGGTAGGCCGACTTACTTTAAACACATGGTGGTAGAAACTAGCTGTTGTAAAAACAATAGTAGTGCGATTTTGACAGCAGCTAACAAGGGTTAAGATATTGACTATTTTCCATAGTATTTTGTCAGCATTGCACCTTGTAGATAATCACTAAACACACACAAATCGGAATTATGTGCCAAAAATAAAGACTTGGTTAATTAATGCTACAAATGCTCCAACCAAGATATCTTAGCAATGTTACTTAAGAAATTTATCAAGAAACTGGCTTAAAACAGGATTCATATGTGGATTGGGCAGGTCAGTGAAGCTTACATTAGATGTAATGAGATAAAAAGACTTAAAACAATATAACAAACTCACTTATTTTCGGGTTTCTTGCAGTGTTGAGCAGGCTGTCACGCAGCTGATAAAAACCGTGTGTATTTCCATGTTCCTTCACTCAGTTGGTGATGTTATGCAAATGTGGAAAAGTACTCTACTTCCATAGTAAACACTGAAGTAAAAGTAGACTAGTGTCCACTCAAAAAAGTACATGTATACACAATTATAGAGACGTGAGTCAATAAAATGAGCTACTTTTAATCCCAATTCCCGTGATACTGTATTATATAAACTATTTCTACGTTATTTTTAAGTAACAACGTGATTATTGGCCACTCTAGCATATCGCTAGCTAGCATAAAAGCTAATACGGACGTTACTATTTCTTCTTTGCTAGATTTTACTTTCAGCCATTTTCACCAGTCCGCGTTTTGGCGCCATCTAGCGATGCATATATCTAAACTTTTCATGCATATTTTCGGGGGAAATTACGCATGAAAAGTTTGAATGGCTTAACCAACATACACAAAGCAAGAAAAATGAACATTTTCAGAAAAATTAAAATGTGAAATTAAAAAATAAACGTGTCTTTAGATTGATATGAGGACGAATTCATTAAAATGTGTGAAGAATTGAATATTGGCTTTTAAACAAAAAAAAACCCAAAATGTTTAATGTTTATTGTGTCCTTTTTAAACTTTTACATCGTTGGCTCTATTTCTCAAAAATTTCTGTATTTTAAATTGTGTTTTTATTTTATATTCTCTTTCTTTGTAAGGTGTCTGAGCACCGGTAAAAAACGGATTATAAGTAAAATTTATTATTTATTTATTTTATTTTTTATTTATTTCGATATAATTTACGTATTTAAGTGATTAAACTCATGTGCTAAACATGTATTAATTTGTTAAATGTGGTGAAAGTCAAACACTCAGGAGATGTTTATGGTTAAAGTCACTTTTTTTTTTCCATGCAGAGGTCTGTGATGCTTCAGGAGAGGATGAACGCTGAGGGGAGGAGAGAAAGAGGAAGGGGAGGAGGAAAGAAAACTTGCAGGCACCGCCTGTCAGATTCTCAGCAGATCTCAGCAATTTATCACAGCCCCGCATCTAACCCTAAACTGTCTGTAAGTGGATCATCCGGGCAGACTGTTTACACAGAGGCTGCAGAGCTGCTCCTGCGCCGTGGACTTTACGCACAGGGAGTTGGTCCGCTGCTGATGCTGGGGAGATAAAAACCCTTTATCTCCCATCTTCTCTTATCGCCATCTCTTCTTTTCTCTTCCCCTCTTGTTCGCAACTGAGTCGACACCGGTGGCTTATTATTGGACGCGCTGGATGGCTGCTGCACTCAGCGAACCGGCGTGAATCTCTCTATCATCATCTTCACCATCTTTCTCTGCCTCTGAGCCCCTAAAACAAACCAGCAACTACAGCAACAATGACAGACCCGGCGACCCAGGAGTCCTACCCTGTCCCAGACCCGACTATTGTGGATCCTTGCCCGGCCCCTGTGCGGAACGGCCAGTGCGCCCCAGATGGCTTCACCAACAACCACCACCAGCAGGTCAAAACCCCCAGCCAGCCCGAGGCGTTAAACACGGACCAGGAGATGAAAATCACAGACAGCGTGGAGGGAGAAGGTAACTTTATCCATCTTTGTCTTGTTTTTAAAACTTATAGACGAGCATGGGAATGTGTGTGTGGGTGTGTGTGTCTGTTAGGAGGCTGGCTGGGAGGATGGGAGGGGTATTTTTACCCGTTAGAGGTATTTTTAGTCTGCTCTCATTTGAATAATTTATGACAGTCCTACATCAGCAAGATCCATGTTGCAGTGGAAAAGTTGAATTCAATAATTGAATCATTGTTAAATTGATTATAGCTCCCAAAGCCATTCATTCATCCGTTCATTCAGCTCAGTTTTGATGCATACTCTGCCTCTGAGGTCAAAATCTCTGATCAGTTATTCCTGACAACATGCAGCCAGAGGCAGTCAGTCCCAGAGTCACAGTCAGGTTTCAAAGCTAGATTTTGGTACCAGCCACATGCAAACCTCACTAACCCCCCACTTTTGAACCTGTGCTTGGTTTAACAAACCAGTGTGGGGAATTCTGCTAATAAATCCCAGTCATAATTTATGCAAAAATGCACAAAAGCAGCGAGGCAAAACATTCCACCAAACAATTGGATCTCTGTTGTAATAGTCTGTGACATGAAGAGTTTATAGGGTACGATTTCAGGGAGTAGTAACATCAAGTAAACTAAACTGTGTGGCCTGATTATACTCATAAGATGAGTTATGCTTTCTATGACAAAAATGAAACAATTACTGAAAAAAATTAAATGTACTGACTTCTCATCCACTAAAAAAATGAGTATCCTTGGGCTCTGCTAGTCATGCTGACGTATTTAGACATGTTACTGCTTGTGAAGTTGAAGCTATTGGAGAAATTAGACTTGTATATTGTAGAAAGCTTTATTTTTTCTTCTCCCTTTTCTAATTTTTTTCTTAATTATTGCATTTATTTAAGTTCTTAATATTAGGACCCTTATTGTTATAACTGCATTTTTGCACTTTTTGTCTTGTCTGTGATGCTGCTGTGACAAAAAAATTTCCCCCATGGGGGATCAATAAAGGAATATTCTATTCTATTCTATTCTATTCTAAAGGGATATTCTGGCATAAAATTAAGTTAGTGTTACCCACTCTCTTCCAGCAGCCGCTTGTTTGTACAGAGACCTCAGGTGAGTCCATTACCGCAGCGGGGTGACGCAGCTGAAGGAAGAATATTTATGATCATATCGTAATGGAAATGTAATCAGACCGAGACACTGAGGCAGAAGAACTCCTGCTTCCACAGTGCAAAATGATTAATATTATGATTATTACTTCAAGGAAATGATGAAGTAATAATCATAAATGTTCTTCCTTGAGCTGCGTCACCCTGCTGCAGTAATGGACTCGCCTGAGGTCTGTGTACAAACATGCAGCTGCTTGAAGAGAGTAGGTGAGATGTGTTTGGTCTCTTTGCCAAAGAAATTAGGCAAAGTGAAAAAGATGTTTGGTGGCTAGTACTATGTCTTAGACCCTATATGTACTGTTGATGAAGTTAGGTGCTGTTCTGAGTATTATTTGTGGCTATAGAGTGGCTTTTTGGCTGAGTGTGCGGCTCGCCGGGACCGCTGTGTATTGCTATTGTGCCGTCGTAACTAAAGTTGGTATAACTAGAGAAGCGAGCGGTCAACTCTGTGTTACGGTGTGTTTGACCCTAAATTAATTTTACGCCCTTTAAGATGTTGTGAATACTGTAAGAATGATGATCTCTTCTCATAAACGTAGCGAAAACCACCCCAATTTGAAGGTATAAGTAATATCTACCTTCCTCCTAATATCTACCTCCTAAAGATGGATGATAGATCAATAAATATCCTTTATTCTGTTTTTCAGCTTATTTAAAATATATATCAGTGAAGGATATTTAAAACCCATTACTCAATGACTTTCAGATATAGGCCAAAGATATATAATAAGTCTCATAGTGGACAGGTTTGAAAAAAGATTAAAAAATAGGCAAAATTTGGCTCTTACATCACTAAAGCAACTCAGAACAATCTTTAATAGAGATTTTATACTTTCACATTTAGATGTTCAAACTTCTTATTTTTGAATATAGTCTCAAAATCATTTTGGAAGCCAGACTTGAATCAGTGTTGCCATTATTCTTCAGTGATAACAGGGTGGGTCGCACTCATTCTCAATAGCATAGAGATTCATAGATGAGAAATTAGCGGAATGCCCCTTTAATAGCACTGAATCACCTGCCTTACATTGCGATTGTGATGTCAGGTGAGGTAATGAATGAAAACACTACTCACAGACACAGTTAAGGTTATGAGCAGGCATCAAGGAGGACTTAACAAAGCTAGAAACAGATGTAAAAGTAGTGATCTGAAGATAAACACACACACACACACACACATATTTCAGCACAATATAATATATTTCACACATTCACAGGCGTCTTGTCTGCCTTCCTCCTCCGCTTTCCTCCCTTCTCTCTTATTTGCATAAAAATTGCTGCCATAGCCGTCTCCTATGCTGCTTATCTTGTGTTTCTATTTGTCTATCTGTCTTTAAAGATGATGTTGAACAGTGAGAGCGTTTAAAACAAAGGCAGCGTTAAGGGTGAAGTACCCAGGCTTCAGCTCCTAGTTTTGTGCTCAGTCATGTGTTTCCTGGTTTCTTCACTCTCCTAATACTTGTGGAAAGCGTATGGTCTCATTAGGGCCGATGTCAGATACTTTTTCTAAAGAAATCCGTGACAGAAAAAGCTGAAGAAGGACACACAAACAGCACAACGCAGCCCCGTGCCCGTGTGTGTGTTACGTTGGGATGCATAAGGAGATGTCGAGCACATGCCTCTCTGTCTGATCCCTCAGCCAGTGATCATGTGAGCAAAGTGATTTAAGCATGCTGTCTCACTTCCCCCTCTGCCATACACACACACACAAACACACACACACAGAGGCCACTGGTTGCTGTAATAGTTTTAACAAATTGCTGTTTCTCTCAGTAACAAAGTCAACAGCATGAAAACAAGGAAAACAGTTTGTTATTCATGAGTGAAGGGATCATAACTCAGTTGAAAACTATGATTATGTCCACATTAAGATATGTAGATTAACCATGTCGATGCAGAGGTTAGAGGAGGTGGTGTGCAATCGGGTCATCTGTCAGATTTTATACACTCTTTAAAACGAGCTGCTTCTCTAAGAAATAATGTGACTATCTTTTCACATTCATGCTGTCTGTCACAGCCAATGAGTACAACAGCATACAATCTGAACTGACCTTGTACCTTCTGAAGGTGTAGATCTACACTGAGGCTCATTAACAGGAGTCTGCATTTTCCCTTTCACATTAAAAAACACACACACAAGGTTACATGAATATTTCAAAAATACTGTTTATAGTTGAGAAAACACTAAGAACTGAGCAGAATTTATTCAGCACAGTTTAACAATGTTGAATTCATGTGTGGAGGGTGGCAGAGCTAGCACCATTTGAGCCTATCATCTCACCCTGGTCAGTGACACCAGCTGTCACAGAGTGCATTATTGGGCAGAGTACAAATACATGTGTATTTGACTCAGGACAGTGTTAAATTGGCATTAGCTTCTCTGTTACACATTAAAAACACAACAAACAGAGGAAAAGGCTGCAGCACCGAAGCATCAAACTGTGAAAAAAGGCCATAAATACACAGAGATTTCAGCTTTTTGGCATCTTTTGTATTCATAGTATGTCTTGCTTTCTCAATATCACATTTCAGAGAACAGTTTATGTCCAGTATTCACATTCTTAGTCCAGCAGCTGGGTAGCATTGTGAATCATACACCCTCCTGTGAGAAGAGCTGCAATCACAGCAGCGTTGCCTTGAGTCTGATAAACACTCTGTATTGAGTGCACACCAGCGTCATGAGTCTCATACAGCAGAGCCTGTGGTTGAGATTATATGTGAGTTTGTTTTAGTATTAGCAGGTAAAAAAAAGAATCAAGATTGACTGTATTGGGAGGTTTAACTTAACTCCTAAAGTAGGGCTGCATGATATTGGAAAAAACTAACATTGCAATTTTTTTCAACCCTGTGATATATATTGCAGTATTAAAAAATGCTGAAATCTTGAAGACAGTTGACTTGCACTGATCTTACACTCTATTAGTGAATGTTAGTAGAATGGTTTCTGTCTGTCTTAGAGATATTTATAGTTTGCTTTTATTGTGCAAGGATGTTATTGTGGCGACAGATGAACACAGAACACGTGTTTGGTCGACATCATCCTTGTTATAACCGAAATAATTCCAGATAACTGACGTTTTTGGTGGTTTTCTCTTGTTCGTTTCTCATTTTGAAATCGTTGTTGTTACTGGTGTTGTACCGAGAATCGTATGAACCTTGCGCACCACTTATAGTAGAGTGGTCCATGAAAATAATTCTCGGCGGGCATGCCTTTACCGGCAGCGCCAGCGACTCACTCCATGTGCAGGGGCGTGGTTTCCTCCTCTCTGAGCTTGATTGACGGTTTATGGGGTAATCTGATTGGCAACTAAGTAAAGAATGAATGTGATTGGTGGATCGCTGCACAGCGCGCGCACAGTCACATGCAGTGTATCTTAGTCAGCTACCCTTGAAATTAAATGAGTTCATTCCTCTGACATCGCAGGCTCTGCAATGTGACTGTTGCGCACACGTACATCGCGATGACGACACTCAAACGATATATCGTGCAGCCCTATCCTGATGTGTGCTTTAGTGTTCCACCAATCTATGTGGATGTGCTCAGAAACTGTGCAGCATAAACATAAGCTATAGCTACATCTTATGTTTGGGTGACCATGAGATCTGTGCCTCCTTTTGAACTTCACCACAAATTCACAGTCATTTCGATTCATTCTTTCTCTCTTAATCACCAGACGTGTGATTTCTTTTGACTTTCTGTCCAGTTCAGAGAAATCTGAGGGGATTTCACATCAGCTGGACCGATGGGTCTGCGAGGTTTTTTGCCATGAGCGTGTGCCACGATGACGAAAGGTTCTGTTTGTGGTGTGTCAACGAATTGCTCATGTTTTAATGACTTTAGAGTGAGGAGTAATAAATTATGAAGTCAGGGCTGCTAAGTATGCACCACATTAAGACGTCAAGTTAACTCCTCGAGGAGATTTGCTCAGTAAAGCTACAAGCTGCTTACAGTATTTGGCAGATTTCTTAAGTGATTTTATTCAAACTCGATGCTTTCCATGGTTTTACACAGATGTTGGCTGCAGAGGTTGTACGTTTAGACACTAAACGTGTTATTCAACAGATGTGTGGGTTTGCGTACAAAGTCGTGTCTGAAAGCTAGAAGTTTCCTAGAACGGACAAAAGCCATTTCAAGAGTCACACGGCTTAGTGAGCAAACTCTGGCAGTCAGTCAAAAACGGTTGGCAGTGCTCGCTGGTGAGAAGCTGTTGAGGGATCATATCCTAGTAACAGCACCATTTCCCACTGGATGCCCTGTCTGCATTGTCTCATTCTGTCTACACCCACTCCAGACAAACAGCAGAAGAAGTCAATAACATGATGGATTCAGGGTGAAAATACCAGCAATAGAAAGGGGAGGATAATCAGAGGAAGCTGACGTGAGGATTTTGGCTTTTTTTATTACATCTTTGCAGGGTTTATATTGTGAGCACTAAAAGGTGTTATCATTTTACCTTGGAATGTGGCTTCTCCAGCAGATTTTACAATAAGACAGACGCTGTGGTGACTGATCTGACAGGCAAAGGTCAGCTCTCAAGTCATGAAGGTTACTTCTCTGTCGCATTCAGCTGACAAAAAGGGCAATGTTTGAATGACAGTTCTCGGAAACCTGTAATAGTGGAGATTTTTGGATCTAGGAGAAAAATCCAAAAGCTAGAAATCGATACAACCTCCACCTCAGGGACTGACAGCCAGGATAGCCTTGCCCTCTGCTGCTTTGATTTCTTACTGTCCTGAATGGGTGCCTCAAATTCATGGATGTGCAGCACAAAACCTCTGCAGTTCTCCTCAGACTCCTAACTCGGTACAAGCATGTGACTTCTACCGCTCGCTATTAGCTGTTCTTTCTGGCACAATTCCCACCACAACAAAAACTGCAACACACACACAACCACACAGGGACGTCTCTGTGGCCCACATTCATGCAACCTCTCACCCTGAGACTTCTTGGCCTGCAAGATGAGTCACATTATACTGTTTCTAAACATATTTTGTAGTTTTATTTTGCTCTGCATCAGGTGATTGATCACAATATTTGTGCCGAGTGCAAACCAGCTGATTATGAGATGCCATAACTTATACTTGCAAAGAGAGAGAGAAGCCCAGTCAGTCTTGCAAATCAAATGATGTGACTACCAGACAAATGTTATAATGATGAATCAAAATAAAAAAAAGGACCCAGTTCAGTAAGTTTCACTTGGAAGAAGAAGGGAGATTCCTTTATAACTCTGCAAAACAAAAATAAAGACACTAGATAGCCCATCCTTCGCCCCTTAGGTGTGTAAAATCTTCTTCAGAATACTTTTATTAGATCGTTAACCTTCTCAGTCTGTCTCAAAAGGTCCAAAGGTTTAAAAAAAGTCTTGTTTTACCTCTAATTAGTTCCCATTTCTCCCTGTTTTGTGTCTCCAGACATTTCACAGGCGACTATGACGATATGATACTCAGGAAAAAAAACGGATTGAATGACAACGGACAACATTTAAAGCTCTTTCGGGTGGGAAGGTTCAGGGTTATAAATATTGCATGAATCTGCAGGGCTTCACCACATAACAGTGGAAGAGCTGGAGGCTGTTTTGTCTGTGACTTCAGGGGAAAACTTCTCCCAGAAAAATAAGACAGAGTGTTGAGGAAATGTATGCTAATTGTATAACTGAGCAAGGGAAGTGTGCCTTAAATAGACGCTGAGGTGATAGCAGACGCCTGCAGATTTCCAAATGAAGTGTTTCAAAAGATTTTCTGTGTCATATTTGGTGAACCTGATGTACTTTGATGGTTTAATTTAATATCTTTGTGGAGCTGTTTTTGTGCAGTAGCTGTATGTGCCCAGCCCTGCTGCAGTGACACTAGAGTGCTTCATTTAAGCCTGTGAAGGTCAGTAAGGAAAGTTAAACCTGACTCACTGACTCTGAGCCATGCATCAACACTTAGCTGTAATCTGCGGTATAACAAGGGTCCCCTCAGGCATCACGCTGTGTTTGGAGGTAAAACTCAGATGGTTCAAGACTCTCTTAGGAGGCTGCAGAGAACTCTGAAAATGAAAGATACACAGAGATAGATATATTAATATCCAAAACAGAAAATTAGAAGGTCTTTTGGGGGACTTTTCAGACCAGTTCATGGAGTATTTATGTAGGCCTTATAGGACAGGACCTCTGACCACCTGTTGCAAGTGATAGACAACGAGCCAAGACTGCAAACAGGTCAATTTAGCATGCTGACTCTTCTACTTCAGAGTCATGGCAGCATATGTTGCTCTTAAACCCACTCATTTAGCATTGACGCTGCATGTGTAAACTGGTCACGCCATGTGCCTCCAAATCATCAGGGATGCTTTTGAGCTTTGTGCAGACACAAGCTGGGTGGTCCCTCCCTTCTGTAGAGCAGAGGATATCGTGTCTATGATCTACATAACAGTCAGATTTTGATGTTTTAGACTACAAGACATTTTTTCCTCTTCACCTTAGTCCATTTTTGAATGGCTTGGGCCCAGAGTTTCCAGCATCAATCCTCTTTTCATACAGATTTAACTTAAATTTGTCAACGTAGCAACTAACTGTGTTTACAGACTGATTTCCACTTCAGAGTCTTGTCTGTTTTTAATGGAGTGCTGTCTCAGGGCCTGAAGGTCAAAGCCACCACTTACTGGCCTCACCCCCTCTGAACAGCGTCTCTGAATTCTTTATGAAATCCTCAAATCCTTAGCAATTAAGTGCAAACTGCTGGACTATTTCCTTACCCAGTCACTAACAGATGGATGAACCTCTTCTATTTACATATGAAAGACAAAACTTTTCAATGTGTTGTCTTATTACTATTTTCAATCTAATATTGGCTCTAAATGATTTGCAACCATCAAATTTTGTTTTTATCAAATTTTTACCCATCATCCCAACTTTTATTAAACTAGGTTTGCACATCCTTGGTGTCAGGATTCAGTTTTGTGGTAAATAAAGTGTCTATATGGTCAGTTTTGGATGATTTTTGGTGTTTTATTTCAGTTACCAAAAGCCTTCCTGCCTTGGCTTTTGCTCAAATAGCGTACTTTGTAACCAGAATAACACACCCGTTTTCTCATACTGATCCAAAATCCTGGACAAAAGTATTCATTCAAAAGGCTTGTCTGAATATTGTTTGTGGTCTGTAAAACTGTATTTCGTCACTTTTACGTCAGACTCTCTCTTTGTACAAATGAAAAGTGTTACAAAGTGTCAAGTGACCAACTTTCTTCCCTCTAGCTGTCCTCATAATCACAAGATAAAACATCATATGAGAAGATTAATAACCCTGAAAAATAAATAAAGGATTGTTCTTTTAACAGAGTGAACATGTTTCTCTGCAGGTCTTCTGGAGAGCAGCATGCGCCTGAAACCCCACGAGGCTCAGAGCTACAGGAAGAAGGCTCTCTGGGTGTCCTGGAGCTCCATCGTGGTCACACTCATACTGGCTGTGGCAGCTTTCAGTAAGAATTTAAACACTCATGCAACGTGGAAGCGAGGTTGATATTTTCACTGCTGTCGACGGGGGATTTGCTGTCGTGAGCAGACTGGTTGTGGCAGTTTGTTTCTCAATTCCCTGTCTCAGAGATGATGTTGTCATCTAAAAGCCTGTAATAGCACAAGCATGTAGTCAGTTTTGCACAGAATTTGAGGTGGAATAGATATAGACAGTGTGAGTTTCACTGCACTGCAGTGGTTAAGTAAGTGACTGTAGGTATGGAAATCAAAATATCATGGAAGCTATATTTAAATCAGTGAGAGTCAGCCCTCATTGACCCTCATTTTCACTGTATACCTGACCATTAAACCAGCATGTGAACTGACTAATAGCGTGCTAGACTTGTTAAACATCGCGAAGCAAATTGATCTTATCGCTAACAGTGAAGTCGTTGCACATCTTTGACGGATGACTCTGGACTCTAAAGATCGTCTTATTCAGTCATAAAGTAAGGCATATTAAAACTGTACATGTGATATGTCTCTAACTTGAAATTAGCTTCACATCTGAAATTAATGTAAGCGGCACGACGACACGTAGCACGATGAGCCTTTTTACTGGCACTGACCTGATGGATGTCATCTCTCCGGAAAAGCGAATGAATGATTCACAGTGAATTAGAAGTCAAAGATAAAAACTTCGGACATTTACGCAAAGCAACAAAAGAGTCTTTGTTCTTAGACGGTGCTGAACTTTCAAACTTTTTATTCAGAAAATTCAGTAAGGCATGTTGCATGACATCAAATCAAAATTTAAGTTCATCAGTTGTGTAATGTCTATGGTGTTTGTTGGATGAAAACAAAAGATGCGTTTGTGGCTCTTAAGTGGCGTAAAGCTGGAGAATATCAATGCAGAGATACGGTATATGTAGTCGGAGCCAAACTTCTTCTATTACTCGACTGATGATCCAAGTTTATTAGAATAAAAACGGATGATAGCTCTGAATTTTATAATTCTGTCTGGAACCGTTTCTCTTCCCAAAGCTCATCTGGAATTTATTTTATGTTTTGACTGACACCCTAAGAGAGAATAAAGTTTATTTGTAGACCAACTGATAAAACTATTAAATGAAAAGTGTAGTTTTAAGTAAAAAATGTCACTTTTTCTTTATAGGTCAGAGTTTCACACATTTATGTTACCAATAATTGTGTGTGTGCAGCTTTGGGCAAGGAAATATACATCTACTTTTCCCTTGTGTTGCTAAAGGGTGTCGTAATCATTTCAGCACGTGTTCCGTCATCTTATGAGATAGGGGGTGTTAAGTATGCTCTGTGCTGTTGTGTGTGCAACACAGGATGTTGCTTTGTCATCCTAGCTAAGCAGCAGCTTTGAGTCACAATGTGTCCCAGTGCACTGAAACATTTTGTCTTCTTTAAAGTGTGCCGACTGAACACAACCCAGCTGAAGTGATGCATCTTCATGGATTCACACTTAAAAGTAGAAATGAGAGAAACTGCAAAATGAAAAATAAAGAATAATCCAGAGGAGGCATGAATTTGCAGAATTTCCCTCTTTGTAATTCATATTATTCAGAAGAAAGGAATCCCTCAGACTGAACAACAATTTTTCAAAAAATATAATACAATACTGAACCTAGAGTGATGATAAAATCTTCACTTCGCAGTGAAGGAGCCTTTTTGCTTGAGAGTTGTTAGAGCCTCAAAAAAAATCCTTCATGTGAATAAAAAAAACACTTAATTCAAACAGTTCTTTGAAAAACCTTGACAGTCAAATTTCTGATGTGTTTTCCCTGGTTGGTCATTAATCTTCCTCTGATGCTCTAAAATAACTCTGGATATGATGGGATTTATCTACAATGATGGTGACAATGTTAATGTGACCAAAGTTTGTTTTTGAAGTAGTGCTGATGACAGTGGTGATGCACCTGCAGCTGCTAATGATGCTGAAAACAATAGAGATGATAATGAGTATGAGATGTACATGATAATGCTGCTGCTGATGGCAAACTTAATAATGCTGTTGGTAATTATGACAACAGTAATAAGGATGAAGATTAAGGAATGGCAGTGATGAGAATGATGTAAAATGTAGTCATTATGGTTGAAATGATGGTGATTAGGTTAATAATTCTAATGATAATGATGACAATGAAGATGACAATAATAATGATGACAATGAAGATGACAATAATAATGATGAGAATGAAGATGATAATGATGATGAGGGTAATGATGATAATGATGGTGATGATGATGTTGATGGTAATGATGATAATGGTAATGATGATGATGGTGATGCTGAAAATGATGGTGTTGATTATGATGGTAATGATGATGATGATGATAGTGATGGTGATGATGGGTATGAATATGATAATGAAGATGATGGTGACAATGGTGATAACGATGATGGTGATAATGGCGATGGTAATGATGATGGAAAAGATGATGATGATGATGATGATAACGACGATGCTAATGATGATGACACTAGAAATGATGATGGTGATGACGATGGTTATGATGATTGTGATGGTGGTAATGATGATGATGATAGAAATGATGATGTGATGGTGATGAAAATGATGATGGTAATGATGATGATGATGATGGTGATGATGGTAATGATGATGATGGTGATGATGATGATGATGGTAATGATGGTAATGATGGTAATGATGATGATAATTGAAATGATGATGGTGATGAAAATCATGATGATGGTGATGGTGGTGATGCTGGTGATAGTAATGATGACTTTGATGATGGTGATGGTTATGGTAGTGATGAGAACAATAATGATGATCATGAAAGAAAGGGCATAAATGTTGGTATAGATGGTGATGATGACAATGATGATGATCTTGATGACAGTGATGATGACGGTGATGAAGTTATCATTCTGTGTCTGAAATATCAGACTGATAACATATGACACTATTTCTCTTTTTAAACTTGCTATGAAACGGCAATATAAACAGTTGAAATCAATGGAGCCTGTAGGGGATACATAACCTTTAGTTTGTGTTTGACACTGGTTGATTCATATCTCTAACTCCTTTAGGACAAACCAGTGCAGGAAATCAATTGGAGACAGGCTATTAAGTATAAAAATATTGAGTCCTCTGCTGCGTGTGTGACTAATTCCAACAAGACTTGAGCACTAGATGATCCACAACAGGAAACTCTGAAAGCTGAGGGAAATGTTCAAGTTAAGAAAGGTTTAATAAAGGTGTAGAAACACTCCCCAGTCAGGCATAACTACAGCCTGTAGTGATTAATGATAGTTTGACAATATAGAATGAATGCGAAGCTCCAGACACGTGCCTTCTTGGAGAGAAGAGCAGAGGGAGCAGGGTGAGTGAAAGACAGATGGATCTGGAGGTGTGAAGTGAGGCTCAGAAAGGTGGGCAGATACCACGGGATGAGGCAGGATGAGTCCTGGCAGGCAGCGTTGGGAATGGGGTGGTTGTGATGGCTCAACTTGAAAGAACACCAGCGTGCAGTTTCCTTCCGTCTGTGCCCTAGTTTCTCTCCAGCAACTCTCGCCATCCTCCGAGTTTTATCTCCATCATCCGGTCAGCATGTTTCCTTACCCTTTACTTTCTTTACCTCCTCTTTACGTGCTCTCCCACCATACTCATCCCTCTGTGCCCCGCTTTATCTTCTCTGTGCTTCTTTATCGTTTTTCCTGTGTCTGACCTTCAGCAGTGTTTAACATTTAGCACGAAAAAGGGTTCAAGACGGATCCTTTCTCCACTTTACTCTCTATCGTATAGGCTTTTAAATGTCTGGATCGTCTGAGAGGCTGTCTTTTGTGCTCTCTTGGCTGTTTTTTCACCTGTGAAAGCGATATAAGTCTTCTCCACTAGATAAACTCAAAAAGGTACAAACGTGTATGTTATTTGTACAACTGCCTTTAAACTGTCAAACAGAAACATCTTTTTTGCTCTCTTGGCTTGATAAACGAAGAACAACACAAGCTTATATCACAGTTTTGTGATGTGTTGATCAGTGAGAAACCTAAGCACACAGAAACACTGATCTTTTCCAGGATGATAGGATAAATAAAGAGCTCTTTACATACTTTTTAAATATACATGACTCGTGAAAAACTTAAAAAGCAGCTTCTACCTTAATTTCCTGCTTTGCTATAATAGAAAGAAAAAATCCTAAGTGATTCAGCAGCAGACACTACCGGCCGCCCACATATGTTTATTTCTGTTGTTTATGCAAATAAGTGTCTGAGACAACAGACGTGTCCCAAGACAGTTTTCATGCTGTCGGCAGTTGATAGTGTTTTATTTTTTATTTTTTATGCAGTCCTGCCAGCCTTCAATTATATTTAATCTTGACATTGGCTGTTTTTGAGCAATATTTCCTTTTATTATCTGTTCACGCATCTGTAAGAAAAATATCAGGAGAATAGAAAACAGATGAGATGAGATTAAAAAAAACAGGTTAACCACATATAGTCAGTGAACTAAAAACTCTTTGTAGTCTGTCTGCTGTCTGTTTGTGACACTTCAAAATACTTCCATACGTACAATATATTCATACACACCTGTTTATACATATAAGCTGTCATCGCATGCACAAATGTAATCCCTAACTTTCTCTGTAGATGAAAATATGGGCATAAAACTATCAATACTGAAACTTTTAGAGGTATCTGCTGATACCGCTATTATACCGATAATATGGTGCATTGTTAATCAAATAAGTGAGAAAAAATCATTTTCTTTGCAAAAAAAAAAAGGTTATTTTTTTTCTTTCTCATGTTTTATTTACAATGCATCATTTTTTCTGTATATCTGCTTGTTTAAAGCAGTATTTGGCACTGTTGTCAGTAGCCTGTATTAGGGCTGGGCGATATGGCCGCAAATCAATATCACAATTTATTGATCAGTTCACCTCGATAACGATAAATGGACGATAACTACTCCACAAGCTGCTCACCCCCTCCCACATTAACTTTGTCTACTTCAACCGCCGCTCCAGCAGCTACAACTTTTGAACCGTCGTCCATCTCCTCACCTGTCTTTCCCTCTTTGTTTCGGACTGGATGGGGTGGAGTCACATCTTCAACGTGGGACAGTGTGTTAAAGGGACATGAGACCATAGCCTACCTACACACATCCACCGAATATTACATGAGCAAAGTGGTGTTGGTTTTTGTCCTAAATTTCGGTGTTGGTAAATTTTCGGTTTATCGCCCAGCCCTAGCCTGTGTGTCATCTGCATGCTAGAGTTTAAACCCCTACAATCCAAACAAGGATGTATTTTTCAAGACTGATCAATGACTCTTCATATCACCAAAACTGTTTCCAGATTACAAAACTATTGACAGCAGTTATTAAATATGACTATAAACACTTTTGAACTAATCAGAAGACTTTAGGACAAATGATACGACATAAAAGTCACATGAGAGAGGGATCTTACTGCACCCCATCTGCTTCAGTGGAAATCATATGATTATTTATGGAAAAAAACAAATATATCCTTTGATTTGCATCATATTTGACTTGAGTGTCTTTGTTCTTTTCCTCTGTGGTGAACTGTGAGATCAAGTGTGCACTTTCTTGTGTGTTTAGAGCCCGTTTCCTAGAAGGAAACCCCCCACCAGCTGTGTAAGTACCTGAATAAATATCGTTCCATTTTCAGGTAATGGGAGATTTCTGCCTTGCATTACTGTGATGCATTTGTACCACGCCTGCTTAGCGACCACAAGAAAAGCTGATCCATATTCAGGGAGGGGAACAGACTGCACAGCAACAAGGATGGTTCTCAGATTGCCTCGCAGGCCTTCATGGAGCAGGCAATAGGAGCTGGCCTGTGGACTAATAGGCTGCCGCGCGATCAATCAGCAGCACTGCCAACAAGCATTTAATGTTTGAGCAAGGGAAGCTCGGGGTGAGGGAGGAGTAACAGAAGGAGGGATGGAGGGGTGTGGAGGAAATCTGAAACTGAGCGGGAGAAAATGGGGCAGGGAAAAGAGAGTATGAAGTACAATTGGTAGTTTTTAATTTAGATTTAGTCATTTTCAGAAATTGTGCAACAATCATGAAAACACTGTAATAATATATGACATAGTATGATAATATAAGAGCTCCAGATTGTCTTCACACATCTGGAAACAGTGTGCTGAAGACTGCATCGTACCGTTTTATCCCTCTAGATACTCATAACTGTGTTTAAACAGTATTCACACTGTTTGTAATTCGAAGTGTATTCATGTTTGCAACACAAAAGTGGAACTGTTGCTGTAATTGCTGAAGAGTGTGTGCTTGGAGACCTTTAATTTAAGCACTTAAGTTTCTACCAACTCTAAGGAAACCATTACAACATTCATTTTTTTGTGCTGTTATTTGCAAACTGGACTGCCTTCAGAGTCGGGCTCATTAGAACAGAAAGATCCTATTTGCTTCCAAAATGCATATTGGATTCATGTAGTTGCCATAGAGCGAGACCATCTTTGCTCAACGATGCATTTTTTACGTTTGTTAGTGCTTTGAGATTTGTGTTTCTTCTTATTCTTCTTTTTTTGGTTTAGTGGAGAGAAAAGCCTGTCAGACTTTCTGTGAATCCTTCCATGACTGTGTGAGGATGAATGTAAAGAAAGTTATCCAGGGACAACACACGCTGGATATGTTAAGATAGAAATAAGGCCAGTAATAGATGGAAGAGAAAGACACAGTAGGACTTTAGACGGAGAGAAAGAACATCTCATTTGGCAAAGACCTCGATGCACAGACTGCCGCTCGACTCTTTTTTTCTCTCTTTCTCTGTTTCCTGTTTGCTCTGTTCTTCTTTCTGTCTCTGCAGTAGAGCTGTAATTACACAGATTTAACCCAGATACATAAAGTAAAAGCCCAATGTAGTTATAAATAAAGCATCTCTCACATCTATCTGTGCCATGTAGGCAGAATGGGTTGGTCCATGCTGGAAAATTAAAGGTAGCGTCACTTTTGCATTAACCTGCAACTAAACCCTGGACTGACCAGTTTATACCTCATGGTTAGGACATGGTTCAGCGGTTGTAGGTCTGTGTGCAGACTTGGCTTAGTTAACTGATTAAATAAATTATGCAATCCAAATAAAAATGCTGTAAGGTCAGGCTGCAGGATGTTTCAATTTTAAGTGCACTCACACTGGACTCACACCAAGGGCATGTAAAATCATCTACTTGCTTAATTCATGATAATCTAGCTGTGTGAATGAATAGTATTTACTCGCTTCAATCGTGCATCAGCGGTAATTTCAATGGTAATCCCTGCCAATTCAACCGGTGAGGTTTTTTACAATTTACCTGGTAATCCGACCTCCTCCAGGCAAGCTCCTTATAATTCAGGTTTTGGTAATTGAAAGAAAAGGTATCATATAATTCAAGGCACCTACACACCGAAATGATCAATTTGTCCTCCATTTTAGATACCAGTGAACAACCGTCTGTTTTCATACGTCACCTGGCAACCTTGGTACTGATTAGTTATTGCGATACGAATATCCACTCAAGTTGAGACTTTTTCAGCCCACACCCAATTCGCGTCATTCGCATCGCCAGAGTAGAGGGAGTGTCTAATCGTGTCTTTGCATTGACTTGACATGTAATTCATTTGTGCGAATGATTTTATTCATGCTTCGTGTGTGGAGATAGTCAGAAGTAGGATTGCCCCCTGCCCAGCCCCCTGATTGTTTGCACCCACGTTGCTCCAGACTCGAGGCCTGGACATGATTATGTGTATCACACAGGTGGCTTTCCTTCATCGTGTAATGTCCTTATTTTGCAAGACAGCAGATAACAGCAAAGGGAACAACAGAAATGTGGCTGAAAAGAGCAATTATTGATTACCCACTGAGAGACAGAGCACAGAGAGGGAGATCTCTGATCATGTGCTAGTGTTCAGATTACGGATTTGTCTAATTATTTCACTGTATGGTATTTGTTAATATGTCTTATTGCAATATATCCCATAAGAGTTGGAAAAAGTGCATTCATTTGCATTCTTTGACGTTAATGCCCATTTGTGAAGCTAGCACAGTCTGAATGCCCAGATGCTAAACTCCGTTAATGTCTCCTGCTGCAATTAGGTTTGACTGAGATGTGTCCAGAAAAAGTCTGATATCACATTAGTACAGCCTTCGTAGCTGGATGACAACCAACCATGACTGACTTGAGCTGGCGAGAAATAATACCGACTTTAAACTTGTGTAAAAAGTTCTAAAAGTGTCGATCAGATGGAGATAGGTTTTGTTGAAGAGTGATGATAGACTACAGCAGGCGATAATGAAAACGTCTGTAAGTAAGAATGAAGATAACAGGCCAGAGGATGATCATCCATTGTGCCGTGCTTCTTTAACTCCGTGATAAAGTGTTGTAATATCAGCTTTCATCTGCGGTCATTAGCGAGGCGTTTGCCGACTCCTGCTGCTTCCACTTTCTCATTTGCTGGATCTGTAAGAATAACACAGCCGAGGCAAAAAAACAAATGATGAATCGGAGAAGGCAGAGTGTACACAATAGAGATGTTTGCATTCAGCTGTGCAGTGTATCTGCAGGCCATCCATCATAACCAGACAGCAACGCACTCGTACCAATATCCACCCCCTTCTTCTCTTACTCCACCTCTTCGCTCTAAACCTCCGTCCTTGTTGTCCTCCCGCTTTCTTCCCCATCTCCTCTCCCTTTCAAACCTCCTTGTTCCAGCTTCTGCTCTCCATCTTCTATTTCCTCCACTCTCCATTCCCACTTGAAGGCCCAACCCCACCATGGCCCCCACCTCCTGTCTGTCTCAAAATAGAAAACACAATCATTTATTCATTTGTTTTCCCTTCCTTCCCGCACGTTCTATTTTTCACCGGTAAATACCAGGTTGCCAGCAGGGAGAAGTGCTAGACTATTAGCCTGTGGTGTTAAACTTTGAAATGAAAATCATTTACTTCCTGTTGTTTCTGTGCAATTATTTTTAGGGTGCTCTTAGCTCTTTTGTTTTCCCCTTTGTTGCCTTGTCTGTGTTCTCATTACCATAAATACAGTGGGGTGATTGTTCCTTTATTTGTGCTCAAACGCTCCGTTTATATTTCGGTACTGTTTTCTGGATGTGTGTCATTTCCATAGTTATGGGCTAATTCTGGCTACTCTACAGGAATAAATCCCCCCACTCAAATAAGAATTATGGCACATGTCATTCACATCTTATTTCCAAAGATGTGAGACAATGAGACTGTCCAATCTGTCATCTAATGTGTGCACATTCAATCTTCTAGCTTGTGAAGACTCTAAATCCACTTCCCTCTATTTGTGTTTTAAATCGGTGCACTTAAATCTAATCATAAATCTTGAGATAAATGTACATCTCCTGTTGTAATCTGGTCAAAAATGGATTTAAAATCACTGTTTGTTTATAAGGCATCAGAAAATCACTTTTTACCGGGCAGTCTATCTTTTTACCGGTGGTTTGTTTTCCATCGGGTCACATAGGGCAAAGCCATGAGTCACAACTTTATGCATCTTCCCTCAGTGCCTTTAAAAGATTTAAGGAGACCAGCTCCCCCAGACTCAAATCCTCCTGATTCCAGCTGATTCCAAACCACTGGAGCAGTAAAACCTCTTTTACCCCCTTTTTTGAGTCCCACTTGGGAACAGATAGAAAAAAAAGTCCTGTGAATCAACATAATTCAGTTAGGAAAGAGCCGTATGAGAAGGAGGAGATGGGTTGGAGGTAGGTTGCACAGTGTTCAAATATCTAAATTATTGGTGGGAAAACACACTGTTAACATTTTGTTTGCTTGGACTTATTACCAAGAATCCACCAACGCTGCACTGTTATTATACTTCTTTTCAAAGAATAAGTCTCTCAAAACTTGCTGCTACCTGTGGCTGCTTATTATGTGGACCTTACTTACCCTTACCTAATACTGATCAGAAAAAAATTCACATGCAGTTTATGTTTGTGTGGGCGTGAGAGACAAAAGCCTCACTATGTAGGTCTGTTATAGTATGTACATGTTTGGGAAAATAAGCAGAGGTAGAAATCTTCTTCTTCAGGCTTCGGCGCTTGTTTACTTCAGTCTTCAAAGTGCATTTGCATTCCTGAGGCACGTAAATTAACAGGAGTATACTCGTGACATACATCTGCAGGATTTGAGCACACATCTTCACCAGCTGTCGTAGCTTCTGTCAGAGCCATCCAGCAAAAGTTTCCCATGAGGGGTGTGTTTTTCGTGACTTTTTGTCTTGACACCATTTGTCAGTTACTACGACACATTCAATGTCTGCTGAGCTGCAGATTTGTTTTCTGGGTTTACTCGGCCAAGGAGGGACTCTGGTTTATTACATCCAATGAATTTTGTCCTGATGGCAAGGATAAAAAATACGTTACAATACAGACATACTGTTATCTAAAAGAGCAGATATTAAACACACATGAAATTTTGCACTTATGTTTGGTGCTAAACTAGTCATAGAAGAGTCACTTTCCATGATAAGTTAGTTCAAATGTGCAGGAGACAAAGTGAAGCAAGTTTATTTGTATAGCACCAGTCATACACAAGGCAATTCAAAATGCTTTACAGATGCAAGGAAATATATTTGAGATTGAAAAAATCTAAAATCATTAAGACATTAAATGATTTAAAATCAATAAAATATTAAAGTGGAATTTAAAAATGTGAAATTGGTTAAATTGACAGAACGTTGAAAACATCCACACAAACATGCAGACATTCAGAGTGATATTTTTTGGGTTTTATCAACAGCTGTAATGGTGGTTTAATAGGGCTGGGCAATGTTGCAAATATTAAGTTAATGTGGGAGGGGGTGAGCAGCTTGTGGAGTAGTTATCTTCCATTTATCGTTATCCAGGTAAACTGCTCAATACTCGAGAAATATCATCACCAACTGTTCAGTATATCGTGATGTTGATTTGAGGCCATATTGCCCAGCCCTATCTTATTGCAATATATCCCATAAGAGTTGGAAAAAGTGCATTCATTTGCATTCTTTGACGTTTATGCCCATTTGTAAAGCCAGCACAGTCTGAATGCCTAGATGCCAAACTCCATTAATGTCTGCTGCTGCAATTAGGTTTGACTGAGCTATGTCCAGGAACCGTTTGATATCACATTAGTACAGATGCAAGGAAATAAATTTGAAATTAAAAAAGAGAGATTAAAGCTATTTAAAATCATCAAGACATTAAATGATATAAAATCAAAAAATGTTAAAATGTAATTAAAAAATATTAAAATAGTTCAAATTGACAGAACGTTGAAAACAACCACACAAACATGTAGACATTCAGAGTGATATTTTTTGGGTTTTATCAACAGCTGTAATGGTGGTTTAATAGGGCTGGGCGATGTTGTAAAATATTAATGGGTTAATATCAGTCAAGATTAATGATTATGTATAAATGTAAAATTGCTGCACTTTCCACTTTAAAAGCATTTATTTATTCTCAGATAATGCTCAGATAATCACAAGTTCATATATAACTCATTTGTGCATTAATTTAATCACATTATTAGTTAATCAAGTGTATCAATTATTTATGTGCTCTTTAATTCTAGGCACTATTTATTTGTTATCTTCATTCATAATTCACTAATAATGTCTAGTATTAACTGATTATAATAATTCATGTGTTCTTCATAACATGTTAATGATCGTGCTCCACTAAATCCAGTCACAACACAATCGTCACTTTGATATTGACTGATTCAAACAGATGCTGATCATGATTCAACAACAACAACAGTAAATCTGATACAGTTGTTTTTCACAATAAAAGCATGAGTGACTATAATTAGTTTAGTCTCAGGATTTATTCTAAACGATGAAGATCTTGACATGTTTATTTTTATCTTCTCTGAAGTTTGGCTCAACATCAGCTCTCATGGGAATCCTCAACAGGCCACGCTTAAAAAGTATCAGCCACACCAAAAACTGGATCTGAGCACTAAGCTTGTTGCGTAAATGTCGTCTAATAGTCTCACAATCTCTCTGTTTTTACTATTATAATGATTTTAAATAAAGTTTAACCCTTCTCTAATAAGGATTATTGCTGATTTTTTTTTTTACATGTAACCAATAATAGCAGAACACAGCAGCCTCTGAAGTGCTTTATACTCAATGAATAGAGTGAATTTATTGCTTGAGCGGCTCCAGGAGGTCACATGAGGTGAATTTGCTCCACTATGCATGTAATTCATCTATTTTCAATGATTGCTGTGATTCCCTCCATTACTGATCTGGAGTGCAGTTTTAAAATGCCATGAGCTCCCCCTTCCACTTTTCTGCCAGCTGCTGAAAGAGAAACCCATCATTACTTCAAATCATCCCTTTTCAGACTAGGTTTCTGTGCTGTGGAGGATAATTTGCCCTGAAACCCAACTTAATAAACACGAATTGCGGTGAAATGATACAGCAAATCAAATCTCACATATCCCTCTGACAAAGAGCCGTCTAGTACTCCAAATTTCTGTCTGTGGCCTCACTGGCTACGATTCCTGGAGGGTTTACACTTAAGTAACAATGGACAATGTGAAACACTGACTCAGAATGGCTCCGCAGATTTACTACGAACAGGAATGTTAATCCTAGAGGTTAAATATCTCGTTCTCTGCATTACTCAAGTATTGTTAAGTGAATAGGATAATACTTTCCTTTACTACCGCATGATTTGAAGGCATGTGCTGAGACTGTAGTTAACATTTTACCAGCAATTACATAATGAATGTCAACTGGTCTGTGTAAGACTTGGTGGCTTCAGCAGCACAGAGCGTTTTTATATATATATTTATATATATGTGTGCACTGCTGGTGACAGAATGGGGACAAAGGTACATTACTTACTCAGAGAGGAGTTACAGAAGTGGTGGCTGCTCTGCTGAACCACAACTCGCCATGATCTGTAACCTCGACTGTCGTGGAGATTTTATGTTGAAAAATTGTTCAAAATGAGTCAATACTTTCAAAGAAACAATAAAGATTATCAGTTTGATCATTAGACATCTTGTCTTTAGTGTATTTAATTGAATTTAGGTCAAAAAGGAGTTCGTTTTACACAACGTCTCAATTTCATCTGAACAACAGTAGAAGAATGCAGCATGTTGACCTACATTGAGGGAAGTTTCGAACTGCTATGAAATCGATTTCCCTGATAATAGGATCAGACAGGAAGCAGTCTTTGTAAACATTTGTGATTATCCGGTATCATGACCTTTCTGCGTCATATGACTTTGGGTGTTTTCCCTCACCGATTTTAATTGGAAGAGATTGAAAGATGTTTGTTACGCCGACGCTTTCCTGTTGAGACGTTTTAGTTCAAGTTGTTTATCAATCATTATTTGAAACATATGAGGTTGAAGACAATTCTGTATTTACCTCATATTATAGTTTGAAGTGGGGTTGGATGAGACACAAATTGTGCAAAAACTTACGTGCATCCATTAACTGAGACTGGATCTTTTTTGCCGTAGTTGGTCAAAGTGAATTACATGGTAGCCCTGGCCTTCATTTGTAGCAGTTCGAAAAAGCGCTTTTTGCACGAAGGATCGAGCCATTTTCCTCACTGTTGCAGACGCCCTTATGATTGATATGCATATGACACCATTGTACAAAAACATACCATCCTTTTAAAGGAGCTTTTTGAGAGTTGATAATGTTCATAGCGTATTTTCCTTTTGCAATGACTTTGTAAATTCATAGAGACAGATAGGGGGGAGAAAAAAGCAATCAGACTAGTATTAGATTGACCTGGTAGGAGGTTTAGACTACCCTGTGTTAGGGCTGGGCAATATGGCCTCAAATCAATGTCACGATATATTGAGCAGTTCACCTTGATAACGATTAATGGACGATAACTACTCCACAAGCTGGCTTTCCCTCTTTGTTACGGACTGGATGGGGTAGAGTCATGTCTCTGATGTAGGACAGCGTCTTAAAGGGACATGAGAGCATAGCCTACCTACACACATCCAAAACCAACGTTTACTTATTTTTTTGACTCCGAATATATTGACATGGGCAAAATGACGTCGGTTATTGTCATAAATTTCTGTATTGGTAAATTTTTGGTTTATCGCCCAGCCCTACCCTGTGTTGCACCCTGTACTACCAATGATGTAAGATGACAACTATCAACTGTCCAGAGAAATTTACTTTTCACCTCTGTTATATTAAACCCTCTTTTTTCATGTAGCATATGTAGTAGTGAAAATTCATTGAAACCAAGAAGTTGCACTGCTTTTATTGTCCTCTTTTGTGCAAACTTGTAGGTCCTGGTTGGTCCTTTTAAAAACTACAAAAGCTATGTATCGCACTGCACCAGAATAACTGTAATCTGCTCACAGGGAAACGACCGCACATTACTTGTATGTGTCAACTAATTTGTTCAGCCTCTTTACGGAGCCTCGGGGAGTAGCATTTAATTATTTACTAATACGCAGGGCGATCATTTAAAAAGTTTTTGGTCAGAACTTTCCTGCAGAAGTTTTGTAGATGATAATGCATTGAGGCATATGAGATGGTCGTGCTTGCAGAGTTGCAGTAATGTAAAAGATTATTACTCCGAGCAGTGCCCCCACATAAGAGCTACGTGTTTTTTATCTCCACACTGTCATAATAAACAGATTCACTGCGATTCACACTCTCTCAAACTCCTGTGAGAGCAGCTCTGAGGTTGTCATCAGTGTTCTTGCTTTCTCACACCAGATGCCTCAGTCACATCCCTCCTCCTCCTCCTCTTCGGTACCATCAGGATGCAGACTAATCACACGCAGATAAACACAAGCATACAGATATAGATGTTCCATCCTCACTTGGCAGATTGTGACGCTGGCTGGAGGTATTAATACATTTCTCAGGGCGCCACAGACATTTGGAGAAAGATTATAACGAATAAAGGTGTAATCCTTTACACCTCTGACTTATCTTGTCCTGAAAATGCATTCCTATCACACCTCTTAGTGTTCAATCTCAGCCTGAAGTGACTGCACCTCCACCGGGTGTTTGCTTTTGTATGTGTGTTTGTGCATCTGTGTGTAAGCCTGGCTTGTGTGTAAATGTTTGCGCTCTGGCTGTTGTTCTGTAAGTCTGTATATGAAATCTTTATAAGGCCGGGGATAATGTCACAGTTATAAATCACAGTCTAAATGTTTTTCCCTTTTAAGAGTCATTTTTCTTCCTCTCTATTAGGCCTGGTCTTTCCCCTCACAACTGTTACTGGATGGTAGCCAGGCATGGAATCATAATTAAGTAGATTTGTGCTTTATTGAAGTCTTTTGTGTTATTATGAGTGTTTGCTATTCAAGATGGCATGACACAGCTAAAGTCTGAACCAGAGGAGAGGAAATTCATCGGAGTGTCGCGGAATTAAAACCAGATTTAAAGGTGGGGTAGGCAGGATCTGAGGAAGTGCCCGTTTTTGGGAGAAATCTTGAATGTAAATTCTACCCCTCCAGTTTTCCTCTCCTCTCCCCTCCCTCTCTGCTCCAACAAGCCCCGCCCACAAACAGACGCTCCTGCTGGCTTGTATCGTTCCAATTGAATGCAGATAAATACTTCAGATAATTACAAATGGGGCCCAGTCAACGTGAAAGTAAAACGCATTGGTGCTACTACAGATGCCAACAGACTACCAGCAAACACAATGTTTGCAGGACTTCTACAACTAGGATAAAGTGACATAGTCCAGGACCCGAGGTCAACAGTTTAGTGGCGCTACAACACGCTACAACAGGTCCCGTTTGACAAGGAACACTTCTGTTACAGACACTTGTCTTACTTTGTTAAAGCGGTTTACCTGTCCAGCAGAAAGGTTACAGGGTCCGTAAGATCCCAAAGTGTCCCCCATCGTTTATGTTTTATGTTTTAGCTCTTGTCCGGTCTACCTCCTTTAAAAGCGCCCGTTATTCCTCCAGAGTCTCCAGTATTTACTTTGTTTTCTTGCTTGTGTCGGCAGTCGAGGCCAAAGGAGGAGTCAGGCAATTTTCCGAACTTTCTGGTTGGTTTCTACTGTCCAATATTGTAGCACACTAACTTTGTCTGGGCTTGTGATCGTTATGAGAGAGCAGTGTCTGCCTCACAATCAATCAGCATTTTAAAAAAATTTAAAATGTTGACTACACAGACATAAAAGAACACAGCAATATCGTGATATCCCCAAATGTCATCAATAACTAATAGTTATTGACTGATATTAAAAGCTTTTTTGTAAATACTCCACAAAAAAGACGCTTCTTTAACGGAATCCTGCCTACCCCACCTTTAAGTTTGACACCTTCAAATTTTCAAACTACATATACTACATATACATATGAATACTGCAGGAGTAATGACCCTTATATCCACATGTGACAGAGTAACCTTTTATGGAGAGCGCTGTCTTGGTAGTTTGAGATTGTAAGCAAAGGACATGATGTTCTGTACTCTTCTGCTTCTGCTCATGTTCATGTGTTCAGGGTTTCTTCTCCTGAAGTAAAAACAGACACCAATAGAAGGTTTCCTCTTAACTCGGTTCATGCAAAAGCTCCTCTGTGATTATGTGGGAATGATGATGTGTGGCATCTGTCAAACATCAGAGCCTTTGAGCGTATATACAGTATGAATGTGAGTCACGCTGTGCAATGCTAAACTGCGGTTCTTTGGTGTCCAATACCACGTGATCATGCATGGTTTGTTACATGGCTTCACTCATCTTCACATCATGTGATCAAACTTAACCCATTACGAATGCATGCTTTAACATACACAAATATAAACACATATGGGCGTCGTGAAATGCACAGCTTGGTCCTGCAGCCAATGTAGCAAACAGCATGAAATCACACTGAGGATTTGTTCACTCCTGGTGTAAACCTGATCACTTGCCTCAGTGTATAATTGCATCAAACTGTCAATCAAATAAAGTAGAACTTAATTAAAGTAAGACTAAAATTGTATATTATAATAATCCTGACCTTCTTTGCATTCAGAATGAGTCTTTTCCAGCGTTGTCATGGTAATCCAGTCAATCTTGTGAGTGATTCTCAGTGTCATGCACATGCTAAATGGATGTCTGTTCAGGTTTCACTCTACATTAACTGTCTGATCCAACCTGTAGGTTGTGGCAGGTGGTCAAGATGTCAGGGGCGCAGGCTAATTAGCGGCTTTGTTGTGGCTAATGGGCCGAAGAGGCTCTGATGCAGCCCACCTGCACATAACATGTACATCCAACAACGAGAAAATGTCACGAATTGTTGCTCAACCTTGTGACCTTTCCTACAAACCTCAAACTGTGCAAAATATGCTCAGTATAAGGACTTTCCAGCTGCAAGAATATTAGTTTATTTTCCTTATATGGCATCAAAGCTCAGATCTGGTTGTGCAGTTGATAGGAGTGTAACGGTACACAAAAATCTTGGTTCGGTACGTACCTCGGTTTTGAGGTCACGGTTCGATTCATTTTCGGTACAATAAGAAAACAAAATGCAAAATATAAATGTGCTAGTTGTTTATTACACACTTTTGTGCTTTTAACAATAGAAACATTATACGAACATTACACAAAATCTGCAGCTATAAGAACACCAACAGCAATTGTTGCTTTAGCTCGATCTGACTCACCAGGGAGAGGCTGTTAAAATGCGGTTGGGAGCTGTGTTTGCACTACACTCGTCTTTCTCCATGTTGAGGCGTTCACATGGGGGGTGGTGCCGTTTCAAATGAGTTAACAGGTTTGATGGGTTGCCAGAAACAAACCCGATCTCAGGTGAACAATGTCAGCAAACCGCTTTGGTTTTATCCACCTCTCTTTGTCCCTGTTTATATTTCACCGGGAGGCCGAAGTGTTCTCAAACGGGAGACCTTAATGTCGCAGGAGGGGCCTCAAGCTCTGGTTTATTGCCAACACTGGCGGTATTAGCCACGACGTCCACTACTTGTTGGTTAAATCTGCTGTTTGTTGTGTCTCAGTTTGCGCAACTTTGCATATGCAGCTGCAGCATGCTCCACAACGCACGGTCCACTACATCCATTCCAAACCGAGCACCCCATACCAAAACAGTTCAATACAAATACACATACCGTTACACCCCTAGCAGTTGATATTATCTGTGATAATATTTGTGGTTTCTGATCATTGAAACTCGAGGTTACCTTTTTGCGTGCAGCTGTTTGGGGTTGCAAAAATGCAAATAAGCTGCTGCAGCTTGAACACTGAGGCTTTTTTGACCTACAGCATCAACACAGCGCTATTGATCCTCCTCTCTAGAGAAACAGTTTTCTGAAAAGGGAACTAACACAGACACACGCACCCAAGATCCTTTTAATTTGCAGTCTTGCTGTGGTTTCTGGGAATTCACCTTAAACCGTTACCTGATAAATACAGATGATACAGATGAGTAATAGAAAAATCACATGAACTGGGGGATTTAAAAGCATGTCGGTTCTGAAATCTCCAGGCACTCATTGATGCTGACTGGCATTTTGCAAGTATGGATTTGCACGCCACCTTTGCACACACTACACCTCGCTGTTGATGTGTCAGGGAACTCTGGGTAGGCATTTTTATCAGAGGCCATGAAGTGTTTTATCTGTGTATTTGCTTGGCTATCAAAAAAAAACCTCTCCATCTGCAGCATAATTATAGGACAGCCTCTCCAGGCAGCATCACACCATCTTTTTATCAGTCAGCAGCTCCTGCCTATTTTTACTCCTCACTGATAACCCAAAGAAGTGAGCTGGTGTGATGAGATACCAACATTAGAGGAGAGTGTCTGTGTGACTCCGAATGTGTGTGTGTGTGCGGGTTCAGGATATTTCGAGTTAGTCACACAGTGTTGTGTTATGTTCTGGTTGTCATGTCAAGGTGCTTAGAGCGAGTCAAAGCAGCTCAGATACTCATCTCCAAAGAAACAGCACGTTGTGATAAAGAAGCGTTTCATGCTGAGAGACATGATGGATTTCGCTGTAATTATCAGTTAGACTGTGTTTGACATCCCACAGCTTCTATATTCACACTTCATTGGTCTTTATCTTGTACATCAGCGGTTGCCGCGGTGCTGTTGCGTTGGATCAATACATCGGAGCGGCCTCGTGAACATCATTAAAAATTAATACCAGCTCAATTAGTGGCGCTGTGCCACACCAGTCTGCAGTGCGTAAATTGAGAATATGGTAGTTAAGAGCTCAGGGGAGGTTACTTTAATCCTATTACCGTGTTGTTTTACAGTTCCTGTCAGTGTTTAAGGTTAGTGTATCATATTCATGTTTATTATTGTCATGGTTTTGGTTCAAAAAGTAAGAAATAATTGGTGCTCATACTTTTTGTGTAAGCAGGGGTGTGTCACAGCTGCAGGATGGGCTGCAGCTAAGACACTGGCCGACGCACAGCAAAGTTGAAATTTGCAGTAAAACTGGAAATTTAAAATAGGGAATGCTGATTTTTGGATATTACTCATCAAACTTCATGACTTAAAGGGATATTGTTATGTTACTGACTGGCCAATTTCTCTTGAAGGTTTCTAAAGGAACCTAGTAGCATTATACAGAGGAGCACTTTGGGTGCTATAATAGGTGAAATCTAAGTGGAAGTGTGTCTTGTTTACCGGCAATATTCCCTGATGCCACCGAGCCACCATAGAAGAAGAGGCAAGAAACATTACACACATATGAAACTAGCGGATTCTGAAATGACCTCCAGGTTGTGTGTGTTCAGAGTTTGGTTGGCTTAGTTGGCTTATTTTGTATTTAGAGGGTCAGAAGATAATCCAGACATTAGGGATGGGCAATCTAGGCCCAAAAATTTATCACAATAAGTTTTGTCATTCTGGCGATAACGATAAAAGTCCTGATTAAAAATATTGAAATTCCTATCTATGTGTTTGACTCATTGGATGGCTCTTACCAGTTGGTGTAGTCAAATAAGATACTTAACCACAAGTTTAAGTGGAAGGTTATAGAGAAAACTAGTGCTAACAAACAAGTCTGAAAAGTGTAAACACCTTCAACATTTAAGGAAAACTCTCATTGCACAGCGTGAACAGAGTGAGCAGATCTACTCTCCGATGTCAGGGAAAACCTGATTGCGCTCATCTAAACCTCAATCTTGAAGGAAATCCCTCATGCGGAGCCTTGTTTAGCAGCAAGCTGCTCAGAGACGTCTACTTCACCATCTTTGGCCAAGTTTGTTTGTTATTCTGCTCCGTGGGGGCTACGGCTGTGAGTCTGTCGCTCGTGCTTATGTCATCAACTTGCATTTATCACATTTATCATAAGAGGGCAAATATTTATCATGGAGGAATTTTCTGACGATAAATTGTGAACGATAAATTATTGCCCATCCCTACCAGACACCCAAGTATTTGATTGAAAATGGTGAGCGGACTTTCAAAAATTCAGGCTAATGACATGAAAATGGAGGGAGGATGTGGATCCTGTAAATACTCAGAAGTGCAGATATCTTCAGTCCGTGTCAGCCCCCGATGGTCATCAGTGTTAGGTCAGTGAATGTGTTTGCAGCTGAGCAGCCATGAGATGATGAGTTGGTTAGCCCATTAGCTTTCAAAGGCTACGTGTTTACTCATGTTTCAAATATTCTATGAAATGTGTGAAAATAAAATAGACCGTTTTCAACTGAAAAAAGTTGAAAAATAAAAAAAAAAGCTTTAATCATATTGAGAAAACACTTTATTTTGCTCACAGTCGGTATCTCATACTGGTCAATGCGAAGTCCTAATTCTCGGACAATATTCCTTCAAATGTCTCAGTTACTGACCAATAATATGTGTGAAGTTGTGCTGCAAAAATTTCCAAAACACTGCCTCTGATTTTCTCCGTCCTTACTCGATTTCATTCAACAGCAAATCAAAGAGCCCCCTCAAAGAAAATCACGTTATACTTCACATCAACCTTCTCCGGTGGATTTCTTGCATCCCTTTAATTTACGATAGGTTAAAAGATCGAGCTGTTGATAATGGACTCTTATTGAACTACCAGCTCTTCTGGCCTGATGCGGTGAGGGGCAACAAAAGAGCAGATGCTGAAACTCCCTGAGCCGCCTTCAGCTTGGGTCCACAGTGATCGATGGTAAACTGATGCTTGCAATGGATCCATTAGCAGCCAGCCAGCCTGGGCTTCCTCATACTGCAATTTGTTACCTGGGAATAGATTGTGTACGAGTGGCGGGGGGCCTCGGGGAAAAGAAACTGGGAAAGCCTAATTTTTTTTCCCCTTAATGCATGATTTTTTATTGAGCCCTGAACTGTTTGGCTGATGAAACATGTAAATAGGAAAGAGCTATAAGGGTGTAAATGAGTTAAAGCAAGCAGGAGAAAGAGAAAATCAAAGAGTAGCATTACAGAGGGAAATGAAGATCATTCATCTTCATTTCAACGGGTAATTTCCACCTGCTTCTTCATTTTTCTGCGGGACAAATGGTGAAACCAACATCAGCTAAAATCTAAAACCAGTGTGACACCTCGGCTGGTTTTTATTGACTGAAAGACGGCAAAGACAGAAACAGATGTAAGGAAATGAAAGGTAAGCTGAGGGAGGGTGACAGAAAGGCCGAGCAGTGAAGTCAAGTGAAGAAAAAAAGTGAAATTAGTGACAGCAGCAAGAGAAGGAGAGAGGTGAAGTTGACAGAAATAGGAAGCGAAACAGCTCACTTCATTCTTAAAGGAGAAGCTGAACCAAACCGGCTGCAACTCAACATGTTGAAAGAGAGACATTTGCAGTTATCTCTAAAAATTTATCATATAGAATCAAGACACAAAACGACACAACTTTACTCAAAAATAAGTCCTCTCCTTTCCTTTCATCTGTTCTCCAGTCCAAGTCACCAGTCCTGAAAATCCCAAGACAGTCTGGCTGCAGACCTCAACTGTCAGGACCCTTAGTTGCAGACCTCCACTGTTAGGACACGCTCTACGAACGGACCGAAAGTTGATTCAAAGCCTTTCAAATTACAACCAAATATACTGGGAGTATGTTTTTTATGTCAGAAATTGATTTAGAGCCTTTCAAAATAAAAGCAAACATACCAGGAGTGTGATTTTTCATGTCAGAAGTAGATTCCAAGCCTTTCAAATTAAAAGCAAATATACTAGGAGTATCTTTTCTTATGTCAGGTATTGATTCGAAGCCTTTCAAAATAAAAGCAAATATACCAGGAATAGGTTTTTGTATGTCAGAAGTAGATTCCAAGCCTTTCAAATTAAAGCCATTAGACCAGGAATCATTTTATGTACATTATGTTAATATGATATTTTGTTGTATTCATGTGTTCAGCAAAGACAAAATATAAAACACGATGACCATGTGACAAAAACAAACTGGAGCACTTGAGAAAAAACGTCACCTCAGGTCCTCTCAGTGGAGCGGGTCTTCTGCAACGAAGGGTCCTGACAGTGGAGGTCTGCAGCCAGACCCCTCTCTGAAAATCAGGACTTGGGTACAACAACAATCGTTCTCACAAGTTACTTTCGTTGGCTGGGCCATCTGTTTTATCCCAGTCTGCTCTCATGAGGACTTCACAAAGACGAGTCGACCACCCACTCATGTTAGATTTGTTTGAAAACACACAGACCCTCCGCTGCTCTCGACACATTTAAAGGATTCTCTTACTCTGATCCTGCCAGACAGATTGTGACGAAGAAACAACAGCCACTAATATATCATCAGTTTCCAGAAATTACACAAACTTTACGACATTTGACCTTGTTCCTCCGCTCTATGAGCAGATACAGCTTTGTTTCCAGGTGGTATTTTATTGACTTCTTCCTTTTCCAGCAATTTAAACCTGACAGTTGTTTCATCTTGATCTGTCTGTATCCTCGGGGCAGCGGACCATGTTCAGGGCCATACCAGGACATTACAAAAGCACAGACACACACAAACACTTGAGACAGAGGACTAATTTGCACTCAATTTTCAGCCTCCGCTCTGCAAGGCGGACAAGACTACTTATCTCACTCTTGTCACCGTGTGTCGATCAAAAAGATGATCCAAACTAATAGATAGGAAATGGAAATGTTATTAATTTGAAGATGTGTGTGTTGAGACAGAGATCTTGCATGAACCGGTATGAGACCAAGATTTCCATTTGACCTTGACCTGTTTACATCCAGACTTCTCCTTCCCCGTGGTCTGTTTGTTCTAGTCTATCCTGACTCCATAGACTCACAGCTCACCCACTCTGTGTTATTGAAACATGGGTGTAAAATGAGCGCAGATGTTATGAAAGCTTCCACTATAGTCCCCATCTGCAGCTTATTTTCATTGACTGCTCAGCTGCAACCTTTAAAGCACATACTGTCGACACAGCAGCGGCTTCTTCTATCACGCACTTTACTTGAATCGCTGCCAGTTTGTGTTTCTATATCACAGCAAAAACAGCATCTGTGCCAGCATCGTGGTATAAGGTTGTTTATGAAGTGTGAGAGAATCAGAGCGGTGTGATAATTACTAACCTGTTCATGCATGTGTGATCTTACTCTTGTTTGTGCAGATTTTTTCCTTTCAGTCGTCAGTATGATAGTTAGTGTCACATGCAATATTAGAAAAAAAGTCACAGGCAGGTAAAGGAAGACTTTGAAACAACTTACATTAATAAATATGGCGAGGCTACATCCACATGTATACAGATTTTGCGAAAAACAGATTTTTTTAAAAATGCTTTTTCACTTTTTCAATAGACGCATGACAAAAAAGCTGGTCTAGACAAGACTCTGTTCAGAGATTGGATCAGATTGATCTAGGGCTGGGCGATACTGCCTCAAATCACTATCACGATATATTGAGCAGTTTACCTTGTTAATGATAAATGGACGATAACTACTCCGCAAGATGCTCACCCGCTCCCACATTAACTTCGTCTACTTCAGCCGCTACAACTTTTGAACCGTCCTCCATCTCCTCACCTGTCTTTCCCTCTTGACTGGATGGGGTGGAGTCACGTCTCCAATATAGTACAACATCTTACATGCGACCATAGCCTACCTACACACACCCAAAACCATCTTTTGTTTATTTTTTTGACACTGAATATACAGATATGGGCAAATAATGTCAGTTATTGTAATAAATTTCGATATCGGTAAATTTTCGGGTTATCGCCCAGCACTAGTTACTATGTAATTCAATGCACTTTGACCAGCTCCTACCAAAAAGATCGAGTTTGCACTATTTGTGAGCGCAAAACATTCGATAAGTGTTTCATACAATCCAACTTCCAACTATGAAACAAAATAAAATACTGAATTTTCTTTAACCACATATGTTTCAAATAATGATCTTGAACTGTAAAGTCTTAACAGGAAAGTGTTGGCGTGACAAACATCTTTCAGTCTTTTCCACTTAAAATCGATGAGGGAAAACACCGGTTATTGTCAAAAAATTTCGGTATCTGTACATTTTCGGTTTATCGCCCAGCCCTAGATTAAGCCCTGTCTCGTTCGATCAGACCCACTCCTATCTCATCTTCAACCACACGAGTAAAGAACTTTGCAAAGTTTAACAAGTTACAGTGGAGAGGAAAATTTTCCTTTAACAGGCAGAAACCTTGAGCAGAAGCAGATTGATGTTCGACAGCCATCTGCTGAGACTGATCGGGGTTCAGGGAGGGGATAGAGGAAGATGGACAGGGTTTCTGCTGGGTCTTAAAAAGTCTTAAAACGTCTATAATCCGATCATTTGAATTTAAAGCCTAAAATTCTCTTAAAACCTCATAAAATGTCTTAAATACAAATTTAAAAGGTCTTAAAAATGTATTGATTTTACTCACAAATAAAAATTAATTTGAAAAGAAAACTTTCCGATTTCTCTTTATGTCTTTTGTACTTTTTTGCCAGTATGGATGTAAAATAGATCTCAAATTGCATTCATTATGGTCTTGAAATAGTCTAAAACATTTGACTTGTTGAAACCCGCAGAAACCCTGGATAGAGAAAGAGAGAGATGGACAGAGATGAGATTGATAGAAAAAATACGTTTTTTTTTATTCTTACAGAAGATGATCCCTTTTTTCTCAGTGTGCCTATGCTTTATTTATATTATTCAAATCTATTTAAATCCCATTAAACAAGGAAAGCCTTTCTGAGATTAAAAATATATATATTTCACAGAGTGTCAAGGACAGTATTTCAGAGCTGATATTTAGCTTCAGAGCACATTTCTCTCTATCCTGTTTAATAAGTACAGTGTGCATTTTCATCCATCGCACACAGCTGTACCACGTTGTTCAAATTCTGTCTGTTTAAAAGGATAAAAAGAGTGGGAGAGGTATTTAAGTTCAAGAATTACCATAAAACAAATGTAATCAATTTAAAGTAAATTAACAATAAAGCATTAAGCTCAGTAATCACAACCTTTAATCCATGCACAGCCCCCCGATAATAAAAGATTTGCTGAAGTCGTGTATTTGGTGTGAAAGTAGAAAATAAAGAGTGAAAACAGAGAGCTGGTGCTTTTTAACACCTCACTGTCACTTTTAGTAAACAAAGCAACAGCTTCCTGGTTAGGTGAGGCGTGATCAGACCAAAGTGTCAAAACGAGAAGAAGGAAAACTGCACGATAGCTACCACCTTAATAATAATAATAATAATAAAGATAATGACAACTAAGGATGACTGGATGAGGACTGAGAGCAAACGCTGAGATTTATGAACGTCTAAACTGATTTGGATACATGACCCAGCGTAGCATCTTTACTCCATTTGACGTCAAGATCTTTGATGTTTTCCCATTTTCAGTTTAATTAGATTTTCAGCTATTAATGTTTCAAGGACCGTAGCTCTTCTGAGCCCGATGCATCATGCAGTTTTTTGAACCGAGGAGCCAATGGGGGGCCTTCTGTGCTCCTGTTTCCACGCAGACTGAGGATAAGACAGGAGGCCTGTTGCTATGACAAGACTGCCTGTCACATCCCAGTAACTTTATACTCCCTCTTTTTGTGACACGTACGACAAAAGAAACATACGCACGTTTAAGATGAGCGATTTGACAGATAGATGAATCGGACAAGCAGCTGAAAACTGATTTTTCATCATCCATAATAAATGCATCTCAGGATGAGTTGCTGGAAAAGTCAACACAAGGCTTCCTTTATTTCCTGTCAGTGCTTGTTTACTGGTTCCCCCCCATCACTGTCCTGACATTAGTAACTCTCTTTTACACAGATAACTTTATTCATCTTGTCAGACAGGATACAAATGTTTCCTCTGTGTCTGGCCTCAAATTTAAAGTAATTGAATCGTGCCACAGCCAGCAGATTCAGTCTGACTCATAATGTCCCAGCGATGGATACTGTTTGATTAAATGTACTGCTTGGATAGTTCCTGTTGCTATTGCTGGTTATGGTGAAGCGTCATCGGTGGTGCATTTCTAACAGAGATTAAATAATCCAGGAAGCATTCATTACAATCTTGTGAGCGGTTCGCTGAGGTGTTTTCTCATCTCTTCGATGACCCGCCGCCTTTCAACATAGATGAGGGTTGTTGTTTGTCAAGTCTAGAGAGATTCAATTAGGCGGCAGAGAAGTCAGATGTTGTGATGTATGAATCACTAAACTCTGCAGTCAGTAATTATCAGCAGCCGTGTTTGGTTTTCAGGTTTATTTATGCTGCATGTGGTTATAATGAGAGAGCAGCAGAGAGAGAGAGAGACTATTAACATGTTCACCCCTAACAAGAGTGTGATGAATATTAAAAGGAATGACATTTGGTCTCTTTAAATGTCAGTATCCAGATAATGTAATACAACACGATGAAGCTGTAGTGCTCTTAAGAATAATGGGTATTATTGAACATAGTTTGAAGTGTAATATATTTGGGTTTCTTCGTCATCAGTTTTTGCAAACGTGAATCAGCTCCTGATGTAATTCTGATGACTTTTTGGTAAAATATTTCATCATTCCTGATTTAACTGACACTGCTTTTCTCCAGTTTTCAACTATGTGGTCTTGCTCATTGTTAGGAAATCCATAAAAGGGAATTTTTCTGGCAGAGTCCAGTCTAATTTTGGCCAATTCTGGATTTTCTTTAGTTCCTTTAGCTCCCTTACATAAGGGAGTGTCCTGATACAACTTTTTGACTTCTGATACGATACCGATATTGATCCAATATTGGCACAAAATACTGCCACAAAGCCAAAATCACTCTTACTTCTTGCTACTTTGTTAGCACCTTAGTACACAGTTAGTGCGTTCACATGTGCAGCTTAGTCGGACTAAGCTCAGAATTTGTTTTTTATACATGCAGCTGAGGAAATTGAATTATTGCCGTGAACGTGTCCTCCTCCCCAAAACTAGGGTGCGATATGGGTCTTTTCAGCGGCGCTGTTTTCGGTTGACCCAACAACAACGGCAGGTCCATGCCAGACGTTAGAGGTGGCTACAACTGCTGCTGGGGATTTTCGAGGAAGAACATGAAGCATCGTACAGCATTGTTTTTGTTGTACATGATGTACGCGCTACTTCTTCTGCAGATGAGGTGCACACTACTCCTATTCTCTGGTGTTTTTGTTCCGGGGTTACGGCGGCATGGCGCACGAGTCTCATGTAAATGTCCTGTTGTGATTTTGTTGGCTCAGCTTGCTGGTTTAGGGCGCTGCTAGCTAGAGGTGCAGAAGTGGAGTCTGGAATGGACTGCTTGTATCGGAGTGCTGATATTGGAGATTATAGATGCAGGCCAGTATAATCCAATGTTTGTTTTTTTTGCTGACATCGGACCGATATCCAATATCAATATTGTATCGGGACACCCCTACCTCACATTACAGCAACGTCAAACACCTCTCTCTCTCTCTCTGTTTGCATCTTCCTTCATCCCATTTCAAATCCTATATTTCTGCATGCTAGTTCCCTATTCAAATATTTAATTTCAGAATATTTATCTCAAATCATACAGAAATATACTTCCTGCTGATCGCACCATGTGCTTGTGTGTTTGTGTTTGTGTGAGTGTGTCTCTCAGGCATCTTTCTCACCCCTGCGTGTCTCAATTTGATTATGCAGATCAGTCTCCACAGAGCTCATTATTGCTCTGTGGGGGGAATGTGTTGCGGTCACAGCTGCGCAGGAAGCCGGTTTAGAGGATTTGCTTTCATTCGGAAACACCAACATGCTCTGCTCTGCGCTTTTGTCTTTATATACTCCACACACACGGATGCTAAAAAGGAAAATAAATCACATGTGCAATAAAACACCCACACACATCCTTTTGCTGTCAGTCTCTCTTAGATCTGACAGTCGCTCTGTTCTCTCTGTGTGCTGGAAATGAATCCTAACTTGAGTAACGTCTGAATCAGCAGCTCGAGACCAAGGTCATGGCGTCATTCTGAATATATTAGTGTTTTAAATTTGACGTTGCTGGAGTGTGTGCATAACCGGTCCATGTATTATCCATCCATTCAATTATTCTATTCAATCTAGTAAAGGAAAAAAAAAGAGTCAATATTTTGTTCATTTGTTATTCTGTATATCCCAAAAATTAAAAATCAGTGTTTTCGTATTTTCAGCTCAAAACAGAATATATAGTAGAGAAGGGAACGAAAACAAAATAATAAGTCTTATTTACAATTATTGATTTTGAGTGCGCCTGTTTTGAGCACACGTGCATGGAGGCTACACTGGTCTTCCCATGATCCTCAGCGACAGTTACCATGGCGAAAGATGCAACCGAGCGTTTAGAGCGCCAAAATCTTACGTTGTAACAGAGCTCTGGTTTTAATTTTTTCTACAGTCATGTGTTCTTCCTTCAGTGTGACCCTCCTAGCAGCTTTGAATAATACGTAGGATGCGTCCATCTCCATGACAGCAGGTTAGCCTTTCTCTACCGCCCTGGCTTGGAGTTTTTGTTCCACGTTGTTGGCTACCTTGTTGTGCAATGCGCATGTGCGAACAGTAGCAAAGCACCGTAGGAAATGCGGACATCAATAACCCAAAAACAAAAATTAGATTTATAATTTTGTTTTCATTTCCATCTCTGTTTTATAATATAAAATATAAAATATATAATATAATTTTTACCAATAACCTGTGACCGAATGTATCAAATGCAAACTGTTGATACCGGTAACGCTCTTACGGTACACTTATTACCAGGTAATTAACAGGTAATTACCTAGTAACAACATGAAATTATCTGGTAATTACTTGATAACTACTAAGTCAATACTGTCTAGCTACCAGGTAGGTAACCTTCCATCATCATACAAATTTGAATATGAATTGCAGTAGTGGTTCCAGGATTTTTTCAGCTTCCTGGAAATACCACTTGCGCAGTAGCATTGTACGCATTCGGCGGGTGAGTCGGTGTGATAATGCTCGGCTCAAACAGCGTATCGCTACGCAATCTCTTGAAAATAAGAACCCCAAATAGCTTTTAAAAATGGAGCTGCACAGAAAAAACTAGACAGTATTGACTTAGTAGTTATCAAGTAATTAACAGATAATTTCATTTTGTTACTAGGTAATTACATAATAATTACCTGGTAATAGGTGTACCGTAAAAGAAAGGGTTACCTTGATACCTTAAACAAATTCAGAAACGGATCATTTATCAGTGGTTTTCATTTCAAGGCACTCCTGAATTTCTAAATCAAATAAAACTCACTTTTGAAAATGAACTGAAGCAAGCCTGACCGAAAATGGCAAGTATTTCTTATTAATTTTGACACTCTATGCATCAAACGTCACTTTGAGATGATGTTTCCCCTCAAGCGTTTTGCATTATGTCTATAATACTAAACAAGATCTAGACTCAGAGATAGACTCTTCACCATTCAGCCTTTTCATTTCTACAAAGAAATGTGTTTTTGCAGCAGAGCTCTCAAGCTGAGGAGTTGTAGGAAATTGATGGATAGTGGTCCAAAGAGAGGCTGCTGAGTTACTGTAGCTCTCCGGTGAATGTAGGATATTTGAAGAGACGGAGAAGGAAAAGGAGATTTCAGAGTGGCTCAGGTGTGTTGCAGCGCTCACTGCGGGGCTAAAACTGTCATTAGTCAGACTCAGGAGACGCCTTTCTGCTGAAAACATAATCTGTCACGTTAGGATTACCTGTATGTGTGCCTGTGGTCATGCATCTGTTCACCCAGTCTCATCAGAACTCGGCGGACCTCACGCGGCGCAGACAGCTTAATCTGCATCCGTGCCTCATTAGCCCGTTTGGTCCTGACAGGTCGAGGCAGCGAGCGGCTCTCGTTCTCTGCCCACACCTCAAAGAAGCAGCTTAAGCTCTTCATACTGGTCAGTTTAACACCACAGCTGTAGTTTAAGATAATGAAGCTGCGAGATTTCTGCTAATTATTGTTCACTTTATCTCTGCCAGGAGCTGCTGGAAGATTTGAAACGTATCAAAGCTCATAAATCGAGTCGGTAAACAGTAACCAGAGGGGTGATTGTGTTTTATGTTTCTGCCAGCTGTAGCTCTTATGGACCCAGAGAGAGACTCACAACAGTCAACTTGAGGTTTTTCTTGTTGTAATTAAGAGAAGGAAGCTGAGATGTTATTGGTGCACGTGGTCAAATAAGATGCAAACAGATATATGTGAGTTTTGCCAAATAAAAAATGAAGATGTGATTTCCACTTCCAATCAATACAGGTGGAGAAACGGCGTACATCTGCCCTCCCCTACAGCGTTTTTAAAAGTCTATTCTGCATATATATCGTAAAGAGGTTCTGTTTTATTGTGCTGTAGGTACTGCCAACAAGGCTCTTAGTCCACGGCACTTTATCTACCGGGCTGCTGATGCAGCTGAATGCTGCTATACTCTACTGTTTCCTTCATTAGGGTCCAGATGAGGTGTTTGGCCATACGCACAGGGATTGTGGGGTCACTCATGGGTGCTGCAGCAAACCCTAAAGTCAGGCGCAATATAAACTAGCAGCAAATAAAAGGACTAAAACTTAGCAGAGACTTTAGGTGCATTTCAACCAAAGTAAAATCAATCAATCAATCTGTATTTATATAACTCCAATTCATAAAAAACACAGTGCAAAAAGAGCAGCAGGCTGGGTTGGTAAGATATAATGTGGTTCCAGTCTCATTTGTGAGATTTGGAAAGTTTTTCGATTGAATCAAAGCAAAGATATCAAGATGCTTTTCATTTGATAGCTGCAGTGTATGTTAATGAAACAAATCTCAGCCATGCAGCTGGAGTTCAGTCAGTCGGTGATGTGTTTACTACTCTGGTTTATGTGTTTGCTCTTTATATCCTTTAACGCTTGATTTATCTTTGTATTCACATGTTGAATGACTTTGCACTTATCACTCCAATCTGTGTGAACTTCCTGGGACTTTTGTGGACTGTTGCCTCGGTAGAGTTTCAAAAAATCTGAAGCTCCTTATTTCCAAAAGTGACTTGTTGCAGCAGAAAGTATGGCATCATAACTTGGATTGTCTTTCTCTTATCAGTGACTGACTTGCAGCAAAACAAAACTCTAAAACAAAATAGTAAAACAAACTTTTTGGATCTTTAAACCTCAGTCGTTTGGAGTGCTTCATCCATGCTGATTTAAAAGTTCATTGGGTTCATGTAGGGAGACGCTCAAACAGGTTGACAGGTTCAAATACCTCAGATTTACACCGGAACATAGACTCACATATCACCCAGATCCACAAATCCCGCCACCGGAGACTGACAACCTTTCACAAAGAGTTCTCTGTCGCCTCTCACATTCTGTGACTGCGTCTCGTATTATCCATTCAATCCATCAAACCACGCAGCCACCGGTTTTTGTCACAATGCTCTCTGTCTCCAACAGAGAAAAAACTGTCCCATTTTACATGTTCTGTCTCAAAAATGATTAGTCTCCCAGCCCCCAACCTTTCAGATCATTATAACCGAGCCGTCACTGGAATGAGACTCACCAGAGCACATGACCTGGGAGAACCTCTCGACATATTTCACACTTTCTATCAGAAATCTCACACACTCTGAGATGGAAAAAAGCATGCTGGGAAAGTTTTATCACTGCTACAAAAGTTCTTAAACCTGCACTTTGTCAATAATCCCTCCTCCTGTGTTAGGGTCTGCACCGACCCGTTTTTGATTTTAAATGCTTAAGAAAACCTTTTTGACTTTGTCAGGAACCTCTATATCGACAAAATAAAAAATTAAATAGACTAAATTATAAAATGCTCTTATTAAAATTATGGCACTTGTTCTGTGTTAGGGTCGCTGTTGACCCGGATAGATCAATATCTAATGATAAGAGCAAAATTAAAATCACAAGTGAACTGTCAGGCACCACACTGACAGTCAGATCCTCTTCCAATCATGTGAGATTTAGGAAATTCTTACTTTGCCGTGTTTTTACCTGCACAAAAAACAACATTAGGCAGAACAGAGACAGAGGCACAGAGAATTTTCTCTTAAGGCACACAAGCAATTTATTAGAGCGCGTGCAAATCCTCAACTGTGCAAGCTGTCAAGAGCCCAATAAATTAGATACAGCTATCTTGTTGTCTTATCGTCTCACTATCCGAGGAACACTTAATGGAGAGTCGATTTGTGAGTTGTATTCTCACAAGTGTCTGTCCTTAAATGGTTCAACATCAGCTGAGGAGTTTTAAATCAAGTTTTCTCTCAATCAGCAGCTCGAGATAAAAGTAAAAGAGAGCTTCATTCAGAATAACCATGATGTTATAAACTTGATTTGGTTACAACCTGTCAATCGTGGGATAAACGCAAACTGAAGTTTCTGACCATTCAGCGATGGTTTCTATTCAAACGGTTTTGCTGATTTCAAAGTGAGAAAACATGTTTTGAATGTAGCAAACTTAACCTTGAAATAGCTGCCATTTATGAATATTTTAAAAACTGTTGGCTCCAAGCTTCACTTTACAAAATAAGACTGAGACTGTGCAGTGAAAAGGCTAATGTGAAGCACTCTTTGAAATCACTTGAACTCCTGAATGGCTACCTTAATAACTGTCCTCTAAATGCATCATGAATATACAGGATATCCTTGATAAACTATGCCTAAGTAAGCCTTTTTTAAGCTAACCCTCTGCTGTATTTGTTATCAAAGTCTGCTCTAGAGCCCTGCACTGGACTGTTTTCACCCCTGCAGTTTCTGACCAATCCTGCCCACAAACTCTGACCATCTATGAGTAAAAATGTGACAAATAAGTTAGACCTCCGGATCTCTGTAGCGTTTTATTGAATGTGTACAGAGTCAAATGCTTCATCTTTAAACAAGCTCGCTTTGATCAGGGCGACAGCAGCAGGTGTGCCGCCTCAACCTAGACGGGCCTGATTTGTTGCAACTGACCAAGTCCAATTATTTTCCATCACTGTCATCAACAATTGAGGTATTTATCCCTGAGAATTGCTTTTATCCATCTTTGTTTGAACCCAGCTTCAATCTACGCATCTACATCATTATCTGTTTCCATTGTTGGTAGCACCAGAAACATCTGGGACATAAAGTATCCCAATCGCAGTGAAACTTTTTATTCTAACCATTTTATCCAATTTACTGTCCAAGAACTGAGTTATAGAAGTAACTGAACATCCAAATTTGCAACAAATCACAGATATTAAGAAAATTGTGCAGCTGCAGAGGTTGTACAAATGTATTTTGCTGTGAGATTCTACCTTAAAAACACGCTGACTCTAAAATGAGCTGAAAAGGGTTTAAAAGCACAATGCGACAAAAAACACCCAGTATATTGAATTTTTACACAAAATGATGTTTCTACTCCCTTCACTAATCCTCAGATTTTCTTTGAACTGCAGCTTGAGGTCAGAACTGTCCAATTAATGGTTGTTATACTATAAGAATCAGACCTGTTTGGTTCCTTTTATAATACTGTTTAAAGCTGTGAGTGCACAATACACTGGCAGTCCTTTGGGATTCAATTAGATGGTGTTTATGTTGTACTACAAACAGCAGCGTGCCTCACTTTTAGTATGGTATAGGGCTAAATCAGTATAAATCAAGGAGGGTATCCTTGTAGGATATTATCCTTTGGAAAATGTGCTTTAAAAAATGTGTAGTTCAAATCAAGTGAGGCATTTTAGACTTTGAAGTATGAAACCTCTGGAGGCTGTACCGTACGGACTTCTTCTTCTGTTCTTTCATTGCATTAAAAGACAAGTTGGTAGTTTATAGATGAGGTCTCTGCAAACAAAGTAGCGCCTTCATTATGCTAGAGTATCAGACAATTCACTTTTTTTGTGCCTCAGGTGTTACCGAACCTCCAGATTTCATCTGCCTGCAGAATCTACTGAAAAGGAATATGTGTCCATAGACTTCTGTAGGCAAACATACTGTATATAGTATCATTCTCAGTGCTTGTAGGACATGGAAGAAGACTAGAAAAGACCCATCTGTCGTTATTGACAGGTGACTTTAGTTGCGACAGGTACAATTTACTGGTAGGGAAAAGATTCGAGCACAGGGGAAAACAAATGAGCAAAACTCACGTATAGGTGAGTTCAGGTTTTCTCCAAAGTCTGTTTTTGCAGCTGGGGTTAGGGAGTTCTTTCGGCCAAATGTGTCCCTCTCCACCACATATCGCATCACATGATACCACCACAAACAGATTTAACCACACAGCTTTTACTTACAGTCCCACACAGATCACCCACTCTGATCCTCCCCACTTTATAAGAGTTTATGTTCGGTTCCTTGCCCATCTCCTCATTTCCTATTTCTCTCTCATCTTCTCCCTACTTTTCTCCCTAAAAACCTCTTGCCATGATTACTTATGCAGATATGTATTACTGCCTGAACTTACAGGTCATTCCGCCTGACCAGCACATGATAATGGCTCACTCAGCAGACTTGGAGGTAAAGTAAGGCTGCATCTTCTTATGTTGATGCTTCTGGTGACATCTGATAATGGACTTTTAATGAGCAGATAAAACCTGATGCTGCTGACCCTTCAAACGCTAAGAGAAATGAATACCTGCTCCAGCTCTGGTTGTGAATGTATCTAAGTACAAAACAGTATTTGAGACCTTAAGAGGGGATAATTTACCTACTGAGAGGACATTTTCTTATATTACAGATACATTAGTGCCATAAGACTTCATCAGCGAGTTGTATCAGTAGGATCTCCCACTGTGAGGACATTAACAGAAGAAGATAAAGTAAAATAAGATTAGATAAGATAAGAAGAACTTAATTTATCCCTGAGGGGTAATTCGTCAGTTAGGAGAAACTTTTCAATCCAACACGACCGATTATGAGTCTGTGCAGGTTTCCTTAACTTGGAGGAATTATGTTCAAAACTAATATAATTATGGAAATGATAACAATAAATCTTCTACCATATTGTGTTTCAAGGTAGTTCAGTCATATCATAACAACACTTGTATGCCAATTTTGTGAATTAGTAGATACATAATTTGGGGTGCAATATCTACTTACACATCTGCATGTGCATCTGTGTGATCTGGGCTTCGTACGATACTATATACAATGTGTCACTTCATAATAAGGGGCTGCAGGATAATGTGCAATCAAACATACATGTTATATTTATGTGCAATATAAAGAGGATCTGATCTTCCCGGTAGATAGCACTCTGCACTTTAGCACTATGGCACTTCAATTTACACTCCAGCACTTTAGAATTCACTGTGCGTAATTAACACAGTCCCCTAACCTCTGGCGCATTTTATTTTGGACTGTATGTCATTTAGGTTGTCAACAGTTTATGTATGCCGTTTGTCTTTTAATACGCTCTCTGTGTTTTATTGCAATTACTGATGCTCGTTTTTGTTTTATGTGTTGAAACCAACCTGTCAATGGGACTAGGGGATGGAAATGAGCCACCTGGTTAGAACAAGGGGTGGGATAAAAAAAATCGATTCACATAAGTGTCGCGATTTTTTGTTTTACAATTTTTTAATCGATTTTTGTTTAAAAAAAAATCGATTTTTTTTTTTCAAATTGAAGTATAACTCTTAAAAACGGATCTACATGTGATGTGTATTTTTTGGGGAAATATGGTTCCTGGAATAGTCACATGAACAATCATAATCATTCAACTGTTTCACTGGTGTTAAAAATGCAGACTAAAAATCAAGAAAATCGACAATATTGTACAATTGTTATTTAAATTGAATAGGCATTCAAAAAATCATAGAAGAATCGAATTGGGAGAAAAGCATATCGTCCCAGCCCTAGTTAGAACCTCATTTATTTACATGTAAATGTTCATTAACACATATCATCCCATTTAAAAAAAAATAGAAAGAAATCATAAATCTTGTGTTTATCCCAACTAAGGCAACGGCTGAAGTTCCATGTGATGTTCTCCATCAAACAATCGCTAGGACACAGCCTAAACACCCACTTGTAATAATATCAGGAGACAAATAAGAAGGTATTGTTGATGTAAGATTTTAGTTTAGGTTGGAGAGCTCAAAACACAAACTCAACCTGCTCTTAATCCTTGAACTTTGCTGAGAGGGTCTAAAGCTGTTCAAACATTTTCAGAATGAAGCTCTTCATAAACCTGCAGGTGTGTAGGAAGCTTTAGTTCAATCAGCCGTCTGCTTCTCCTAGTAAATCTCTGCATGAGCCCCGGTGAGTCCCCAGTGCCAAGTCGCACGCAGATGGCACCGCCCTCGCTGCGCCCCACCACTGCAATCCTGCCCAGTCACAAATCAATACTGCTGGGCGAGAAAAGGAGGGAGGATTTATGGAGCCAGGGGAAGCACAGGGGACAACGAGAGGGAATATGTCTGTGATAATGTAAGAACAAAGAGGAGAGAGGGGTGGAAACCGAGGAGATAAATTGACAGGCAAAATGAAGAGGACAGAAATAGATAGGGAGTGGTTGGGAAGAGAAATGAGAGGAAGAGGTGGGGTGAGAAAGGATGAGTAACGGTAAAGTAGGAAGGATGAAGAGCCAAGGCAGAAAAAGGAGGGGGAAGACAGCTGCGGCAGGGAGGACAGAGAGATCAAGCCAAAAGGACAGAGATAAGAAGTATGTGGGACCTGAGGGGACAAAGGGGGGTCATACGGCGTGGACACGGAGAGAGAGGAGGACAAAAAAAGGGAGGTTAAAAAGGAGGAAGGAGGAGTAGGAGAGAGGAAGGATCCCAGCAGGGATTTCCGCAGGGTGAACTCAGCCAGAGTGCGAGGCGCTCTGCAGAGCTGAGCAGTAGGTCTTGAATTATTAAACACAATATTTTGCAGCCGAGCAAGCGGCTGTGGCCATGTCGGATGTATCTGCTGAGGGGGCAAAGATTGTGCACGTGTGTGTGTGTGTGTGTGTGTGTGTGGGTGGGTGAGGCAGGGTGGGGTGAGGGATAGGGTGCAGTATTATAGTGTACCTGGGCTCATATGTTTGCATATCTTGTGACCGAGTCCACTTCAGGTCCAAATGGTTTTATTTTTCATATTGTGCATGTCTCTTGGTTTTTCTTACTTGTTTGCATGCTTGTGTGTGTGTGTGTGTGTGTGTGTGTGTGTAGTCATTGCCCATTTAGAGCTGCTAATTAATGAGGAAGTTTGATCCTAAGGGGCCTCTGTCTAAACTCCTGCTCCAGTGGAGAGCAAGACAAACACATGCAGTAAGAAGCAACCACACACGTGCACACTCAGGTGCATCTGATACTGGACTTCTTCTTTTTTCTGCATTGAAAACACTTGTATAAAGGAATATTTTATTAACTTTTTTATGGATCAAGCACATCATTTATTCGACATAAACCTTTGCCTAACTGCGTCCCTGCGCCAGATCAAAACCAGAAAACATCTTTGTGTTTCAAATGCTGCATGAAAGAAGTGACCATGATTATCAGGGAGAGTTAATGCTCCTGCATCTTTTTCTTAAATGGCCAAAACTCACATTACCAAGGAGTCAGGAAGGATGTAAACTGCAGCGGCATTAATCTGCAAGATGAGATTGCCGTTTTACTGCCTGATAGCTGCGGTATTTCAAACTCTCGAGACACATAAGTGAATCTTGGACAAGTTGTATTTGCATGGAGAATTTTCTATCCCCGAGTTCATCTCCCATCAAGAACTTGTAAAAGCTTCACATGACATTAAAGGTTCCATTTTAAGTCTGGATGAGATCTCGTTTACACAAAAGACCCCCCTCCTACCCCACCTCCCTTGTAACCTACCGTGTCTGGATTTCTGGTGATGTGATGTTCCCTCAGGGCAACCCTGCTGCACCGTCAGAGCGCTGACAGGCGTATTTGCATAAAAACCTTGTTTTGCCCAGCCACGACACTGCCTCATTTCTCCTTCCTGTCTGCTCGCTTTTCTCCTTGTCACCTCCTCTCTCTCCAACTCTCACCTTTTCTTCTCTCTCTACCCCGTCTGTCTGTCTTTGTTGCTCCTCTCTCTGGTCTTTTTCTAACCTGCCTGTGCTTCCTTTCTCTTCATTACATTGTGGAAATGAAAGATCTACCATCATCCCGGCGCAGAAATATGATGAGCTGCTTTTGAACCGTACAACTCTCCTTCAAAGGCTGCGAAACCCTCCCCTCATCTTGGGACCATTAAGTGGTTCTCACACTGATGAATCACTAAGATTAGATTGGGAGCTCAGAGAGAAGCTGATTGACAGCTTTAAAGTGGCTCTTACGCTCTCTCTCGGATCTTCTCCCTCTTTCTGTCGTTCTATCTCTCACTTTATCAACCTCTCACTCCCTCTCACCCACACATTTCCCCTCTGTCTCGTCGGAGTTGCTCTGGTTGTCCATCTGCTCCTCTGTCCGCCTCATTCTTCTCCGCCCTCCTCCTCATTCCCAGTTTGCGAGATTATTCCTGGGCTCCTTGTGCTGTAATTGAATTTCACATCCCTAAATCGAGCTCCTGCCCTTGAGGACCACAGAGGAGGGCGTAATTACATTTCTGTTTGGCTGCAAATTACAGTGATAATTCGATATGGCCTTTTTTCCATGCAATTCACACAGGCAGAAACAGGTGGTACCTTTATGGGTAGAGAGTTGGCAGCCAACTTTGCAGTGATAAAACAAAAATATAGTCTCTGTTACATCCTAGCTTCTTCAGCGTTAGATTTGTTCAAAAGAGGATAAGAGCCAAATGAAGAGAAAATAAAACAATAATTACAGGAAGGAGATTAAAGACAAAATTTCAAGATTAAAAAAATCTAAATCTAAATTATGTCAATAAAGTCGAAATTTCGAGATTAAAAATTGCAATTTCAAGATTAAAGTCGAAAATTCAAGATTATGAAATGTGAATAATTTAGAAATTTCCAGATTTAAAAAATTCAAACTTCGAGATTAAAGTTGACATGAATTAAGTCAAAATTTCGACTTTTTCAAATTTTGACTTTAATCTCGAAATGGAAATTTAAAAAATCTCCCTCCTGTATTATTTTTTTCTCTTCTTGTGGCCCTTATCCTCTTTCATAGATATGGGCAGCTGTAGTAACAAAGGATGATTCCCAAAAGAAGAGCTACTTTTAGGGGCTATAATGATGACCTCTCCTCTAGCTAGCGATGACACTGACCTTTGGTGGCCTAAGTATTAAACATCTGGATTTGGGTCCAAGTATAGATACTGCTGGTCAAATATCATTACAGTACAAGTAGAAGTTATTCGGATGTGTTATATGAGTTGGAGTACTGGCATATTTGCTTTTAAACCACTTTATAATAGTATTTTCAGCTGTTCGCAACATGTCTTTCAAGCAAAATTCTAATTCTGTATGAGCCCTGCAAAAACTCTTTATCTTACTCGTCCTCAAAGGTGTTTAATTTGCTCTAAAAATCTGCATTTTTTGGCTCAGTGTGTAACGTGCTCTCTGGTGCCTCTGCAGCCAGCCTCTAGTGGACACTCAGGGAACTGCAGATTTATTATCTCCACATTGGTTTTATTTCTCAAGACCTGGGGCCGTATGCACGTTGCTTGGCAAAACGCGTTTAGCGGGCTAAACGCGTTTAACTCCTAAACACCAAAAATGTCGGTATGCACGTCACTTCGTATAGCCGTTCCTATACGGATTTTCGCGTTTAAAGTTATCGCACCTCTGGAGGTCCAATAGCGGGTCTAAACGCGTTTAAATATGGCGGCACTCTTGTTGTTCCAAGGAAGACAGCGGCGACAATTGCGTCGAAACAGGATTTTTCGTGACAGAAAACACCCCTTCGACACGTATGACGACCACGAAGTGTTCCGTAAGTTTAGATTTCGACGGCACCATATTCTCGACCTCACACAGGTGATTTCCGCTGAAATTGAACTTTCGAACCGAGGATTCACCCTCACTCCACTACAACAAGTCCTCGTAACCTTACGATACTACGCCACTTGTTCTTTCCAAGACGTGTGTGGGGAATTGGTAGGAGTGGATCAGTCGACAGTCAGTCGAACCGTCACTCGAGCGCCACTCGACCCGTTTAAGACACAGTAAACGCGGTTAGCTATACGGATCCGTTTACAGCATTGTGCATACCAAAATCGTATAGGAACTAAACGCGTTTAAGGCCCGTATAACTAAACGCGTTTAAGCCCTAATCGCGTTTACGCCAAACGCTTTCAACGTGCATACGGGCCCTGGATGCCACTTAGTCTAACCTGTGCACAAGGGATGGGTGATATAGGCTAAAAAATTCATCATGGTAAGTTTTGCCATACTGGCGATAACGATAAAAGTCCTGATTAAAAATATTATAATTCCAATCTATATTTTTGACTCATTTTGTCTCGAGAACACCAGTTGGAATAGTCAAATAAGATACTGAACCACAAGTTTAAGTGGTAGGCTATAGAGAAAAGTAGTGACATCTAACAAGTCTGAAATGTGAAAACATTTTTAACATTTATTAAAAACTCTTATTGCACAGAGTGAACAGCAGCAGATTCACTGCCTGATGTCAGGCGTACCTGATTGCGCTTATCTGGGACCCTGAATATATATATATATGAATTGAACCAAGTCTACTGCTGTGCACTGATCTGAGTGGGCAGGGGTCCTACCATTATGAGACACTGCCCTGAGTCACTGTCTGAAAGACGTCTACTGAGAGAGGATGCAAAACGTTGTGAGAATGCAAAAAGTTTATGAAATCCTCTAATTACCGACCAATCAGTGTGCTTGATTGACATGCATTGTTCAGATGACTGTACGTGTGTGAAACAACAGAGGTTAAAATAGGCTAACAGCACTTAGACGAGCTGATTGATGTGGAAGAAACTTCTGGAGAAGACTTGTGTCGCAACATCTGCAGCAGAGTGAACTCTTCTCCTAGACGACTGAACTATTTTGTGTCTCTGGCACAAACTTCACTCTCATTTATGTGTGCGCCTCAAGCAGGGACAGATTTACTGAAGAAGCGTTTATACTTATATTAAAAAATGCTTGTACGCTGCCTAAACCCCCCACTAGTTCAAAGTCTGGAATCAGTGTCTGATAAGATGCGGCTTCGTCTATCTGCTGCTTGTAATCAGTGCTAAGTGAACACTGAGGAGAGAGTGAGAGAGAGAGAGAGAGAGGGTAGGGGTGTAAAGTGTTGGCACCAGCCCCAGTACTTGCATAACTCACTGATAATTAGGGTTTTACTCCTGCCAAGTCTTAACCACTGCTATGACTGTGCTTGTTGGCAGGATATCTGAAAAGACTAGGGGGGGGAATCGTAATTGAATAGAACAGAAATACATAGAAATAGAACAAAAAGACACAATAGTCTCATGTAAAACAGCCAAAACTGGCATAATCAGCTTATGGTGCTGAGGATTAGTGTTTTCTTTCGGGGTGAATAAAGAAACTGAACGAATCAAAGAATACAAAGTCACCAGCTGTTTTCGTTGTGAGTTTGTACCCGGCTTTGTGGAGACAAAGACACACAATACTCATCCTTTTTCCTCCCCATGTTTTTAACACCACCCCTCTTTTTTCCTCCCTGTACTGCTTCAGTCCCACCTTTCCCTCACTCCCTCTCTTCCCTTGGTTCCACACTCTTGTTAGCACCGCTCACGCCTGCCTGCCTGCCTGATTAACTAACAACCCAAAGGATGTTACATCGAATGGTGTCGGCGCTCCCCGAGAGAGGCATCGATTAGCTGGCAAGCGATAACCACACAGACGGACGGCTCAGAGAAATGAGCTCGGGAGAAGGCGCTGGAAAAATGAATGACTGCTGGGAGAGGGCAGCAAACCATTTTCGAAGAAGTAGCATGCACACATTCAAGAGAAAATTATGCGTTTAAGGCCTAATGACTAGATAAATCAAACACTCTGCCACAGTTTTCAAGTTTAAAAAAGAGCAGAAACAAGTCGCAGAGAAGTGGTAATGAGCTCAAGTTAATAAAGAAGCTTCTTAAATGAGTGTCTGCAGAGCCGAGTAAAAGAGAGGGGACATCTGTTCCTGCTGGAGCGAGACATATTTCAAACATAGTTGAAAAAAACACTCTGTTTGTGCGTCTGTAGTGAAAGTTGTGAAGACAGAGGGTCAGACAAGCCCTTTATTTTATAACGAGGAGCTCAGCACCAACAGGCAGACTCACATGGACTGAATTTCTGAGTGGTGATAAATATTTGGAATTAATTTTCTGGGTTCAGCTCGTTCCTTTTTATCTGCTTTTTTTCCCTCCTGATTCTGAAAATCACATTTGCAAAGGCGGCTTGAAGAGTTGATGGTAATTAAAGCAAGGACGCAAAATCTGTCATCTCATTTATGACTCAAATATTAGATTTTCCAACACAAGTTGTCATATCTTATCATCGATTTGTAACAAATACTTTAAAATTATGAGAAAATGTTGCACGAGGCCTCATGGTTGCATGGATATTACATGGCTTTAGTTAGCCAGCTTTAAGTTCCTCCTCACAATAGGAAGAAATATTCCCGTATTCGACAGTTTGTGAACATTTTCATATCTGAAAAACCTCAAAACTGGGTCAATCCTCTGGGAGGTAAGGGGTCAGTGCTTCTCAGGCTGCAGGTTACAGCTCTGGACTCTAATCAGATATGTGGTTGTGGTATGTAGACAGTCACACAGAGAGGCTTTAAGTTAAAAGGCCAATTATTGTCAAGGTCAAGACCTGACACACTGCTGCTGACATGTTGATCTTACATCACAGCAAAGATCCCACAGAGGCGTTTATGTTAGTTAACAAAGAAGTTTTACTTTAAGGAGAGGACTAAATTACATACTTCTCTGTGTAGACATATTAGTTTTCTTTAGCGAGTGTAAAATTTAGAACAAGGGAGGGAATTACGAGCCTCTGAACAGAGTATTATAACTACCCACCAAAGTGGGATTATGAATGTCCAAGGCAGATCTCAAGCGCAGAGCCGGTTTGATAATTAGACACAAAAGAAGCAGAACAGCTTTCAGACACATGGCGCCCTGACTTCCTTGCTTGTGGGTTTTCATCCACATTCAAGGTTGAGGATAAAGTCAGACTCTATAGCAGGGATTTGGTCTTTTTGATGTTAAAATCTGCTCTTTTTGGGCTGTTTTCAGGTACATTTCTGGACTTGATCTTCATCTTGAGGAAGCGAGCTCTGGTTCATGAGTAATGCAGACATGAAAGCACAAGCTTGTTCTTTGTAGTCAAATGTTGCGTTCATGTTATCAACGTTTGGTATATTTATGTTTGTAGGCATGTGATTTCCGCTGACCTGTCTGGCTCACTTTATCTGCTCCTCTTCTTTCCTCTCTGTAGAGCAGAACTATAATGATCGTCTCTTATTCTCAGTTCACATATGACAATATCACATGTACCATCCCAAACAGCAGAATACACCTTTATGCAGATGATACTGTGTATTATCTGGTGAACAAATATGATATCCTCAGTGTGCAGGACTTATTTCTCATCTCCTCAGTCTTCCATTGGGTCCCAAAACTCTCCATCCACGGTATCAGAGCACTTCCCATACACCTGTATGTGCTCCAGCCCTCTTTTCACACCTGTGCTGTAGCAGCTTCAGCTTTGAGACTAACATTTTTGCCACAGTGTCCACAGGCAGAAGTGAAATGATCTGGACTCCTCTCCACAGATTTATTTAATACAGATGGGTAAAAGGTCTTTATATAGGGATGTCCCGATACAATATTGATATTGGATATCAGTCGGATTACATCGGCCTGCATCTGAAATTTCTGATATCAGTACTCCGATACAAGCAGTCCATTCCAGACTCCGCTCCGGCACTTCTATCGAGCAGCGCCTGGATCCAGCATGCTGAGAAGAAGAGAAGTAAGAGTGACGTTGGCCTTGTGGCTGTATTTTTTGTTTGAGTCCGAAAAAGACATTGCAGATGAGTGAAAAACTTGTCATGCACAATTTTGTTCCAATATCAGATCAATATCGGTATCGGTCAATATTGAAGGTTACAATATCGTATTGTAAGTCAAAATGTTATATCGGGAGACCCCTAGTCTCATATCATTGTAGTCAATAAAAACCTTCAACACTTCTTGGTATCCAAAGGTGGCAAGTCTGATCAGCTGGCATGCAGAATCAAGTTTAATACAGCGGTACTCTAACTCACCAAAGGTTGTATGTAACTTGGACTAAAGAGAGGAGTCTGATGTGCAGACATGGACTCTCAGTTTGCTTTGTTTTATTGGCTCTCCAGATGGGTCGGAGTACTTGTAGAGCTCCGGAGAGTCCTCTTACCCTCTGTTTGTACGTGACCGAGAAGACAATCGAGAACGAGGATGTGTGGGTAAGAAAGAGAGCGTGCTTCTGGGAGTGTTTTTTTTTTTGCAGGACAGACCGAGGCGCAGGGACAGCATATGTGTGTGTGAGTGTGTGTGTTTGTAGGGGGGCGGCAGTCATGTGTTATGCAGCGAGTCAGACTGGTGCCATCTGCCCTGTATCACGGGTCTATCTGGGACTGCCCTCTCGTCTTTGGGCTTCTTAAAAGCTACTTTCATCCTTCACATATCCCCTCTGTTTTTTCTTACCTCTCCTCTTTGTTGTGCTTCACTTTTAATGCAGCTGTAGTTCAGGCTGAGGCTACTCTGTGTTCAAATTAGTAATTCTCTAAGCATCTGGAGAGAGGATTGGGGTATTTGTAACTCATGTTTAAATATTCATCGGTGCAAAATAAAGCGTGGAGCAGTGAGCTCTCATCATACCGAATAAAAGACAAATCAGCCCAAAAAGGCGACCGCTCAAGGGTGTGACAGGAGGCGCTGAAACCGAAGAGAAAGAAAGATTTATCCGTCAGTGAGAAATCAGAGTGAGAAGAAAGAAAGGCCAGGAGAGTTTTTTTAAAAAATGGGAAGGGGACAAAGACAGAGAATGAAGAATCGAGGAAAAAGAGAGGATGGAGATGAAAGCTCTTCTTCAGACCAACTCCCAGCTTGGCCTCATATCTGCTGTTACCATGGTGATTCAACTGCCGATATGCTGTCCCCCGAGACTGAAAACACAGGGAGAGAGCCAAAGAGAGAGAGACAGCAACACAAGGACAGGCAGAAGGGTAAAATAACAGCACAGGTGTGGCAGACAAGGACTGCTGCGCTGCAATGACAGAACAGTATCCTCTCTGCCGTTCAGGAAACATTTCAGGCTTCTGTGGAAGTTTCCGAGACAAACTCTAATTTTCTTTTGAGTTTTGTCGTCAAATTTGTTGGTTTAAGACGTGGCTGTAGCACAAGATTTGGGGTCCTGTTACTAAATCCAACCTTTCATAGTTGGACTAACAAACCTGGATTACACCGCTGAGTTGACACTATCAAAAGCAGCATCTGTTGAATCTAGTTTTTTAATCGTGGTCTATTGTTTCGGTGATGCAAATCTTTCATTCAACTTTGGCAGAGCCTGTTTTGTCTTCAGTTCTCATAGCAGCCTGATATTCGTCAGCCCAGATGGGTCCACAAAGGGCCTCCAATGGGTATAAACCACTTGGGACCCATCTGCTATCCGTATCAGCTGATTAGATTGTGAGTTTCTCAATCATGTAAACTTCCAGGTTGTTCCGGCGTCGGCTAAGGCCTGCTCTGAGCCCATGTCACGTTGAACCCCGACCTAACTAGGTAAAGCCCATGTATAGATTTGCCGTCTTGCACAGGTCAACAGTATCTGGGTAGAACATTGTGGAGCATTAGGCTGCTTAACTCTGATTGAATTCCGGACTAAGAGCTTAGAGCAGATTGACTGATGCACAGAAAGTAGTCGTGTCCAGGAACACATCTTTAAGAGGATGCTATTGGTCCTCTGTGTCTGTGTGAACATCTGTGGATGGGAAGTTAACACTCTGAAAATCAGATCATAAAAATTTGACTGGATTTTGGCATAAAACAATGTGATTATGATTAATCTGGACTTTTTTCAAGATAATAGTCACAACCTTATGCTTGATTGGGGTTTTATGGTCTTACATTTTGTGGCAAATGCTTAAAAGATACAACTTCAAAACCAAATGCGACAGTCCAAAACTTGGGGGAAAAGTTCTGCATAAAACTGCACAAACGTGTTAAAGGTGGGGTAGAAGGAGGGGAGAGGAGGAGCTGAGGGGAAAACTGGTTGGGAGGGTAGCGTTCACATTCAAGATTTCTCCGAAAAACTGGCACTTCCTCAGATCCTGACTACCCCACCTTTGATGGACTGTATGTTATTATCAGACTGTTACTGATAACCACCTTCCTGCACTTACTGTGACTGTGCAGATCCAGGACAGGTGTTGCAAATACCATCTTCTCGAGGACCATGATACTTGCACTGGATGTGTATTGCATCTGTCCCCTCTTGTTCAAATGTAAATGAATTAGTAGAAAATTGCAAAAGCAAATCATTTTAAAAACAAATTAAAAACTGATTTTCTTGATGCCATGGAAGCCTGCTGAAAATTAAATCTCACTTCCACAGTTTTTAAGTGTTTCACAGCACCAACAGCAAATAAACATCAGGCTTATTTTGCACATTAACAAATAGGTCTAATTTCTTCTTTTTCGGATTAGACTCAGTATGGTATTTCAGTTAAGCTGCAGATTCAAACTACCAACTCAAAATCACAGCAGAACTCAAAGCCAGCACTGTTTTTGCATTTTAAATGTGCAAATTTTACACTTTCACTCTTTTAGAACTTGTAATTTCAAGTATTTGATCACAATGAACTTAATCCAAGGTCCTAATGCATGTTCCTTTAAAGTAAAACCATATGAGTGTTTTTAATTATTCATCATTAACTTGTTTTTCTTTAAACAATATGCCGCATGTGTATAAAACATGAGGCATTGTATGTGCAGTTAGGCATATTGCACCATTAAAGAAACTGGTTAATATTCCTAAACATAACCTCATTACTAACTTTGTATATTATTTGTTCAACTATACCACTACACTGAACAAAAACATAAAAACCTATCAGTCATTACTAACCTCTCTCTCTCTCTCTCTCTCTCTCTCTCTCTCTCTCTCTCTCTCTCTCTCTCTCTCTCTCTCTCTCTCTCTCTCTCTCTCTCTCTCTCTCTCTCTCTCTCTCTCTCTCTCTCTCTTTCTTTCTCTCTCTGTCTCTCTCTCTCTCCACAGCTGTATCATTCATGAGACACAGCGCGTCAGCCTTCGGATTTGCCGTGAGTCCAGCCTCCATTTCCTACTTCCCCTCATTTCCATTGATCAATTAGTCATAACTTTGGGGCTCTGTGATTTATTAATGAGTCCTGGTACCAAAGTGTAATTGGTCCTTTTGTCTCCAAGGTAACAGGGCAAAGAAGAGGGACTGGGCATAGAGCTGAGGTTGAATATCCCGAAGCCTTGTCTGTTTGCTTAAAATATCTGCAGATTTTTGCCCAAAATACAGCTCTCCATCACCTCTTACTACTTTCAGGAAATGACTGAAAGTGTGATTACTGGAAATAATAAGATTTGAAGTGAAAATTAAAGCATCTATCACCACAGTGAGGGAAACTTGATTAGCATAATTTGATTAAAATGTTATAAACCATAATCTGCAGTGTTAGCTATCTCCTCATAAGAGATTGGATTTTAATTAGCAAGTGCTGTGCTGTCGGTGACAGTTTTAATAAAGCAGCAAGGCGACAATGAATGGATATAACCTTACACAGGGGTCGGATCCCAAGAGCTGATTGTCTGTAGTTAGCAGCTATGATATTGAGAGTAGGCGTTTTCTTTGAGATTTACAGCTGTAGTTTATAAGCTGAGAATTAAATGGCATAGTCCTGAGCCTGACTTGTCACTTCAGGGGACATATGACTTTATTTTAGCCCTGTGTGAGACAAGAAAACCGAAAAATACAGCACAAAGTCATTTATAATGCAGATAGTGACATTTATCAGCCGCCACACCCCGAGGAATTTTATACCCAAAGACAGGCTCTGGTCACTTAATGCACTTTTATTCAGTTCATGTATCATTCGCCCCAGAGCAAACATAAATCAGATCTTTTAAAAAGTGGTTAATGAGAACAATAATTATTCATTTTCTTCGTTAAGAGGTTTATTCTAATGTGCGAGGACTTTGATTTAGCCTTGATTTGATTTATTCGCATAAATCTGCATTTTCTCTTTGTTTCTTTTTTACAACAACTGTTGTCCAACGTACGCCACCACGTTTGTGATATATGGGGCGTGCAGCAGTTTTATTCCAGCAGCATAGTTATACATCATGAAACAAAGGGTGCATGTGCCATACATCAAGCAGATACAGTCCTGTAAGTATTTCAAGCTGCACGAATATATTACTTTTTGTGCTGGTGTGATACTAGTTTACCTCTTTGGAAATGGGCCAGGCAATCCCAGTCAGCTGAACCCCTTTATTGAGAAACCAGACTGAGCATTCCTACTTTGCTACCGCTCTCTTAACTGTTTTAATTCAGTCCTTTCCCTTACACTCTACTGAAGGAGTATATTTCAAAATAAAAGCATAGTTTCCTAACTGCCTAGCAGGAAAGATTCTCAGTTACCTGAATGTGCAGGTGTTTAAACTGCAAGATGCCCAAGAATTGAAGTGCGATAACACTTTACTTGACGCCTATCTCTGTAACACATTATAAATATATGTATAATTGGTTATAATCACGTTATAGCACTGTATAACTATAGTTATAAACACTCATTAATGATCATTATGCTTTATAGCAATAATCATAATACATTTTAAAGCAGTTTATCATGACTTAAAAGGTCAGGTATTATAATGTGTTGTGATTATTGTTATAAATCCTTTAGATAACTTATGAGTGTTTATAATGATAGTTATACAAGTTTATAAGCAAATTATAACACATCATAAATATATGTATTATCCATGTGGGCATTGTCAGTGAGTTGTTAAAAGTTATAACACATTATATCCCTGACCTTGTAAGTCATGATAAAATGCTTTATAATGTGTTATGATTATTGCTATAAAGCATTATGATCATTTATGAGTGTTTATAACTATAGTTAAACAGTGCTATAACGTGATTATAACACATGATAAAGATTGGCATCAAGTAAAGTGTTACCGAAAGGGCTTCTTGTCTTCTAACTAACTTTAAAATTGACCCTGTTATTAGCCTAGCTACCAATGACCAGGATCCCACGTGGATAATACACCCACTAGTATCAAGAACTTCAAAAAGTACAAACTGTCCCTTTAACACCCTCTCCGTTCTTGTTCTGTTTCTGTTCCCGCTGTAGTTCGATGCCACGCTGGACGTCATGTCATCGTTCATCGTCATCTGGCGCTACAGCAATGCAGCAGCTGTGCACTCTGCGCACAGAGAGTATATGTAAGTACTGAAATCCTCCCGCTGAGTTTAATTAGATGTGTGATTAATGATTAATCAGTACAGCCTGATGCAATCTGGGTAACATTTCCCCTTTTGCAACAAAGTGAGACAGCTTTGTATCGAACCCCCTCCAGTTATCTTTCCTCTTCTGTTGATCACATCTACAAATTCTGCATCTATTTGTCACTTCAAGTAATACAAATTGAGGCGAAATTCAACTCCTTAATGTTGTTTTTCAAAGTGTTGGATGGTGTTTAAATAAAAAATGTTATTTGGGATAGTTTCATCAGGGGTTTTGCCTGGTCTGACTAATGAAAAACTGCCACAGCGGGCGATGATTAAAGTTTTATCGATGCCTTTAATGACATATAGATCTAGAAGAGAAGACGTAGAGAGAGGGTGGTCATTTCTCCGGGCAGAAATGAGGAAAGAGGAAACTTAGTGCAAGGAAAGTGTCTCTCAAGTGTTTCTGGTAGAATTGAAGAGTGAGAAGATGAAAAAAATTGCGTTATTTGACAAAATAAAAGATACCTTGAGGGGTTTTGGTCCTCCAGAGGCCTCGGCAAAAGCTCCGATGCCCCAGGGCTTGAAGTTTCCCAGTCTGTGAACTCTACTGGAAGGATGCAGCCAGTCTTTAGAAAGATATTTCCTCATTCTGTGTTGTGATGATGGTGGAGAGTTCTTGTTTATGATCCGTCAGACTGTTACTGCTCAGTGGAGATCTGGGGACTGGAATAGATGGCCTGTGTAAAGAAATTGTTGTTTTTGTGAGGTTGAGATATTGCATCGCTGTTTCGACTTGCCCACCTTCCATTTTTTCAGATTAAGTGATAAAAAAAAAAGAGCAGAGGAAACCGTCACATTACGAGCTCTGAAGATGTGACGCCCTGTTTGATAAGACTCCCAGTTAAGTTTGACACACTCAGCTGGAAACATCAGATAATTTGATATCTTCATTTGAGGGAGTCAGACTGATAGAACTGAATAGAATCACTTACAGGGCGCATCGCTGCTAATCACAAGCCTGTCAGTTTGAAGGAGGGCAGCAGATCAACCTGGTTCACTGAGCTGCTGTCAGGTTGTACACAGCGCTGCTCTCCTCCTTACAACAGCACCTCTATCATCCAATAATAGACACACAAATGCATGCACACACTCACAATCTCAGCCTACAGACATGACTTTAAAGGCCCACAAATTATTCTTATCACCTCACCTTGCACAGACAAAGTAAGAGTGAAACCCTTCTTTTTATACCCACATATCTTTCTCTGTGGCAGACGGAGCCTGGAGAGTTTCACAAATGCTATTTGGAACCTGAGAAATTTTACAGGTTTTTATATGAATGTATATAAGGTGTTAGTTTTTTTATGTCTGTGTCACACCAAACTTTTATCGCATGAGATTCCAAGACTTTGCTTTTGTAAAACATAAAGTTTCAGGCAGCTCTGACTCTGACTCTGTAGTGGGAATCACTTAAAAATCACCTCCAAAAGAAGATGCTGCATCCACAAATGTAGGTTAAAGCTGTACCATGCAAAGAGGAAATCATATGTAAACATAGTCAAGTGATGCTGGTGACTTTTCTTAGCCAAGCCCATTAAAAAAGACTGAATCTAAAGAGAAATCTGCCCTATGGTCTGGCATGAGAAGTAGGGCTGGGCGATAAACCGAAAATTTAAAGATACCGAAATTTACGACTATAACCGACGCCATTTTGCCTGTATCAATATATTCTGTGTCAAAAAAATAGATAAAAGTTGGTTTTGGATGTGTGTAGGTAGGCTATGGTCTCATGTCCCTTTAAGACGCTGTCCTACGTCAGAGATGTGACTCCACCCAATCCAGTCTGTAACAAAGAGGGAAAGACAGGTGAGGAGATGGAGGACGGTTCAAAAGTTGTAGCGGCTGAAGTAGACGAAGTTAATGTGGAGGGGGTGAGCAGTTTGTGGAGTAGTTATCGTCCATTTATCGTTATCGAGATGAACTGCTCAATATATCGTGATATTGATTTGAGGCCATATCGCCCAGCCCTAATGAGAAGTTTACAAATCTGGGGAGGAATCAGTAATGCTCAACTTTATATATACAGATTTTGGAACAACATATGCTGCCTTCATGAGGGAAACCGTCCATATATCAGCGTGACAATCCCAGAACAGCGTGGCTCTGTGGTAAAAGAGTCCAGATGGCCTACGTCCCTGATTTGTGACCATTAAAAACATTTGGACTCTTAGAATCAAATGAGACCCAAAAATGTTATTAATCTGGAATCCTCCATCAGGCAAGAGGGGAAACATTTAACTTTAAAACTCCAGAAACTGGTCTTTTTACTTCCCAAATGTTTGCAGATTATTATTAAAGTGGAGGTGAAGCAACAACACGTCCCTGTCCTAACTTTTTTGAAACTTGTTGCTAGAATAAAACTTAAAATGAGCTCTTATTTCTCATTAAACAATGTCATTTTTACAACATTTGATAAGTTGTCTCTTTTGAAATAGACATTTTAATTTGAGCCTTACGAACAGTTGTTGTCATTCTAGTCTTTGCGTGAATGTTTTTAATTTTATTTTCATCTTGCGGCTGAAACTCGTATCAGACTCTCAAACTTTGGGATTGTAAAATGCACCTTTGAGAGATGCATCACTCAGAAATAAATAAAAAAGCTGCTTTAATTCTCGCTGTTTCATTGGACCAACCACCATCAGTAAAAGACAGACACCACTGCACCTGTCGGATGCTGTGTCTCTGTACTGTGGTGAGATAAATGGGATGCAGATATTGTTATTCAGACCCGTACAGCAGAAATGTCAGACAGAATGATTGATCAACTCTCCAGAGGTGATAAATACTTGTATATTTTTTTATTTCTGCCACAACAAAGCAGTGCACATTAGTATCCTATCATCAAAATCGTGTGTTTTTTCATAAATAAAGTGGCACCTTGAGCAATTTATCATCTTACAAATCAGGCTTGAAGAAGTTCATTTCTAGTCTCAGAACAGTTACTGCTGCAACAATACCCATGATGCACTCCGCCAGGCACAGTTATCAAATCATCATGACCTAGCTCTTATTTGTTTAAGAGAAAAGATGCAAATGCCTCCATCACAGGGCTTTCACACCCATCTTTGTGGCAGATTATGTTTCTTTTTATTTAAAAGAAAGGGACTGAAGATGTAAAATATCTCTAAAATAGTGAAAAAAAAACCTCACCCAGTTTTCAGAATTGCCATAGGCTACTGCTTGGAACATCTTGTCCCTGAATACTTGTAACATTGGTTTGATTCTTCACTGCAGAAAAAAAAAGAGATGCTTCGAGGAAGTAGAACGGTTGTTGTGGCATCAGTTCTTTTATTTGTCGAACTTTATCAAATCTATTCACAGCTGGATCTGCAAAGAAATCACACTCATTGCAGCTAACGTCTTGATTTTCCACCCTGTGTTTGTTTGTTCGTTTGTGTGTCTGCAGAGCGTGTGTAGTTCTCGGGATTGTGTTTGTTCTCTCCTCCCTGTGCATCCTGGGAAAGGCCATCCATAATCTGGTGACGGGAATGCCTCCAGAAGTGGTAAGACCACACACACTGACACAAGTCGCCCCCTCATTTTTGAATATACTGCTACCTGTTCCTCTGTAATGTTGTTTGACTCTCACCTGACTGTGCAAAGAGGGAAATATATCACATTGAGCTTGTAGGGCGTTGGGTTTTAACTTCTGATTTGCCTGAGTATGGTTGATAAAAGGTACCGTTTTGTCAAGTCAGTCATCAGCTGATGAGTCATTGACCCAGAAAAGCTGAATCTGTGAAAATCTTTTCAACGTTACACGAGTCAGTAACCGGTACAGTACACCACCAGAGTTTCCTCTCGCTCTAAAGCGTTCTCTTCAAACGTCTGTCATCACGCCAGCTGGCAAGCACAGATTTAATATCTTTATATTTAAGTCCAGACTCAAAATAAAAAACCAACTGATGTCTCTCGAGATTGTCCGCTCCACTCTTATTGATGTTCCCCTGTGTCTGTGATCCAAAGTAGGAAGTGACCTGAATTAAACACCTTTTTGAGATCTTGCAGAAGTTTTCAGGACAAACTCTTTTTTTTTTCTCTTCTCTGTCCCTCTAGGGAAGTTTGTATTGTACTAGCAGGGGCGTGTCTAGAGTCTATTAACTGGGGTGGCCCAGCTCAGGCATTTAATCATGTAGGGATGGTATGAAGTCCTGTATGTGCAAACACCAATTATTTGAAGCATTTATTATAAATGCTTAAAATGTAGGGAAATAAATAATGTATTTCTCTACAAATTTAATCAGACATTAAGTTCCTTTATAGCTGAAAAGTGAAGATAAAAAGTAACCTCAGTATATTTTCTAAATTTGAGTCTTTAAAGTTGTCTTTTTACTACTTACCTTGAGCTTGAGCAGTACTTTTAAGAAAAAAAAACACTTCTGCATTTCCCCAAACAACATGAGCTCCGTGTTTAAAGCTGGAAAAGAAGCAAAAAAGAACAGGTGCAACCATGTGTGAGAGAGAAATCTTCAACAATCTGCAGACATGTGCTGCACAGACACACACACTGGGAGTCAACATTATTATCTCATGTGCAAACAATTGGAATAAACACACACATATACAGTATAACGCATATAGAATACACATGTACCTGCACACATGCTTCATTCATGCTGGTGAGGACAGTTTCTTTTTATAGTCCTCTGCTGGGGCTCTTTTGACGTCAGAGTTTTTGTCTCCCTGCACCTGACTTTGTTTCCTTTTTTCTCTCTCCGACACAGACAAGCGCGCACACTTTCTTCTTTTTGTCAACATCACCCACCCACACACACACACACACACACACACACACACACACACACACACACATACACACCATCCCTCTCCCAGGAGGTGTTAGGATTATGAATAAGGTCCCAAAATAGTCTCATCTTTCTGTTGCTGGGGCACGGCCCGGCTCCGTTCTGTCGTCACAGTGTTTGGTAGGTGTCCACCGTATCCTTTCCAGTTCTGCGCTTTGAACCCTGCGATTTGGTTTGTAAATGATTTAACCTCCGCCATCTGTCCATATCAATTACCAGAGAGAGAACAGCCAGATTTTTACGCTTCAAAAACACCTAGTTCCTTGTTTTAGTTTCAAAGTATTAAGTTCCTCTGAAACAAGATTTTGTCGCAGAGTCGAGCGGTGCACTTACATCCCCCAAAATATCTCTGCGTTTCACTGTTGACGTTTTCCGGCTCAGCTCAGTTTACTCTTGAGTTTTTGGAGCAGCAGTGAGCCGAGAGGAAATTTGAGTGTTGGGCTTTTTAACAGCATCAGGGAGTGTCTTAAAGGTACCCTGTGGAGTTTTCCTGTAAACAGACACAAATGGGTTGTCTATATACCGGAGGCCTGACAAATATGAAGAACACATTTCCGTCCCAGTTATAAATGAACCACAGATTTCGTTTGAACATTTCCAAACTCTCACTCAGCGTGTTTACATCTGCAGGGAGTCTTTTTCTTCTCTAGTGTACTCCATGGCATAACTTTCTTACGCTGCCAAATGCCGATGAGTGAAATAACGTGTGTACTAAATTTCCTTTTGGGGATTAATAAAGTTCTTCTTATTCTGAAAGATCATCACTATAAATGGTCCATACATGATGTAGTCCATCTGGATTAAGACAAATGTATTAGCCATGGTCCTTCTGTTTGAGAGATGACGATTAAAAGACAGTATCAAAAGTTAGATCTGTATCCACACCAGCGGTGGACTGGACCATCAGGATCACCGGGTCGATTCCCAGTGGCCTGCGTGACCTTGGAACTTGGAAGCAGGCCAGGCCAGCAGTAAAAGGGTTTAATTAATTCATGTCGGTTGCCGTGGCAACACGTAGCTGGTGCAACCGGAAGTAGAGCTGTGATGTAATCGGCTGCAGATGCGGGGCAACGCCTAGAAGTGTTTTTCATGCCGTCACTCTAAGATGTGATTGTTTTGACTTTAATAAGGTCGCCGACCGACACCGAGCGACTACGTTGCTAGTGGTGCGTGCTAATCCAAGTTTTATGCCTCCGAGAACTTTAACTTTTTCTGAGAGGCTTTCAGCATTTTATTATAATACAACAGCAATGTGGTAGGCTACAGCCTTAGTTGAAATAAGTAAACAAATAGTTAAAGGCATGACTAATATGGAGTTTTTATAACCATTTTGTTTTTACTTCACATTAAATGTGCAGTTATGTAGCCAATGTTGAATTCTTCACATTAGCATAATATTCACTAAATCTGGCTTCAAATGTCCAAAACTTTTCACTGGTGCTGGCATTTCTGCGTCAGTGTGTATTGGCCTGGCCTGGATTGAGTCAAACTCCCGGCCTAAATTATGGTCCCAGTCCGCCCTGATCCACACTGTGACAAAATCAATGCAAGTTCAGGTAGTTTACTTTTTAATAATTGCCTTTTATCTTTCATCTCTTATCTCTTTTACCTCTATCTTATTTCGGCTTTACTGTCTTTTTAGCTTTTGTTATACTTGTACTCTTTTCTTAATTAACCTTTAAGGCCCTTTTATTGTTTTATCTCTTGCTCATTTCTGTTGCTCTATTTTATCATTACTATTATTATCAGTATTACTTTGTTATTTTATCGTCATTATTGATATTGTCTTTTATATTTACTATCCTGTTTTTTTACTTTCAATCCCCCTTTTAATTGCATTTTCTTTTTCTTACCTATTTTATGTTTTTATGTTGGTCCTCATGGTCTCATTTTATGTTGCATGGTTCTTGTATCGTCTGGGTTCCTTATGACATGAAAATGGTCTTCAATTCCATTTAAACTGAGCTTTTTTGGTTTTATTTGTCTTTTTCCATGTGCTTCAAGACTATTTGTCAAAACACTTTGCAAACTTCTGTTTTTACAAGTACTATAAAAATACAGTTATTATCATTAACACCACTGTGACGATATAAAACTCAACTTTTTGTGCTTTTTTGATATTTTTTTTTGTCCCAGTTGTAAAAGTTGAACAGATTTTAAGTGAACACTAAGCTGGAAAAAGGTGTCCCTGAAATTATTAGATATTCATGATGAACACTCAGCATCGTTCAAATTAATTGCCATCATTTTCGCAGCAGTGATATCTCAGCGATTAACTCGATCATGAATAAAACTTCAACAAAATGAGAAACAAGATGAGCCAAGGGTAGAGAGAAAAGACAAACAGACTCTTGGCATTGTTGTGGATGTAAACGAGATTTCGGTAAAGGAAATGAACACAGAGAGAGAGAGTGTATCTTGATCATTTTTAAGTGCATGCTGTTCGGTGTAAAAATTGACTCACCAAAGCCCCTTTGACCAGGAATCAAACGAGATAAAGTCAAGCGACTGCAGCCAACACAGAAGCAAGTTGAAGGCACACCACAGACTGTTTGATGCTCCAGTGCCATTATGTTAATGGAAACTCTGGGTGTTAGGTCTCAGAGGAGCTGCCTGACACCAGCAAGAGCCCATTACCACCGCCTGTCTCTTTGACATTCATCCTCTTCTCTTGGCTCTCTCTCTCTCTCTCTCCGTCTGGGCTCCAAGACTTGCTGTCTCACCTGGCTGTGCTTCTCTTTCATTGTGAATCAAAAGGACGGCTTTGTGCGACACAAACAAAGCTTTCTCTGTTTCATGTTTTCTAAGAACAAGGCAGAGATTTTGCGCAGTCATGCTGTGGATTATTTTAGATTACATTTAATCCATCAGTTTGTATGAGAGTGATCTAAGATGTCTGGCTTCATCTGTTATGGAAAATACTGTCACATTGCTGCCAGTTGAGGCCGAATTTTGTAGATTCAGGAAAGAAAAGGATGGGTTCATATCATCCAGTGACTCATTTGTCTTTGTCTGTCGATTTTCCTTCTCTTCCAGCCTCGTACATGATCGCTCTTTCCTTGCCTATCAATCCACATCTCATCCTTTTTATTCCCCCCATCTTTCATCATTACAACCACCTCTTTCTATAACCTCTCCATACGGGCTCACCTGTCCGCCATGGTTACCCAGACTCACCGCTTTGTTGTTTTCAGAGCCTCGCATTTGTCATTCATAGCATCCCCTTCTCTCTGCATCCACCATTTGGCGTTTTTGGCAGAGACAAGCTCTTTCGCTCAGGTCTTCATCAAACAGCAGTCAGAGGTGATTCATCAAACCAGCGGTGATCTGTTTGTGTGCTGTCTCCTTGTTTGTTTGCAGTATGGCATTTGTGGCTGAAGGAGACGGATGTTAATGAAAACTGAACATTTTAAAGGAATGTAGATTTCGAATTCCACTTGAGTATTTCGTTTTGTTTTTGATTTTCTGTCCTGGTGTAAACTGATCAGCAGCTGATGGAGTGGATACTGTACAGTGTTGCTACCTTGAGAGCAGGGCTGTAAAATCACTTCCAGTGGACAGCAAGGCTGAGGAAAATCAGGAATCCTGATTCCCATCACGTCCCGGGTTGCTGCTTTCATGGCAGGCTGTCAGTGTGGAGGGCCTGATTAAACACAAAGACCTGGTAAAGGCTTTACCTGCCTCTGTGAGGACACAAACACCAACACGACAAATACATGCAGAAAGCAAATGCATGCAGTCCTCAGATCTTTATCTCAGGGTGTTTCCCTCAATAAATTAGCATCAGAATAAGCGAGTATTTGCAAGGAATCAAGGGGGAATTCCTCCTTAATCCTTGATGGTTACCTTTGGGTAATGCTATCTTAACCAAACATTAAAGGTGGGGTAGGCAGGATTTGAGGAAGTGCCAGTTTTTGGGAGAAATCTTGAATGTAAACTCTACCCCTCCCAACCAGTTTTCCCCTCAGCTCCTCCTCTCCTCTCCCTCTCTGCTCCAGCAAGCCCCGCCCACAAACAGACGCTCCTGTTCCAATTTAATTCAGACATAATGCAGATAAATAGATGATTTAGATGATTACAAATGGGGATGCCAACAGACTACCAGCAAACACAATGTTTGCAGGACTTCTACAACTAGGATAAAGTGACATAGTCCAGGACCCGAGGTTTAGCGGCACAACAACACGCAGCAGGTCCGGTTTGACAAGAAACACTTCTGTTACACTTGGCTTACTTTGTTAAAGAGGTTTACCTGTCCAGCAGAAAGGTGACAGGGTTCATAAGATCCTGAAGCGTCCCCCATCGTTTATGCTACCTTCATTGATGTTGACCCGGCTTCTCAGTTCTTGTCCGGTCTACCTCAATTTTTAGCGCCCATTATTTCGCCAGTCTCCGGTATTACTACACAGACATAACAAAACACAGCAATATTGTTACATTACCAAATGTCATCAATAACTAATAACTATTGACTGATATTAAAATATTTTTTGTATATACACCACAAAAAAGATGCCCGCCTACCCCACCTTTAAGTCAACCCATCAGAGGCGTGTCTTTAGCCTCCTAGCAAATGGTTACACTGTACCTACCTGTCAGTCAAGTCAGCTATACCTCTGGTTCACCGATCTTGTATCCTGAATAACCCTGTACTGTGGTCATTGGTGTAGCCCCAGGATAATCAGGCTAACTCAGGCTATGTCAGTAAACTTTTAGTGAGACCACAGAAGAAACCCTCAGTAAGAACCGAGGGTATAATCCTGAGCGAGGGTGAAAGAAAAAAGGTTGAGTCTGTAAAATAAAGAGTTGGATTTTTCCTCATTCCGTCCGTCCCAACTGTCTCTTCCCTCTCTGTTCCCCTGTTGGGCCAATTAAACTTGAAAAAGAGACACTCTGGGGTCAGGTTCTGTTTTTTGCTGAGCCTGTTTGAGACAGAACACCAGACCTTCTCTCCACTCAGAAGCGTCATCTGTTCGACCTTGGGTTGATGCACCAAGTCAAGCATGTATATGTATTTTTAATGGCTGAGCTGACAAAAGCTTAGTGGGTCATTCTGTCTGCCTGCTAATGCTTTTAGCGTCTGCACAGAAGATACTGCACCATGTGTAGCTTACTTGACTTATTTGTTTGTACACTTTATCCATTTCCTTTCACACACATGAGGAAATACACATCATGCACCTCAAAAGATGAGCTTTCATCTCCTTTCCTCGCTGTTTTTTTTTCTTGCAGGATGACTTCTTGTACAGTGTGTCCATAGTGAGTGGGTTCACATGCTCGCTGCTGGCTGTTGCGAAATTCTGGCTGGGGAGAGTGCTGACGAGCCGTGCACTTATCACTGACGGTAGGGTGCACACACACACACACACGCTCTCAAACACACACACCGTCAGGCCAAATTAAATAAGATGAATGAATAAAATCATAATAACTGATTTTCATGACAATATTTGAAAATGGCAAAAAGATGGACATGAAAAAAGAAATCTTGACTCTGTAAATGTTGTTCAATGGGGCGGTAAATTAGCTTGACTTTAGCTACCGATTAGCTGCTTCTCTGGCCAATTAATAACAGTAGGGGAGACTGGGGCTTGTTGTCACATGGCTAAGTCGTCACATTGCAGTTATTTTTGCCACCAGAGGGCGCAAATAAAAAGTGGAATACTAGTTTTCTTCCTTTACATGGTCAGGGGTCGTGTTTTGTCTGAGAAGAGAAGAGCACATTGTGAATAATAAACATTTTCTGTTCCTGACTTTAAAGTTCACTTTAATGTAAAAATCAAAACAGTAATTTTGTTCTTGTTTTATGAGGTGCAAAATCTGTAGCATCTTAATAATAAATAATAAATTCTATTTATAACGCGCTTTTACAGGCACTCAAAGACGCCTTACAAAGAAAAAGAAGAAAATAAAATGAAAAAAAACACAATTTTCAAATACAGAAAATTATGAGAAATAAAATCAATGGTGTAAAAGGATAAAAAAAAAAAAGACAATAACAGATTCACAGGTTAAAAAGCCAATTTAAAAAGATGTGTTTTTAGGAGTGATTTAAAAGTGTGGGGGTCAGTACAGTCTTGTTTGGGTTTGGGGAGTGAATTCCAGAGGGTGGGGGCGGCAACGGAGAAGGCTATGACCCCCCAAGTTCGGTGCTTGGTCCGACTGATACAAGATATAAAAGTGACATGAATGCAAAATATATACCTGAGACTTTGGTCTTTCTTGTGATAAACATTTTGTTGATATATGATGTTTTAATTCCAAGTAATATATAAGAGTGTAAAATGTGTGACAACAAGCCCCGGTCTCCCCTATTAGTGTTTTCCTGCAAGTCACAACTTTTTCTTGCAGAGCTGACAAACTTCCTGCTGTTGCTTTTCTTTAAACGGAGAAAATATGGCATTTCAAATTTCATTAAAACCATATGTATTCATGTCATATTACAGAACACATGGCAGCATTTATCGAGAGTCTTTTTCTAAAGGACTTCACATTTTTAGTTGCCCAACATTCAGCCAGTAACACTCACAGTCACAGTCTTTCCCCCTGAGCCACAGTTGCCTCAGTCAACAATTACTAAACTAATAAAATTCAAATTAGGATCTCCAAAGCAAACACAAACTTCTGAATATTTATAGAGCTGACTCACTTGAATCATTCGTAATGATGAAGAAATTATTGTGCAAACTGTGCAGCAATTACACAGTGCGAACAAATGAAGTATCATTAGCAAAGTGTAATTAGGGTTAAAAGTAAAATAATATACTTTTAGAGTAAGTATTATATCTGTTGTTGAGCAAAAAAGCCCAGAGGAATGAACATATCACTGTAATACGGGACTGTTATTGCTAATACATTCACTTGTAAGGGGCTTTTTAATGGTTCAGCTGACTGGAGTGGGCTACTTCTACTTTTTAAGTGCTGCTGGGTGGTTAAATTTACTCTATAACAATACATCACATTATATTATGCGCATTAATCTGCAAAATTACTAGAAGCTATAAATGTCAAACTAATGTGCAGCAGTTAAACGTAGAACATTTCTTTTTGAAATGAAGTGAAAGAATAGAAAAGGCTGAAATACCCCAACCCTGAGTGAAGCGTACGAGTCATGACAACCAGAAAGAAGCCGAATGATAAAGCCTTAAATTGCATATGTTAGTTTTGTGAGGGAGTAAGTATCATTGAGAAAAATAGTAGACATTTGCACATGTGCACAAATCTCAGCACAAACACACACTGCACTGCACTGCACTACTCACACTGTTATCCCTTGGTCTCAGAACACGCAGGGCATCAATCCAATAAACCTGAGGTTGCTGTTCTTGGAGCCTGGATTTATTTCCCACAAGACTTTACACTTTCTGCAGGCGGGAAAATAACCCTGTATACTGTCTTTCACACAAGGTGAAATGTAATTATAAAATAACATCAGCGGCTTTACAGTATAGCTCAAATACAAAGGGTGTAGTCCAGAATTAGTTTAGCAAAAGTCATTCATGCTTTAGAGTTCAGAAGGATCAGTATAAATGTTTTTGATCTACCGCCAAATGTTGGAAAAGGTTTGTTTGAATGGACAACGAAGTTTGGGTCATTTGTTTTTCTTACCTTTTCTGTAAATACAAATTTTTACAAACAATTGCCTCTCAAATTAATTAGTAAACTAGAATGAGGAAGAAACCGCCTGGTTCCTAGCATCTATGTCCTTTTGGATAACATCTACACTGATTGATTTTCAGGTCATTTTTAAGGAGAATAATTCATCCTGAGTTACTTTTTAAATAATCGGTTCAACCTTTCATAATCACCAATGAAATTTCTTTCCTCTTGTGTTTTTTTTAGGTTTTAACTCTCTGGTCGGTGCTGTTATGGGATTTTCCATTCTGATCAGTGCCGAAGTTTTCAAGCATGATACTGATGTCTGGTTTCTGGACGGCACCATTGGAGTTCTCATTGGGCTCACCATTTTGGCGTATGGTGTCAAGTAAGAGATCACGCCTTCGAGTCATTTTTAAAAATTCACAGAGCCTGATCCATATAATGTTGCACCAGGATCAAATTCACGGATGCAGTTTTTTTACATTTCCATACTTAACAGTGAGACCCTGTTTCTTTCCCCGCAGACTCCTGAGAGATATGGTGCCCCGTGTGAGGCAGACGAGGAACTACGAACGTTTTGAGTGAGGGATTCAAAGCGAGTCACACACATCCACACACCTGGCTGCCTCCTTCTTTCTGCCCTTCTTCTCTCTTTCTTTTATGCACACTTCGATTTCACTTGCACATGAAGACCATACAGACCCTCAACGCTAAGGTTCTTCTATTTATACATGTGCTGTATATAATGTACATAGTACATGCCTACATTCTGACAGAAACAAACACAAACATCTCAGAGACTGTATGAGAAATGAATATGTTGGAAAGCACAGACTTTTATTGTTTATGAAACCACTACTTTAAAAGTTTAACCAGAATCAAGATATATTTTAAACATTGAGACTAATGTTGATCAACAGGCACCAGGACACCCAGTAGTTGATACTCTGAAAGTAATGTTTGTCAATGAGATAAAGCATCAATGAATGTACATTTTACTCTAATTAGACCACTCCAAAAAGATTACGTTTTAATATAAACTTTGTCAGAAATGCAAGTTAGATTGGCAGTTCAAGAATCCATTTGAATTTAGTTATCTTCAGGGATCAAATCTGAATTATAAACATGGTCTCTACATCTAGACCCGTCAACTTTCCTTTTTAAGAGTTGAAACGAGTACAGGTGTCCCTTTTTAGACGACCTTTCTCACCAGCGTCCTCCCTCCAAAGCAGCCACTTTTCATCCTAATTTAGCGACAGAGAAAACACAAAAGCAGTACCGAGTCAGCAAACTCTTTTTTTCCTCCAAATGATAAAGAGCATCAGCAAACACAGTGAGGTCAGCCTCAAAATAGAAACTCCCTAATAAAAAAAAAAAACAGCAATATAAAGCACAGGAGGCATCGAGGACAGACATTTGATATACAGGGGCTATAAAACTCAGTGCACAGTTTATATGACATTACATAGGCCACACATACACGTAATGTATTCAAGCACAAATGAGCAAACTTATTACTGAGAGTTCAGTGCAGAGCAGTTTTTATTTCACACATTTTTTTTTAAACTACTGCTGATTTGAGGGTTTGTCTACTGTATCTGATTTGTTTTATTCCCATTTGTTGTTCACACCTTTTGATATGTTTAAAATCATGCACAGTATAGTCTGTTATTTTCTGATTTCAATTCAGAATCTTAGTTTTATACTTGAAACTTTGTTTGGCGTGGTAAAATTTAGGAAGCTATATCCAACAACTACAGAATAACACAAAATGTAGAGTTGTTTACAGACAAGATGGCCATAAAAACATCAGTATTTATATTTTATTTTGGTTGTTACACCTTTTCAGGTTTAGGAAATAAATAGATGTGAAAAACTAAAGTCTGCAGGATAGATGTCATTATAATCTGCTGTGATTTACCATCATCAAAATTGTCATAGTTTGAATGAGGTATTTATTATTTCTATTAAAATTGAAATCTATTTATATTTTCCTCACAAATCTAAAATAAACAAGCACAATAACAAAGAAACTGCAGATAGTAGGAAGATCATTTCCATTGTAAACCATTTGAAGAGATGTTTTCCTCTGTGTCTGCTTACCTGTTGCTCTGCATGTTTCCCATCGTTACTATTCACCATTATGTGCAATGAACAGAATGTAAATACGAACCACAGCCTGTAAATATGTTTAATACGATGTTTGGGTAGAAACAAAATATCACCAATAGTCATTTATGGCCGACATTATGGGCTTTTCGGAGTAGACCGCTTATCGTTTGAGTATGGATGACCAATGTTGCATATAGTGAAATATGTTCAATGTATAGTGATTATACTGTACATGTTGTTTTGCATATTGCTGTAGATTATTGGTGAAATGAAATGACAAGTCTTACTGTACATTTTTGCACTGTAAGTGAAAACCTCAAACTGGATGTAGGTGTGATCTGAAGGCACTGTCCAAGGCTGTTCGATCAACGGTTAAAACACTTTATAGCTAAATACAGCTGATCATTACCTGTATCGTCGCTGAAACAATTGGGGAAAAAATGCATTAAGTACAATACCTGGGAGCACAAATCTCTTATTTCTAGTTAACTTTGGTGTCCTATACAAGTCAAATCAAATCAAACAAATGAAATTAAAGGGATAGGTAAAGAGGACTGCGAAAAAAGTCCTTTTTAAAGTCTGGTTAAGAAAAATATATCTGATATCTTCGGTAAATTTATCACCCTGGATGGCCAGCTTGTGCTTGGATAAGCTTGTAGTGGTACCATAATGACAAATAAGCTTTACAGCTGCAGACAGGGTTTGGAGTTTCAACCTAATCCCATCTTCAAGATCAGGATCAGTTCAAGTAAACACTGATCAGCCATAAACTCATGACCACAGTGAACCTTAAGTCCTCAAGGTTGGTGTGTTAGAAGTGGGGTAAAACTGAGCAAGGGTTCCCAGTCCTGTTAAGGTTGAGATTTGGGTTAGGTTTTCACAGAAAGCACCAATAATGGGCAAGTGAGCAGGACCAAAGGGTAATGTTAATTATTATTTAAGTCAGCCAGTGTCTGCCATATTCGTAGTATTACTGAATACAAGCAGACGTCTTAAGTGTAGGTTTTTGGAATGAAAAGCAATAATATTTAGATTTACAAAGTCTGCAAATGAAATCAAAAGTAGTCACAACTTTTAAAGGGTATGCAACAGGACCTTGACTGAGGTTTTGAACACTGTAGAGACACTGTAGAAACTGAGACCCAGCATTTCTTGCATAAACTGCACATAAGAATCTCTGAGCTGTTGTTTACCCTTTAATGCCTGAGACCACAAATTATGGCCAGAAAATGTAAAATTTTTCAGAGCTGAAATGTTTATTTCACTTACTACTGAAAAACAAAAAAAAAGATCAAAATGTCCTGAAAATTTAACACATTTATTTATTTATCTTGTTTGACACATTAGATGTTCTTGGAAACTGATAAACCACAAGAGGACCTTTTTATCATTTATCAGACTGTATTCAGGTGTTTTTTAGCTATTTGTTGATCATATTGATTTGATAGAAGTATCATAAAAGTATGTATCAAACATCAAATCAAATCAAATTTTATTTATATAGTGCCAATTCACAACAGTCGTCATCCCAAGACGCTTTCCACGCTCACTGTTTGATGAATTATCAAGACCCAACTTAAGATGGGATTTGGCCCATCTCATCTAACTTGAGTAGAGAGCGAGAGAGAGAGAGAGAGAGAGAGAGAGAGAGAGAGAGAGAGAGCTCATGTAATGGTGAAACAAAATGAATTCAGTTTACAGTGTTAGGATATGAGTAATTATGGACAATGTTAAATTAATTTAATGTTATTACACTCAGAAGGCCTAATAGTAGTAATAAAGGGCTACATGTGCTCATTTTGCAACAGCCAGGAGGTGTTTTTTTTACAGACATTTGATTGTGAGACTTCACAGAATGCCCATACCAATATGGCGTCAATGTAAAATCCAGTAGCTCAATGCGGCGTCTATATATAGACATGCTGATGGACTACAAAATCTTAGGTAGGTGGTCAAAGTGTTATGACTGATCAGTGTTTTGCTGCAAATTGAATATATTACCTCTTGACTTGTTGTCAGTGTTGTTTCAGTTTATATTCCTGGTAACGTCCTTATTCCCAAGCTTATCCCTGACTCTGTCATGTCAGGTTATTTGGTCCTATTATCAGTCGATGCAGAATGAGCTCGCCAACCATCACCAAATTCATCACTGTCCTAGGAGAGGTGAACAATACACCATTCCTGACCTGCATGTGGATTCAGAGAGCCCGTAAGCCCCCTTGTGGTTGAATGTAGCATGACTGCAGTTTTAATTAGTATTCAGTGCACTGGATCCACAGGGAGAGTCTAAATATAGCGCGGGCTAACAGACACACTAACAAAGCCTTGGATGGTGATTCTGAAAGGGCCCTACATCCTCTTGTACACTGTAATTATTAACTCTAGGTGACATTCTGGACAAGTGATTAAATCATTGGTGTTATCTCTGCAGTAGTTCTTGTGTAAAGAATAAGGATTAGCTGTAAATTGAAGGCGTGAATCAGCTCACACCACTTCAGCTCACCAACAGCACACTGATATGTAATGTCCCCTTTCCCCCCCTTTCTCTAATGCATAGAAGACAATCTTTACAATGACTTTTACTAGTAAAGCACACTGTTTACATACTGCTACAACCACACGAGGCACAGACCGAACAATGATTATTTTTATTTTGGTAATGATATGCTTTAATTGCTATATCGCTAATGTGGTTGCCTGTATTGTGTTCAGACAAACTGAGGACAAGTTAGATCTTGGAAGCAAAATCATTTCTACCTCTTTTGAGTGCAACTTGTTTTGTTTTCATGCCACTTTTTCTGCACCTCCAGAGCATCTGTGATTGTTGCCCCGGCTCGAACTATATTATTCATGTAAATCACTTTGAGTTTATTCCTATTCATTGAGATTTTTCATCATTTTTCTTATACAGCAAGTCTTCTTACACTTTCACTACATCCCACTAAAAAAAGGAGAAAAATAACCTCTTTAAGGTCTGTGAATAATTTACCTCTGATCATGTTTAACTTTTTGCACAACTCATTTCTTCTTTCATCCTACAGGAGGTCTATCATATTTATTGCAATATAAATGTATCACATAATGTATATGGTTTCATGGCAGTAGCTTAGAAACATGCTTAATTCTGCAGCTTGATGAACTGTGCCAAAACACTGAAAAGCATCAGTCCTCTCTTATGACGTGTGTGTGTACCATGCGATTGTATTTGTGCCGAGGAATTGACTATTCTCGCCCCAGCAGAGGCACCAATCCATTATTATTTTTCACAGACTCATAAAAGCAATATCAATCCTCTTCTCTGTTGCTTAAGGTTTTGCATGTACTTGAAAAAAACCCTACAGCTGCATTTTCAGCCTGACACACTCGAACACACAGAAACACAAACATGCAAACACAGACAAAACAAACACACATGGAAACGCGCGACTGATTTCCAACAAATCTGGCTGTGTTTGAAAGAGTGTTTATTTGTCTGTTTGTACAGTAATGACATCAGTGGTATTACAGATGATGTAAACATCATTTATTTATGTAAAAGAACTATCTCTCTTTGTCAAAGAGCAAAGTTTTATTGATTAATAAAGTTTTATCCTGCTTATTCATCAACAATGTCCACACATGGTTTTGTTTTTTCAACATTATGGCAAAATTGAGTTTGCCAGATAACTTCATTTTCCACTCTGACCCGTTTTGTAGCGGTTGTTATGAAGGAGGCGAGCTTGATGTCCAATCCTGCAACACTTTTGGCTTCACTTCTGCAGAGCTGCAGAGCTTCTGCAGGCATGTACTTCATGAATGAACACTGAGTGTAAAGTCTCATAAATAAACAGAGAACGGCTCAATTCAGGAGGAGGAAACATACAACATCATTTTAAAACGTTACATAATTAAAAAGTCATATAAAACACAACAATACAAAAATGTATTATTTTCAATAAAAGTGTTATTTGCACATAAATCCCAGCCGAGGTCAGGTTAGTTTCGCTCGTACAATAAAAGCAGTGCAGTTTCTGCTAGAGTATTTGTCTATACATGACATCTATTTGTCTATATTTTGGCTACGTTCACACTGCGGGTCATGATGCCCAATTCGGATTTTTTGTTAATTCTGATCTTTTTGTGCGGTCGTCCACATCACAACAACGAATGCGGCATCTAATGTGAACAGAATGCGTGAACAGAAAGCACAAATTGCTTTCCGTGCCCGTTTGTGTCGTCGAACAATGGTGACGTTTGTCATATGTTGATGACGTGTAGGTCGGATGAACGCGACCTGAGCGTCCACACTACAGTCACATCGGATACATATCCGATTTATATCCACATACAAAAGAGGCCTGAGTCGGATTTGAAAAAAAAATCAGATTTGCACTGTTCACACTTACATGAAAAAATCAGGTATGTGTCACATATGGTTAAAAAATCAGAACTGACCTGCCGTGTGAACATAGACTTTGTCTGTACAGGCGTCTTTGAGCACCTGTAAAAGCACGTTATAAATAAAATGTATTATCATTATTATTATTATTATCATTATTATAATTGTATAGAATAGTAAAGACCAACACAGTGATCGGATTCAGTTACACACCTGTGCATTGCCAAATAGCCCACCTGCATCGTTGCTACTATGGACAGACAATGTATGTTTATGTTCCTTTTACCAGCATTCATAACCTACAGATATCAAATTAGATTAAGGCACCTTTAAGTTGATTTCTTACCTTAAGGCTATATAGAGTCCCATTTAATATCAGCACAGTAAAACAAAGGGTTACACTCAACATTGTTCACAGCAGGTGTTTTCAAAGCCTTATATGTCACCAAACTATGATTTCTGAAACCATCTGTAGCTTTCACCCTATGAACAACCAGCTTTTGAGTTCTGAGTATGGATGTTCAGATAAAATTAATAAATACTTTTGATTTCTGTCGCATCACTTGCATTTACAAGAAGGAGGACAAGAGTAGCACCAACAGTCTTACAGTTAGCGTCCCAGGCGGCCAGTTTTCAGAGGACACTCTGGCTTTGAGGTATAGAGTGAGTTTATTGTTGTCCTTCCAGGAGTTAGACACACGCCTTGCATAAGGCGATCTGGTCCTTGATGTAGTCTCTACACGGGCAGATGCGTATCAAAGACTGGTTGGACCTCACACAGCTGAAGAGCAGGGGATCGGACTGGAACAGACAGTGTTTGCCGTAGGAATCGTACTTGTAGGCCGGGAACACTAAACTGCTGTCAGAAAGCTCTGATGTTTGACAGTTTGTGTTGTAGCTGGAAATAAAACAAAAAATCATAATTAACAGATCAAGGCAAGAGGTTTCAAAATAAAACTAAAAGAAATTATAGTTTGGGATTGAGGCTGAATGTTTTGTAATGTTGCTTGTATGTGTGTTGTGCTGCTTGAATGCGTCCTACTGAAGTGTTTTTGCGCTCTAGTGTGAGTTGTTTACATCGCGTAGCCGGCGACAGAGCAGTGGATTAAACATTAAATTTTAATCCACTGCTCTGGCCGGCGAGTCACCGAGAAACCGGAAGTTATTGAGTGCAGATTCGCGAGGTCCGTCAGCTGTTCAGTTCTAAACTCCTCTCCTTTCCTCCGTTTTCATCCCTCTAGTCCATGCAACGTCTGTAAGTGTTCATACGTTGTTGTATTGTTGTATTAAGATGAAGGTTGTTTAAGTGTAATTAAATTGTTAAAACAGCTATGGCGCTAATCGCTAATGCTACACGAAGTTAGCTTCAAGTTTTTCGTTGCTAGCGGCATTCTAGCTCGTTTGTGATTATAACGGTTAAAGCTAATGTAGCTTAGCTCTACTGCTTGTCTGTGTGTAAGCCGTAACTCATTGTTTTATATGTTATTGTATCATTTCAGTTTCACAAGATTCCTCAGTAAACTTGAAGAGGTTAATCAACTGCATCTGAGAGTTTATTGGGGAGTGTTTATACTGCTTGGAAGTAGCCCATGACAGTTTTCTTAAAGCTGTTTTGAATGTGTAAAGAAATTAGAAATCGAGACCAAAACTATTGTCATCATCAGGCTGTTGACGTGTAAAAAATTGGATTTTTTTGCAGGCCTCATGAGAGGTCACTGCTTGTTGGATTTCTAGCTGTAGGTTGCTTGTTTCAGATGTACTTACTTAGACAGAGTCCTGGTGTTGTTAATATGCGGGAAGAACGCCGGTTCACAGATAAGCCCTTTATCCTTGCACGCCTGTTTACAGGAAGTACCCGCTTCTGACTCCACAACCTGGAGCGCGCTCAGTGGAGGCCAGCTCCCTGCTCCTTTGCAGAAATGCTAATGAACCAACTCAGATTAGAAGAGAGAGAGAGAAAAAAAGGGTCTTTTCTGTGAATCATCAATCTTTTTCTTTTTCCAATCAAACCTGTTTTTCGATGAGGACGTTGACTCTCTGGAGCATCCCTTCACAGGTAAACTCGTAGGGAAGATACGGCTTGATCTGAAATGAAAAACAACTTAAATTATACTCATATAACAAGGACATTTGTATCATAACTGAGTCATATCAGCTCCCTCTCTATATTCTATATTCTATTCTATGATCATAAATGTTCTTCCTTTAGCTGCGTCACCCCGCTGCAGTCGATGGACTTGCCCAGAGGTCTCTACAAACAAGCAGCTGCTGGAAGAGAGTAGGTGAGTTGTGTTTAGTCTCTTTGCTAAAGAAATTAGGCAAAGTTAGAAAGATATTTGGTGGCTAGTACTGTGACTGGGACTCTATATGTACTGTTGATGAAGTTGTGAGCATTATTTGTGGCTATAGAGTGGTGTTTTGGTTGAGGGTGTCTAACTCTGCGTTACAGTGTGTTTGACCCTAAATATATTTTACGCCAGAATATCCCTTTAAGGGGAAGGGGTGATACTCACAGTCTGGTTGAGGATGGCAGTGAGAGCTCTTTCCACATCTGTGGAGTTCTGCATATCAACCAACCAAACATAAGGCTCACCTATGGCCTCTGCGTAAGGATGCTGGGAGGTCAGCTGCAATAACAGCACACACAAAGTCAAATCACACCAAACAGAATAATGTCCAATTTCACTAAATGGTTGAGGTTTGATTGTATGATTTGATTAAGTTCTTAAGAACGACCTCTGACCTCTCTAATGTTGGGCTTTCCGTTGAAGAACTCTGTGTTCAGTCTGCTCCGTGGAGGATCTAACCTGGGGTTGAGGAATGCACAGCCATTGGCCAAAGCCTCTAAAGGGGCGGGGCCTTCATAGGGGAAAGACAGTCCAACAAAGACCTATACATACACACACACACACACACACCCAATAAATAAGCAGACATGAGGATATGCTGTATACAGTTACTACATGCACCTCCACCTAGTCACCACATGATGTCAGCAAACACCTGAATAATAACATGAATTTCAGACATGTTTGAGAGGTCGTCTGTAGAAACAAGTGAGACACAGCAGATGCACTTTACTTATGATGCATCTTTTGATTTGAGTGAGTCAGTGTAGAGTTTGTCTATTGATCGTGTCAGGATATGTTCTGTTGATTTAGTTTTTCCCTGATTTTGTTATTTGAGTGTATTTTCTTTGTGTTTTCCCTAGTGTTTCTGTTCCCCTGTAGTCCAGTCTTGTGAGTTTTCAGTTTGTGTTTGACCCTGTGTCCCTCCCGTTCGCTGTGTTTTATTCTTTAGATCAGTTTTGGTGTTTCCTGTTTTATTTTGTAGTAGTTGATTCCTTGTGTTTTTTGTCCAGCTTTCCCTCCTTTTTTAATCCCTCATGAGTTTCACCTGTGTCTCCTCTGCCTCACCTGTTGCTCATTTCCCAGTGTGTGTATATAGTTTCTGTCTTCCCCTCTGCCATGGTTGGTTCATTGTCTGTATGTCGATGCGTATGCTTGTGTCCCCTGTTGCTCCCTGTGATTTTTCTCTTTTGTTGCTTTTTTCATTTAGTTCTTTTAATTCAATCATTTTTTAATTCTGCATTTGGGTCTCTCTTCTTTGTTTAACCCTGCATGTCTTGACAGAGAGTCCAATTTATTCCCTCCCTGCTGCCACAAACAGCACGCTCTATCGCTCCCATTTCAAAAGGAGAAGAGAAACAACACTTATTTCATGTTATCAAGTAAACTGAACAAAATAACTGAACACACAAAGACACACAAATTGATTTGGTCAAATAAATCAGTAATAGCGAATTGAATCCCACAGTTTCCATTTATGTTGTGATTGAAATGTTCTTCATGGGAAATAAAGAAACAGACTGTTGAGTACCTCTATTTTGAATTTCCCGAACCTCTCCAAGATTCATCTGAAATCTATTAAATCAAACTAATTCAGTCGTTTTCATACAAAGACAGATGTTCTGCCAGTTTAATTCAACACCCTCAGCGGAACAGTGTGGGTTTTGTAATTTTAGAGCGACATAATAAATGTTCTTGTATTATTTTATTAAAAGTGCGAAAACTTGGTGAAGGCTCTATTCTGAGAAAGAGGATTAGGGCCAAATGAAGAGGGAAAAAATAATTATAGGAAGGAGGTTACAGTCGAAATTTTGAGATTAAGTAATAAAATTAATTTGTCAAAATGTCATGAGTAATGTCAAAACTTTGAGAAAGAAAATTAACATTTTGAGATCGAAGTTGAAATTTCCAGATTAAGTCGACATGAATAAAGTAGAAATTTCAACTTTTTAAAATTTTGACTTTAATCTCAAAGTGGAAATTTTAAAAATCTCCCTGCTGTAATTATTTTTTTCTCTTCTCGTGGCCCTAATTCTCTTCGTACTATCCAGTAATCCATAGCCTACTTTAATCTTTTAACAGAGAGAAGTTCTCATTTATTGTGTTTTTTGTTTTAGGACTACAGTAGGAAAAAGTCAAGGTGCACATGAAGTTGGTCCTAAAAGATGAAAAAAATCACAGTCATTTTAAAGCTCCTGTAACTAGTTTTCTCTCATGTTTGGCGCCCCCTGTTGATGAAGCAGTGCTTAACCTTTTTTCTGATTTTGCCCTCTATATGTTCAAAATATGTCATCCTGCTTTCTTTTCGCAATCCAACATATTCCTCACTGAGAATGTTTTAAGAGGAATAAAAGGAAAAAACCTTCATTCAAGAGCCTGAAAGTGTAGATGTAGAGCATAAATGATCACACTCACCTTACTCTGTCTCAACAGGGTCTGCACCTCTGAACCCTTTATTATTCCGTGGTTGTACACATAGCTTGGGATGGCACTGCTGTTGTCAACCGTTGCATGAATCTCCAAATATTTGTGGATAACGTGCAGATAAGATTCTCTTCCCTAAAACAGAGCAAAGAAATAATGACTCTCTGAAACAGTCTGTTCAGCACTTTCAGACTCCATCTTTAAAAGCAAAGACAAGGTAAAGTCAAGGTGGTTTTCTTCAACAACCACCTCAGTAAAACAGCACACCCGTCAAAACTTCCTCAAAGTCCACCATCTGTTGATCGTTACCTTCCAGAAGTTGGCACTCTTGCCGTACACAAGCGCCTGGTTTTGTCTTGGGATCGACTGGAGCTGCTCGGTTTCCTCATTGCTCAGCGGGTGCTGCACGACAAAGCCTAGGAATGTGTTGTCTGGGGTGTGAGCTGCACACAAGAGAGAAAGTACATGAATTTACTCAAACAAACAACTATAACAAAAGCAGTTTTGGTCTTGCTCCAATTGAGAGTTACGTGTCAAACACAAGATTAGCTGTCGTTCAGGACACGAACATACGGAACATGGTGTAGAACTGCAGCGGGATCAGGTTCAGGCCGCCAAAAGGACTCTTCAGATCCTGCTTTTGGGCCCAGACTGCATGGTTGAAGTCTGGCTCAGTACCAAAGGAGTCCAACACACGAACCAAACACCTGATGGACAGAAGATCTCAGTTTCAGTCATCAAAGCATTAATACACACACAAACACAAAGATGTTTTTGTCCAAAATATGCCAAATGAATAACTACGCATGCAAATGGATTATCTAACCCGAGTGCTCCACTGTTTGTTAAATATCACAGCACTGCACACACTGTTCTCAGAATGTCTCCTCATGATGGAATTTAAAATCCCCCAAGACTTGTTTTTGCAAAGTCTAAAGTTCAGTTTTATCCACAATTTTACTCTTTACTGAGTCTGAAATGTTCATATTCTACTCAAATTAAACCTGCAGATTACTGAGATGGATTCAGAGACCATCAGAGATCAGAGATTTTTGGCACAAACAGGTGATTGGAGAGTGTGGAGAGTGTTTTACTGCACCACTGCAGAATTCTCATCCATAAAGATCCTTTATAATGCTCATGACCACAAAAATATACCTACTATCAGAGCTAGGTCCAATAATAAGTTCACTTTCCTTGAACACATTACACGCTCTCAGTACAGTTTGTACTCAGACTGAGGATCACGCACTTACTGGTAATTAGGCCATGATTCCTTCAGTATCGTCTGAATCTGTCTGAGGCCGATAATGTCGGTGTAGATTAAGTCCGCTTCTACCTTGGAGTAACGAGTCGGACAGTTGCTTTTTATGCCTAAAAAGCTAGGGGCAGAGAGAAAGAGAGGATGAAAGGGGGTGAATACGTAGAAATGTTGACATTAAAACAAGTATCAGTTGAGAAAAACACTTCAAAAATACAAATCATCCAAGTTTTGTTCTCATTAGTCTAAAAAACATGGCGCTCAATCCATAAAATGATCATTTTTCTATCCTTATATTCTTGGATGAAGTTGTCAGATATGTCCTTGCAGACAGCAGCTACAGCTCGATGCTGTTTGAGTATGCATACTCACTCCCTGACATCAGGTAGCGAAGCAGAAAGGTGGAGATTGTGACCCAGGATGTAAAGGGTGGAGATTAGATCACTCCACTGGACCAGTTCTCCAAGAGGACCCCCACTGAAGGCAGTCTCTGTGATTTTTATGTTAGATTCAGCCGTCAAGGCACCAGGATGCACTAGAATCTGGAAGAAGGAGGAGAAAGTCAAATCAAAGGAGCGATATTAAAGGTGCACAAGATCAGACGTGGAGTTGAGAGATGTTGTAAAGCAGATCGTGAGCTCCGCTTGCATGGAGATATTTAATTAGAGGGAATACTAAAAGCTAGTTTGTTGATGTGGCAACAACAACAAAAGATGGGAAGGTTCAGAAAACTATTGATTATTATAGCTTAATCATTCTGGAGATATGCATTTACATTTTTAGCTTTCCGCTGCGTCAGGTCGTATTTAGCCGAAAGAGAGCGTCCAGCCTCAACCCAAATCTCCTCCATACTGCGGATTCTCTGGTGGATCCAACGGTACTGAGCTCTGTTTTCCAGAACTGGATATAAACCTGTTAGACTCCCCCGTACCACTGCTTGCCCAGACTGAACCTGGAGAAACAAGAAAACACAGGATTTCTGTTACTTCTCCAAATCTCTTCCCAGAAAGTCTAACCCTTCAAGTGTCAGTTATGGTCATTTTTCTTATTGGTTTTCTGTTTGAGTACTTCAAATTGGACTTTTCCCGTTCAGCTTTTACCTAACAGCAACTCAAGTAATACAACTTAAATGAGGCTGTATGAATGAAATGAAACTAATGTATACAGGAAACTGCAAGTAACACATAACTGGCCTGTACTCCTCTGCACGTCAGGGTGGTTTATACCAGGCTCTAAAACTATGTGCCACGCCTGCAAAGCATACCCTGTAAATCCAATGGTTTCCCATCACCACATATTATTCTAAGCTGACTGTCAAATACCATTGAGTGATATAGGCTTTGAAAAGTAAGAGAAAGTTTGAATTCTATATGTTTGAGTTACAGTTTCTGGACCTTTAAGACTTAAAGGCATGGTTGACGATTGTAGAGATTGGTAATTATTATGAACCTTGTTTCTATGGCGATCATGGTCCTATAGTGCGATCTCCACAAAGTGAAGAGAAAAAAGAATGGAAAAAATCCGTCGACCCTAGCAGGTGCAGGGCTGCAAAAACATTGACCAATAGGAGCCATCCGTCCCAGACAGCTCCTATTGGTCAATCTCCTGCTCCGCCTCTCCATCCAATCACCTCGCTGTATTCGACACACCCCTCTCCTGTAGTTCCGACTCGTATCCTCCCACTCTCCCGGCCGCAATGTTTTTTTTTTTTTGTAGGATGGTTAGGGAAAGTCCCGGGTGGGACGCTTTTTTTTTAAAATCTGCCTCAACCGCTCAGTTTTTTTCAACTGCTTCTCAGATCGTCAACCAGGACTTTAAGACACTCTTTTGTTTTTGTACAAGTTTTATGGCGAGGCATCTTGCCAAAATCAAAAGTCACCTCATAGCAACAGATATATCCTGTAATGTACGTCCTTTCAGTTTCATGTCTCTAACTAACTGGGAACTGTAGCTGTTCACGCTGAAACTCTATTCATAAATGGGAAATCTGGTCGATTTTTGCAGGACTTTTGCAAAGGATGCTCAAAACTTTTCAGCTCAGTGCTCCCATTCTGCTGTTCACCCACGTTGACATGGGTTCATTTCAGTTAGACCCCTGGAAATGGAAAAAAAGCCCACCACTTCACGAATGTGTTCGAAATGGTGGATTTTCTGCACGGCTCAAAGAGGCTTTTTTGTGCATCTCATCAAGCTGCAAAAACCTGCCAAATTTCACTAAAAGTCACCTCTCCAGGGACCCCATTTTGAAAAATTGAAGGGGGCATTTTGGTGCTATGCCAGCTCTACGCCAAAAGTAAGTTTTCACCGAGCCTGTTTCATGAGTTTTGAGGGAAGTTCAGGCCCACAACAAACATTCAATCTGGTCCAGATAGAGTAGACCAAACACAAAAGAGTCACTGCTTGGTGCTAGGGTCTTGTGAAATCACAGGAAAATAAGAAATGTGATGAAAAGAAGAACTCAGATGCACCAAACAAAAACAAACCACTTATGCAGTAAAACAGGTCTGCATGCCTTTTACACGCCACACCTTTATACACCCATGATGCAACTTTATTATTTAGCCTTTGTTCTCACCGGAGGGATTTCAAGTGGAGCTGCTAGTTTCACTCGACCCGGAAGTAAAGGACACCAGGACTCTATCTTAACACGACACAGGAAAAAAAGAAAGGGCAGTTACAACAGCACAGACATTTTTTCAATTTTGTTCATAACTAGAATCAAGAAATGTAAACTGAGTGATTGAAGAGCTCAGAAACCACAGTGGTACCTCGCTGAGGTAGATCAAGATGGAGCAGAGGGACCCATTAATCCCAAAACTGGCGTAACAAGAGTCTGACCTCCACATTGCCATCAACCACTGGAGAGACGACAAACCAAGATAAAGACAAGAATACAGTCATTATAAAAAAAAACAGATTAGAAAATGATGAACAAAATGAACTAGTCCACTCATAAAACCAATATTAATGAGATCTTTATGAAACCATTAAATGATGAAAAGCTTTACCTTCAATTTGCCCTTACATGCAGGATATCCATCCAGTGGCGGGAGTGGACAGTTTTTATCCACTAAAATTTCATCATCTGAAAAAACAAACAACAGCGCTGGTACTTGAGGTAATCCAGGACGCTCCTGTCCTTGAAATCCTTTTATCTCTGAGTGGAAATAAACCATTTCCAAGCAGACAAATTTGTGATGATTATCTCTTAACATTCCTTATTAGATAAATGAATTCAGTGTATTCATTCATTTTTCATTTTACCACAGGCTGTACTGAGTTCTGATTCAGTCTCGGTGCTCTAGTTTCCTAGCTCAGACAAAGAGGTGCAGGTGAGGCAGGACTTGTTGCAATTACATGCCCAGAGACAAAACTATTGGTGAATTGCATGATATCCAACATGCCTGCCATTTACCCCTGACAATATTTCAATATGTTGGTCCTGACAGTTTGATGTTGAATAGGCAAAATTTAATCATCATCGTACAATATTGGCCTTCCTTGTACAACCACAGGTCAATACTGTTGTTTGTATCCATCAGTAAGAAATGCACTAAAGGATCCATCCTACTAAGGATCAAAATCAAGTGGACACAAGCATTAAGCCTCATTATTGGATAACTTCAGCTGTCTTAAGTGGTATGAAAAGGTTGTTTTATGGAGTTATTTTACTTCAGTCTATGAAAATAATTTTTTTAAGATGTTAAGTGATGGGCAGGTTCTTCCAGGATGTCCTGGTCCTTATTGCAGCATTTCTGGAGCAGAAGCAAGCATGAGAATTAAAGCCTATATTCTCACTGAAAGCAAATGCAATCATTTGTAAAAGCAGTCGGTTTACATCTGGCATTAACATGCACCCTGATTCCCCAGCTGCATGCCGATAATTACAGGACTTGTGGATCACACTGGGCTGTGCAGCTTTTATCTTTTTGTCTGTAAATCTCTGTGCGTGATGATTGCATGAGTTAAGAGTCAGGAGGCGAGGTCTGGAGCCTTATTTGCATGGGATTAGTATTACCTTGAGACCTTTGATGATTTGTAATGATCACAGAGAGCGCCTCTGTTTTTTTCCCCACCATAGCTGTAATTTGTACAGCTAAAATTCTTTGATAATAGTAATCCACTCGGAATTAGCATACCTGTAATTTGGTGTGGTAATTTTCTCTTTTAGGCGGTCTCTGCTGCTTTTTCTTTTTGTTCCAGTCAGAAATGATGGAGGCACGCTTTAGACATTGCAAATTAAGGTTTTAACAGCATTTTGGGTGCAAATGCAGCTGGTTTGAACCTCGATACAATCTGCTTTGACTTTAAATTGACATAAATCAAACTATGATCAGTCTAACATGGTGAAACTATAAATTCAGCTTTTTCTTAATGGAGTGTTCAAATCGAGACCATAGACTGTATATACACTATGGACAACTTGGTTCCGCCTCCTGCCAGTATACAGATTTGAAGCCAAAAAGCGCTCGGTATTTCCGGGATTTTTCTTCATTTCCTGAAACCAACATTTAGCAGTAGCGTTGTACGTGTTCGGCGGGAGAGTCGCCAAGAGTCGCTGTGATGACGCTCGGCTCAAACAGCATATCTTCCGGGTGAGCTACACAATCCCTGAACGCCCATAGGCTGTATCAGGTGTCAATCATGGAAAACATGAACCCCCTAATAACTTTTAAAAACAGAGCTTTACAGAAAAAAAGAGGACTTGAGCACAAACCAGTCTGACAGTAACTACATGTCAACACCTCAAGCAGGGGGGAGAAAAAATTATGTTCTGTGTAATAAATTTCTAAAGTTTGTCCACAGCTCCATAAGCTTTGCTGGCGGAGGCGGGATTTATGACCTATACTGCAGCCCGTCACCAGAGGGTGCTGTTCTCGGAGTGGCTTCACCCAGCGAGGAGGCAGATACTGTCCATTCTATATACAGTCTATGATCGAAACCTAACATTTCAGATCGTAGGGCTGAGCGATATGTCCTCAGTTCACCTTGATTACAATAAATGGACGATAACTACTCCACAAGCTGCTCACCCCCTCCCACATTAACTTCGTCTACTTCAGCTGCTACTGCTTTAGAACCATCCTCCATCTCCTCACCCGTCTTTCCCTCTTCGTTACAGACTTGATGGGGTGGAGTCACGTCTCCAATGTAGGACAGTGTCTTAAAGAGACATGAGCCTACCTACACTCATCCAAAACCAACTTTTATTTATTCATTTTTTTTAAAACTGAATATATTGACATGGGCAAAACGGCGTCAGTTATTGTCGTAAATTTCAGTATCTGTAAATTTTAGGGTTATCACTCATCCCTATTAGATTGTATTGCTTACTATGGATGGGTGTCTCCAGTGTTAATTACTTTTGTTTTTAATTTTGAGGTTGTTGACAAGGACTGAAACATTACCTAACAGTTAATGCCAGATGTAAACAAGGTCAAAGAACCCCATAGATGAGTGCAACATGTGTAGCTCAGCTGTGTTGAGGAGTTTTTGTCTTTGAATTCGATCAAAAGTTGTTTTACCATTTTTGACTTGTTGGACTTTCGGCTCCTTCTGCTGTGCCTGCAGCTTCAGCAGCTCCTCCAGCTGAGCCACCTGTTGCTGCAGTTGTAATTTGTCAGATCGCAGCTCTTTGATCATCTCCTCCCTCACTTTTCCTTTTTCCTTCTCTGCCTCCATTTGAATCTGGAGTGCAGTAAATTCTTCTTTGTGGCCCTTCAAAGGCGGAGGAGGAAAGACTGAGAGAAGAAGGTGTTTGCGTTATTTTTTTTTGTAATGATTCTTCTGGCTTTGAACACATTTTCAGAACGCTTACATCTGCGAGATACTTAGCCAAATAACAATCAATGAGCTCTTCATTAAAGGAATAAAATCAAGAACATTTTAATAAGATATAACGCTCCACAGGCAATGAGCTGCTGAATCAATTACTGCATAATATCAGGTGATAGCTCTGACATATTTTTTAAAAGAAAGCAGATCGTGTCTGGAGAGTTTGCTCACAGTAATCAGTTGGTTGTACGATATTCAGGAGATCATCGAAAGACTTGGCGATGCTCCTCATTAACTCTAGGTGAGAAAAAAGGAGGTGAAAATGGAGCTCAAGAAGAGAGGAAACAGAAAAGTACCAGGAAGAGCAGAGCAGCATTAGCATTATTGCATTTAGCCACATTCATCACACCTTACCCACTATTTTCCTCTTTTATTCCCTTTATCACGCCACTGCTAATGAGCATATTCATTTAATAAATCTGCGCCTAAAAAAGTGATTTTGGTTGAGCTCTAATGGATAAAGTTTGAGGATCTCTGAAACCATTTTCTTGCCTTTACCTTTCTTTAGGTCCATCAATGCACCATCATCCAGTTTCAGTCTGTTCAGATTGCGCAGGCTGTTGCTCTTCCGATCATTATTTCTCTGATACTAGTTTACAGGCAAGACTCAGCATTAAAAATCAAAACACAGGCAAACATGAACGAACTGCAGATTCATCACCATTCTGCTGTACACTAACAAAAAAGTAGAAACTTCATTTAAGGACCAAATGGTGACACTTTATATGACACCTATCTCTATAACACATTCTAAATATATGTATAATGTGTTATAACACATAAATAGCACTGTATAACTATAATTATAAAGACTAATTAATGATCATAATGCTTTATAGCAATAATCATGACACATTATAAAGCATTTATCATGACTTACAAGGTCAGGTATTATAGTGTGTTATAACTGTTAACAACTCACTGACAATGCCCACATAGATAATGCATAATACATATATTCATAATGTGTTATTATTTGCTCATAAACTTTTATTACTATCATTAATTAATTATCATAAGGCTTTTTAACAATAAGCACAACACAGTAACACTTTATTTGACGCCTATCTCTATAACGCATTATAAATATATTTATAATGTGTTATAATCACTTTATAGCACTGTATCACTATAGTTATAAACACTCATTAATGATAATAATGCTTTATAGCAATAATCATAACACATTATAAAGCATTTTATCATGACTTACAAGGTCAGATATCATAATGTGTTAACAACAGTTGCATTGCATTATCTATGTGGGCATTGTCAGTGAGTTGTTAGTGAGTTAGTTATAACACATTATAATACCTGACCTTGTAAGTCATGATAAAATGCTTTATTATGTGTTATTATTATTGCTATAAAGCATTATTATCATTTATGAATGTTTATAACTATAGTTATACAGTGCTATAACGTGATTATAACACATTATACATACATTTATAATGCGTTATAGAGATAGGCGTCAAACAAAGTGTTGCCTCGGGATCTGCTTATTTCTCAACAGGGCTGCAGCAGGTTAAACTAAAAGATTAAAACAAGATACAGACCAGGATGACATATGGAAAACTTAGACACCAGATGAAACCGATTCCCAGGAGCACAAACAAGGTCCTCCGTAGAGTGGGGGTCAGTTTTCTCATGATTCAAGTGGACCAGGCCTGGAGCATAACAATTCCAATGTTGTGACTATCAGACATTAAAAGCACTCTTTTAGCTGAGTGGTGAGACCAGCGTTTACTTTACAACATACAAACTAAAAGATACCATATCAGAATCATAGTGCTCCCTCATAAAGTGTCTGAGAGAGAGAGAGAGAGAGATAAGACCTAAGAGGTAGAGGTTGTGACTGAAGTTGTATTATGTTTAGGATAACTAATCAGAGTCTGACATCCACATGCGGGAAATATAAGTGTCTCTGATGGTGTGATAACAGTGACTGGAATGACCCTGTTCGACTTCTCCTAAATGATACTATTATGTATTTAGTATGGCACAGAGTAAAAGGTAGATTCACTCCTCTGTTGTTTAGTGCTTTTTTGATTTCATCGTCACAAATGTAAATCTTTTCCTCCAGCAGTGTTTCTATTTCATCATGTTAAAATAAGGAACTCAGAAACTCACCCTTCAAGTGTTGGGAAATCCAAATATAGTGTGGTGATTCCGTGAATGTTATAATCCCATTTTCTTTCGAATCAAACAGATACCTGTAAACATTTCTGTTCACGGACCTTTGAGATAAAGAGAACAATCAAGTTCCCCAAATACGCTGTGATCATCAACCTCACTCATACAAACCAGTTTGCCGACCTGTTTCCCGACATTACTGCAGTCTCATTGGCCAGGGCCAGCGTGTTTCTGCAGCATTCAAGAAAGACCAGCTTGTTTGGCGTTTCCTCTGAGTCACCTCACTTCCTTATTTCTCGGCCATGTGAAGCACTAAGTATGTCATCTCTGTGAGTATTGTTTATAACTTTGTGTTTTTCTTTGCTGCTGTATTGTGAATCAGTCCCTGTGTCACATTGAGATTACATGTCAAATAAAAAGAGTCAGTTTGAAATAAAGATGTGAGGATTTTTGCTCTAATCTGCTAATGCAAGGACTACTGGTGAATGCCTCTGCAAAACTCAAAACTAAGCTAAAGTTTTTGGCTTATTTCCATCATTACACAATATTATGTGAGTCACATTTAACTGACATGTCCTGAAACGTTTAATTGGATGAAAGCAAGCACAGAATAAGACCAAAGTTTATTTATAGTTTTGAAATTAGGAATTGTATCTAAAGCCCTTCTTTTAAACATCTTACAAACACAAATATCTATATGAACAGTTTTTGTTCAAAACAAATTCTAAATTAAGCAAAAAACAAAAACTTTATTTATAGTTTTGAAATTAAGAATTGTATCTAAAGCTAGTCCCCTAAACATCTTACAAACACAAACATCTATTTAAACAGTTTTTTGTTCAAAATGAATTCTAAAGTAGACAAAAAAAAAACCCAAAACACTATATTTACAATTTTAAAAGCAAGAATTCAAGCAAAAGCAGATTTCAAGCTGGGTTCATGGTTCCAGGGGCAGTTCTTTCTCTGTCTCTCCCTGCAGACATTTCCTCCTTCAGCAAGGAGACAGAGGTTATTAGGGTTTGTCTTAAACATGAGGACATCATTCTTGAGTTTCATAACCAATGTCTAACTGACACTTTCTTCACCATGACTTGGTCAAGGATTTTAAAACTGTTTCTGTCTATCTTTTGAAGAATGGCTACCTGTCTGCGTGCTGGCGTGGTCTGTACCTCGGTGCTGCCCTTTATTCTAGAGCCTGCATAATGGCTGCGACCACCAGGTTTACCAGCACAAACTGGGCGATGATGACGAAGCTGCTGAAGTACAATGGAGAAACACAGCTCAGGTAGCTCTGACAGCTGTCTCCATTTAGACACTCCCTCAACATGTTCTTTGTGAACATATTAACGGTTGAATAAGCTCTGGGATCATCTTTAAAAGCCTAAAGGTGCAAAAGCAAATGAAACTAGTTTTGAATTTAATACAGGAAAGTTGTTGCGACTTGAACTACAGCATCACAGCACAACCTTGATAGATTAGTGGAGTAGAGTCCATATTTGACAAACCCCCATCTTAGAATTGCTCACGAGGAGTAGGCCTATTATAAAATTGAAGAATAATATAAAATTGATAGGAGTACTTTTTCCTGTTCCTGTTTTATTCACAATTGATATGCTTTAAAGGTCGTTATTTCACCTGTGATTCAACTACAGCATGAATAATGCCTTTGTGATTCTTTTTCAAATAAAAAAAATACAATTGCTTTTTACAATCCTGTTAAATATAGTCGGAACCATTTCAATTTCTGGGTATGACAAAATCCAGTGTCAGAACATGAAAAGAAAAATCTTTTTAATTCTTTTTCTCTATTTTTCTTGAACAAAACTTGTCTACAGTTTAAAGTCATCCGAAGTTTCTCACAGAGTCGATTCAAGTCTAGACAAGACGTGAGATTGGACCTGGAAAGTTAAGACTTTGAGAAAAATTGACCTATGTTAGTACATTTTTAAAGTGAACATGCTGTACCTAAAATCCCTGCAGGATGTCTATTTGTGGAGGAATGATGTGAATGAAATGAGTTTTCCTGCAGCTTTCTGTTACAGAGCTCTGAATCAGCTCTGCAATAAGCCAGACTGGGTATTACTGAACCCAGGTTATAAGGAAGTCTGGATAAAGACACATCTGTTATAATCCAGGAGTATAAAACCATGATACCTATTCCTAGAGAAAAGTAGTCACGGGGAAAATCCTCCCGAGTTCCTGCAGAATCATCTTGGGAATATCTCAAAGACAGAAATCTGAAAAACATGAGAGGAGAGCAGGAACACAGCCGCCTCAGGCGTCTGTGCTGACAGTGAAATAGAAAGAAGCAATGAATGTGTGAATAATTTAACCGTTTCACAGTGATCAGATCCTAGATATTAAGGGAATATAACACAGAGAAATGAAAGTTGCTGCACCTTTTACACATTTTTCTTCCGTTTAACTCCATTTAAAGAAATGCTAAAAGACAGATTTCACGGTGAATCTTGTTAGGACTACTAAGGTTTTTTGTTTCACAGTGACACTATTGCAAGTCAGGAGGAAAAAGCATTTGCGGCTCTTCGGCACAGCTCTACTCTGAGGAGGTTGGAGGTGCGTAAAATGTTCTTCTTTTGCAATTGTGCTCAAAAAATATAGCATAAAATAAAATATACAAATGAATGTGGGCTGTAAGAACAGTCCAATCTGTTTCAACAATACAAAAGCCTAAAAGGGGGAATCCAATCTTGCAACATAAATTAAGATTTTTTAAGAATTAAGTCTAAAATCAGTGAAATATCTTTGCTATGCAGGATTACAGTGTTTTGTTCAATGACTTGAAGTTACTTGCTTAAGCTTTGACCATATTGTCCTCAGATTATATAATTAAGCCCAAATACCCTAATTAAGATGCATGCATACAAGGGATATGATTTAGTGGAAAGTACCACAGGACCTTTGGCAATAACATCATGATGCTCTAAAGCCCCCCGGTGTCACATGAGTCTAACTTCCAGTCATTATGGACCCAGGTTTTGGATTCTGTTTTTCCTATTGTGTCTTATTGAAAATGAAACTTCTCTTCAATATAACTGTTCATTATGTTTTGAAAAGAAATGTTTTGATGACCTACATCCAGATTATTTGGAGTAGCGTGCGCTCAAAGGATTTATTGACTCAGTTGGCAGACTCTGTGTGTTACTGAATCAGATTCATATAATCAGACGTGATGGCAGGTAATAAAAAGTAGTGTTTTCGACACAGGTCTGTGTCTTCTTGTTTGCAGCTTGGTGTACAAAGTCTCCCTGAACTTCATTTATTATCCACTAGGGGGCAGTATAATCAGCCAAGGTGTGGAAGGACAATGCATTTGCAGCAAGTTTGGCATGAGGCCAAAGTAAACAGAGAGACGCACTGCCAGGAGGCATCCTGACTCATTATGTAGAGCTGGAGACTGCCCTGTTACATATACCAGTATAAATACAATTATGTAATTCTGAGGGTTCGCAGAAAAAGGTTCAACATTTGTTTTAATGTGTTGAAAGTGAAACGATTGACTTTCTTCTTACATTTGTCTGGTGTATGAGATTGTAAAGAGAGCTTGTCAGCCCATAAAAACTGCACAGATTTTTTTGACATGAGAAATATCTGCTCCATTTCCCCTCATTTTTGCCTCTTGTCATTTTTGTTTAGTTTTCTTGAGTAGATTAATAAATGACCCTGCTCAATTATACTGCTGACAAAGTTCAAGAAACATGTTTAGAGTAACTTTTATTGCTGAAAAATGACTATGAGCACAAACTGAAAACACAGAATGATCAAGTCTCTATGGAGACACAGTTATCCTCTGATTCCAACTAAGCCGCTAAAGCAGACCAGCCTGTTTTCTGTCCTGACAGCAGCCGCCCTCTATTGTTGTGCAAAGAGGGTAAAAAGCTTTTTATCATGCACAGCTGTTGCAGGTGCCTGTGGTGTCTGCTCCCACCTAGGCTGATATGAATGCATCATTCTGAACGTACACTAATAAGCTTGCTGGCTCAGAGCTTCAGTTATACATACATAAGAGCCATTAAGGACTGAAAGAAGACGTAAAAAAAATAAAAAAGAACAAACACAGAAACATGACGTTGCTTTTGAGGGTCAAAAGAAAGCAGACAGAGGGACAGACTAACCCAGAATATTGTGTCAGATATGCATGGGTGAAATAACAGACTGATGAGGAACAAAAAACAAAGGAGTGAACCTGAAAGGGTCAACAGACAAATGAAGAATAAATGTGAGATGCAAATGTTTGAAGTAAGGCTTAAAATAAAATAAAAAATCTGTAAAAATAAGATAGAAGTGGGCTGAATTAACAATCAATATAACTAAAAAGGTTGGTCCTGAGTTTGCTTTTGGAAGATATTGATATTCTCTGATGCTCTCATGTTTTCAGGAAGATTGCTCCACAGATGTGAGTAGTGGTGATAAAATGTGTGTTTCATTGTTGCTTCACTGCCTGAAGACCTAACGGTTCTCACAGACTCACATGTTTCAAGAAAAGGGCAGAGCTAAACTGTTCAAACTTTCTAAACCAAAAGTCATTCTGAAGGCTAGCTAATGAGATAACTTCACACTTGGTATAATTTGAACTCTTTCTGATCTTTGTCAGCTTTGCTACTGTTGAGTTTCGGAGGTCTATAATATCCTTTTAGGGAGACAGAAAGAAGAGTAGAGAAGGGTGATTAGATGCCTTTCCTATGTCTCTAATTTGTTCCTTGGACGCAACATTTGGAACAAGAATTTATCTTGATTTTTCGCCTGCTGACAGATAAAGAGAGTGGTTGAAGTTTTCCATTTGGTTCCTCTCTTTGCTGTGAAATCATATGAGTGTCTTTGCACTTCTGCCCATGCACCAATCTGTTCCAATTTTCCATCGTAGAAACCTCAGATGTTTTCAAGGTATGGAATAAAAGACAGGCACCGCTGAGTTACTTAAGAAAGGTAGCTCAAGTTGCACTGAGTTCACACTTTGCAGACGTAATTTCCACAATCACCTGAAATTGCATCCTCCCAATTGGTGTTCTGTTTTAGATGAAAGATTTCTCTCGTCTCTTTCCCTCACTCTGTGCTTGTCACCACGGCCCTGCACCTGAGCTGTACTCTTACCGCTTCTCATGCATCTACCTGCAGGTTACAGCGAGGAAACTCGAGATACTGTCATCCCATACCTCAAATTTGTTATAGGTAGAGTGATGAGGTTGGGTTTCCTTTAAAAAAAAAAAGCATTTTAAACCACCACAAATTTGGTTTGGCTGACTATAATTCCACTCTGAAACACGCTGGGTGTATGCTTTTGTTTACCTGAGGGTCGTTCTGTGGTGAGAACGAAGGGTGCAGTTTGATCCCTTTGACCAGAGACAGCTGTGGAAACTTCACCCCATACTTTGCCAACTCTAAAGTATCTGGAAAAATGCTTTGGTGAGAAAAATGCAATCAGTCTTGGAAAGCAGTAAACACCAGTTTTGTAGAGATAGGACAAAATGTAAACAAGATTTATTCTGTATGTTTTGTTGCATGCTCTGAACTCATATCCTTTCATTTTCTTTCTCATATTTATGCACTTTAAATTAAAGGTCTGAGTAGCATATATCATTAACACGCATAAAAACAGGACCTTGAAGATACTATACAACCAGGACTGATTTAAAATGTGAGATACTTGCACATTGGATATTAATAAAGTAGGAATATATAGTTTGAAAATTGTATTAATTCAACTCTCTTTAGGGAAAACTCTAAAACAGCAGTTACAAAGTACAATCCTCATGTTTTATGTATTAATGATAAACTTGTAAGCAAACAAGAGGCTTATGTTCATACTGAACATACATACATATATACAGCCATGCAGCGACATTAGTATTCAGGGAGACAACTGCTGTGTGGCTGCAGGCTGAATATTTGTTCAAGATTAAGTACAATGAGCAACCAGTCAGGCTCAATCCTGCCATACAACCTACATTACCCCAGAGTCAATAACTTGACGTGAAATATTGATTCTTTTATTTTGTTGGTTTGAAACGGTTCATTTCCCACTGCTAGAAAAATTCAGTCTATAAGATTCACAGTCTATTGCATCTATGTCCACACTACTGAGTTAAAAACACTTAGACATCAGGGACCTTATTGTCCACCCAGTGCAAAGCAGTGCATGTATATAAAGAGCACCCGTGGGTGTGTAAATCTTAATATAAGTATAATAGAAGTTAATAATCCTGGCTTGGGCCCTGTGTAGTACTGAAGACAGACTTAAACTTGTTGTGTATATAAGAATGCGCCTGTTTGCAGCTGCACCTGGCTCATATAGGGGATGAGAGCAGACACACCAACTGGTTTGATTCATGTTAAACCCATAATATACCTATGAGCAATGACGCAACCTCTCTAAGGCCTTATTTCTATTTAGTGCCCAGATTGTGCACCAACCAATGAGGAAATTGTGTTCAGACATGCCCCAGTTCACTTTTCAATTGTAGACTGCAGCTTTCAGTGTCTTTTAACCTCACTTGCTCACTCTCTGCTGTTTCTTTTCTCCAAGTAAACAGACTGGCAATAAATCAGCAGAAGTGATGGTGACCTTCAAGATGTTCTTTTAATGCATGTTAAGTCTGATTCTTCTTTTTTGAAGCTCAACTTTATCCTCCTACGGGGTTTTTTTTTTTTTTTTGAATAGCCTTTAGCCAAATACATAAATGCATTTGTAACTATTCTGCACCACAGTGGAGATAAACAGGGGTAGGATGTTGACTGCCACAGGAGGGGACCTGCCGCTTTGCAGAAACAAAAGTCCACAAAAATACATACAGGTGATTCTACACTCACTTCAGCATATTTGACGATATTAAAGCCTCTTATCCGCTTATTACACTTGATGCTCACATTGTGCACCCCAGCCAACTGGATGAACTATTCTCCTGGGTTTCCTTTGTTGCAGCTTACATAGAAAGCAATGCTATCTGAACAAACAAATTTCCATTCAGCCAAGAGTCAGGTGTGTGAGAGGCTTGTCAAAGACCCACTTTAAAACGGGATGGCAGCAGGGTGCATGCTTCAGGACATCAGACACAAGATTTGACTTTTTTTACTGCTGTAATCTCACTAAAGCACTTGAGGAGTGACATGAAATGAACAGTTGCTTTTTGAAGTGGAAACAGAGAGGATGTGCCGGATCATCGCGCAGCTGCTTGTCCTCTTGACATTCGGCCGTCTGTCTTGTACTGAAGATAAAATGCTTATCAACGCCTGTCTGGATCACCAGGAGGCCTTTGGAGGCTCCTGCTTTGAGTTTGTGGATCTCCAGCATACTTTTTATCACGCTCAGGCTTGGTGTGAGGAGCAAGGTGGACACCTTGCTTTCATCCCAGATGAAGAGTCGCAGCATTTCTTCCAAAGGTACTTGGACCCAACAAAGGATGTGTGGATTGGATTGGCTCCTTCTGCCTCTCCTAACCTGCAATATCTTCCCGGTAAGATGCCAAAATACAATACAGAGACAGGGGTGAGAGTTTACATGTTAGAAAATGGATCTCATATAACCTGATATTACTTTCTCAGCAATGTATGCACAGTATGATTCGTTTTAATGACAATTTTCCTAGGAAGTACTTTGCAGCACAATAATGCTGCTCTTACCTTATCAGTTTTTTAAATTTATGTAATAAGATGACTATTTCTCTGAAATGATCCTGATATTATTACCAGCAGTTTATGAGTAAGGGGGGTGTTGTGTGTGCTTGTTTATTTCAATCACATCAGATTTGTTTCAGTTCATTAAATACAGCAATTTACCTCAAAATGTAGAAAAAGAGCCCGGCACTTGTGATTAAATTAAATAGCTTAGTGTACAAAGAGTCCATTTTTTCCATGTTGGTCTTCTTTTTTCAGTAATTATTGCCTCCCAGCTTGTTTAAAGCTGTCATTTTACAACAGTGTGAGACAAAATCACTTCATACCCCGCCAACAAGTCATAAAAAAGGAGAGAATTTTTACTATGTAATGAAAATACATATTTGGATGTACCAGAATTAGCTTTTTATGCAAAGATCTTCGTTTGTTGCATATTGTTATCCATGTCCTGTCCATCGATCAAATGTATGGATTATTATTGTGATCTCGCGAGGTTTACGCGAATCTCGCGGGACCGGACAGGAAAATATTCCCGCGGTGGGACGCCGGTGTTGTGCCGTAGAATGCACCCCTGACGGAAACGCGGTTGAAAGTACATAAAAAGGCGAAATAATCCAAATTTCCTTACCGTTGGATGGATTTGAAAGTGCGTGCCTATAATGGTTTCATTCAGGCTATTCAGATAAGCCGAAAACAATGGCCCTCTGATTCGGAATATTTGATGTCCCGAAAATATAATGTTCTCTACCTTGACAGCTTACTGTACAGTTCATATACCCAAGTAAACCTCTATATGTGCATTTTTGAGACACATTAAAACAAAACGAAAGTTTGCTGCTCCATTTGACATGTTGTCATGATTCAATACTCGTGTTTTTTTTATATGAGATAATTTTCTTCCACTTTAAGAAGCTAATTAGTGGAGGGAATGCATTCTACTGCAGGGGTGCATTCTACGGCACAACACCGGGCCTTGCTCAGTATAAACAGTGGAGGAAGCAACTGTGGACGTTGAAACGAAGATTAAAGCTGTTTTCTACAAAACAAAGACAAACAAAGGCAAGTCTGAGATGTGGACGAATCTGTTAAAGTTAAAATCGAAACGATGTCTAAGAGTTGGACTTCCGTTATAAGCAAGAAATTAGTTAGAAAGCCTTGTGTCGTGTGGGCACACCTCAATTTTCCCAGTAAACCGTTGTTCAAAAATAAAGCAAAATACTACACAGAAATGTTAAAACACATACGTTATTTGTCATTTACGGCGATATAGAGTTTTTTGTGCCCAACCCGGTAGTTTCTGATGCAGGTGTATGTAGTTAGAAGACCTCAATGTAGTCTGTAGCTGCTATTTGACCGTTACTGTAAGGTGGGACGTTTCCTTGTTGCCTGCCTGGTAACTCGGACAACTTAGTGAATCAGTCAAATCGATAACTCCCGATTTTGGCTGTTTTTGATCTCTTATATGTTACACCAGTTTAGGTAATACTTGTAACGCTTAAAACCTGGGTTTCAACCACATCATGCAAACTTAAAATGCCGTTATTCTTCTTCTTCAGAGAGAAAAATGTCTTGCAGCGTCAAACAAAATGGCGCATATAGGATGCCTTACATCAGAGATGGGCTGGAGTGAATCAGACTCACCGAAGAGGGTATAGAAAATGGTTCTACTGGAATTTACTTTAAACTTACTTTACTTACAATTTAAGTCTCTGCACATTTACCAATGAAATAATCAGTCTGATAATACAGCCCAAACCCTCCCATCAATGTATTGTAACTGTGCTGTCATTTCTGGCCAACTAAGAAAAGGGAAGTGGATTAAATACAGATTAAAATAGTAACATAGATTAGGTTCCTTACTCCAATTTAAGATGGGTGTATTTGTTTTAATGGTCCTGTACCCCTTGAAAAATGTAGTCAGATCATGCATGCGACATTCACTGCTCTGCTCTCAGCTGCACTGTCATTTGTTATGTTTAGAGCTGGTCTAAACTGAATTATCTCACTTAATTTGCTCTGTAACACACAGCCAAATTAGGATAAATGACGGTGTCAATGCAAACCTAATAGCTGTCAAATATCAAGTTGATTTCTCCCCTGGTAGTTGATTGATTGATGTGGCTCATATCTGTGGCATGTCATCACAAGTTCTTTCCTATGAAAGGTGTGTGATTTGATATCATCCATTTACGGCAAGTATAAATGAGGTTAATTTCAGAGATCTGTTTAAAACAGTGATAAGTACAATGAATTCCATTGAAATGAACTTTCAATAAACACAAGTGTCTCTAATTTTACAGGCAAGGTCATTGTACAAACTAGTGTTTCAGTTGGCACATGTTCAGGTTTTCTCGTACCTCAGGTCTCCTCTCTTGGCTAGACAGTTCACCTATCATCTATTCTAAGTGGGTCCACAGCCCGCCGTCTGGAGCGACCTGTGGACACATACTGAGAGACTCTGGCTTTCGCTGGAAAGCTACAAAGGACTGCAACAAAAACCTGCCCTTCATCTGCCAGTTTGGTATGTATTGACTGTTACCGTGACAGAAAAATACAGTCAACGCAATACCTTTGTGGTAAATGACCACTTTTTGGTGCTTTTTTTGTGTTTTTCACAGAGTTTGGCAGATCCATTGTGTGTGCAGGTCGTCACACCACTCTGCAGTGCAGCTCTGGTCAAGTTTTAACACTAGACGGTGGCTATGGACGAAAGAACATGCATTACTGTCAATCCTCTCTCTTTACACAGATGACACCAGCACAATATCAGTGTGGCTGGGTGGATGTTCTAGAAACATTAACAGGTAAGACATTGTCTGTAATGTTTTGTTTTGCTTTGTCTATATTTTTCACTTAAATATGGGAACAATGACTGATGTTTGAAAGCTTTATTTCACAAAAGACCATTTTACTGTCATAATTGTTTCTTTCATGATTAGCTGAAGTCAGTTGAAATGACTCAGAATAGAAAAACAAACACTTGTCTTTGCCAAAAAAGCTTTTGAACGGATCAACACTGTCATTAAAATCCAATACAATCATCATTAAGTGCAAAATGCTTTCCCACAGACCATTACTGCAATAATAGATTGCCCATCTGGATAGTAATGGTAAGAAAAAGACAATAATAGCTCAATAGCCTCAAGGATACATGAATGCTCTTTGACATTTCGAGTACATATTTACTTATATGTTTAATGGTTGAAAAGAGTATAGCATCCATCTGTTTCCAAACCTGTTCATCCAGTTCATGGATATATGGGTAATGCAGCCTTTCCCAGCACGCTTTAGGGGGGAGGGATGGTACTTCCAGGAGAGGAAACGCATATTTCAAGATTTAAAAAACGGGTGATATTGAAAATTTAATCTTTATTATGTACACATAAACCCATAAAATGTACTCTGTAGATTTAGTGAGAAAATAGCTGTCTAATAAATAAGATAACGCATAGCAAGTGAGTTTTTCTAGTTGAGGGACCTCGTCAGACTGAGACAAGACCCTTGTGTCCATGTGTGGATTCTTATCTATTAGAACAGCCTGCTTCTATTTTCCTTGCATGATAAAGGTCTCTGTGCCTGAGTAGGAGTCTGCGCAGGCCTTGGCGAGCATTAACGAGGATGAAAGTGAAGTGTTTCTTCAATGATCATTTGGAGAGTTAAACAGCAGTGCAGTCAATGATGATGACTTCATGAGTTATTGATAGGATTGTTTGCTGAGATGTTGCTAGAGCACAACCCTTGTAAATTTAACACTACAATATCCATATGAGACGTGATTTGTTCATCTCTCCATGTCTTTCCCAGACCACTGCCAGGGCCGCCAAGTGTGCCACATCTCTGAGGTTGTTGACTCCTTTGGCGAGCAATGTCCGCAGTATGGGAGTTACCTTTCTTTGGAATACCACTGCATAGATGGTAAGTCAATGTGATATAAACCATGATCAAATATTATGAATAAGGATAGTTTTCTTTCTGCTGTACAGGTCATGCAGATGTATGAGGTTCCCATCTGTTCAGTGCAAAGTGAAAGATGCAGTGATGGTGTCTGATGTCGCAGCTCGAGTCATTCAACCAAGTTCATGTGCTAGTTCACTGTTTCCAGAGTGATAATGATGATTACGACATTAATGTGTGCCTGTGAATGTGCAGTTGACTCCAGTTCAAGTGCTTCATGCTCTGTAATTTTCTCTCCATAGCTCTCATACTGTCAGTGAGCTCTGTAGCTGCTGTTTATGAAGCAGTCACCATCAGAGTGAAACGGCTCATGGATTCGCCTCAAGGACACCTCGACTGCAAGCTGAGTACTGGCGATGGGCATGTTATTGATCTGCATATTAAAGAGGGGTGAGTAACTTTGACCTTCAAATTGAAACGGCTAACAAATACAAAAAAGGAACTCAAATTTCCCTTGAGTCTCACATGGAGGCATTTCTTGAGTTGCACAGCATGTGTGAAAACAGAAACATATCTCATTATTCACATGTTTGGAGGGCACTCGAGTCTCAGTTGGAGACTTTGAGTTGGTTTGAATGGACTGGGCTTATTTATAGGCAGCAGATGTAGCTTTTATTCTGCTAATCAGGTCACACACTCTTGTTGTTACATTAGTGTGAATTTATATTCATGCATTCAAAACTCTGTCATTCCAGCAGATTTCTGGAAATACAAAGCAAGATTGCCTTTTAATGAGAGATGGGGGAACACTGAGCTGTCAGTTTATGGTGCTGTTTTATCAATGAGGTAACTCATAGTCATACCCCGGGTTCAGAAGAAGTCTTTTCATGGATGGTGCCTCTTCTAAGCATTTATTGTTGTTTTATAAACCAGTCCTTCTCTTGAAAGGAGAGAGAGAAGACACTTCTCTTCTAACCCAACCTCTTTGTGACAATTCGATTGTCCCCTGTCCATCCAGTAAAAGGTACTGAGATATGCCCAAATTGATCTGGGTCTTGTTCTTAAGCTTGTTAAAGCGGGGTGTGGTGTCCAACTTGAAGAGAGCCACATCCTTGAAAAGTTGTCTGACTTTAACCTGGATGCAGTATTATACTTAACTTGTAGTCCCCTCTGACATGCATGCATCCATCTACTGCAAGGAAACTAAACTATTAGCAACTGGTCATCACAAAATGGACCACTTGCATTGGTCCAAACTTAACGCATCAAGGCAGTATAATAAACTCTGATTTGAAGTCTATTTAGAAAGGAAACAGCTCTGGATGTTATTGAAAATTTGAACATTGCAAGTGAAATTAATCATTTTAATTAGGCCTGTTGCACAAATGGTGTCGGCCCAGCCTATTAGGCCTGTATCCAGAGTTCTTGTGGTGGGCAAGATCAAGATCACATGTTTGAGCATGTGTCTCTGTGTGATATTCTCCCAGGATCCATATGAACACTCTCTATATGTGCTTTTTTTCCAGGTTGGAGAGCAGCGTGACGTACGAATATTCACATCCAAACACTTTTGAAGTGGCAGTTGAGTGCACCCACAGCAACATACACGTTATCGCACAGGAAATGATTATCATTCAAGAGGCTATCACAGAGTTCAGTCCCATCAGGTGCTATAGTGGGAAATTGTCTTCTCATGTGCCCAACTGCAAAGCCCTTAATGGAGAGCCACTTCAGATTCAGATGGAAGTAAAAGCAGGTAGTTGCCACTTTGATCACAGTATGTATGTCTGTGATATGTTTTAAAGGGTTTTCGTGGGAGCGTGTCTTTGTCTCCTTTCCCCGAATGTGTTGTTTGAATACAGACTCTGTAAAAACTCTCTTTTGATATTGCTTTTTACAGGCACAAATGTGACGTACAGAATCCAGAAAGGTGAATTGTTGTCTGTTTTGCCGGTGGTCAGAGGAAATACCCCCCATATCGTCACAGTAGCTGCAGAAATTGTAAAGCAGCTTGGGCCCGGCTGCCATCAGCTGACTCTTCATGCATCTAATATGGTCACAGTTCCTGAAAAGTCTGCAAACCTACAGGTAACTCAGCAGACATCAAGTTAGGCATAAAAAAAAACACATGTTTTAAAAAGTTGCACGTCGATACGTCATTTAATTTTTATTTTTTCTACAAATGGGGGCGGTGGGATATGGAAAAGACAGTTTGAACTTTTAACATTTTGATCATTTGGGGAAGCAGTTGATTGAGGGGTAAAAGCCTCTCCTAATCAGAAATTAAATTCAACCTTTAATTATAAACTCCCGCCACATCATTAGTTGCATATCTGTAAATACCAGAGCACAGTGGTTCCATCACTCCTCTTCATTCTTATTCAGACCAAATCAACATCCTGTGACATCGAGTCTGAGTGAAAAAGTTGGTCTTATTATATTGATTAATGTTTTCCTTTTAATGCTTGAAAAAGTTGAGACAATGTATGATTATTAAAGTTAGGAAATCAGGCATATTTAAAGCTGTCTGAGTTCAAGGCTTTGTGAGTTAAATGAACAGCCACAAACATTTAAAAGTTATACAGAACTGTAAAGTGTATAAAAACAAATCAAAGCAAATCAGCTGCTTTTGTCTTTAAAGTGCAATTATCACTGTGACTCTGCCATGATAAGAAGTTTAGAAATTTTAACAACAAAGCAACCAAGTTCTTACACACCTTCTTGAAAAATACACAACTGTCTACCCAACCACTTTCACTTCAAAAGTCTTCAAATCTTCAAAAATCATTCCTACCCTCGTTTGAATTTTCTTTTATGATGTGTTTATTATAAACCCGTCGAGTACCACACCAAATCGTAACTTTAAAAACGAACAAGATGACAAAAACAAAATGTCAAAAACATTTTCTTGAAATGAAATAAATTGAGGGTGAACAAGAAAACATAAGACAGCTGAAGAAAGACAGGAAATAGGGGGAGTAGAGAGTCGGTTAATCAAAGTTTGAAAATATCCTCGCACCACATATTTGTTTGATGGCAAAGTTGTGTGCTGCTTATGAACTTTTTGAAAGTTTTCACCTCCTGTAAGTAAAACCCTAAAGCCTGATTTTTTAAAAACTTTTTATCTGCTTTTGTTGCTGCAATTCTCAAAATCAATGGAGTGACTACTTCAAGAGTGTCTGGGAACATGTCGAGTGCACAAAATTGCTGGAAACCAAATTTCTGTGAACATAGTCCTTCAGCTTTTACGAGAATTGAAAATCTGTACAGGGTCGATAAACTGCTGATTATTGAGAATTACTGAGTGAATAAAATCAAAGAGAAAAAATAAATAAAAATCTGCTTTTGAAAAAGTTTGGTAAATCTAATTAAATTTTATCGATTAAGCATTCTTAAAAGATCCTGTTTTTATTTTATAATCATATTTTTAATCTTGGTATTTTTCCTTCTATTGGCATGTAATTTGTTGCTCTTTTGGAAATGCCGAGGTACGAGCCGTTCTTCTGTCCCACTCAGCAAGTATGGAACAAAAGCTGAACCAAGAAAATGTCAGTAACAAGATGTTTTTGAAGGACTAATACAGTTTTTGAATCAAAGGTTAATCCAAACTGGAAGGCAACTAACAACACAACAAGCCTGAGTGCAAGCCTGAAAAATGAACATTTATCTGCACAGGAGACTCAGCCACAGTGCTCTCTCTATGTGACAAGTCTTAGCACTGAATTATGACCAACATGTTTGCTGTACTCGATATAAAGTTTCTGTATAAAACAGAAGATAATGAACTCCAATATAGATTTAAAATACACATTAAAGATTTCTTAATTTCAATCAGTGTGCTCCTTTTCTTTTGATTAAGAGTAGGGGAATTAAGAGCAAAGTGTTTCTGATTTAAAATGCTACAGGTGTGTGTGTTGGAGGTGGTATCTGGGCTTCAGGCCACGGTGTTGACCGACCAACCCAACTGCCAAGACTCTTCCCGAATTCCCATTGGTGTGTCGCTTCAAAGTGGGGCACCTGTTCTGCTCCTCTTCCTCCTGACTGGAGACAACAGCTCGTTCTCTGAAACAAGGGAAATGAAAACGAGGGAGGAAGTATTTCATATTGGAAATGAAATGAAAGGTACGTAAACACATAGAAACAGAGGAAAACCAGGTGTGAGGCAAAATACAACAGTAAGTAACAGTAACACTATGGCTGTTTTATGTACATTTGTTAACTTTGTTCGCTCATTTGATAGCTGTGCAGATTTTATTGGTATCCATCAAACAAATATCTAATAACTGTTTTTGAGTTACAGGCTCCATTCAGGTCAAACTCAGAGCCTGGAATGTCTTCTCCTCTTCTGAAGTGGACATGGATATATTTCCATCCTGTGGCAAGAACTCACTTGTTGAACAGTATAGATATAATAATCATTTGTTAAGGCTTGAAAACCAGCAGGTAAGTTATTATAACAATAAAACAAGATAATATTTCACATGTTGGAGTTCGCATATTTACACTCTCTCTTGTGATTTTTTTCTTCAAAGTTCTTCAAAGTCAAAAGCTTGGCTAATTCCTCTGTTCTGAACATCTTTTCTATTTTGCGTCGTTAATAAATCCTGCTTTTCATTTGTTTTTCTTCAGAGAAGAGGACACGCCCGAGTCATCAGATCCCCTGGATTAAAACTTTTTGCAGAAACAGTGGGAGAAATACCCAACGAAGACATGGTGATTACGCTCTCAGTGGATCCTAAGTTTGACATAGACCCAAAAAGGCGCTACGAGTGGTCATGCAGTAAGTCTTTGGCTTTTTTTCTGCTCTTTTTTTCAACACATTTGGGTCAATAGACTATGTTTATATAGCTCTGTCTCTAGTCTTCAGACCATTCAAGGTGCTTTTACATTACACCTTACATTCACATGGAAGAGGCTGCTATATGTAGAGCTCATCAATATTGCATTATCCTGTTCACACACAAGGAAGATGACCAATTCTACCACTGAGTCCTGGCACTAGGTCAGGCATGTCCAAACTATTCCACAAAGGGCTGGTGTGGCAGAAGGGTCTTTTTACGATAGTCACCGCACAAGAGAATTCAAACAAAGATCCATTATGACTCTGAAACTGTCATATGTTAATTCAGTATGATACAAGAAGGAAGTCGGTGATAAAATTGTCTCCCTGGCCAGGAGGAAAGCAAGCCAAAGTTCAATCAGGACTTGAGGGAGTAGAATTGATGCGAACACCTGGCGGGGTCCAATTTTATCTGCTGTTAACACTGTTGCAGGCTGAAAACCAGAAAAGACAGGGAGCAGAGAATCTTTATGCAGGCTGGCCCCTCCAGAGAGAGTATATCTGAGTCATTTTTTAACCTGGTTCAATCTGCAACACTTAGATTAAGCCTTATATATTCAGTATATATATCTATATGATTTAAAGTAAGCCTGTCTTGAAGGCTGTTGTGTCACTGCATCTGACTGTAACATATGCATGTTTGTATTCAGGAGGTTGCTTAGCTGGGAGACAAGGAAGAAGAAAAGGCAATAAGTGGTTGTGCGGAAAACTGTTTATATTGCTAGAAGTTTATGACAGTAAAAACTTGACAAATGGAGGATCATATTTTTCATGCAAGCAGCTCTTGTCTTAAAGGCCAGAGAGGGGTGAGCGAGGGGGCATTTGAATCTAGAAGCTGACAAACAAATAATGCAAAATATTCCTTTTTTTTTTTTTTTTTGCACACTGCACAGGAAGGTTGTGAATCATCTCCTCTCAGACTAAACCAGCACTATGTGAATTTAGATTTCCATGGTCTATGGTCCTTACATGACTCAATAATGAATATCATAATGAGTCCTATTTGAGTTTGAATTTAATTTTCTCTGTATTAAAATCACTTTCTCTGTTGCTTCACAGAAAACCCCTGTAATTGTCAAGGGAATTACCAAGGACAAGTACACACTGTTAAAGACAGTTGTATTCCTGATCCATTTCACTTCTCTAAGTATCATTTTAGTGAGATAGATCAGAATAATAACGATGTGAAAAAAACTGAAGACATATGCATCACCTACACCCCTAAGAAGGAAGCTCCAAGTTGGCTAAGGTATGTCATGGTTTTCAAAAAGCTTCGAGGACTGAGTCAAAAGTTGTCTGAAAGTCCAACCTGATATGAGCCTGTATTAACATTTTGATGCCTTTGGCTAAGAAAATCAAAAACTGTTGGACAAACTGTTTTTTTCCACTGCCATGTTGACAGTTACATAAATCACATAAATATCGAATTTCCCCTCGGGGATAAATAAAGTTCTTATCTGAAATGCTCAAATCAGTGCAGGGCGAGACTGTTTCAATTGACATTTCTATGTGGTGAAGCTTTTTAATATGTGCACACTGCTGTAACATGTCAGAGAACATGATCTTCCTCATTTGCTGCTGCCTAGTCTGTCATGCACCGGAGGCTGTAACCCTGTAGTGAAGGACCGGAGTGCTAAAATTGAAATGGTTTGTGAAGGGAAATCACAGTGTCCTCAAGTTGTGTGGTACATTGAGGACCCCGCTGATGCAAAGCACTGGGAGGTAAGTATCAATACTGTGAGGCAATTGAGAGACAGTTAGCTGTTAACTTTAATATTTTGCTCGCAAATTAATTTGCAGAAGGAGACAAAGAGCTGTTACGAAGATGCAAGACAGCGGCCACTTACAGCGAAGGCTCATGGTGGAACTCAATTCACGATAAATTATTCCTATCTTAAAGAGGCAAAGGAGACAGTCACTGTGGTGTTAACCTACAGTACGTATGCATAAAAATGGATTAAGAAAAGTAAAAATGGATCTTATAGTTATTGAGTTTTTCTTTCTGTTTTGCAAAATAAAACATTTTGTTATAGAATTTTTTTTTATACCTTTGTTTTCTTTTCATCTAGAAGAGGATAAGGATTGCTATTTCAAAAAAATTCAAATAGACACATCAACAAGTGGTAGTTCATCTTCATCCTCCTCATCCTCCTCCTCTGGTTCAAATGATGAAGATGAGAGTGAAGACACTGAAGAACAAACAGCAGAAGAATCTGATCGTACCACCGCACCCCCTCAAACTGCTGATGCCTCCACAACATCTGCTAACCCTGCTGCTACAACAAATAGAGCCACCGCTACACCTACATCTTCATCATCCTCTAACCCTGCTGCTACAACAAACAAAGCTACTACTGCATCTTCTTCATCCTCTGACCCTGCTACTACAACAAAGAAAGCAACCACTACTAGTGGTTCTTCAGCATCCCCTGACCCTGCTGCTACAACAAAGAGAGCCACCGCTACACCTGCATCTTCATCATCCTCTGACCCTGCTACTACAACAAACAAAGCTACTACTGCACCTTCTTCATCCTCTGACCCTGCTACTACAACAAACAAAGCTACTACTGCACCTTCTTCATCCTCTGACCCTGCTACTACAACAAACAAAGCAACCACTACTAGTGGTTCTTCAGCATCCCCTGACCCTGCTGTTACAACAAAGAGAGCCACCATTACTACTCCATCTTCTGCATCCTTTAACCCTGCTGCTACAACAAACAAAGCTACCACTGCCTCCTCAGCATCCCCTGACCCTGCTGTTACAACAGACGAAGCTACGACTGCGTCTTCTGCATCCTCTAACTCTGCCATCACAACAAAGAGAGCCGCCGCTACCTCCTCAGCATCCCCTGACCCTGCTGTTACAACAAAGAGAGCCACCACTACAGCCGCGTCTTCATCATCCTCTAACTCTGACCCTCTAACCCCTACGACTGGTTCTCCAGCATCCCCCAACACTGCAACTTCTCCTGATAAACAGATGAGCAGTAATACGGCTTCCACTACCACTGCTTTTAACCCTGCTGATACAACAAATGTTTTAACCCCCACCACTGTTCCCCCAGTACCCTCTGACGCTCCTCCTACAGCTATAACAACTAATACTGCTTCTACAGATGGTGCAACCTCACCAGTGAGCAACAGTTTGGATAAAATGAAGTGTGGCATATCACCACGTGGCGGAACAATCCTTGATCCATTCACAATAACGTGCAACGCAGAAACACCTTGTTTAAATTGTCAGTATTGTTTTAAGACTTCAAAGGGTGAGTTATCCAGTTTAGCAAACACAGCAACTCCAAGAGTGATATCCCGTATAGTTTTCAGTTTCAATTGTTTTCTGAATTTCGAGTTTTTTTCAGGTCAGCATCTTCGTTGCAGCGAAAACAACAAGGTGAAGTCTGTCTTTCTTCCCCTTGGAGACGAAAAATCCAACTACAAGCTTATTATTGAGGCAACAGCTAAAAGTAGCAGCTTTGTAGCTAGCACCACCTTGACTACATGGGTATGTGAAGAATTCAACATCATCTGAATGACCTAAGTTCACATAGTGATGTATTATCGAAAAGAAAAATAAACCCTTGGGCTGTAAATCACCATGTCTATTAGTTTTCTTTCCTGACTAAAAATATTCTAGATTAGCTTCTGGCTGTGAAGTTTGCTGTGCTATTGTGACCGCAGGGTCAGAGGATGCTCATCAGTATCTAACTAGTGGGCTAAGATGGAAACTTGTGGTGTTTTGTTCTTCTTTAAAGAGGTCTGGGTGTTATTGAGGTGCTTGACAGGTTTCCCCCTTGCATGACACTGTTTCGTAGAATCTTATATATGCAGGCTTTAATAAGTCAGTGGGTTCAAGAGTCTCTAACAGCCAGTTCCTTTGATCAGCACAGGATGCAAAAGTATTATGTAGGATGATGACTCACTCTGGAAACCAAAAGATATCTCTTTGTCCTCAGGTACTGAATTACAACCCCCCCTCAGGCTCTTCGGGGAGTGGTCTTTCATCTTCGCTGGAAAATGTCATAAATCAGCTTGAGAAGCAAGGTCAACTGACGGGAGAGACTGTTGGACAGATCTGTGAATCTGTTTCCAACCAACTGAACAGTGAATCAGACATATCAAACAAAGCTGAAAGGCAAAAGGTAAATACACTCTCAGGCTGTGAATATAAATTAGGTGGGTCAGTATAAACCTGTAAAATGTGTCTGATCATCCTAAAGAGATCGAGGACGCCTTGGTTCAGTGGTACCGTCTGATTAGAGAAACTCAAAACTGGAGGGAACTAATTTCTCCAGGATTACACCAAAACATGTTTGTGTGTAATGCACCCAACAATTAACCTGAACTCCGTCACAGTTGAGAGTCTTAATACTCATATATTCATGAAGGTCAGAGCGAAATCACCTCATGTTTTAACAGGATGAAGTACAATTTCTCTTAAGCAGCTGACACACCATAAACCTTTATCAGGGAAGAGTGGTGGTGGTTTATTTTTAAATAAGCTTTATTGCAGGAGCTGTAGGTGTGAGAGCAACACTTGAATGAACATGTGTGCATGATTTTTTCTTTTACAGCTTCGAGAGGAGATGCTGTCCATAATGACGAACACAATCAAAGAAGCTCCATCTGGTACTCCAAAGGAAGTTCAGGTGATGGCGAGAGGACTCTCTGCTGTCAGCCAGAGCGGCTCAGAACTCAGCCCTTCAGCTCAGGTACTACACAGTACATCTCACATACATGTTAGATAGATGGTATAAATCAATACTTTTTATTAATTCCTGATATGATAGACAAGAGTGCCTTTGCAGTTTGAGGCGGAATCCACAAGGGGAAATAACAGGACAGGGAGGGTGTCAGACGTCTTTGATAACTGGTATAGCACCTCCAGAAAGTATGAGAAAGTGATTATAAGACTTGATTTCCTACACCCAGGAAGAGGCTTCATCATTGTTTGCTGTGCTCAGCGCATCTCTCCTCCACATGGGTTTAGACAAAACTGAAGAAAACAAAAAGGAAGTACGCAATGCAGCCAGCAGCATCGTGGAGGGTGCAGGAAATATCCTGCAGTTTTCGTCCACTGTGAGTATTTCACCTGAAGATAAATGCTCACACTTACTCCTTACCAGAAACTTGATTCATTAAAGATAACATTCTGAAGATTTCTGTAACTTTTTTCATGAATTTAAAACATTTCTGCAGTTTTTGCTCATTCCAACATTATTTAGGGTCCTCACTGTTTCTCAGAATGCTCATTGAGCCCCTAATTTGTTCCAATCAGGACAGACACTTGAGTGGGGAATTTTGTGTGGAGTGTGAAAAATGATGTTCCTTATCTTGATTCCAAACAGCTGATTCAGGTTCATTTTAGTTTAGGTAAAGCTTACATAAAAATTAGGGTTCTTTGACCTTGTAAAATGGCAAGCAGACAGTTTGCTGAAAACATTTGTCTCTTACTAACCTGGTGTTGCCAGACCCATTTACCCTGGAATCGATTGAAGACCTACAATTGATGAAATTAACTAGTAAATGTAGAAGCATGACATAGGCCAGAACAGAAAAATAAACAGTAAGTGACATGCAGAGGGAAGAAACATGCCTTATCATGTGTGTACAGTTTTCAGTCCTGTTTTAGTGATTTAATAAACCCTCCAGCAGCAAAAGCTGGAAACAGTTGTTCCAGACTGACCTGCCAGCAAAAATGAATTTGAGTTGGCTGATGGGCCTGGAAACACCGAGACAGTTTTGAACTGTTATCTTGAGCTAAAATGTTGTCAGGAACAAAAAGCACAGTGCCCACAAGCATAGTCAGTGATACATGGTCAGTCTTCCCTGAAATATCCTTCTTGTCTGATCGCTGTGTTTAGCATAAAAAAAGGAAAATTAGGAAGTTCTATTTCGCCTCCGACTAAACGCTTCTTGTCATCTTCTGCAGAAAAACACATCTGATGCCCTTCTCAACACTTTGGACAATATACTGAGTGCACTGTTGGCATTTAAAGAAGCCGATGAGGGGCCAACTTTCATCCAAGAACCTCATATTAGTATGTCAGTTAACAGGTAAGCTACTCCTCACATAGGGTAACATTTTAACCTTTGGGCAGATTTTTGAATGTCAAATTTGTAGCAGACCACGGGACAGTTTTCACTCAGTCCATCGTAAGTGGGCATTTCTGGATCATGTTTATTCATGTTGCTGAAGGAGGCTGTGCAGAGATCACTTTTCCATAAAAAACCTCTCAAACCCTAACAAAACTGACTTCCTCATTGTGAACTCTCTTCATTTTTTCCCAGAGTGACACCTGGCTGTTTGCACAAAAAGGTAGTGAATATTCCTGACTGTCTCTGCAGCTCATTTTCTCTCCCAGTTCTACCCCCCAGTATGTTACCCTCAGATGAACCGGTGGACATACGAGTAAGTCAAGAAAGCGTTAATTTCTGAGAATCAGTGTTACCACAATAAATTAAGGTTCATAGATTCATATGTTGTAACTTTTTTGTGTGTTTTCATTAGCACTAAATCTAACAGATGGCTTTCTTTAATACTTCCCCTCTAACATAAGGAACAAGGTCTGTGCAGGATGGTTAATCAGTTACATCAGTGTATTTTTCATTATTTTTTTCCCCATGTAAAACCCATATGATATGCTTCTTTTTGTCATCTGTAGTAAGAAAAAAACAAATTTCTGCACCGTCAGGAAAATAGTGTGCATTGTAAAGGTAAAGGTGCGTTGAGTGGCTCTCCAAAAACATAAACATTTACCTCCACTTCCAGATGATGAGCTTGGACAAAAACCCCTTTTCCTGGCACGAAAGAGGGAACATCAGCGGCTTCATAGGTTCTTTAAGTCTTACAAAAACAGATGGCTCCCTAATCTCTGTGGAGAATCTGAGTGATGATGTAGAGGTCAGTGCGTCCTATGATCGATTTCTTTGCTGCACTATGCTGTAGAGAACATGAGCTGGGGGACAAATCATTGTTTTCAGGCTGCATTTATGTTCACTCACATAAATGTAACATGTATTGAGTGTGGTACATTAGCACAACCCTCGAGTCATGTCAAGTGTGACTGAACACGAGCGTTTTACCTGAAGAACTCCTCTAATACATGTCAAGGAGGGAATAAATTATAGGTCCCTACGCACAGCCCCATGAATAATCTAGATCTTTGATCATGGAATTTAATGTGTAAGTGGTTACATGGCACAGCTCTGCACACTGTGCTTTTACACAGTTAAGTGAAAAAAAGGTTTTAATTCAAAGGAAACTCAAGGTAGAGGCTTGTGCACTGACGGTAAGAGATTCTGAGGTATATGATTATTCACATTATTCATAGAATATCTTGACGGGAAATCTTTAGCTTGTTCATGGCGACAGTGAAAACATATTAATACACCCAACCCATAACACTGTAGCTCATGGTCAAAATGAAGTCAAAGTTTTTTTTTTTCCTTTTAACCATCAAACTTTAATTATGAGGTTTGGACACAGAGGTAGGAGAAACAGATTAAAACAGTTTTCAAATGAATTAAAATCTTTATTAAGGTGTAAAAGAATGAAAGTGGAAAAACTATATGAAATGTTAAAAATTCAAATTAAATTTACCATGAAAAGTCTGATGCCCATGATCCCGTACAGCTGACACTTGTGGCCACATCTCTGTCTTGTCCTACTCTATCTGCTGTCCTCTCCTACAATTAAAAGCATAAAAAAGCCCCAAATGTTTTCAAAAAGGGACTTTAATTCATCTCCTCTCTTTTTATGTTTACAGATTTTTTTGCCAAGGCCTGTCGGAGAACAGCTGAACACATCCGTTTTGGACCTCGGGAACTACAGCACAACTGTCATTGACATTCCTTCAGCCAATGATACGCTAGTTTTAAAGGTTCACTATGATGTTCTAATCTGTGTTTCAGAGCAGGTCATAACTATTCACATCATATTTAAGTTAATATGCATTTTTAAAACTCCTTCATAGTTCTTTAACTTTGCTTTGTTTTTTTACATGATTTATCGATGTCTTGAGTATTTCCCTGCTGTGTGTTATTATTCCTTTTAAAGATGACGCCATCATCAGATCCACTACCCTTTAAAGTGCTCCTTGGTTACAATGACTACCCCACTGAAACCAACCACGTAGCAATGACAGAGATGCCTCACCAGGGGGAAACACTGGGTGATGAAACTTTTTGTGGTTTCTTTGATATGTTTTTAACAGTAACATGCTGTCGTTTGGATTTTTCATGCATTAATGATTGTTCCTGTCTGTGTCTTTTGCAGAAGAGAGATACACTTGGCTTCTTGACCCTGAAACTCTAAAAGGAAACACTGGATTGCATTATCTTGTTGTGAGGCCCATAGTGGGTCCAGGTATAAAATCCATCAATGCCAGTTTATGGATAACACCTATTACAAGCTCATGTAAATTTTGGGATGAATCAGCTTCTGATTGGAGCAATTATGGATGCAGGGTAGGTACAGGAAACCGACTGACATGTCAACTGCTGCTTAAACTTTATCAAACAGATTTTATTTTTGTCTTAAAAAGGTCGGTAAACAGACCACAGGAAAAGTCACCCACTGCCTCTGCAACCACCTCACCTTTTTTGGGGGCTCTTTCTTTGTCACCCCCAACCTTGTGGACCCATCACGCACTGCTGAGCTGTTTGCCACATTTGCAGAGAATCCTGTGGTCGTCTGTTTTGTGGGGGCACTTTTTGTGGTGTATTTATTGGCTGTTATATGGGCACGACGAAAAGACATTAAAGACACTGTGAAGGTACTGACTACCTCCTGAACTCTTTATAATCGTACCTATGCCGTAACCTTTATTTTGCGGTCTGGTTGGCAGGTGAAGGTGACTGTGCTGGAGGACAATGACCCAATGGATGAGTATCGATACCTGCTGAGTGTGAATACAGGGCATCGCAGAGGGGCATCCACCTCCTCCCAGGTAAATAAATGAACATAAACATAGATCTCCAGGTCCTTGTAGTTCAAGATCAGAGTGGTGCAGGGATTCGCAACGGAAAACCAGGTGAAATGAGCACACCAGAAGTCAGACAATCAGTGCCAGTGCAACATCAGTTGTCTTACTTTGGTTCTGTCTTAAATTTCTGAATGCTGAATGCAAAATATGTCAGTTGGGATGTTGTTTAAATCATGATCCTTTTCAAACAATATTCAGTTGAATACACTAAAGAACAAAATATTTAATGTTCAAACTGATGATCTTGATTTTAAAAACCTGATCTCCTCTTTCTTTTACATACTGCATGATAGTAAAGGACTCTCCAGCTTTCACAGACTGAGGTGTGAACTTTTTCAGGTGGCGATAACTCTTGTGGGCACAGAGGGAAACAGTGACCCGCATCACCTGTCAGACACAAAGAAATGTGTGTTTGAGAGGGGTGCTGTCGATGTGTTTCTGCTAAATACACCTTTCTCACTGGGAGACCTGCAGGAGATCAGACTGTGGCACAACAACTCAGGCAGCCGTCCTGCTTGGTAGGTTATTACAGAAATGCCACGCTTTCCCGAGCTGGTAGAACATGACCCCTATGACTCTGTGAACATCTTATATAATAGGAGCACAGTCTGATTTGATTTGCAATGACCTTCACGCTGCAAATGATCGCTCCGAAAGAACCAACCATGGAACATAATGCAATTTTCATTGTGGAGCCTTGAAGACTACCAGCATATTTTGGTTAATTTTGTAAAAAATAAAGGTATTTGTGATATAATTCATTTTTAAAGTCTTGTTTCATTGATATTTCTCTCATTTCTGTTAGGTTCGTAGGTAATGTCATGGTGCAGGATTTACAAACAGAGCAGAAATGGCATTTTCTCTGCAATTCCTGGCTGGCTATAGACATGGGTGATTGTTCCCTGGATCAAGTTTTCTCTGTTTCATCGGAGGAAGAATTGAAAAAGTTCAGGTAAGTGAGCAGTCCCGAGGAAAATGAGCAGCAAAATTATAGACACACTGTTGGAATCAAAAGGCTGAGGAGGAAACCCAACCTGTAATTTGATTTGAATTGGAATGACTGGAGCGCAGATTAAATGCAAATGAAATGCAAAAGACGGTTTTGAGTTTACATGTTTACTCCAAGCTCAGTTTTTGAGCGACGTCTGGAAACCAGCTGAAAGGATGTGGTTTTCAATTATGGTGTGATGAAAGAATAAAAGTGCACGGCCATGAAAATCGAATTAAGGAGAAGATTTTATAATGTCATATTTGGAACAACTTTCCTGAGGATACTTTCCAATGTTTTTGTGTTGTTCATGGCATTTTAGACTCATACCTGATAGAAAAACTGAATAATAAAATTAAAGGATATTAACGGTCGCAATGTCAAAGTGGCGATTTTCTAAACAGTTTTGCTCTCAGCTCGAATAAAGTAACCTAACAGAGTTACAACAGGGAGGACTTAACAGTCTTTATAAGTGATCATAAGAATTCACAGCAACTTATAGTTCTGCCTATTTAGTGTTTTAAGTAGTGAATACGATACCTCATGTAAGTCTGAATTTTAATGTATTCTACTTTCATGCAAAACTAACAACAGTGTCTTTTAAACAGTGTCTGGTGTTTTTCCTGCTTGAAAAGTTCATGGAGAATTCATTCAGGGTACAAACAAAACAAATCCTTAGTTGCATGTTGACACCTTTCAACAGCTGTTTAAAACCTCAAACCTTTATGCGCATTGATAAAATCTTTATTCACTTTTATAAAGTGTATTTGATAAGAAAGGCCTTTGGAAGCTTATTTCTGCTTTATTATAGTCTTCTTTATTTCAATCCTTTTGTGAGCTTAACTTCTACTTTTTTCAGTAAAGCACTTTGATAGGTCATCACCTGTTTGAAATCTTTTATATAACTAAAGCTGATATTGATCATGATATTCTTTATTCTCTTCTTAAAGCCTGTTTTTCTGTAGGATCCCATTTTTTAATGTTGTATCTCTTTTAATTGCGTACATCATTTTATGTCTTGGCCTTGATTATTGTTGCTGCGTTCTTGCTGACGTGTTCTCATACTTCTAAGGGTTTCTAAATAACTTTTGGTGTACGAAGAGGTGGGTGAAGTATTTCAGATGTTCATCTTCACAATGTTTTTGTCCTACAGTAATCTGTTCTTCACCAAGACAACGAGAGACTTCAGTGACGGTCACCTCTGGTTCTCTGTGATCAATCGGCCTCCAGGCAGCAACTTCACTTGTGTTCAGAGAGTTTCCTGCTGTTTCTCCCTGCTGCTCTGCACCATGCTGACCAGCATCATGTTTTACGGCATCCCAACAGATCCGTCTGAGCAGACGCTGGACCTGGGTAAGAAACACAGCTCCATTTCAGTTTAATCGAATAGAGAAAGTGATATTGATCTTGGTACAACTTTTGTCTGTAGTTGAAGTTGTTTGGCTTCATGTGATTTATCATAACAGTAAACAGTAAAGTTTCACTGAGGAAAAGGCTTTTATAGGAAACGAATGACTTTGACCGTTTCTGTGGATTGTGTGATCTGGTTGTCCCTGACATTGCTGTGACTATTTAGAAATAATACTAACTGGCTTTGACCAATCAGAATCAAGTCAGAAGATGTTCAAACTGCAGACACACTCATTTCCAATGCAGCAAATCTGTTTGAGATCTCAACATAATCAGTAAGAAGATTCAGATCATGATAGATAAAACTGAAATAGAAAGAGTATATGATGATACATTTCCTCGTATTGATTATATTAGAAAGAAAATATCTAAGTCCATTGCTATTCTGTATAAATCAAGAGATACTCTAAATTCAAATTCTTTACTGAGATTGTATAATCCCTTATCCTTCCATACACTGTTTACTGTGTGGAGGCCTGGGGAAAAGCATACAGAACAATCACTAATCCCATTCTTTTATTACAGAAAAGAGCAGTCAGAGTTATCAATAGAGCCGACCATCGAGAACCAACAAACACATTTTTTATACCTGCTTAGATTTTAAAATATCACTGTTGATGTTCAAGGCACGTAATAATCTGTTGCCACACTGTATCCAGAGGTCGTTCCTGGATAGGCGAAGTGATAATGCACTGAGAGGGAGCTGTATGTTCACAGAACCAAAGAGTAGAACAACAAAGACGTGTTTCAGTCTATGGGGTCAATCTGTGGAACGCTTTGGAAACGGAAATGAAGGAGTGCAGTACATATAAATTATTAAGAAAAATATTGAAGAAAAGGTTGCTAATGAAGTATAACTGTAATGGTTAAGTATCTGTGTTTGTGTAAATTGTCTTTTGGAAATTTAATAGTCATCATAGGTCCATGTAAAGGTATATTCATGTTTTTCTTTTACGGCTTATCTGTTTACTTTTTTGTTTTGTTTGGCTTGTTTGTTTTTTGTGTGTTTTTCTTTTTTTCTCTTTTGTCTTAATGTTTGGAGCTCAGTAAGGAGCTGACTGTAGCGAGTTGAAAAGGGTAGGCATAATAAGCTACAGCCTGTACCTTTTCGGTCTGGTTTCATTTAGTGTTTTTGACTGTATTCATATTTTGAAATAAGTGACCGAAATAAATAAATAAACAAACAAGTCACCAGATCGAGATGGAATCAATACTTTCGCCCTCTGATTTTGCAAAATCAAAATTTCTCAGAAAACGCATCGTGTAAACTGTTTTCCATTAAGCCTTCACTTTGATAACTGCGGCACTCTCTTTCGACCTTGTACTTTTTGTTTGCTCGCTCGACTGTCATCAGTGTATCCTAGAAAAGTTTGACACTGGCTGAATCTGCTTTTGTGCTGGTTCACTGCTCCTGTGTGCATACTTGTGTAAAAAAAAATAAAAAAATCTGTGCAGTGTTTTCTCTAGCCAGAGTCGAGGGGAAGCAAAATGAAAAAGGCTTTTTATCACACCAGCTCTTCTTAATGAAAAAATGCTCAGAAGGGTCTGAGAGCGTCAGAGCTTCTTTCACAACGAAGTTGTGAAAGAACATCTCTGAGTACATCTTACACAATCTGCTTTTTCCTTTCTTCACCTCTTTTTTTCTAGGTCACTTTGAGTTTACCTGGACGCAGTTCATGATAGGTGTTCAGAGTTCCCTCATCATGTTTCCAGTGAACATCCTGATTGTTAGTATTTTTAGAAGCACTCGTCCTCGGGAAACATCCTGTTGCAAGCGCAAAAGAGCAAAACCAGATGCTCTCGACAAGCTTTCTGTCTCACAGACTGTTCCCACCGACACAAATGTCACTTTAGACACCATCATCAAGGTGAGCACTTCATGTCTTATGTGTCATGTTGCTATTAAAAGCCTCTGTTAGGAACTCTTGGTTTGTGTTTTATCACTTTATTTGTACAAAGCTGCACAGTTTATTTCTTTGTTGATCTTGTCCGGTACTCGTTCATCCAGCAGGAATATGTCTTGTTATTTACATTGCATAAAACATTTCCATTGACAGTTATGTTAAAGACGGTGACTTGGTCTCCTCCTTTAGGAATATAAACACTGGCTTTTTTCCTCTTCATCATTAGTATCGGCATCGCCCATTAAAACCTGCTATTGGTCGAACCTTAGCTCTTACTGTGCAGAGTTACTAGCTGTTATCAGTGGGTTTTGATCCCTCGGAATGAAGTATTAGACACAGCTGGGGGATTAGTAAGAAAGCCAGGGAATAAAAACAAGTTAAAAACTCTTCACAGGAGCTTTAAAGTAAATCTGGGATTGACAGCGGCCCTCTTTGCAAATATTGAGCTCATGAGGATTATACTTGAAAGTCTGTGCGCTGTGTTGAATTCTGAAAATAGATGAAGTATTGGCACACCAATTTCAGGTCTTAAAAGCCCACTGACTGAGATAAATACAAAATAATGTCTGTAATTCAACACTGTTGATAGTGAAGGACTCAAATATCCGCTTTTTCTGTTCACCTATTTTCTCTATGACACCCACTGTTTGGATCAATCATCCCTTAATTAAAAAAAGTAGTTTGCTTTTATCACAGCCCTTGGACTTCTGTGGCTGTCAATCCCTGTCAAATTGGCATTTCCTCTGCTGTTTGTTAAAATTTCCTCCAGCGCTTGCACAACAAAGACTCACTTTTCTCATGTCTCAAATAGACAGAGTTTCAAGCACTTTAACGCGTGTGTTTTGCATCGTACGGTCATGCAGATAAAACATATGTTTGTGCTTTTTCTTTCAGGATATCACAAGAATCGCCCTTTCACTCTCAAAGACGGTGAAAAGCAACATACCGAGCAAAGAGCCGGAGTTTGGACCCGGGCAACAAGTTGATATAAATGCTGTTCTTTCCGTGGTGGAGGATTTCATCCAACAGAGCAACAAAACCAGTGATGCCAGCCTCTCCAAAACTCAGAGCCCCCACAATCCTCAGTCAACAGGTGTGTACATTCAGTGATATTTTATAGAATTGTGCCTTTTATAATGTTAACTGCTTCTACAATTTGGTCTTAGGTGGGTGTAACAAAGAGGTGAGGCCCTGTAACTTTCACAGCAAATCACCTACTTGATATGCCTCTGACAGATTTCATTCAGCAGTAAAGTGTGAGCTTTTCATTTTTATGCATAGGTTGTGCAGCAAATTCACCTAGTGGTTATCCCAGTTCCCCTATGCCTCTTTCACATACACACAAAGCTCCTAAAAATCTCTCAGAATTACCCAGGTCAGCTTTATGCATCAACAGAAAGAGCTGAGTTTTTCACCCCCGACTTCACCTGCAGTGTTTCCTGCTAGCCCCCCTGGTATCATTCCGAGTTGAGGTCAGGTGAGAACGCAGCAGCAAATCGTCTGGTTAATTCGCTGCGATTTTAGGGGGTCAATAAAAGAAATGATCAAAGGCTTTAAGTAAAACATCCTCTGATTAAAATTTTGCACACTTGTACTTAAAGTATAAATTTCTAGAAAATCAAAGTCATGTGTCATTATTCTTTTTCTCATTTAACATAGACATCTAGACATAGATAGGAACATAGACTGTAGTCCTTGAAGAGGGCAGACCGGTTCAAATCTAACCCTGAGTTATTCTCATCTCTTTCTTTTCAGTTTTCCACTCTATCCACTGTCCTATAAGAGATGAAAAACGGAGTGTAAAATTAATAGATCATTGTTCAGGTGATAGATCATTGTATTTTACTGAAACAGGACTGGAGCGAGTGTTCCCACTGAGTACAAAGCAGGTTTTTGAGACTCGTGACTGTTTGAAAGCTTCTGAAAAGAGCTGATTAGACTCAAATTAGCCCTGAGGCTTCACAAATTAATGCAAATGCCACTCAGTTTGTCATGGAAATGTTCCAAAGCTAGATTTATGTGAATGAACCTGAGCGAGTATTTGTTCTGCTTTCTATTTGAGCATGGCGTGCCATTGTGCATGAAATATGTCCCTGTAACAAACTTAAACAAGTCACTGAAAGGACACAGTGTAACAAGGTCTTATTGATGTGCATTTGCAGATAGCAGCGGTGCTGTGCATTCTGGGTCAACGGATGAGGGGATTCAGAGGAAGAGCAACAAAGCCCAGTATCTGTACCGGCAGCTGTGTCACATTGAGAGGGAGCTGAATCTGCTAGGACCCTCCGGCTTTCCAAACCCACACAGCTATAACCAGGCTGTGCAGCAGGTCCAGGGCATGAAGGGTTCTCTCGATCAGCAGTTCGAGTTCAGTTCTGTTGAACTTCATGAACCTAAGAAGAAAAAGTAAGAAGGCCAATTGGATGAAAAGACCACATGAATGGATTTGTATATGTTCACTTGTTATCCTCAGACTGTGTGTTTTGTAAAGAGGGCTCTAGCGCTTTGAAACTCATTTTATCTCAAGTCTGATATTTATGCTTTATTCAAAGTCAGAGGATGCTTGCTTTATCAAATTATAGAGGCAGGAAGCAGGAGAAAATGACCAGCCTGGCTGTTTCCAAAGTCCAACAACCTCCAATCAAACCCAATTAAACTAAATTTCATATCCAAGTTCACACACAGAACCGCAATCACTTTTCTATCTCGTACTAAAAAAACAGAACTTTTTAGATATATTTTCCAGTAAATATTGGATAAACTTTGAAATGTGGGTTTCAAATTTTACTGCCTTTGAACAGATTCAAGCCAGCTGTTTCTCATTTTTCAGCCTTGATGCAGGGTTAAATAGCCGGGCTGCCAATTTACGCTGAACGTGGAATGACTGAGTGATTGATCACTGAATCATCGCTGGTATTGGAGAGTAGTTTTTTATCCAACTGGTACCGTGAAAACAAACTATTCATGACTGACAGCTTATGCAGTGTGTTGCTTAAACTGAACCAGAGGGGACCCAAATTAATCAAACCCTTATTAGGAGTAATTTTACAGCTGAAATTAAGCATTAAAGAAACGGGTATGTAAATTATCTCCACTGACTCGTGATAAAAAGCCTCTGATACGTTTCAGCTTTAATGAACTGTGTTTCTTGTTTTCACATCATATAACTTACTCATGTTGAGAATGTGAATATGTCAGACGCCAAAACAACACCATTCATGATCAGTAGCAGTTTGAAAGAGGATTAGGGCCACAAAAAAAGAGAAAAAATAAATTACAGGAGGGAGATTTTTTTAATTTCCATTTCGAGATTAAAGTCAGAATTTCGACTTTATTCATGCTAACTTTTTAATCTCTAAATTTTGACTTCAATTTCAAAATTTTAGTTTTTTTAATCTTGAAATTTCAACTTTATTGACATAATTTTGTTTTGTTTTTTAATCTCTAATTTCCACTTTAATCTCTTTCCTCTATTTTTTTTTTCCTCTTCATGTGTCCCTAATCCTCTTTCGTAGCAGTTGTATGAAGGGAACATTTTAGTGCTGGATTTATAGATTGTACCTGTGAGTAACTCTCTTGTGTTCATTCTGTTTGTTCACTCACAGGTCGAGCTCTGAAGACTGTCCTGATAGCGATGAGAAGCAGAAGAAGAAAAGTCGGTGCTGTCACGGAGGCCTGCCCTGGTGGTTTGTTTTTGTCGGTTGGCTGCTTGTGATATCAACCAGTGTCGTATCAGGATATTTCACGATGCTTTATGGTTTGAAATTCGGAAAGGATCGCTCAGTGAGCTGGCTAGTGTCCATGGTCATCTCCTTTTTTCAGAGTGTCCTGGTCATTCAGCCTCTAAAGGTGAGAAGGAGCTGATTGTCAAAACAATGAATCTGTTTCATTTGATTGCTTGGTTTTAAGGATTCATGTAGTCCAACTCTTCTCAGGGATAATCTCTTAAAGGTTCATGTAAGATATTCATTTGTATTTAATTTGAATCAATTTTTTATCCAAGGTTGTATGTCTGGCAATCTTCTTTGCACTTGTGATCAAGAGAGTGGATGACGAAGATTTTCAAAACCTGGCAGTTGAAGGAAATGACAAAAATCAAGGTAGAAATTGATACTTTTAATTTTATTCAACACAGATTTTAATGTTAAAATAATCAATCCAATCACCGTTTTTGCTTCAGGTGATTCTCAGGGCCAACAAACCGTCAGACGGGATGGTAGTCTGTATGCACCTCCTCCTCCTGCAGACATCGAGAAGATGAAAAGAAACAAGATTTTAGAACAAAAAGCCTTTGCCCTCATCAGGGAGATTTTGAGTAAGCTTTAATGCAGATTTCGAATTTTTTTAACTGAGGTTCTTTCAGGTAAAAGATTGACATGCCCATCAGATCAACCAAAACAGAGAAAGATTTGATCCCAGAGTCGTGGTTATTGGAAAGTTTCTGCTCCAAATACCCCAAACCCATGTTACATTTATATTTCACATTCAGCAGATTTAGAAGATTCTGGTCTGATCACTGAGAACTAAAATGTGCCCATCTGTTTCAGTCTATATGGGGTACATGTGGATGCTGCTGCTGGTGGCATATGGACAGAAGGATCCCAATACTTTCTTCCTGAACCGGCACATCAGACACAGCTTCAGTAAAGGAATCACAAACAGTATGAGCCATGGGGAAGTCTTTGCCTGGGCCAACACATCTCTACTGAAAAACCTCTTTGGAGTTTATCCTGGTAAAAACATTTCCCCACATGTGGTTAGAACCATTGTGAAGAAATTCTGTTGTTTACCCGTGTTTGAATATATATCACACCAGGATGTTTATTCACTAAAGCGAGAAAGTCAGACCAGCTTATAATCTTATCTGCTGTGGGTGTCTTTCAGAGGGAAAAGGTTTAAACTGCTCCACAGTTGCGCCCTGCGAAGTCAACAACGTGCAGTTTCTGTGCAGCTATGGATCTGTTTGTAAAACCACCTATTTTTGCCGTGTGGAGTTTGCAATCCTGCGAGCTCATTTAGCTGTAGCTTTGATGTTTGCAAGGCTTTGACCCCAACCAATTTACCAAGAGTTGTGGCTCTGATCTCTGCTGGTGACTTGTTTCTTAATTGACAGGACATTTTAATTACAACCTGGACACCGTGTTCATGTTTCACACTGTCTTGGGTCAGGTGCTGTGCAGTCAAGACAGAGAATATTCATGATGTAGCTTCATTATACAGAAACTTAACTTTTACCTAATTAAATACCAGTTTGCATTTCATTTGGTGTATCAGTCGAATCAGTATTTATATTCAAGGTAAAGAAAAGGTTTTAAAAGTTAAGTGGTGGGCACCAAATTCTACCTATCATTAATGCAGACAGGGTCAAATTTTATTTAAGCTTGTTAAAATCTGAGGATACTACAGTTTGGCTTAATACCCTCAAAGCAGCATGTATTATAAAACCAACCCGTTGGATCCACACATGGTCCAAAATATCCAATTATCGAATATAATGAGAAAGACCTCGTTCAGAAGATACCACCCTTGAGAAATTTTTGGTTTGAATTTGAACCACAAGCCTTGAAACGCTGACATTAAAATACTTTCTTCCAGGATTTATCACCGATGGAAACTCTAAACTCATGGGTAACGCCCGTCTTCGTCAATTAAGAATCCAGAGGAACTCCTGTCAGACCGCTGACTCCATGCTCGGGTTTGCACCAGAATGTAATGCACCGTATTCATGGGAGGCAGAGGACACAGGCTCCTATGACCCTGGCTGGAACAGCTCGGCAGGGGATAATATCTCCTACAGCATGTCCACTTCATGGAAATACCAGACACAGGCTCAGCTCAGGGCTTATCCTTTCTGGGGAAAATTAGAGCTCTACAGGGGAGGCGGCTTTGTGGTGGAGCTTGGCCCAGATTTACAAAATGCTAGCAGGTACATACTTGTGTCATATAAATCCAAAACAAAGGTAAGAGAAACATTGTTAAAACACTCTTCTGTATTATTCACAGTACTCTGGAGGATCTATTCAGGAACAAATGGCTGGATTTATACACAAGAGCCATCTTTGTGGAGTTCACCGTCTATAATGCTAATGTGAATCTCTTTTGTATCGTAACACTCTTATTGGAGACCGCAGGCGTAGGTAAGAGTTTTTTCTCTGTCAGCGATACAGATCAGAATTTCATTATGATTAGTCATATTGTCTTCTATGTTGTTGTACCCCCTAATTACCATCAAAGCAACAGACCCTTTAAGTGAGACCATGTTGGATTAAACAGGCTCTTTTGGTTTTTTTTAACATTGTGTACAGGAGCATTTCAGTTCTACAGTGAGCTGCAGAGTGTGCGCCTTTACCAATCGACTGGGGCTCTGTACTTCTTCGTCATGGCTGCTGAGATCATATACATGCTTTTCATCCTCTATTATATGTGTCTTCAGGTAATATGGTGGGCTCATTGGAAGTGTTACATGAGCATATTTATTACCTACTTGTTTTAGTTTCTGACCATGAATTTAAACTACGTGACTGAATGAAGGCATCCTCCTGCTCTGAGAGAATTTTCAATCGAGCTCCTCCTGTCAGAGGCACTCAACAAAAACAGCTCTCCTCAGAGTCACTAATAATCTCCCGATGCAGGCTGACAGAAGAGAGTGTTCTGTTGTAAGTTGATCATATTGTTGAGAACAGTGTGTTCGTTCAGATGCTCACACTGTGGGTGGGTGTCTCTCTAGAGCTCCTTTTAAACTGCTTCTCTTTGTATTTGTCTGGAAGAACACATCGGATTGCTGCTAACTACTTAATAGGTTTCTTCAGTTCAAGTCCCGCCTTGTGGTGTCCCTCAAGGCTGTGTCCTGGGCCCTCTGTTGTTTGCTTTTGAAGAACATTTACTTAAACAGCTGCATACTGCATATAGTAGATCTTTTTTTTCAAAGACCCACTCTGATGAAAATCATGTTTTTCTTGTTGTCTACATGTTCATATGGCATTTTTCTGATGCTACAGGACATATCATGAGAAAACAAAATGCAAAATTGCTTTTCTGAGTGTTTCTTCATTCAAATCGCTGTGAATCTTTTGCAGACCCAAACGGCAGGTTCAGAAACAGTGAGATTTCAAATGTATCCGATCTAAGCTCCGCCCCCTTAAAGCAGGCCACACTCTGCATATCGAGGAGAAGTAAAGAGGACAATCGTGGAACAAGCGTGTGTTAGCGGATTGCAATACTCGTAAGAAAGTTAATTATGATATTAACTTTCATCATGTCCCTAAAGACATTAGTGTCCGAACAGCTCCTATGTTACCTGCCACTTCTACTGCACTGGCTATGTTAGGCTGCAAGTTAGCATGTAGATGAGTGTGCAGAGCAGTGCTGACTCCGCCCACGACTCAGAGGCAAATTGCTAATGAGCTACTGGAGCTCTGCAGAAGAAAAGCCCCTGAAAATGAAACAGGTAATGCGATTTTTGGTAAAAACTTCATAATCACAGTTTAAAGACCACTGAGAACACTTTCAGTCGTAAAAAAAAAAAGACTGAGGGACTTTAAGCAGTTTCACAGTACAGAAAAAAACTCCTCTGAGAAGTTTTCCCTCCAATTTTAGTTACTTAAAAAAATAGATTTCCGTCTGATTTTCTTTGTGATAAATTGCACAGGACACAAAATTACCCACTGCCTTGTTATTCTGAGGGTAGAACAGCATCTCTCTTTAAAATCATCTGTGATCTTCCTCCATAAATCAGCTCTTAGTCATACCATAATCACTCCTCTTTTTTTCTCTTCTACTCCGCTTAAAAACAGCTCCTTGTCTTACCTCAGTCACATGGTTTACTTTCCTCTGGGCTTTTTTTCCCCCCTTTTGTCAGTTGGTGATCATCATTTATTTTTTTATTTGGAGACAGTCAGGTTTCATCATGTGTTCTTTCTTGCAGTCCCGAAATAGCTTGTTATGTTACAGGGATACACAAATAAGCTTTTCTCAAAGTAACTAAAATGACTTCCCTTGTCTGAAAAGTACATTTTGTTCAATGATGGAGTACTGGAGGGGTATTATTCAACATTAATGCAAAGCAACTAAAAATCCTGTATTCATTCAGAGAAGTTCTAATGTAAGGTCCTCAAGAATCAGGGAAAAAAACATCCTTCCCTCGTTTGGCATGGTACTAAAGAAACTATTTACTGAATTTACATGAACATGGTTTTTCTTTTCACATATGTAACTGCCCTTGTGAAAGGGACTTTGCAGAACTAAAATTGTGCACGCAAACTCTCCCTCTTCTTCAAAACACGTGAAATAAACCCTCTGTTTTTTTCCTGGAAGGGCAAATTAATGAAGCAGCAGAGATGGGCCTACTTCAGGAGCAAGTGGAACCTTATTGAGCTGACCATCATCCTGCTGAGCTGGAGCGCCATGGCCGTGTTTATAAAGAGGACTCTGCTTGGAAACCGTGATGTGACATATTACCAGAACAACAAAGACCAGTGAGACCAACTCACCCTGAAGTCTCCAACACTTGAGCGTGAATTTGTTGATCCACTTCTTCTGCTGTTGTGTTTTTGTAGATTTGCCAGTTTTTACGAGACAGCTGCAGCAGACTCGGCGCTCCAGTATCTGATCGCCTTCCTGGTCCTGCTCTCCACCATCAAACTGTGGCACCTGCTCAGACTGAACCCAAAGATGAACCTGATCTGTGCTACACTGGAGAGAGCCTGGAGTGACATTTCTGGTTTCCTTCTGATCATTGTGATTATGGTCTTGGCATATTCAATTGCAGTGAGTGTCCTGCTTTTCTTTTTCACAAGCCCTTTCTTTTTTGCAAAAACCCGGGGTTGTTCCACCAAGTGAACAACTTTTATTTTATACAATTAATGATATAAGATTTGATAATAAGGTGCTAATTTGAGGGGATAGTGAGGTTTCACACATGTTAAATCTTGGTTGGTTTTTATGTGGCTTTCTTCTTTAAGCTGTGCAGTAGCAAATTCACAGCGAAGTTAAAGACACTGTTTTCAATTTTTCTAAGTGACAAATTGGGAAAAGCAGGGAAAGAAAATAATTGGATTTTTTATACTCTCTGAGGTGGAGGCAGTTTAATAAAACTGTAAGAAGAACATAGTGAAACAAGGGCCACTCTGAAGGTCAACATAATTTATAATAAATAAAAATCTGCATAACTTGATATATGCACCAAAATCAAATTTACCTCAAAGTGAAGCTTTTTATGCAAATCAGTTGATTCCAGTGTGTACATCAAGCCACATGGGTACAGAGCATATAAGACCCCTCCTGTGAGACTCATAACATGCAGAGAGAGTTGTGGTTCTATAGGACGGCATCTCGAATACACTCATGAATTTTAATGCCATCATTTGCTGTGCATATAGTCTAGAGATAGAGGTGTTTCATATATGAAATGCTAATGAGATTCCCTAATTTTATTGTCTCCGATATGCCATCAACTCTCTTCAGAGCAACGTAATTTATGGCTGGAAGCTGTCTCATTATCGGACCTTGGCCGATGCTCTGCAGACCATCATCCGCTTGCAGATCGGTATCTTCAACTATGATGAGGTTTGTAAGATCCCTCCACTCTCAGAGTTCCTCTTAAATACTTAAAAATACCACTTCCCTGAAAAAGAGGCTTCTCTTCTTCCTCTCCGATGTGGATTTTTGTGAGCTGTAACTGAAACATGTGTCTGGCTGTTACATTATTCCAGGTGCTGAACAGCTACCCCTGGCTTGGTGGATTACTCTTTGGCTCCTGTACTGTCCTCATGTCGTACGTGTTGCTCAATCTCCTGGTCTCGGTGATTCTTGTCGCATTCACTGAGGAGCAAATATATCATAAGGTACCTTTCTCCCCTACAAAAACATCACAAGTAAAAGATTGTAATGCTGTAAAAGCTGAACTGCCAGGCTGTCATATTTCTACGATTTTTTTTACGATATATCACCAAGGGATACGCCGAGAATTTCCCTCAAAAATTGTCGCTTTTCTGAGTGACAAATGAAAAAAGAAACCTCAGATGTTATCAGATGAAACTGAAAATAACATACAAACACTTCAAGCCATATCACAAGCAGCTCTCTCTCAATTCAGCCCTTTCAAAAACTGAAATTGAATCCAAATGCAGTGTTGGAGCTTGTGCCTCTTTAGGTGACTGCTCTATTGAACATATATACATAGTACAATTATCTTGTTTACCATGATGGGATTTTCTTGGGTTCTAACTGGTCGTCAGGAAGAGGAATCGAATGATTTAATTTGGGGATCAACAACATACGAACTGTTGCAGCTAACTGCTGTAGATACAAAGAATCTCACATGACGGATTTCAGGATTTATAAGCTATCTAAAGTGTTCCCTTATTTATCTAACGACAGACAGCCAGAGTCGCATCAGGAAACCTCTCCAAATCCTGATTGCTCCACTTAAATTCCTTTTTTTTTCTAATGCTAATTGTGTCCCAACATTATTAAATATTTTGAGTACTTTTAGAGTGCTTTAGTCACAGTCCCCTTCAATGGCTAACGCACAATTAAATTATCCATCACTAAAAACCTCTCAGTCTGGACCCTGATTTGACAGCGTGGCCTTTTTTCTAGTGGGAAATATGATAATGACAATGATTGCAAAAGCCAAGTCACAGCAGCAGAGGGAACGCACACTTTCATTATTATCTCAGCGGGCTGTCTTGTTACCTTGTTGCCGAGTGAGATCTTAATAGCACTCCTATTTTTGATGTCAATGTCTTAAAATAAAGAAACAAATTGAGGCCATTGTTAAAGCTCTAAATGGGATACATCAGCAGCTCTTTGGAGAGTGGAAAGAATCTTCTGTCACTTTGAAAATCATTGTGCTGTTTCCATTTCTTTCTTTTTTTCAGCCATCAGACGAAGAGGAGATTGTGGGTGTAATGCTGAAGAAAATCTTCAGCCTTTTTGGGATCAAATACAAAAATACTGCAGACACAGTGGAACCTGATGGGAACGGAGACATTGATGTGACTCTTAATAACAGAAATATCCCAAACTGATGTTTAGATGATGTCAACTTTATTCAGACATCAGACCACTCTTTCAAACCCCCTGTAGGTTCATAGTTTTATTTAAGTGTTTAAACATTTTATTGCACCACTGTCCACTTGTTGGTATGTTCATTTTTGGTTTGTTTTTGTTATCCACTTCAAAGGTCAGCAATCACAGTGCAATGAAAAATCATTACCCAAATTAATACTGCTAAAGAACACAATACAGAGAATGAACGAAGAAGAAATAGTTTCTTTAAAGTGTTTTTGGCTGATTTTGACTGAAAAATGACTGAGTTTAAATCAAATTTTAAGAGATCAAAACTAGAAAATATTTGATTCAAGATAATGGAGATTTGGTAAATATACTCATAATGTTTGACAAAAAAAGAAATAATAACTTTCAGTCTAACAGAAACAGCAGTACCAACCAGCAAATACAGGTTTCCAGATGAATTCTAGGTGATCATCATCTTTTAAAAGGATATTCTGGCAGAATTAATTTAGGGTCAAACACACCGTAACACCAAGTTAAACACCCCCTCAAGAGATGAATGTTGCCGACTGCTTGCTTCTCTAGTTATACCAACTTTAGTAACGACCACAGATAGCAATACACAGCGGTCTGAGGAGCCACAAACAAACCTCAACCAAAACACCACACTATAGCCACATTACGGACTACAGCGGGGTGACACAGCTCAAGGAAGAACATTTATGATCATAACTATCATTTCCTTTAAGTAATAATCACCATATTAATCATTTTGCACTGCAGACGCGGTAGTTCGTCTGCCTTAGCGTCTCAGTCTGATTGCATTTCCATGAAGAAATGATCATAAATGTTCTTCCTTGAGCTGTGAAACTCCACTATGGTCCATAATGGACTGGCCTGAGCTATTGCTACAAACAAGCGGCTGCTGGAAGAAAGTAGGTTAGTTGTGTTTAGAAATCAGGCAAAGCTAAAAAGATGTTTGGTGGCTAGTACTATGGCTGGGACTCTATATGTCCTGTTGATGAAGTTAGGTGCTGTTCTGAACATTATTTGTGGTTATAGAGTGGCGTTTTGGTTGAGGTTTGTCTATGGCTCCCCAGACCACTGTGTATCACTATCTGTGGTCATTGCTAAGGTTGGCATAACTAGAGAGGCAAGCGGTCGGCAACATTCATCTCTTGAGAGGGTGTTTAACTTGGTGTTACAGTGTGTTTGACCCTAAATAAATTTTACGCCCGAATATCCCTTTAAGACTGTCTGATAAATCCAAGACGGCTCCAAGACTCTGGCATGTGCTCTGCTGGATGAGCTACCAGAGCACTTTTCTCTGTCAGCTTGCTTGGCCTTCCACTCTCCAGCTAACCTCCTGATTGCTGGAAGTTTCCACTTCACTGCTGCAGCGCTTGACAAGGGCCAATCCAGCAAGGCGGAAAATGGCCGATAAAGGGGTTTTTGTTATTGGTATCCCAGCCAGAGTGTCACGGTTGAAGTAAGTGGGCTCTTAACTCACAGCACTCCACTAAGTGTTGTGATTTTTCCTTTTTTTTTGGTCCTAATTTCATACACTTGATTTATTATAAAAGTCATCCATGTATTTTTGGAAATATCGCTAAACAGATTGTCTCCTTAACGTCTTGAACGTTGTGTAAAACGATGGCTTGTTGTGACCGCCAGAGAAACTTAATGCTTAATTAAGTCTGCAGTCAGTCGTTTAAATATGTCCCTCTTGAGGTAAGTAAGCGTGTGAATTAGTGGGATGAAAAGGTCACATTTTTCACGGATCCATACTGGAGATGGCAGCAGCTTATTTGTGGTTCAGCTGCAGCAGATACATACAGAACATAAAGTGCTCTGATTACAGGGAAGCCACAGAGATAACACAGGCTGCCATCACTAATAACAGCCACTGCTCTGTCCTCTAGATCTCTGAATATAAACATTTTAATATACATGTGGCTGCTGCTAAGACCATTTTCACTGGCAGCATTTCTGTCTAATTTAACTCTGTGGCTTTCTGGTGTTCAACAAAGTCTCGGAGAAGATGAAGCAGATGGCTGTGTGTGAGAAGTTAACCGAGGGACTAATTTGCATCCTAAACATTCAGTTTGAAAAGACTAAAAGTTTGAAAATGGCTTCATTAAGAAACAAGAAAAAAAAAAAGAGGTAACTGTAAATCTTCTATGGTGTTAGAATTTCTTGTTTTGACTAACAGATGGTACCCAAACCTTTACAGAAGACTGGAGATGATCCTGAAATGAGGTGTTTTATTTATGAGTGATGCAAATCAAGTTGTTTAGTTTGACTTTGGGAACATGTTTGATGTCACAAAGACGGCATGGGAGTAAACCCTTAAGGTTTCAAAGCTCTGTTTATTCTCAAGAGGCCAGTTCTAAAGTCACTGCATCCCCATAAAGAGAATATTAAATATATTAATATATTATGCAGCCATATTGATCTATATCCTTCAGCACCCTATATTTATCTGCACGACTGTGACGTAAATCTGGAAAGCACTTAAATCCATGACTCAGAGGAAGCCTTATTGAGCTTGATAAAACATACCCAGCTGCACAAAACAGACTCTTATTGATTAAACATGAAGGAAAATGTGTGGAAGTATAAGGTCCCTTAGAAAGATCAGGGAAATACAGTTTGTCATGTTTCAGAGGGGCTTCAAAGAAGGGACTAGCATCAAAGCTCACAAAACATTGGTGTTACCTAAATGCATCAGCTGTGTTGTTATTTTAAACATCAGGATCTGTATCAGCTCTGATTTTCACTGTCCATGCATCTCTAACATTTTTGGAAGGAAGCAGATGGAAATGATAGAGAGACAAAAGTGTAAAATAAAACTCATTTGAAGTTAAAAGTTGGGTGGCCCAGGTGGAAACAGTTTAGTCTCTACTTTGGAACAGCTAGGAGGGCGCTACCTGAGGATCTAAGGCTGCAATCTTGTTCACAGGTGTTCAACATTTCAGATATGTAGCCTGGAGCCAAAACCATACAGGCTTTAAAAGGGATTAGTACAATTCCAAATCCCCTCTCGTAATAAACACTCAAGGATGTATTTGTGTAGCGGGACAGGAGTCGCAAATGTCTGACAGCTCCAACTGCAAAACCAAATGTTTCATTTGAAATCACAGCGTCTGCTCATACAATAGATGAGCCTCTATTTCCACCCACCAAGGCAGCCGTTCTTATAACTGTGCCGAGCTCGCTTTCTCATGTTGACAGGACTGACCTTCCTGCCCTCTCCTAATTACACTGTGACAGGATAATTCCATCCTCAAACACCTCTGTTTGCTCGGCGATCCAGTGGTGTCTGAAAGTCTTTGTCAGAGAGTGAGTCAGCGTTATCTCCAAATCAACAAATCCGACCACTTCAAAAATGTCTGATAAAATAGAACAGATATACTCCTATTGGCATCTGTATGATGGACATAAAGGCAGCCGGTGTGAGAGGTCAGCAGTGTCTGACAGCTGTTATTTTAGTGTGTCTGAGTGAGATATGCAGCAAGGGAACAATAACAAAATATTTAAGTTTGCAGAGTCATCCTCTGTATTAGTGAATGATTATTTTATTTTTAAGAATAAATCAAGTCCACTTATTGGACATTTGTCTAGAAAGGTACACACAAATGTACACAAAATGAAAGTTCCTCATACTAGCTTTAAATAAATGTTATTGATAATGTTTGTATTATTGAGACTCCTTTCATATTTCATATTTTTCACCATGAACCATTTTTTTCTTTTTCCTGGATGACATTTGAACTGATGTCCTTTTTGAGCTAAGTTCATCTTACTCTTACAGGGTTGGATCGATGATGTTTTAAAGCGCCTCCTCAAGCAAAGAGCTTCACAAATACCGGAGTATTTGGTATGTTCAAGAGCAGAGATTTCAGAGTGTTTAAACCTTTATCGGGTATTTTTGGTTTCGATTGACCTTGGAATGAGTACCAACATGCCAAAATGAAACAGTGAATAAAGCTTTCTTTCGAGTAAGGTTACCACTTGTCTCAACTGTTGCTTTTAAAGAACATTTTAAGCACCTTGGGACAAGTTTTATTTTATCAGAATCCTAACAATGGTTGAACATTTACAAAGGAAGGCAGATCATAGCGATGCAATGATCGGGGACTGAGTCAAGAAATCTGAGCTGCCTTTTGATGGGAGACGTGCAGGTAAAACACAAAATAAATCAGGGAACCCAGACCAGTTGTCCAAATCATCTTTTTTTTTTCTTACTGAATCTTTTGCATCTTTTAAACTGCCTCATGAACATGAACAGAATACCTCTACTTATGTCTTCAGAGAGTCTTCATGTTTGCCTTTTGTCAAATCTTTGAAATTCTGCTCTGGATTTGGCTCAGTGAAGGGTCTTGAATATTCCTGAGTCACTTTGCCCTTTTCAGTTTTCCTCTCCAGGGCTTGTCTGAAGCTTGACTTTGCCATCATGGTTCATTTACATTCAGTCCCAGTGCTCTTGACATATCTGTAAACAGATGATGTGCTTGTCCTGACATTATTCTCATGCAGTCTTCTGTGCCTTCGACTTCAAACCCCCAAAGTCTTTGAGCTGAACTTTTAACTTCCCCGTTGCTCCTCCCTCTGCATCCTTTGATCTTCAAATGTGTCGTGAATCTGTTGCATAAATCTCGATGAAGATACAGATAGCAGCAGTTCTTTGTCTGTTTGTAAAATTGAATGCCTCCCATCAGATCTTGGATATTGTGCAAAGGTTCTGTGGGCTCTTAAGTGTGAACTTTTTCCACTAAAGCCGAGTTTGATCATCACTCGTCATGAGAGAAAGCTGGTGCAGAGTGGAGCACTTTAGCTGTGAGCTCTCTGCCTCTCTCTGCTTGCACTTCATCCTCCTCTTTCCTTACTTCCTCTCCTTGTGTCAATATGGGATAAAAGCGTGAAAGCAGTAAGTCTTCTCTCGTATGTGGGTCCTCACTTGAAGTTGAGAGTTTATGTGTGAATGCAGTTTAATGCACTACATCTTGCTTCA